GAAACCAAGAAACCAGGAAACCAGGAAACCAGGAAACCAGGAAACCAGGAAACCAGGAAACCAGGAAACCGCGAGACCATGAAACCACGAAACCATGAGACCACGAAACCGCGAAACCATGAAGCCATGGGGTTGACTTTCGGGGGAAAGGGCTTAAAATCAAAAATTTTAGGATCTTAACGCTTCAAACTCACGCGACTCAATCTCAAAACGACGACAAAACGTGGAAAATTTTCGAAATTTGAAAAACGCGAATCCAAGGAATTAAATTTCAGAGAAAGGGCTTAAAGTCAAAAGCTTTAGGATCTTAGCCCTTCAAAATCAAAGGACTCACTCGCAAAATGACGAAAAAGGTGGAAAACTTTCGACATTTGAAAAACGCGACGCCAAGAGATTGAATCCCAGGGAAAGGGCTTAAAGTCAAAAGTTCTGGGATCTTAATGCTTCAAACCCACGAGGCTCAACCTCAAAACGGCGACAAAATGTGGAAAATTTTCGAAATTGGAAAAACGCGAAGCCAAGGCGTTGAATTTCGGGGGAAAGGGCTTAAAATCAAAAATTTCGGGATCTTAGCGCTTCAAACTGACGAGATTCACTCCCGAAACGACGAAAAACGTGGAAAATTGTCGAAATTGGAAAAACGCGAAGCCAAGCGATTGAATCCCAGGGAAAGGGCTTAAAACCAAAAATTTTGGGATCTTAGCACTTCAAACGCACAGAATTCAATCCCAAAACGACGACAAAACGTGGAAAATTTTCGAAATTTGAACAACGCGAATCCAAGAAACTGAACCCCAGGGAAAGGGCTGACGCTGAAAGTCAAAAATTTAGGGACTTTAGCGCTTCAAACGCACAAAATTCAATCCCAAAACGACAACAAAACGTGGAGAATTTTCGAAATTTGAAAAACGCGAAGCCAAGGCATTAAACTTCAGCGAAAGGGCTGAAAGTCAAAAAGTTTTGGGATCTTAGCCCTTGACTTCAAACGCACGGGACCCAATCCCCAAACGATGGCAAAACGTGGAAAATTTTCGAAATTTGAGAACGCGCATCGCTTACATCTTTGCCATGCTTAGTTTCTTACTTTGGGGAGGAGGGGGATCCTAGTGGGAGGGATGTTATCGGACGCTCCAAGCTAGTAATACAATTTACAAGAATAAATCGAAATTTATTTTGCTGTGCTGAGGCATACTATGTATAATACGATCATGAAGAACGATATTTTCACTTGAGGAGAGCACAAACACAAAGGATAAGGAGAAAAGACAATAAGAAATCACTTGGAAGATATCATACATAGAAGAAAAATTTTTGTGGGATACAAGACATTTGGGACATGGTCTTGCTCCGGGTCAAAAACGTTAAGAAGTTACCTGATAAATGATAAGACACTTGTTTGCATCATGTAAGTAGATGTCGTCTAAGTAATCTCAATTTGATTGGCCTCTGTAGACAGACACAGAAGACCTGCTGACAGAGGAAGCCCCCTGCAGCACTCGCACTCCGATACAGATTGTCTGTGGTTGCTATGCAGTACAACTATTAATCACAGATTTTTCTGGACTTGTCTCCAGTACAAATTTGACCGACGGACTGAAGACATCAGAAGAACAATTTTTATGATCAGTCCCTCCATCTCAACAGCGCACTCACACTCTTCAATAGATTCTTAATTGAAATTGTATGTTGACTGTCCAGAAGATTCTAGTGCACTTCGCATGCTGGTTACAACTTCTACAAGTAACTTTTCGCCGACCATATCACAAGAAGGTGGCGGCTAGGTAGCAATTATAGTTTTCGTTCTCATTTCAAACCTTTCATCATAAATTTCCCAGAAGCGAAAGCAACTTCTGTTGCGCGTCGGTGAACTTTGTCACTTTTCCCAACAATTGTCTGTCCTTTGTGACATGATAGTGGAATGATGTCCGCAAATCTACCATGCCCAATCCCAAGGACAAGACAACACCTCCATCAAACACTCTTCTTCGGGACGAACAAATACAAATTGAAAAATTTGAGATAATATTTTCCCCAAAACTACAGGTAAAATTTGCGTTTTTCGAAGTTTCGCCGCAGCGCAACTCCCAGCAATGCTTTATTTGAACTAGAAAGTTATATTTATATATAAAGAAGGATTTATTGAGCTCTTTGATCGATGCTATTGATACAATTAAAGGAATCATAATCATTAAAATGGCGTATTTGAGCGTATTTATTTTACGATCTTATTTATTCTCGGTCTCTGCACAGGCAAAAGCGCACTGCACGAAGCAATTCGTGGTTGGTAACTTTCCCACGACCTGCCTATGGCACCAAGAACTGGTGCGAGTCAACATTATACTACCTCCAGTGCGTCTTTTTTGTCGCTCCATCTATTTCAGGTATTCCACTAATGCGAGACTTGAAGTGACAGTCGCGGCGCGATGCTCATGGTCATCAGTTCCTGGAAGAGAAGCTTGGCGGCGTAGGGGAGCGTGATTTGGGACACGGAACCCTTCGAACGGCATAACCGACACTCGTACCGGTCGCGTTCCATATCCGCGATGGCAAAAAGACCGCAGTTGTCACAACAGTGCAATCGGAAAGCGTCTGAGACATCGAATAATCGTTCCTTCAGGAATTTTGCTGCCCCGTGAGAGATCATGCAGTCGCGTTCCATCTCACCAAATCGAAGCCCTCCCATCTTCGCGCGACCTTCCTGCGGCTGTCGCACAAGCTGAGTCACTGGACCACGCGCACGACTATGGATCTTATCCGCGACCATATGCTTCAAGCGCTGGTAGTACACCGGACCGATGAAGACCTGGATTGGGTTTTGACAGGTGGAGGTGAGAACATTTTTCACATAGTGTGGTATGATCACGTCCTAGTCCTAAATGCCAATATACTTATAATGATACTCATTTGTAAACTTATTACTAATGAAAATGGTAGTATTTATTAACCGACCAAAAAAATTCAAGGTGATCGCAAGAAAAAAGTAAAATCGATACCTTAGCCGGCATTGGCCTTCCAGTGTGACCCTGGAACAGCTGTTCGTTGCCGTACCGGTGATAACCCAATTCATGCAGGCGCGTTGCGACGTCACGCACTGTTACTTTGGTGAACGGTGTTGCATCACCCTCACCGCCTGCAAGAGAACCCACCTTGGACAAAAGCTGTTCGACCAAGTGCCCAACCGTCATTCGAGACGGAATAGCGTGCGGATTCATGATAATATCCGGAACCACGCCATCGCGTGTAAAGGGCATGTCCTCTTGTCGGAACAAGATTCCGCATGTACCTGGCGAGTGTATTTTGTGCCTGATCGACCAAAGAAAGCAATAATGATTATGAATATCGCTGGGGCTGGGCTATGTATTCGAATCAGATCAAAACCAAAAAAAAATGGACCAACAAAAATAATGCAGCGATGACAATCCCAATTTGGTACCTTTCTGTCCGTGACGGGACGCAAATTTGTCGCCGACTTCTGGAATTTTGTAGGTTCGCACCTTCACCTTAGTGAATTTGAAGCCGTCCTTATTCGTGGACAAAATCACTTCATCAACGACTGCTGTTTCTGCAGGTCGCATGCACGTACTGCAGTCCTTCTTTTTCGGGTCCATCAAATCGCCGTTTGCGTCTTTTTCTGGCTCCAGGTCTTGTGTCATGCCGATCACTACATCGTCGCCGAACAATCGTCCACCAGGAAGAGCGAGACCATCGTGGTCCAGCTTGCTGTAGTCTCCGCGCTTACGGCCAAGGATTTGAGTCTTGCCTTGTGGATCGGTTGGGTTCTCGAAAATCGTATTCATCACGCCTTTGCGCTCCTCCTCAGCGGCATAACTACGGAAGAAGACAGACCGGAAGAGACCGCGGTCCACACTACTCTGGTTCAGAATCAAACTATCCTCCTGGTTGTAACCTGATGATTTTGAGAAGTAAGATCGACGGGCTCAAAGTGGAACAAATAAGCTTTGAAGCAGTGGAACAAAAAAATGAATCGAAACAAAGCAACGGCTGAATTTAGTTGGAGTTGTGGAGGTGGATTAAACTTTCTGGATAAATTCTACGTCCTTATCTAGCTGTATACCCGAGTAGCACATAATCGCCACGCAGACATTATTTCCGGCTGGCAACTGACGAAACTTCAGATAGTTCATCGCGCGTGTTCCGACAAGCGGTTTTTGCGGATAGCAAAGCACGTTCGCTAGTGTGTCGACTCTCTGGTTGAAATTTGTCGCAAATACTCCCAAAGCCTGCTTTCCCATCGCACTCTGGTAGCAGTTTCTTGGCGACTGATTGTGATCCGGGAAAGGAATAATGGAGGCGCAAATGGAGAAAATCATACTCGGGTGGATCTCGCAGTGCGTCCATGTGCGGCAGTAGGTGCTCTTGGCAACATTATCGACAAACATCGCAATCATCGCATTCTCAGTCTCCTCGCAATCGATGTACTCGATGAGACCCTCGCTAATGAGGTTACCCCATCGCATCTGACCATCCTTCAATGCCTGAATATGCTGTCGCCGAATCGCGAGTGTCTGATTGTTTTGTTCCAGGTCGATGTGTTTCAGGAGCTCGCTTTGACGAAGGTCCAGGATAGTTAATAGATAGAGAGAGACGAGAATTCGTAAGAGAGATTACTACATCACCAAGAATACTTAACAATGTTGCAGATGCAAACTTTATTTCTACACTCATAATTGTCGTTTAATATTAATCAATATGAATCTAACTCAATGAATGTACTTTACCTGTGATTTTTCGTCGACAACGTAAAGCGGTCGCATTGCTCGTCCTGCGTCCGTGAAAATTTTGATCTCCCTGGAGTTCAAATCTGTCACGATAGACACCTCGGACTCGAAGTCGAGTCTACGCTTGCTCGCCAGCAGTCGCTTGAAAAGCTGTGCCTGCTGGCTGTGCACACCGATCCACATGCCGTTGAGGAAAACCTTGCAGTAACCCTTAATCTCTGTGGGCAGCACATCCTCAAGGTCTTCTACACCCCATTCTCGCAAGAAATCCTCGAGAACGCTACTTGGACAGCCAATGGTGATATTGCACATCAAACTGATGTTCTTCACCAACCCGACTGCCTGTCCCTCTGGCGTTTCGGCGGGACACACCATACCTGGTGATAGGTAGTGAATAGTTCGATTACATGAAGACTGAGATATTTGCCCTGATAAATATGATGCATGTAGATATATTTCCCAACTTACGACGTTGCTCGTCGTGTGTGCTCGACATAAAAATCAGGAGTAGACCTAGTAAAAGTAATGCTGAAAAAAAACATAGAAAGAGTACCCCAATGCGTATTGTGGAGCTGGCGTGGCTTCGCAATTTTACCCGATCGATCCAAGGGGGTGTTTAATCGTCGCAACTGTGACACTGTAGCCATAAAAGTGAGTCGGTTCAACACCTGTGACACACCCTGCCTTACGGGTTTTCCCTGCTTGTCTTGCCCCCAGTTTCCTGTCGCCAACTGATATCGCATTCCGTCCGTGATCACTGCGCCCTCCTTCAGCGCCCATGCGACGTCGATTTCCCGGTTCATATCAACTTGCCTTTGAATGATTCTTCGGAAACTCTTGAAGGTGTTGCGGAACAAGGTGCCGAAGGAACTAGAAAGCAGAGGACCCGCTAAGTCCATACGCTTCTTTCCGAAGTGATCACGATCATCCTCCTGAATGCGGCCAAGAGAACCGAGAAGCAAACGGTGAGTCATGTATCCAATAAAATACGCTTTCTTCTTCTCGCAAAACGCCTCTACGCCGACGTGCGGCAACAGTTCCTTCTGCAAGATTTCCCTCGCGTATTGGACACGCTTATCTCGGGTGGCACCTATGGGAGGGAGGAATCACCAAATGAAAATCTTTAGGTAGTTTCACAACCCTCAGATGAACAAGATGTTGAAACGATATTTTTATAGATACGAGGCACTACATCCCACCTGACTCCCGAACACAATCAGCAAAAATACCAAGTGTGCTTCCTCTTTTTGCTATGTAGTCGAGCGCCATCTCTTGTGTGGTAATCGGGGCTGCGTCGTCGAGCGATGTCTTCATCAAGTTAAGCATTGCTTGGTCGCTGAGATCGTAACAGCAGATCTCGAGAATATCCTTGTCCGCTACAATGCCCAATGCGCGAAAGACGATCACGACCGGAACCTCCACTCGCACGTAGGGAATCGTGCACACCACTTGACCGCGACAATAGCTTTTTCCACCAAAATTGTTCAGCATCTTAATCGCATACCCAGAGTTTGCCGCACTACCCTCGTGGAGCGCTGATCGCACCTCACAGACCCAGGTGTACTTACTTGGCTGCTTCTTCTGGAAGCAGTAGACGAAATTGTTAGCCATGCGCTCCATGGCAATGAGCACTTTTTCGGAGCCGTTGACGACGAAGTAACCTCCGTTGTCATAACTGCACTCGCCGTACTTGCACAGCTCCTCCTCGGTACAGTTGTTCAACCAGCAGTAATCTGACTTCAACATAACTGGCATCTGGCAAAGCTCGAGACCTAGAGATAGAGAAAAAAATACTTACAAACTGGATGTGCATGTGCTTTTCACGTCGATTTAGGATTTAACAACAATTGGCAAACTATCTTCAAACCCAACAATGGAGCGAGAGAAAAGTTAAATCTGTTATATATAACAAGGTTGTCTAGAAATGCAAGCCTGAAGAGATGTTCTCGTAGTCAATACCTTCGTATTCGAATCTTCTCACGAGCTGCTCCTTGCCGTCCTCCATGACATCGTATTCTGAGTGTACGATATCTATGAAAACCGTTGCTGAATAGGTCATATTTCGCAAACGGCACATATTTGGTGTCATCGTGCTGCCCTCTCCTTCACCTTTATCCTCTGTCTGTGGCTTGTGGATACTCAGACCGCCGAGCTTGAACCGGTGTATCGTTGGCTTAATCTGTTGTCGTTGAAAGGAAAAAAGTACTTATATCATAATCATTGAAAAGATTTTTGACACCATTGGTTTGGCGACCACATTTGGTCTTCTTGATGAGCTGATCATGAAACGTCATGCACAGAAACGTTGAATTTTGCGAGGTACGTCATTCGAAACTGTGAGTTCTTCAGCAAGAAAATCATGATGTCATCACGGTCCTACTCACATCAGTGTAAAAAGTTCAAGTTCAAGTTCAGGGTATCCCCAAGTCAGATTCAAATGAAAATTGTTTTACAAAAAGTTCTTACCAGCTTGCTGCTCTCGAATGTTGGCTGTGGTACAACTTCGATTATTGGGTGATTATCTGATGCTTTTTGCATTTGCACGCTCATGAAATCGTTAAAAGATCCCAACTGCTGGTGCGCCAAACCCTTTTCCTCGAAAAAGGCATCGATGACTGCCCAGCCATCCTCCTGCAAGATCCCATCATCCCCGCCTTGTTGCTGCGCAGCGGCAGCTGATGCCAGGGAGGCAAGGTTGCCCAAAAACAAACTATCGACACCGGCGGGCATCTTGTTTTTGTACTAGTTAAACGTTTCCTCGGGCGAAGACGAAGCGACGCGCAGACCGCAGAATCTTCTTCAAGAGTTTGTGATCGTTGTAGAAATGGAAAGTGGGTCGTTGTGTGTGAAACTATTCATTCATTGGCCGCGAATTATTCTTTTGTTCTTCTTTTATTGTGGTAGTGGTAAGGGTAACTACTCTGCTATCATCTCTTTGGGTAAAGAGGGAAATTGCTGTTGTCGCCTCGATCGCCGACTCCCGTCTCGTCGTTGCTTTGTGTTGCTCAAAAGAGCACTAACGAAGTCGCGGAGTTACTCAGACGAAGCACGATAAATCTATTCTATGCATCCGTTCTCCGGGCTTCCCGTGCGCAACGCGTCTGAGGTCAGAGACGCGGAGTCGCTATGACCGAGTGCAAACTGGTATAATCACGCGCGCCCCACATCTTTTCCATCATAATTATTTTAACATCAACATTTTTCTACTCGTACAGTGTATCAAATCATGATGCTGAAGTAATCTTCACTTGATTACAAGTACCCAATCATCAAGAGATATTGACTCCTATTCTTCATTTGCATCATTGATTTACAACAACCGATACTTGCCGCGCTGCGTTTGACAATTTGTCTGAGGGTAAATGGTAATCGAGATCACAAAACGAGTGTTTGTAATCTTGTTGGTAGTGCTGGCACGCGCACGCCTTCTTGGATTGCTTTACAGGTATTCACGGTCGATGTGCGGCCCCGTGCTCTTCTATCGTGTAGCTCTACTAGTTGTGGTTCTTCTTCTTTTCTATATATTATATATAAGTATGATCGTTCATAGGTGGCACGTTTTCTTCACCTTGATATCTCGCTTGTTCTTGCGATTTCGATACAAGGAGGATTGAAGCAAGGAGGAACTGAGTAGTTGCTTCGACGTTTTCCGATTTTCATCTTCATGTATTGCGCTGATGATTTTTATTCGCATGTTGATTCGTGTTCATCCTTGCAAAACAGACGGACTTACTACTTACTCGGCTGCTTGTGGAATTTAGTGCCTATGACATGCTGATCTGTATAACATCCGTACAAAAATATGCCGGTTCGTTTGGTCTGAACTAACTAGCCGGGGCTATGCACAAATTAGTGCAGCCGATCCAGTAACTTAGTAAGATCTATGAAGGGAGCCCGTTATTATTGCAACCTTGGCCGGTTGCACGTCTTAGGCACAAGCATGGCCATCTTTGGAAAATCCTTGCAGTTTCAATTATTTTTCGACGTCTTCGTCTTCAGACAAACAACTTGGGAGCCAGTTATGTGGATGATCGTTGGTCAAAACTTGGAAGTCCTCACTGATAATTCAAGCTAGATCATTCTTTGATGTTGGAGATAAATTATCATTCCTTAGTAAGAGCATCACCAGACACAAATCTGCAGAATTGAGACACAGCCTGCTTAGGCACAGAAACCTGACCTTGAAATGATCGACCATATTTATAGATCGACTTGCGGATTAAAACCACTAAATTTTCGAGGAAGATGGTCGCTGTTCTTTTTTTGCTTCAATTATGTTTACTAACAGAGAAGTAGTAGAGGAGACAAGTAACTCATAGCGAGCACCCATCGATGAAAGTTCTTAAACTTAAAGCGTACATGATCTACTTCATCTTCCTCACGCGAACGCGAATTACTAATAAGATGCTACGAGCGATTGCAGCGTCGTGTGCTTACCAAGCCGAAGTGAGAGCAAATAGCAAGAAAGCAGAGTAAAACGACATGATGAATAGAATTTCATATTTATATAAATATTTATAATAAACAAGAACAGACTCCCTAGCGCAAAAGATGGGTACGATGACAGGTTGACACTTGAGTCTGACCGCCTATCACTATGTTTTCGATGAACCACACTACATCTTGGCTACTTAAAAAACTGAAATGTTTTTATGTATCACTAGCTATGAATAGGTAGAAACTCATGACGCCCAACAAAAAAGCTACACACGAGTTCAATTTTTAATGCAAATACACTGGATTCAGGCATTATAATCCAAACTAATATAAATTATATTCCATGTGTAGCCGATCAGACCCATCTATTATAATATATAAATATCAACATCGTTCTATTTGCATATCGTGATCGTGCATCAAAAATTTCATGAACAAGTATGTTGACAGAAAAGAGTCGCGCGATGCTAAGCAGGTCCCTCTAGTGGCGACAATTTAGACACAGCCGCCTTCTTTTTGTCCCTTCAACAGCAAGGTCGCCGCCCTCATCGCCTCTTGTTTCAAGTACTCCTTGTACCGTTCCATTGACTGCACGAGCGCATCTTCTGCAGATACAGGCTGTGGACCGGCATGCAATTCAGTTTGATACCAATCGACAAAATGCTGCCGAGCCGCGGGCTCCACCAGCTCTCGATCCGGGACCTCCTCCGCGTCTAGGATGTGATGAATATGGTTGCAATCCTGAGCGCCCCATTTGCAGCCATTTCCCAAATGGTGCATGCAAAGCTGCGTTTTGCGCAATGGCAACCGCATTTCCTTCTGGTTATGCGCGAACGGACAGTTGTGACCATCGTCGCACCACATGCGATTGCGAAACGCAACGCACAGTCTGGTCTTGCGGAAGTCTGGCAAAGCTCGGATCTCGGCTTCCGAGTGCGCGAAAAGACAGTTTTTCCCGTCACTGCAGCGACCATAGTACATGATATTCGAGCAAAATGATGTCTTGTACAACGCGTCCCTTACAGTGGAAACCAACCCATTTCTATTTTTTTTCGTACTACTAGTCGTGCTTCAAGATGGCTGTGCGGATACTCGCTGAAGACCTTCAGCGAAACTGCTCGTCACGAAGCTCTTCTCATCTGGTGATGGCTGTCTGCTGAACGGACCTCCGTTTTCGGACTCTATTTCTTGTGGTACGGCAGGCACAGTAAGTGGAGCAAGAACGTCTGCTGTTGAAGATGTTTCCGCAGCAATACAACTAAAACTATTTGTATTTCCTGCATCTACTAATTGAAGATTGCCGTCTTCAGCGCCATGTCTCTGAAGAAGTTTCGCTGTTACATTTCCTCGTCCCTTTCCTTGCTTCTTCTTGCTTGGAAAACGTCCTGATGCGCGAAACGCACCTGCTACTGGGTTTCCTTGCTCGTCGTATTTCGTACTCCTGCCCACGCAATCCACCTCCATGACCATGATGGCCTCTTCCGTTTGCGTCTCTTGAAAAATGTTTTTCGGTGTTATAGAACAACAAGACGCAGTATCTGTAGCAGTACTCCTCCTGCTCCTGCCTATCCCTTTCAATAAAGGTTCCGTCTTCGCGTCGGCTGCAACACCAGCCGTCGAAAGGCTAGCCCCACTGCTTTTCCTATGAAGACGTTGTAGTTCTTTATCTTTATGGTCCCTTTGATTTTTACTATCAGGCGAAGTCGTGACTCCGCTACTTTTATGATTGGTTTTCGTCGGAGATGAGACGGGAGACACCTCCCCCGCCGGCCCCGGAGAGGCATTGCTGTTCCACTCTCGCTGTAAGAGACAGGCGAGGCTAATTGGCGACTTGCTAGTAGGACTGCCGCGTGTGTCCATCGCAGTAGAGGGGCTCCGCCATGCGGCAAGCGCAGGATCGCCACGAGCGTGTGTAGGGGAAAACAGCGCCGCTGCAGCTGCTTGTCCGTGCGATGATGCCGACCTAAACGGACTTGAGTCGACCGCTGACGCTGTTGGAAATTGTCCTGCTTCAAGAAGTACTTTCGGCCCTATGGTTGCTGTTTGCACTTCAGACGTAGGTGGATAAGGTGTTGGCGTCGCTGCTGTAGAGGTATAATCTGCCACCATGTGAGAGCTCCTCATGACATGTACAAATTCTTGTGGAAGAGCGCATGGATATCCACTGTAGGCCACCGTGTTCCATCGACCGGAAACAGCAGGTCCTGCCAGCACTTGTCGACAGCCTGCTTCTGCACCTCCAACATAAGGAGCGCAATTACCGAACCAGGGCGATGGCTGCGGCGTCGGCCATGGTGTTCCTGCAGAAAAATGCGCTCCTGGTGGTCCTGGCGGGTTGTCAGGTCCATCGGCTTGCGCGTGAGCCTGTTGCGAATGAGAATGTGATGCTATTTGACGAGACTGTGCACTTTCGGACGGAGCACGCGAGCAGTCGGGCGCAGCTTGCGAATAGACAAAAACGGGCTCGTCGCGACTGATCAGTGCAGCTGGACCACGAGTCTGCGGACGTCCCGTCGTTCGATGTTTTGTGAGCAACAGGCCCCCATCACCAGGAATAGGGTTTGCAATCGGAACCACGTACGGGGCAGCATTCATGTCCGGTCGAGTCCTCTTACCCTTCGCTTCCTCGTCATGTAAACGGAAAATTCGCGTTATTGCTTGCGAGGGAGAACCCTCCTGAGCAAGGTGCACCAAAGGCGAAGCGGAGGAACTTCCCTTGCCTTTGACTCTGTTGTCGTTTTCATCAATCATGTCTAGTCGAGGTGGCCTGTTGCCATTGTGCGGCGACCCTATCTTTATTTGGGATGCTCTTTGGTTCACTGGCCTCTTTCCTTTGCTTGCGGGTTTCTTCTGACCCCGGTGCGGTCCTTTACTACTCCCCACATTAGCAGACACTGGAGAACGAGTAGTTACGTCCATACCCAACATGGCGCTATTTGTGTTTTGACCAGTCGTTTGCCAGTTGCCAGCCTCCACTCTCGGGTCATGTGCGTTTTTACCCTTTCCTCCGCTACGAAGCCGTGTAGCTAACGCAAGGACCCCCAAAAAACCGCGCCTTGGCCAAGCGCCTGCGCCCAGTAGCGCCCAAATCATCTTCCGCAACCGAACAGACTGCGACATTTTCGAATGGAGCGTTTTTTCCAAGCTGATCAAAGCTGAACTCCAATTTCCCTGCTAGAATAGCATTGCGACCGACGTCACGCCGACTACTGGCCCCATTCTTTCAACATGTGTCTTAATTTCAACTCCTTCTATCATTTACAGGGTGACGAGTTAGACTTCTGGTGGTCGATGGGTTTAGTTTTACCTCCTCATGCTTCATCTAATAACAAAGATGATGAATTTGTTTAGATTGTAGGGGCTTTCAACATCAGCTAGTTACTAATTTATGTCTTGAGTAGAAGTTCAAAGACTTCCTTTCTTTTCTCTCATCCTAAAGTTGTTTTGGGAAGAAGAGGAAGGACTTCATTTAATAAGTAAATCATTTTTATCATTCCGAGATGCATGGGTGATCATCGTACCAACAAAAACATATGATGAAATTGTGAGGCAGAAACGATTGCCAACAAAATAGTGTCACACGACGGGTACAAATTTTTAGATTCGTGTGCTTAGTTGTCACGCCTACTGTGGTCCTATTTTCTATCATGCCGTACCCGTATTATTGAGGAGCTGAGGCTGACGACATCTTTGCCAGTTCACAACTTCTTCTTTTAGTGTATGAACGAAGCACAAGAAACGCATTACCTCCAAAACCAAGACCCTTTGCTCGATCCGATCCCGATGTGCATCACAACATCGCACAACATACAACAACGCCGGAAGCAATGAATGCTTACCAGATCATCAAGAACTACGCTGAGAACACCAAGCTGACTGACTGACGGAAAATCAAAAACGAAAATCACAACGACAACTGGTGCCGCTTTTATAAGCTTTCTTACGGAATCGGAATCTTCCACCCTTTTCGTGAGTGCAATTCAGAAGAAACAAGACGATTGATCAATCCCGTTCCCGATCTGTTATCGGGTTTCCGACAAAATGAATTCATATGACGGGAAGTAGGTATGGCCAAGACTTCTACCGTACCTGAACGAAGCTACATTTTTTTCCACAACATGATGACTAATGCCGTGATTGTGTTTGAGGGGTAGAAGAAGATAGTCGTGACAATTTCTTATCGTCCTGTCATACTTAGAATTTGTCTATTTTTATATGAAAGCACAAGGAAACAAACCTCCATGACAAAGCAATTTTCTATGCAGCAGCCCATCGCAACAGTCAAGACTCATTGTCACGTAGACCAGTTTGAATTTGGAAACATTAGGGAACTGTTCGACTTCGAGCCGAGTCAGGCAGTAAGACTTGTGTCGATCTACGCCAATGTGTTCTCTTTGCCGATTATAGCATTGATACGCACGTTGGTACTACCATACTGTTGATAAACATGCATGGTAAAGAACTGCACGACTAGATTTCTCATTCGATCGGTCGCGGCATACTTCGGCTGCTTGCATCTCTGAAGCTTTGATGATGTCCACCATGCTCGCCAGTCACAATCCTAGCTAGGTAAAAGGTGCCTGACGTTGAGCGCTACTACTGCCCACAGGGGTATCTTTTTCTGCCGTTGCCGTGTGCAACCTGCGGATATGGTGCAGAATCACATCAACCACGACGCATGCTTGTCGACGTCGTCGCAACCCATAACAGTTGTTGGAACCAAGCTGATATCTTCGTCCTCTGCATTTTGTCAGACCACACGCGGATAACACAAGACTCAGCCAGTAAACGCTGAAGGTCAACATACTTACGTGTGCCGTGCGAGCTGATACAACAAAAACCTGCTCCATCCGCTATCTGTTGAAGAGCAGTGAGGCAGCTGAAACCTATGGCAGCGGCTGAACAACCGCCACCTGCTGTCAGGATGCGCGTCAGTCGTGGAAACACTACCGGTCTAGAGTTTCCATCAGTTCACGAAGGCGCTCTCTCGGTAGAGGCTGCACCGTTTCTTTTGCCATGAATTTCTTGCACTCTGCACTCAGTTTGATAGCCCACTGCCGGGGAATGTTTGCCACAACCAGGTTAACTGCAGCGCTCGGAATCATCCCACCTGGATTGCTGTCTGTCATCACACGTAGCAGTGTCGTGCCGGGTCGCGGTCCAGGTTCCACCGTGTTGCCACTCATAAAGACGTTGACTCTGACAACCTTCCCCGACGGATTGTAGATATGGTCGTAGAGAGAAGTGGACCGCTCGTAGCACAAATAGGGGTACCTGATGTTGGAGGGAGGCACTCATGAAGACTGCAAAGTAAAGCTCTTTGGTCTCATATCTTCGTTCAAAAACTACCATCAAGTAGAAACCCTTCTTGTACGTAATCCAAAGATTCGGTGAGAAGAAAGATCATCAGTACTCGAAGGCCGGCAGGCACTTACAGTCGCGGAAGCGAATGATTTCGCGGTTACTGAAGGTCATAACGGGACTGCGGATGACTACCCGCTCCACACCACGATAATTCGTACCCTCTAACATCGTGTCCTCCGCAAAATTGTCCTCCCACGACATCCGCATGCGGATATTCTGCACTAGATACAGTACTACTTCAGGTGGCGCATCGATGATGCACTCGGAGTAGAAGAAGAGGACCCGTTCCGGCTTCAACTGCACCTCTTTGGGCCCAAATACACCACCGATCTTGCGTTCTACTACCCCGAGGTCGAGAAAGCGCTTCCACACTTTGCATTCTGGCTTGTCCAGCGCTAAAGTCCAGAGCTTCTCTTCCCGACGAAACTTTTCGTAAAATTGCATCACGTATCCAATCTCCTCGTATGGGTTCAGAGGAGTCGCCACACGATCCTGCGATGTTGTAATTTTTGCCCGAATTATTCAATCATTTACATTTTGATTTAGTTTTTCTAGTACTTACTAGGCAGTAGCACTTCTTGTATTGTGAGCACCGCGGAGGCTGAGCATCTGCTGCAACGTTCACATCTACTATAAGTAGCATGCAGCACAGTCAGCAGTTCATCCGCCACAAATTTTATTCGAAAAAGAAGGAGTCTAGATCTACTACTAGCTTTGGTCGACCAGTTTGTACCTTTTGTGGTGCTGTCAACATGCCTTCCACAGATCCGAATCCGCCATGAACGCTAAGATTTCGATAACCGGCTACCGTGCCACCGGGGCTTACTGCCGTGCTTGGTGGCTCCTCACCCTCAGCAACGTACTCACCTAATATTTCCAGTTTATCACGCGCTACTGAAGCCGTTGGCCCAGTAGGAAAAGCTCTGGGATCAGCTAAGCACGCTAGTGCGGCAATGTGGTCCTCTTCGGATTCTCGCCTGCTAAAGTGTTCTTCCTCGCTGTCCTGCTCTCGAACCGTGTAAAAAGTGAAGGTGTCGTCTTCCTCGCTCTCGCTGGGGATTTTTGCGATAGGAGACCGGACGTTGCGTGGCGAGATCGTGGGATCTACGCGAACCGGAAGACGATCACCAGCACAGGGCGACTTCGAAGAAGAGGAGGCCTCCTCGTCTTCCCGTGGTCCAGCTCGACCTCGGACTTTGCCGACGCAATTTGCCGCAGCCTTGCCGAAGTAGGTGACTTTTGGTGACAACTCGCCTCCAAGTCCGTCATTTTCGACAGCATATTTCCTCGCACTAGCGTTTGCGTGGCGCTGTGACGCCGAAAACGGAACCACCCCTGTGACGCGACCCGTCACCTCCACCTCTTCAGGGTCCTTCCTGTCCTTCTTTCCAACACTCCCAGCTCCACAACAACACGGCATTTTTCGCGAGGAAGTACCACGTTCGTCACTTTTTAGTAATTTCGTCATTCAACATCAACTCCGACATGCCGCCTAGAATTATGCAGAAAGAAATGACAAAGACAAATTATTGGATAAGAGAAAGTTGATTAGTTGCCCGAATGATACTCAACGAACAACAAAGAGAATGACCGAATGACACTCAAAGTTGGGCAGAACAAAAGACTCAAAATTTTTTACTTGCTCGGGGGGAATACTTACTTACATATCGGTGCAGAGTGTGGGGGGGCGCGCGCGAAAGCGAAAGCGACACCGAAGGTCATGTTCTGAATTAGATCTGTTGCTGTTCTTTGAGGAGGGTATGGAATTACAACTCAGGGCGGAGGGAAGACTAGCCTGTACGCAAACCAAACATTTATCATTTATATTCTTAATCACGGATTTTGACCACTGGATGCCGCTCGTTAATTCTCACCCTTAGTGTGATGCTCAGCGGGGCAGGGCTATTGAGGGATCGGTGCATGATGCATATGAGGGTCACTCAAACATTGCCTCTCGTCTCAAGGGGATGATACAATGCCCCTCCGTCCCAATGCTCTCGGTAACATGATGAAAAGAACACTTCTACTAGATAATACTATTCCGACGTCAACAGACACTGACTCGGATGCGGTCTATTGCGATGTTGCACGTTATTTTTGATGCGATGGCGTCGCGCTGAAACACAGCAGATATTAACCGAGTTTGTATGAATGTAAGTAATTCTAATTCCCGAGCGTCTTCTTTTATGGATTTGGATTTTTTTCGCCAGGAGCGAGAAAAAAAGAGCAAAAAGGGGAAAACAGAGCCCAGGGCTAATGTAATCTTGAGGGTGATGATGAGTGACAGCTGTTAGATAATGGCTGGCACCACAGACAGCACACGCAACAAACATCACTCATAGATCTTTCTCCCCACAGCAGAAAATACGTGTTTGTTCGTTGTATGGCAACAGACTACTGCCTGACCTGTGAAATTCTTCAGAAGTGAGCTAGTGCTTGTGCTAGACATTTTTATCATAAAAATTGCATCATGCAACCTCTACGTAATCAATGATCGTATGATAGATCGCTTTCATTATCATGAGCATCTAATCCTTGTGAATACATAGTCAGAGCTAATCTAGATGAAAAACGTGGTTAAACTGATCATGAGTGTCCTCGTATCCTGTTATTTTCATTGATGAACAGTATCGCATCAATCTCCTGATAAATTGATTCTGGATCAAAAAAAGCATGTTGATGTTCGTGTATTCATTTTTTGAGATAGAACAAAAAAGCAAAGCATAATTGAAGCTGCTGAGGCGGAACATTTTTTTGTGAAGGCCATTATTGTGTGTCCACCAAGACGTCTGGTCCTCGAACCCGACCACGCGAGGCAGATCGCATCCGCTTCGTGGTTTCTTCGAGGTCCAGCTTCAGCCGAGGTAGCGGGGCCCGAGGTCGTGAAGACCTCGTCTGCCGCTCTGCTGGCGCAAAAGATAATGTGTGTCGCATGAGGCCATCGGCCATAGCAGCCCCAGCTTTCTGCGAAGCAGAACGTCCGCCGGGTGACCGCGATGAGGCTTCTTCTGCTCCATTTGAGGTTGATGCGTTTTTCCTCATGCTGTGCACTTGTCCCATTGCTGCCCCTATGCTGCTTGACCCTGACATACTTTTCCGAGTGGAAGCACGGCTAGAGACTGTCAGGGGTGCGACCGCTGGAGAAGCAGTGAGCATTGCGTGCAAAAGATCCAGCGACGGAAGTGCACGACGCGTCGCCGGCTTCGCATTGGAAACCGACTCTCCCGTGGCAGCCTCCGGTGGCCCGGGAGCCGTGCTGCTGCCATCTCCTACACTCGCTGTGCTTTTGTTGCTGGCACCTTGATCTTTCGTGCCTTGATTTATCTTGTCACGAGTAGAGCGCCGCCGCGGCTGTTGTGTTAAACTCACGGGTGACCGTGCTTCGCCTCCAGGTACGACTGCTCTCCCCTTTCCGTCAGCTGCAGTTTCGGTCTTTTCTGTCCTCCTTGGTGAGCTCCGAGAGTCGCCACGACGACCTTCTCCCCTCCTCCCACCTTGCTCATCGGAGTTCTGCTGCTCGTTCCCGTCTATTGAGTGCAATGAGGTAGAGACTCCACCTCGATCCACATCCGGAGCTTCCTTGCTCAAATCAGGAGTGGGGTTTGGCGTGGGATTCGCCGAGTAGGGAGTGAACTGCGTGCGGCTTTTGAGATTTCGATTCTCGAGGACTGCGTCGATCTGCTTCCGCATTTCTAGTAGCTCCGGATCGCCCTCTATTGCGGCTCCATTACTGCCAGATTGAAAATTTTGAGAAGCCCCTCTTGATGTTTGCCTGCCAGCATCCTCGGAGGCCGACGAAGATGAAACTCCAGTGCCTGCAGCTGTTCCGTCTTTAGCACTGGACGTCGCCCCACTCCCCGAGAAGGCCGGAAGCGATCCTCTGGCTTTGCTCTTAGACGACGTCAGGTGTGAAGCCCCTAGAGGTAACAGACTCGGATTGCGGCTACTGCTGCCACCGGTATCAGCACCTTTCCGAGCCTCTGACGTGAAGCCTCTTTCTGCTGGAACACCATCACCGACGCTCGTCTGTTGATCTCCGATAGTAGCGGACGCGATACCAGTAGTCTGCAGTAATTCGCTCGAAGCCGAAGCGTTGTACTTCATAACAGTCGGTGGCGTTGCGAGCACTGTTCTCTTGCGAGGCGAAATGAGCGCCCATGAAGAAGCCCTTGCTATCGAAGATGCACCGGTCGCACGTTCCAGCAGCTGCCTATTCCCATCTAGAAATTGAGTTGAAGATACCTGGTCGTCACTGGCAGCAGTCGAAGATGACGACGAAGTCTGTGCACCTCCCGAGGTTCCTGGTGTTCCCACTCCTACCTTTGGGGCACTAGCTCTTCTAGGTTGCCTCGGAATCGGCTGCAAGAGCTGTGGTTGAGCGTGTTCTGCTCTGACATCGTTCGACGGTACCCATGACGAGGAGGCAGTCGACGCTCCGAGTACATATGGCACAGGGGCCGCTGTGCCTCCCGCGTTTGAAGAAGCCGACGATCCGCGTACTGGCTGAACCAGACTACTGCTGCTGGCACTGGACGGGAACGCAGACGTTCCCGGCACTGGGTTTGTACTATGATGCTGGAAGCCATGCCAGTGCGGCCGCGGTGAAGAATGGTGAAATACACTGGGAGTTGACATCCGCGACGAAGCAGCAACGTCCATTTTCGCTAACGCACAATGCCGCATCAAGTCCTCAGATAAATTCTTTTGCCATGCAGCATACTGCTTCAGCCCCCGTACCTCGTCGAGAACCTGTTGCGCCTTCGCTGACAACTCCTCACAACCCGCTGGCGCTGGTACCAAGGGCGCGTTGGGTGATCTGAAAGTATCAAACAGGGAACTAGGAACATATTCATAACTTTGAACCACGTGAAAACTAACGCTGGAGGCACGAAAGACAAGGAACAAGAGAGTTTCACCTTCCACTTCAAGAAGTGGTCTTTGACTTACAACAGCAAGAAATGCAGAAGTCTGCGACAAAATAGTACGGGTCTGGTCCGGTGGCTTGCTCCACCGCCTCCAAAAATTGTGAGAGAAAGGTCCGTGGCTCTGCGGGTGGGCCGTCTGATACTCCTTTCTCTCTGTTTGCAACAAGGCCTCTAGAGGGTGATGGGGGGCTCGTGAGATATAGTTGCGGGTCTAGGCTTTGCGTCGTCGGCGAAGCTACTGGTGAGGGGTGCAAGAAGCGAGTCGGCTCATCCTCAAGACTCGAGCTTCGTTGTATATTAGCTGCATGATTAGCAGGTTGCACATTCGTAGCTGCAAATGGACGTATTCTTCCATCCTTCAATAGCACGTCTCTTTTTCTCGCATCTGGATCAGCTGCGGATGATTCATGAAATGAAACTTCTGTGGAGGTCGCCCGGCTCGATCTGGCGGACGTCTTCCGGACCCGACGATCACTGGCTGAGACAGCTGACGGGCCTGGTTCTTCCAACTGCTGGTCTTGGTCCTCAACGCCCGCAGGGTTCAGCTGTTGAAAAGTCTGCACAATTTTCTCCAACTGTTGCTTTTCCTGGCGTAGTTTCAAGACTTCCGCACGCAGCAGCGTCACTTCCTGTCCGTTGCGACCGCCTGCGCCGTTCCCGGCAGAAACGCCGCCGTGCAATGAGTGGTAGCTGTCTGATCTCTGAGGCCGTGCTGTAATCTTCTTGCACCTTGTTGCGAACGCCAGTGTTGAAACGGTTTCCGACACGCTTCGCTGCTCTCGTGCTACGGTGCAGAGCACTTTGACCCTGGAGGGCGCCTTCAGCGCGTCCCACAGCAACTTGGTCAATTTAGAGTCTCGCCAGGGTACGAAAACGGAGCTGGCGTTGCTTGTGGAGGTGATTTTTGACAGGCTGTTTACTACGTTCCCGAGCGCTGCGAGTGACGCGTTGATGCTCTTGGCTTCCATCATCTTCTTGCTCGAGCTACTGCCTGTGCCCCCACCCGCCACGGTAGAGCCACTGCCGAGCGACGTGCTATCGCGCGACGCATCAGGTAATTCGACGCCGACGTTGCTCCGCTCTGAACCCGCAAGATCAACAAGCACCAGTCTGGCCCACGCACTCGCCGACGCGAGGTCCTGTGCTCGCCTGCTCGTCTCCGACGTGGCCACTGAATTGGAGCGCTCGAGAAAGTTCGCAGCAGATGACGACGCGCTTCCGTCTGACCTGCCGCCTGCGGGCTGAAAGGTGAGCTGTTTCGATGGCGGCGCGTTAGGGCTGCCCTTTCTAGATGATGGCAAACCTTCCGAGCCTCCGCCCGCGCTGCATTCATTCCTACCACCAGAACTTGCATTTTGGTTGCGGACATGAAGCGTTAGAAGGACATGTGAGCGGGAAGACATATGTTTTGACAGGCCGAGCATAGCTAGATCTTCGGGAAGGAGCTCAGCCACAGAATTTCTTCCCGTCGATCTCCTTCGCTCCAGCGCTTCCTCGGCATTAGCGAGAGCCGCCACGCCTGTTCGGAGATGGACCTAAGAGATCGTTTGAAAATGAACAAGCGAAAGTACTGACTGACGACCACGCCTTCAAGTAGGTAAAACCTCACTCTTATTCACTTTAGCTTGAAGTTTACTAGGGCAGAGAGCATGCGTCCATTGATTTTTGGAGAATTATTCGTTTTCATTAATAATCACTCCGCTGTATCTGTCCTCTATCACAGAATAACCAGCTTCGACCGTCCTTGGTTGCCAGCGCCGAAAAAGGTTTATCTAACAAGTACATTGATGTCAGTATATGTAGTATCTATTACCTCTCCCACGCAGCGATTCCTCAATGCGAGATCGATTATTTCTGTCGCATCGTCAAACGAGTCCACCTCTACAAGTGTCGATCCCTCGACCATAACGCCCAGGCCAGGAACTTCTCTCAATTGCAGCTTCTTGCCGACGCAAAAAAGGTCATAAACCTGATCCAAGTAGACCTGCAGAAATTCCAAGCGGACGCCCGCACCGCCTGCTGTTCCTGCTGACTGTACTGCACCATTCGATGAAGGTAGCAGCTGGCGCAGACAGTAGGGGACAATGCCAGATGCGACGCTGTTGTTGAGACCCATGGTGTGTGTTTTTCCACTCCCAGTTTGACCGTAGCAGAGGACGGCTCCCGACTCGCCGCGGCGGACATAGGGAATCAACTCCCCGACAAAACCCTCTGCGACCTCGTCATTTACTACGGAAGCGTCAAAAACCTGCGACAGGCACAATAAATTTGAGATCCCTTAGTTCGTGATGAACATGATACAGCAAAATAAAATGTTGACTGAGGCATTGACCTGTGCATTGACTCGGACGCGAACCAACTCCGCGAGGACACAAAGATGTACTTACTTCTTTTTCAAAATTAATTGAAGAGATGAGCGAACTCACCCAGTGATTTCTTTTCGGACAGTAAGAAAAATACCCGATCGAAAACATAATCTTTGAGGTGCTGACTGGCCGGAGACTCGACGCGCACACACGTTCTGCTGCCAACGTGCACAAGCGGTTTTTCCTCCGTGGGCTTGAGACGCACGCCGACCTTTACACACGAAGCGGACGATGGCTGTCGTCCAGACGAGGACGTCGCGCTACTACCCGTCGCAACGACTGCCGGCATCTCTGCTGCGTGTTAGGATCGTGTAAAGGGAGCGTCGTTACACAACTTCGCAGTGATGCGAAGCCCACGGCGTCACAAAGGAAGACACCCAACAATTGTCGCTCTAGTTGCCGCGGCTCTGTATGCAAACTATAACAATTCTAGTTGAAGAGTCTATCTTGATGTCGCGGTCTCGGACTACATACTCATCTGTAAAAGCACCGAGTGGATGTCATTCTCCTTAATGATGATAGACTCATATTACACAGTGTCACAACACCACAGCAAATCGAAATATCAAGTGGTCGTTTACGAAAACCTAATCCGTAGTATAACAGACGACACCGATTCGAGCGAATCTACGCTACGACTCCAAGAATCGAAGTTTCCTCGGATGCTGGATCCGCATATGTATTTTCAATTATCATGTCATTTGTACGAGTGTGCTTTTAGCTTTTCTACATGATACAACGAAGGCCGCAGTCTAGTACGTACTTACTGTCCCGCAGAAGATAGGCTTCGGAACCTCAACTTCGCACTTCGTAACTAGTAACTGGAGCAAAGACTTATGAATACTTAAATTCCTTGTGGCCTTCATCCCGCTCTTCGTTTCACTCAGACCGCCTAGAGAACATGGGTGCTCCACTAGATCGACGGACAGAATTCAATGCACTTGCGTTAAGTTGTTTTATTTCGAATTCGATGTGCTTGAAAATCCTCTTCATAAGTCACAGCACTCACCGAAAATCATTCTGTGGTACACGATTCCCTCGCACGTCTGATATGTTCAAGTTTCTTATAAAAAGCGTTCGCCTAGCGACTGCAGAACCGACGATATTGATTGACAAGGCAAACCGACAGCGACAGATAACCAGACGATTGGAAATTTCTCATATGATCTGCTCGAGAGAGCGGAGACAAGGGCAACGCCAAAGTGTCCTGCAGCAGCACGCATCGCATCCTGTATCGTTAGAAGTATAATCTGTGCATTCCTTGCTTCTGTATAACGTCCACACACGATCATGTTCGGAAGTCCATAAACAAGCTAACTGCATGATGATGCGCAGGTTGAAATTGAATCCCTGTCGACATATTTCTGTGCAAAGGTGCCGTTGTTCTTGGAGCTAATCGGCGAAAGTCTCCATCAAACTCCATCCGCTCCCCTGTCTGCGATATAGGGCTCTTGTTCGATAATTTCTAGAAGTGAGCACCACTCTACTGGTCCAGTTGAATTTCGGTCCATCGCACAGGCTTCGCTTTGCTTCGCCAGGTGCCCATGTATTACATCTAAAAGTGGCAACCGAGGTTTTATGCCGCCACCGGGAGGTCCAGCTTTGCGGATGCCCTTCCCCATTAGACGATCGAGGTTCATATTCTTTGTACTGCATCATAATCATGTCCGTTTATTCTGTTATAAGTAGAGTGTCTTCGAATACGCACGATAGAACGCGAGGGAGGAGTAGCTCGAGTGATAACTAGAATGAATTTACGAGTTGACTACACACCTATCTCGGTAAGGCTGCATAACATCAGGTCAATGTCGTGCAGCGCTTCAGAAAGGTCTGTACCGACAGGCTGAGTTCGAAAATCCTTGCGAACCAGTTTTGTGGCAAAAGTGTCCGCGATCGCACCAGGAAGGACACCTTATGGAGCAAGTGTGTGGTCATCAAAGAGCGATTTTGAATCGCCGCGCCGACCACTTCTACAACTAGTTGCGACAATTAAAGCGGTGAGGATACAAGAATACTGTGCCTGTCCGGGTACTGGACTATCCATTACCGCAGGGGAAATGGTTGTAGTGATTCTCACGCAGAGTGGAAATCTCTAAAAAGTCAGTATTTTTCAATACCGCCCTGCGTGAAATCCAATAAGCGGTCGCGCTCGATTCCGGCTGCGTCGAGAAGAGTCAGCGTCTCAGCAAAAAGCTCACCCAATCCATAGACAACGAAACCAGTACAGATTTTGAATTTTGCCGACGCAGTTGGGTCTGTCGGTGAGATTATTCGCGCTAGTCTCGCAAAGGCTGGCGCAACCTCGTCTCGCACGCGCACCGCTGTTGGTTCATCGAACGAAGATATCCATGCACACAGCATCCGCTTCGCAGCATGCTCCGGACGTCCAGTGATAGAACAGTGGGCGAACTCGAGTCCTTTTTCGCCGTGTGAATTCGACATCAGTGTTGCGGCTTCGTTTGCAGCCTCGAGGCTCACGGTACCACAGTTGACAACCAGTAAGCTGCCAGACAGTCGGCAGGCTGAAAACTGAGGTGGCTTTTTCTGCTCACCTTGAACCGCAATAGAACCTGGGAGTCTTGGTGATTTTGATAATGCCTGGTGTTCCGGACTCGAACTCGTCGCCTTCTCAGCACCACACTTCGAACTCGATGGCAGAGAGTTGGCTTCTCGTTTGGGCGATGAAGATCCGGCGCCGCTTCCTCTGTGCTGATCATGTTCGTCGATCAGCGAAATATCTGCAAGAGTACCATTTATTGCTGTCTGCTGTTCTGACGCTTGCGCCTGCGTGCCACCATCACTTCTGGTCTTAGCTTCCGCCCCTTGACCCTTTTCTTGACCCGGAACCACGGCAACAAAGCGCTTTGGTCGTAACAGCATGTCGCGCGGGTCCAGGTGTTGCCACGCTTGCGTTATGGTCGTGCACGTGTCAAGTGTAGCCTCGTCGCCATGGAGCATGAGAACAAGCAGACCGCATTTACCAACCAGTGCCTGCAAGTCATCTTCCACTGAGATAACCACATCGCGGCGCAAGCTGAAATGCCGCTTCTCAGTCTGCGCAAGCAATTCGAGCTCCTTTGCGAGCGCCTCTGCTTTCGCTCGCGTCCGATTATGCAAATAGATCTCTTTCGCGACACGCAAATGCACCCAAAGATTCCGCGCCATGGGAACCCCCATGGCACCGGTGCCCACGAAACCTAAGGACATTTTATTTCTCACTGTCTCTCTCTCTTTCAAAAGGTATTCTTGATTAAGTAAGTACTCAAATTATACAGTGTGCAGCACTCGTCTAGCACGGCGAGTCATTTTCATTTTTCAAAGTGATCTATGACTTCGGGGCGGTGGATCCGCAACAACATACATGGCTGGCCTTTCATCGGTGTCAGAGAAGAGCAATTTTGTCCCTACTTCTCTTTCCCGTTAGCCTGCAGCGTCGGTCTATTTCGCTTTTCATTGTTTTTTCTAATTTACGTAAAGCGTAAAAATGGGCTACATCTTCGTCGGCGGGCGGGGTGGCGCGAGACTCCAATCTATGTCTACTTTCATCTAAGTACTTATAAATATGAATCAATGGCATAATTCATGCACACCAGAGTATTGTGAAGAACTAAAAGGTTCACGCGATCAATTCTCTAGTAATTTTTCATCTTTTTCATTAAGCTTCTACTTTAGACTACGGATGAGTAAGAGAGAGATGAGGTTATAAATCATATTGTGATGTCGATGTTGTACTATGCGTCTTCTATACCGATTTCATCTGATTGCAACCACAACGCCTGCGGAGTGGTCTGTCGTTGCTATCTTGCTGTTTTTGAATCACGTCCATCCAGTTTCAACTTATTTCAGATTGAGAATGCGAAGCATGACGTTCGAGCGAACCTCCGTTTTCTCAACTTCAACAAGCGCCTCAGTTGCGTCGATTCCATTTTTCCACACTGTGAAGAGCTTGTAGTCTTTTAGAGTTTTCTTTCCCGTCAACCCTTCTGCGCGGTTGGCGATAGCAACATAGGTCGTTTCGCAGCCACTCCGCATAGCTCGACCACTGCGCACGTACCCTTTCCCAACAGGTCGAGCCTCGTCAGCGACGTGGACAACGATATCGACGCCGGAAAAAAGGCTGTCGCCGATGTTGGATGCGGCATCGTTCGTCTTCGACGCTGCAGCGTTTCCGTGTGCAAGAGAGCCGCCCTTACCAGAACTCAAAGCTTGATTTTTCGGTTTCTTCTTCGCCAATGCCTCAGCCTCTTTCTGAAGAAAATCACCGAAGCGCTCTTCCTTGTAGCATAGGAATGCAACCGTTTTCCCGCCACAGGTGTGGATGCGGCCCACCGGGAATAGAAGAGCCCTACCGGGATATTTGGGTTTGGAAATTGAAGAGCGGGAGCCCTATGAGATAAAGATGTACTCGAGGACCCACCAGCACCACCGCCTGCAGCTGAACTTGCATTTTTCGAGGTAGAAAAGAACTGAGAACGCCACGGTGCTAAGTTTGCTTTTCCACCGGAGCAAATGCCAGTTCCAAGCACAACTTTGCGACCATCTCTGAACATCACCAACTCGTCGCAGCCCAGAATTGCAGTTGGAATTTCGCCTGCAAAGATTGTCGGACGCGCAGCAGCTGCACCACCGGGTGTCGATGTGTACTTCGCGAAGTTGAATCCACGAGGTGCCAGACGCCCACCAGCCAGTGCTCTTAAGTGAGCGCCACTCTGAACTGCCTTGCCAAAGGCCTCCCCAAGAGCAGTTTCAGTGACACCAGGAGCAAGATGAATAGCGGCAAGTTTCAGACCGGCGCTGCCCTGAAGATCGTGACCTTTGACATCGCCTCCGAGACCGGCTGCACTATCAGCTAGGGCAGTATCTTTGACCTTGTTGTAAGGACCCGTACCCACTTGCAGTCCCGCACTGGTGCCACCGGAACCATGCTTGGACTTCACAGGCCGAGCATAGGACCCTGTTTTCGGGAGTCCAGAATTGGCTTGCATGTTTTTGACTATTTTCGGCTTGTTATGATTATGAAAGGTGGTTGGAGTTTTTAAAAGGAATTTGTTTGCGTATACTGTCGACACGTTAGAGAACAGAGAGGAATCAAAATTGAAACCACAACCTTGACCTGTTAGTTTCTGTTTCTGCTCCTTTGTTTTCTCCATTGACCTTTTTTCAGCAGACTTTACGCAGCAAATGCGCTGTCGAGTGGAAGGATACTTGTAAGTGTCTGTGTCCTGGTCAACAGATACATAGAACTCTTTCTGGAGCCTGCCGCTGCCAACTACAATCAGGTAGTGTGCAGTCTGATACTAGTAGATGTCGTACAGTAGATGTACCGATGCGGGGAGGACCTATTCAACACGATCTGCGGCGTAAACCCACCGAGAAACATAGATCGTCAATCACAAGTGGTGGCGAGGAAAGATTATTCGAAAGATCGCGATTTATGGGTCATCAACCGAGGAAAGATCATCCGAACAGAACCAACAAGTTCGAATGAATATGATATCTTCATTTTCGTTGAATACTGCACACTTGAGCCTGCCAGTTCTCGTGCCTGCAGTCCAAAATAATAGTCAACCATAATTGATTAGAAAAATCAACGATAGTAATCATCAAAAAAAATGAGCGTTTTTTCTATCATGTACATAGTACTTCTAACTTTGATACGCCAATGTTTGAGGTAAACTAATTACAACCGAAGACAATTGTAAAGACAAGAACAAGTCGTCGTGATCGCAACATGTACTAGTACTTAGTTACTTAATCAAAAAAGTTCTGACTCGATTGAAGAAGATTAGAGGACTTGTGCGCCGCCTCTGTATACACAAGGTAACCATGCCAATCAAAATTTGTAAAGCTAAAGCTCATATTTCGACACTACAATTTGTGCCATTGCAGGTTGTGTAAATATTAAAGAGCTAAATTAAGAAACAACAACGACCCCACCAAACTCTCAGTCACTCTCCCACTTCCAAAGCAAACCCCAAGCGCCAAGCTCTCACTCATTCACATTCGAACTTATGAACTTATGAGCTTGCGAATCAAATCCAAGAAATTGAAATTCAGAAAAACTCGCGGAAATCAAAAATTTTGGGATTCGAGGAATTCAAATCCACGAAAATGAGCTTACGAATCAAATCCAAGAAATTGAGTTTCAGAATAACTTGCTAAATAAAGTCGAAAACTTTTGGAGTTGGGGGATTCAAATCCAAGAGATTGAATTTCAGAAAAGCGTGCGCAAATCGAAAATTTTTGGATTTGAGAAATTGAAACCCAAGAAATTGAGTCGAGAATAACTTGCTAAAGTCGCAAATTTTTGATTTGAGGAACGGGCTCAAATCCAAGAGATTGAACCGCAGCAAGACTCGCTAAAATCGATAATTTTTGGATTTGAGCAATTCAAACCCAAGAGATTGAACCTCAGCAAAACTCGCGAAAGTCGGAAGGTTTTGGATTTGAGGAATCTCAGAAAAGCTCCGAAATGTTTCCGCCAAAGCCGAAAGTGTTCGGATTTGAGCAATCCAAATCCAAGAGATTGAATCTCCGAAAAACTTGCTAAAAAAGTCGAAAGTTTTTGCGTGGATTTGAGTTCTCAAATCCAAGAAATTGAATGCCAGAAAAAATTTGCTAAAGTTGTAGTTTTTTGATCTTAGGAATTCAAATCCAAGAGATTGAAGGTCAGAAAAACTTGCCAAAGTCGCAAATTTTTGGATTTGGGCGATTCAAATCCAAGAGATTGAATTTCAGGCAATCTTAGTGCTCCGTGGGTTACCGGTTACTTCGGGAGGAGGGGAATCCTAGCGCGAGGGGGTGTTGTCGGGCGCTCCAGGCTAGTACTGTGGAAGCGTCTTCCCTCTAGGTGCCTTGGGTAAGTTGGACAACGGACGACTTGGGGCCAGCTATTGAGTTTGATGTTCAAAAAATGAATTGTATGTCGCATTGTACAAAACCAAATACATAGTCCTCAGGAAGAAGTATCGATGCAACAGTCGTAGATCACTTTGAACCGTTTTGCGGATGATGTGCGTGTTTCGTCGTTACCGTAAGCGAAAGAATAGACTTCCAAGGGTCTCCGAGGTCGAGAAAAGAGTAGACCGGAGGAAAAAAGCCAAAAGACAAAATTGTCATCCTGTCCAATCCCGGGTGGGTCGCCGTATCGCTCGCGTAGCACTTCAACACCAGAAACTATTCGCCACCGCATTTGCCCGTGCGACGACATGTGAAAACCAATCGCTTTTTGATTTTTGAGTCTTTCGAATTCCGTTTCCGCTTTTGCTCGAAGCGCGGCGACGGTCCTTACCGCTGGACCCGTTTTCGCCGTCTTTGGATGTGGTGCTACAACAGCGGAGGTAGCTGCTTCAGCAGAAGATGTCGAAGATGAACTACTTGAGCCGCTACCACCAAAAGATGAAGTCGTTTTTGTAGTTGGTGCGTTCGATTCTGCTTGCTGATCTTGTATCTTTCTTGATGTGGTAACTTGTGGTTTCTTTTGCATGCTTGCATCCTCTTCTACAATGCTCACATCAGTATTCTTACTATTTTTGAACATTGCAGCTTCATTTTCCTCATTTTTCATGTCATTGGAACCAGTTTTACTGTTACCTTTGCCAGTCGCGCCATAGAAGTTGCTGTCTGCTAAATCCATATGATCATCATCTAGCCCCTCTTTTTGAGCACCCGAATCGGCGGTCTCACGATGACCCTTTCGTTCCTCAACGTCAAGTAGCCAGTCAACTTGTGCCGTTGAGTAGCCGTCTTTCTCACCCCAGGAACGCACTTTGTAGCGACGCACACCGACAGTCTCCACCTTGGACCGTCCGTCAGGCAGCTGTTCGTACTCCAGAATTCGAACGAGACAGCCGTAAGGAAGGTCCGGCGAAGGGTGCATTCCAAATACTCGGTCGTCGGCCTCGAGGCAGCGCCGCATCATGAGACGATACCGCGGCTCGAAGACATGCAGACTGCACGTGACGCCTGGCACGGCGATAGAACACACGAAGACAGCGATCTGTGCGTCGGGAGGTGGTGCCTCATCATTTTCTTTGCTACGGGGTTCACCGACGACAACATTGTCGTTTTTCCCTGATGAAACGCTTGGATGCAGTATATCACCAGAATCTCGTGACGCAGCTGCCGTTTGTGCTTCGACTGCCGTGTTCGTTCGAGATGAATCACGTTCATGCACAGTGCCGTCCTGCTCTCCGACCGCGTCTTCTCTAGAGACATCTTTGGCCAAAAGAGGGTCTCCCACACTCATCCCTGATTCACCTTGCGCTTCACCCTCTGGTCGAAGCGCTCTCCCCGACGCATGTCCACTGGATCCGCCGCGGCCTGTTTCATGATGACTCGCTGTTTTTGCGATGCTTGGCTCTGACGAAATAGTTGCGGGCTGAGCTATTTTTCCAGCAGGTCCAGTCGTCCTGTTCTGCGAAACGTAGAAAGGTCCATTACTCTCAGCTGCAGCAGCTGTCGAAGAGCTGCTTTCTAGAGCTTTGACCTCGCGTATTCGCTGTTCCCGTTCCGCTGGAAAACGAATACGAATAAGGCTCTCGACAGCAGTGCAGGGCAACAGAACGCGCGGATCGGCTCCGTAGGTTTTACGAGCACAGGCCGTGATGTTCAAATACTCTACAAAGCCACCAAGAGGGTGCCGACACAGGGGACAGATAGGCTCTCGTTGCAGAGCGTGATCCAAATGTCGAGCTACGCAACTGCGACACATGCCATGACCACAAGGAAGAGCAGTTGCCTCGAGGAGTAGATCCGCGCAGACCGGGCACTGTAGATCGTCCTCCCCCAAGTTCAAACCAGAGTTGCCTAACAAGTTAGTGCCATACCCATATCCATATCCATAATCTTCGACGTTTCTACTAGACTCCATGTCAGATCTTGGCGCAGTAGCACCTGATGATGCTGGAACGAAAGGGTAATCAAAGCGTGCGAGATTCTCGCAGAGAAATGCTAGAATGCGAGCTCGCTTCCGCGCCATGCATCCATCCTCCGTTTTTTCGTTGAGAACTAGTTTTGCTCGCTTCGTCAACGGCTCGCCTTCACCTCTTCTATCGTTCGCGTCAGCAGCGGAATTTCCAACAAGCGCACGTAAGAGGACGGAGAAGATCTCTGCAGCGGATTTACTGGCTCCTTCGTCTTCCCTTGGTGAGAAATCTGGCGCTTTCTGACTTTTGTCTGCGCAACTCGAATCTGTCATGAGCGCATCGTCTGCAGGTGCACACCTTACGGCCGATTTCGGTAAAACATGATCATCGACGTCATTTCCTGGATCCTCTGTAGGTCCACATCCCACAGGCTGCTGAGAGGAGTCTTCGTTGCTAGCGGCTACGGCTCTGGCGTTGCCGCCCTCCTCCCGTTCTTCGAGACCTGCTACTTCCCTGCGGAGAAAGTTCAGAAAGGTGTCACGGACAGCCCCACCGACACGACTAGCGATCGATCCAACTGCAACTGTGCTACCAGTGCTTTTCGTATTTTTACCTGCCAAAATATCCGCTTCGCCATCGCTCATTCCGACAAGCCAATTTAGCTCCACTGGAAGCGACGTTTCCAGATTTTCTCGCGAACGATGTTTCAGTAAATCACGCAGGCACAGTTCACCACATAGAGCATGTGCTCTTTCGATCTGACCACATAACCACTGCACATGTGCCTCTGCTGCGTCAGTGAAAACACCCACCGGATGTCCAGTAGAAATCAGTGTCGTCCTTTCCATCTGGAAGCTTATCGTGGTAAGTCTCTGGCTTGTTTTCAACGTTCGAGCAGTTGCGCGACAGAAATCGGAGAACCACTGCTGTAAAACCTGTTCTTGTTGATCACGGTTATATTCTTCCTCGGAAGGTTCATGACTGCGCTTTCCGTGCGTCCTCTTCATCTTCATTGCCGCGCATTCGAGCCGTAGGAAAGCTCCTCGCAACCTCCTCACAGACCGAAACATTGCTTCAGAGGAGTCGCTTGCGCCATCACTAGACGAGTGAAAGTCGTTTGTCGTCGCAAGATCGGCACTTTTGTCCTCTTCAGATTCCATGTTTTCATTGTCAGCATAATTCCTTGATGCCATGAGCCGCTTCTGAAGGACAGAAACAGCGTCCCTGTGGCTGTGGCTCTCACTTTGATCTACTGCTTGAGCTGCACAAGGCTCTTTGCCGGCAGTGTTGTTCCGCTTCAGCGCCAGCATGTCCTCGAAGAGGCGACCTGCCAGCGCATACTCTGGATGTCGTTGCCAGACTGGATCCAAGATATGATTCAGATTCTGCCCAAAACCGTCGACATCCGGTCGGCCATCGCCAAAATCTGAAAAACCATCGACTTCAGCACAAATTCGACACACAGTCTCTCCGCGGAGGAATGTCACAGGTCGGAACATAATGCCACGACAGCGGAAACAATGCAAATCCACGGAACTGCACGGCGTTGAGCAAGAACGTGACAAGGGTGTCTTGGCACTTGTAAAAGCATTGCCTAGTGCGCTCTCTTCGCCTTGCATGAAAAGACTTCGGATAGAGCGGCGTCGCCGATCCCGTTGTTGACGCGCAAACTCGACAATAATCTTCTGACTCTCCTCGGTAGGCCGCAGTCTGGGAAGGGTATCCGGATCACCCTCCTCTTCGACACCATGATCGGACTCACCTATCAGAAAATCTGCACTCGTCGGAACGCGGCCATCTTCCTTAGCGGTGCTTGATGTGTCTACCCGATCCGAGTTGGAAGCTGATTCGCGACAACTGATGGATGGTCTTTCCATGTTACCACCGACGTTGGAAGTTGCGCACAGACCTCCTTTTGATTTCGTTGCCCTATGTTGGACATGATCGCCATCGTCACCCTCATCGATCGCTGCATCTCCAGCTCCTTCCTCAGCTTCGCTACGCAGTTGCTTCGGCATTCTCTCGGTAGAAGCTTCTTCTACCCTTGGCACTGCTTCTTCGTCTATAGCTCCTCCTTTGCACTTCTTATCGCTACGAAGCAGCAACGCTCCACTTCGAAGTGCGTTGACCACGGCTACTGGCCCGTCTTCCCGAACGACTCGAATACCGTTGAAGAGGCAGACGAAGAATATGCAAACGATATTCGAGATATTCAGCACGCCGAATCGGTGTAGCGCGAAAGACAATGCGAGCAAAATAGTCAGGTAGCGCTCCTGAAAGTACGACGCAAGCTCGTCCGCGAAAGCCAGAGAAGGCGTTGGCGGTACGAACAAATAAGATGAAAAGAGATCTCCCAAAAGATCACCAGTCGCGCTGGAGCCCATACTGTTAGGGTACCAGGCGCAGCCAGTGCTGCCCTTCAGAACATCAGCACAACTGGGCCCACCATCAAAATGGAGGTTACATTATCATTGGGAGGATAGTTACAATGCCCAAGGACGAGATTATAGAGTTACCGAAGAGAATAACAAGAGCAAGCCGCGGAATTATACTTCGACTCAAGCTCAGAAAAACAAAACAAGACAGCAATTAAGACAGAACTCTACATAACGACTAGCACTAGTGTACTGGGGAAGACATAACCGACGCAACTTCTAAATCTAGTAAAGAAGAAGGGACGACAGCATATTTTCTTGCAGCATCTTTTTGGCCATCGATCTTTATTGTTTGAACTAATCACATGAAGCACTTTTCATCATCCCCTTTTTTTGCGAAAAACAAAAAGTTCAAAAGTTGGGTTGGGAAGTCCAAAAGCAAATCCAGGTTGTTTCATCTTTAATGTGTTCTTACCATCGCGACGACTGTAACATCAATCAGATCATTTCTATTTTACTCATCCTACATTCGATGCTGGAGCTGAGCAAGACCAAGGCGATGCCCCTTTGAATCTCCTAGTAGAAAGAAACCGATGTTGATACGATGATGAGAAATCGTAGTTGCTCCTTGTGTTTTCAAAACAAAATATAACATGATACACCAGAGCAATTTATGAGGTTTCACGGCTCGCATGGCATGGAGTGCATGGATCACATGGAGTAGCATGGAGCTAAAGGGGGAGCTTCTTGCGCCGCTTAAAGCTCTGCGCTCCATGCACTCCATGCTACTCCATGCACCATGCGTGCTATAATTAAACTACTCTGATATATATCGAGGTTGGTGCGATAAGGAACTCAAGGCGGTATGTGCCTAGTTGGTAGTTCTGCTGCTAGCCTACATCCATGCATCCGAAATAAAACCCTTGAATTGATTCACTCAATCAATGCACTCGTTTCCGCCTCGTCGTTCTAGAAACATGGAACACACAAGCGTTCACAGCGAAGAGAACATACAAGGAATAAACTCGTCCTATGGCCACAGTACTCCGGGGTTTTCTTCGAACTCAAAACAAGGAGATAGTCCATACTTCGTTTTTAATCTGGGATATTTCAGAGATTCTTTTTTATCATTTTCATTGATGTTTTTGTATCGTGTTTGTTCTTCTATTTATCTTCTGTACAACACAACCTGGGACGTGCAACTGTTTTTTCGTTGATAGGTAGATACCTCTGGATCATTGTCAGCAGGTTAATACTAATAGATAAAAAGATGTAGATAAATATTAATGCACAAAGTATCTTGCGTCCGTGTTGAGATCGTTTAACTTTGACATTCATTAGTGATGACAGAAAAAGAAAAAATTAAATAATGGTGCAGCCTCGTATTCGTAACAATCAAAACATCAAATTAATTTCTATTTCAATGAAAGAGCAAGTTCACTGGTGCCATCCCACATTCAGGTGTTTCTGAACTACACTTGGGGGACAGGGGAGCTTCCGTCGGTAGTATCGTGCCTTGAGAACAACAAGAACAAAAAATGCCTGATGTAGTTGTACTTCAGACTCTCTATGTTAGGTACTCTTTCAGTTCGTTGTATGAGAAAACCAAGAACAAAATGCTGCGAATAAACTGACGGTATCTATAGATATTAGTGATCCCGCCTGTTCATCTGATTGCGCGTGTACAACCAGTTTTGATACATCCTCGTCCACTTAGTCCTGATATTTCGTTTATGACAATGAACATAATTCCAACAAGAATGATAAGCAGTCAAACTAATTCACTGCTCCAGTCGACTCAAAAAATCTTCGATGTCTCCCAATTCGCCTCTTTTCGAGGTGCCGACGCCGAGCACCCCTCCATGGCGCTAATACCCTCCACCTTACCAAGGTTGTAAGTCGACAAGCGAGAAGGGTGAGGAATACCGCGGAGTGTCAGCGAGTACGTCCACCTGAATTGCGCGCGGCTCCTCTTTGAACAGCGGTGCCAGCATGAGTTCCCTCCACTTCCGGTCCGCTTCCGATCTCCCTGCTGCTCCGTCTGCTGTGCTGGACGGATTACCACTGCTCGTTGACGACGAGCGCACTACATCGTAGTCCGTGCTGGTCTTATTTGCAGTTTGTCCGCTACGACGCACTTGGCGCTCATTGAAGACCCGCGCTTCCTCCGCGGCACGAAGACGTCTTTGCTCATCCACGACGGACGGATCGTGGCTTTCTTCTTCTAGACCTGGAGTCGTGCGTTGATAAGCAGGCTCCTCTGTCGCAGGTGGATAATCATCGTTGAGATCGATACCTTGAGCACTGTAAGTCCTGTGGTCTTCTCCGTCTTGAAAATCGTGGTACTGGTACTCCGTCCGCCTTCGACCCTCATCTTCGTCCTTCTGCTGATCTTGTTCCGTACTTCTACTGGCATCATGATCTTCATCTTCTGTCCCATTGCTCTGGCTTCGTTCTAGTGCAACATCAACATCATCAGCACTAATTCTACCACGACCAGTAGTCCTCTTCCTCATGATTTTGATGTGTTGTGGTTCATCTCCGCTGTCATCTTCTACTTGGCCAGCCTCTTTTGTCTCAACGACAGATGAAGTTGATGTTTCCGTCGATGTCGTCGTCGTGGCTTGTGGTGATTCTACTATGTTTTGTTCCAGGTAGTACAATATCCGGTCGTAGGCATCACTCTTTTTGGCCCAGTGAGCGTCGTCATCAACCTCATCGTCTACATTTTTATGTGCGAAAGACGTCTCCGCAGAACTGGACGCTTCAGCTGCATGGTCGCCCGAGAAGTTCCCACCTTTTCGTGCTACGTGAACAGTTGCTTCCCTTCCGTAATCTTCCCGCGTATCGTCTTCATCTGCTCCCTGAGTAGCTACTTGCGCTTCGCGACTCACAGGACTAGCAACGACCAACTCTCCGAAGTATGGTTCGAGACTGGACAAAAATTCGTCGACGTCGAGACCGAGAAACTCTGCCAAACCGCGAAAGCACCACGTATGGTACTGTGCATACCATTCCACTAGACTCCACATCCCACTGCAGATCGCACCTTGCAAGCTCCATCGACCACGAATCCAATCTCCCAGTACGGATGATGATGTCTCGCCCTCGCGGCTAGGAGGTGCAGACGCTGATGCGGCATTGTAGTAGTTCAAACTAGCATGGCCTGCTTGTCCCTGGTCTACTTCTGCGTGTGTCTGCTGTACCTGTACTTCCGTCGTCTCCATGCTCCCTGCGCCTGGCTGATCATCGTCATTTTCCTTTACATCGCTGGTAATACTGCTGCGCGACTCATCTAGTGTTTGCTCGTCATCATCGTCGCGACCGTCACTTCCGACTGGTGCACGAGGTTCAGTCTGCGCCACGTCTGTCTGCTCACTCGTTGCAACAGGGTTTGGTTCACTAGCAGCTGCCGAGGACGCCGACGCTTCCTCCACGCCACGCGCAACTGATGACGAACTGGACATACTAATATCTTGAGTTTGAGGTTGCATCTGCCCTCCAGAGCTACTTCCTAAAGGATATTTCGCAACGGCGAAGAGATCCTCCCAAACGACGAGAGGCATGCTATACCATAGAGAAGGGGGCTGAAAATATTGCTTGCGCGCTTTCTTGGGTGCTCGCGGCTGCCGCTGATGCTCGTCACCTTCTTGGGTTGCACTAGAATCTGGCTCCTCGTCGTGGTCCTCCTCTTCGTCTGGTGTGGCTGCGAGAAGGTCCATCGTTCGTTCTGACAGATAAGCCACAGCAGCTGCCAAGTTAAACTCCCCGTAAACAGAAACTGCGATTACCTGATCTAAAATTTTGCCGAGAATTCCCGCGATGGAGTTGCCCAAAACGTATGTTGACAAGTAGAACGCAACAGAATTTGGCGGATATGGTGACGCTGCAATGCTAGCTCCGGAGGGCTTGCTCGTCGCTTCTTCATCGTCAGGATCGTCCTGCTCACCTGTGGAGTCCGTCTCCGCTTGAATGTTGGCGAGCCGTTCCTCCTCGGCGCGCTCCTCCTCATGAACGAGTTCGCGCCAATAGCGAAACAGGTCTGGATCCTCCTCCAGCTGCGCGTGAGCGTTGGACGCAAACCATTCGTCCAGAACATCGGCACCCGGCACCTCCATTCTCGTCATTGGGTACTGCATCGCCTCCTGCTGTTTGCGGGGTCGATGCCCGACTGCGCCTTGCTCAACGAAGAACATGAAGAACTGACCGACGATAGAGGTACAGCCAGAAAGAAGGGCTCCAAAAACGCCCGCCTCAGGTGCCGCCGCAGAGGAAGCGCCTTCTGATTTCTGCGACTCCAACCAAGACGGCATCAGCGAGGTAGTAACAGAAAAAATCGTAGTAAAAAGTCCGGGAGGAGCCTCGTAATCGGAGTCTGTCGTCGTGGAAGACGAGGTCGCCGAATCCTGATACAAGAAAAGGCTCCGGACCATGTCAGCATCCTGTAACAGCGCAGGCAACGCAGACGCTGCCGTCGGGTCCATTAGTTCCATCGTCAAGAAAGTGGCGGTGGCACTAGGAGAATCACCCGCTTCGCTTGCCTTTTGTTCCCCAATTACCTTCAGTGGTTGCGATTCTCCGTCGTGAGACGGTCCCAGCAATGACGTCGTGTAGATGCCTGTGTGAGCGATGTAATCCAACGTTCGACCGACAGCATTGTTGTAAGCGTGTGGTTGCCCCATCCAGGCCTCCGCTTCGTAAAAGAGGCGTGTTTCGCGGTCACACAGTTTCTTTCCATCGACGAGAAACTTCTTCCTGCTTAGAGACGAGTGACAGCGAGGTCGAGACAGTTTCCCAAGAAATATTGTGAAAAAAACCACTAGTACTCCTTGTTCGATTAGAAGTAGCAGTGAAAGGATTTTATCTTGTAGTTGTACTATGTAGACTACCCTAATTTCTTTGACGAACCTGTGGAGAGTGTTATCAAGATACCAGTCAAGAAAGCTTACAAATCCGAGTCCAACTTGTGCTCATAAAAGGAGCTGGTAAATCCGGTTCTGATCCTGCCTGTTGCTCGAGTCGTGAACCGTTTGCCACGCCGCGGCAAGCAAGTCAGATGATATCGCGAAGCCACCTACTGTTCTGTTCTGCTGCGAACTCTGCAACAGATCAAAGGGACCAGACACGTTTTCCATGTCGATACGATCACCGTCTAGTTCAACATCCTTAATGGAAGACGAAGGCCAGAAAAAGTTGAAGACAGTGTCGATAATATCTTCATCATCTTCGTCAAAGTACTCCTCAGGATGGTCGACTCCGTCATCTTCTGGTTCATCAGGTGACGGTCGTAATAAAGAACTATTTGAAGCCGCATAGCCATGATCACCACCTAGTTGTCCGTCTTCATCTTCGTTACCTAAAAAGCTCCAAAAGCGCCACTCGCAGACACTGCGCACGGTTTGGTTGTGGAACTGGACTTTCCCTGGCCGAAACTCCCCTGCTAGAATAGACTCTCTCAAGTCCTCAAAAAGTGTAGCAGCTCTGTGCCGCAGCAGCAGCCAATCTTGATATTGTTCATCCTCTGGACGAATCACTTTCGACGTCAGCGAACTCATACTAGACGACGTGGTGTTTGGAAACGGGACTGGGTTAGCATCTGCGTGCCAATAACTTCTAGATGTGCTAATCGTGCCCACATCTCCACTCGGTAGCCCCTCAGCTGTCTGGTGCTCCCCTGTCGTAGTCGTTGCGACCGCGCTTCCGGAAAGGCGCGGCTGCAGCAGGAGCCCATCCTCCTTCGTGAAAGAACGGAAAAACTCAAGGTAGTCAATAGCATGGCGTGACGAAGGAGACATCTGCTGCTGATCTAAGCGTGCTCGAGTTGGTGTGCTGTTGTTAACCGGTGAGGACTGGGCCAAAAGTTGCTCTAAAAACGGCGTCATGAGATTGTTCATCTGACGACCCGACGAAGCATGTGGTGCGTTTCTGATGGTGCCCTCTATCCACAACGCACGAGGCCCATGAGCTGAGTCAAAAACTGGACTGAAATGCCGCGATGGTGGAATACCTTTGTCATCTCTGCGGCGTGGTACTTTTTTTGCCTTGTTGTACACTCGAGTTTGTTGGCTTTTAATCTGCTGCGGAACTAGTACTCCTGTACTATTATTTGCCTTCTTCGTTCCACCCAGAGTATGCAAGTCCGATTCTCTCTGACGGTGACGACGTGTCGCGCTCTCGTCATGTACTCGCACCGACTCAAAATCTCGTCTCGGCCGCATTTCGAGATGGTCCCCGGCCGCGCAGTCGGAGTCCTCGCGCCCACCATGGTAAGTCGACGGCCTTTTTGTTAGTTTGTCGACGTTCTTGATTGTCTCGTTATGCTTCATTTCCGTTTGACCCTCCTGACTTCTGGAAGTAATAGTTGTTGTTGTTGCTTTGTTTTCGCCCAAAGCGTGATCTCCCCCGACATGTTGTGGCACGACTTTCTTGCTTCGAGGACTCGCAGTCTGATGTGGCGCTTTTGAAGTACTAGTCTTCTTGTCACCTGCAGCTGCTCCTGTTCGTGCCTCGTCAACACGCGATTGTTCAGTGGCAGCCACGTGGTGAGCAGCGAAGCCGCCGTAGAGAAAAAACAACCCAAATCGCCGCCATCGCGGAAGTGTCATCCAACGCAGCACCATGGTCCCGGAAGGCTGGCAGCGGGTGCAGCACACCCCGACCATTCGAGGCCCTGAAACGCGCCTCTCGGCCGGGGTCAGGTCGTTACGGAAGACAAATAATTGTCTCCCTCTCCTACAAAAATAGTGCTTTTTGGGTCTGCTACCAAGGAAGGGGTCACAGCAGGTTAGTTTTTTCATCATTGAAAATCATTCATGAACATTGATTAGCTGCATTATCGTGATATAATTTGAATATGCTTGGTGGTGACATGTAAATACTTAACAACTCATGATGACAGTTGACATACTTACTTGTTGTTGATAACGAAAATTCAAATCCGCACATATTGAACTCAAAAAGGGCAAAATGGGGCTCCTTGAGTGAGCAAGATCAAACAAGGACACATCATCATATACATGTAGAGACGATTTGCATTTCAATTTTCCCACTTGAGATTTTTCCCCAGAACTGTCTACAGATTGCACATTACTCCCTGGCTTTGAGCTGGGATTGGGAAAGAACTGCGTGACTGAGCTCTGAAGATATTTTAGAAATGTAGAGCTATAGATGAAGCAGAAGCTGATACAGTCATTTGAAGAATCCATTGTTCGATGAGTCGATTTGACTCTGATAGGTAAGCGAGCGCAAGGAAACAACGAAGAATACGACGACACAATTATCACGTGCGAGATACTACGACACAATTCTACTATCCGATACTTATAATATGATTCTACTTAGCTCTAGCAATGATAAAAACAGAGGCACAACTACTTTAAGGTCATGATGTAGTTTATTGACTGCTTTGGTCAGGCATGAAAAGAGGTGGCGAAGGGAATCTAGAGCGCATCTTCGCTCGTTGCTTTCTACTTGCTCCGGTCATAGCATGTCAAGAGATGACCGATCGATACCTCGAAAAAAGACACAGTGCGAGTCGATCCTCTACGATCAACGAAGGCTGCAGTTCTCTTATATCTTTCAGTGCTAATTACCGAAAAAATTTAAACAGAAAAGAAGCAGCAAGGATAAAGAACCGATTGTGTCAACAATAGAACTCTGATGCAAATGATCATCTTCATTGTTACGCTGCACGACGACGGATGTAACAACACGAACTGTTTTTCTTTTGGAATTGGGTGGCTTCGTCCAATGAACTGAACAAGTCACATGCACACGCTCTCATCCGGCGCTGGTGGTTGCTTCTCAACAGCATTTTCTTTCGGACACAGATACAGTGACTTCTTTTTGTACCCACCAAAATATTGACAGAAACAATCAATGACATAATGGAGGAAGCATTTCGAAAAATTTTTCAAATGAGTGAGTCGTCAATCTCAATGCGAAGTGGTTCCCCTCAGCTTCATTTTCCGAATTGATTCACACTTCGTTTTGCTTATCTGCTATTTTTTGATTACTGCTGGCAACATTGGAAATGGTATATTGTATGGACACATTGGTAAACGTAAAACGCAACGGCTATGGCCTCCGAACTCTTCACATGCATCGTAATCGGCCGTGAATTTCAGTATCTAATTTATTTAGCTATTCAGATGAAATGTTGAAAGGTATCTATACATTTTAATTTTTGACATTGGCTCTTATCTACTCTTTTTTATGCAACACAAATGTGATGGGTATTCGTAGTAGTAGTACAGTTTGAATTTGTGTAAGCCGCGACCTTCCAAGATATTTTCAGCATCTACAACATAATACTCCCCGCTTTTGTTGAGATGGATCGAAAACGAAATCAAGTGTACTTATACAGTATGCGACATGCTGTGAAAACAATGGAAGAAGCAAAAACATCAACTTTAACATTGATTTTCTTTATGTATGTGCTCCGTTCCGCCTCAAATTCGTTCTGCATCAATGGAAAATTTTCGGTCTAGACGTAGATGTCTGCTCATGTCGGAGTGGGAACAGCCAGTTCTGCAAGCCGTACGACCATGGCCTGCAACGACATATCTTCCGCTTGTGTTACATTTGAGGCCGCCAGTGCAGGAGCGGCAACAAGCTGAAGAAGATTTTCAAGTGTTCAAGTTTGGTCAGAAGTAGCATCAGAAAAAGTCTAGTATCTAGACGATCGATTGCATCACTCATCTGGAGTTCTCAGACGCTCAACAATGCCTGCATTTGAGGCAACTTGGAAGTAAAGTACCTCCGGTTCACCAGCGCTAAGTTCGGATGTCGCTTTTGAACCTAGTTGCGGTGGCTCGAGATTCAATGGACCCCCTACGCTTTCTTCATCCTGCTGCCCAAGATTCGCAACGTTCCCGAAGCCCGTAGTGCTCACACTCAGGGGAAACCCAGGCGGGTGCTCGTCAACTTCCCCATGGCGAGTTGTAGCGTCAATTGTTTTTACGATCACTTGTGGTGGAGCACTGGCGTGAACGGTATCGGAACTCGCGCTCGCTATGAAAACATAATTGTGTCTCTCGTTTTCATCGTGTTTCGAGTGCTGTCGTGTCGATACGGCACTCTCTATGGTCTTTGAACGCTCCTCCCGCCGTCTCAACACTTCATTAAATTCCGCTATCGAATTTCTCCAGTACTCCGCGTCATCCTTCGGACGCGGGTCAATATCGACTACGAAGGATGAGGTCGTATGAGCTAATACCGGAATACTTGATGATTGAATCAACGCGCCAGAGGCATCGTGAACTGGTACATCACTTCCGTGCTGCATCTTCACAGAGAGATTGCAACTAGAAGGATGTGGACGCATCACCTCCACAAAACTAGTAGCTTTGGACGTGGCTGCGGAGGCCTTGGGGCTACCGAAAAAAAGCATGGCGTTGTCCTGCGGCGGCTGATAAGCTCGGAACGTGGTGGATTCGCGGTGAGCCCAAGATGCCGAAGACACACTCGTTGTTGTCGAAGGCGTGACATCTTCCACAACTAAAAGTGCGTTTCCACTTTGCTCGCTAGGTTTGGATGCGCTATCGACACCCAAGTGCGCTCCTAAAGTCGATGGAGATTCTTCAGAGATCTGCTTCAGAGATCCTGCGGCATTGTTCGAAACGTTGTCGAGCTTTTTGCCACCAGCCGATGTGCGTCCTCCAGGAGACGAGCCTATATTTTCCACTATGACATGCGTCACAGCAGCACCAGGAAGCTGCATAGACGAAGGATGCACTACCAGTTTTCCCGGCACCGCGGTAGACTGCGTCGACATCTTGCTTGAACACCCTGAAACAGAACTACGTCGTAGAGGGCTATTCGTCCGCCATCCAGGCATTCCTGAAGAACTAGTTGATGTAATTGCGTCTTGTGCGGCAGACGATGACATGCGAAACTGTTGCGGCATAGAGCTTGAAAAAATGGAGCTTGCGAGACTCGGACTGCCGAGACTTGTTGATGTTGCGTGAGCAGCAGCATGACTTCCTCCAACGTCCTTACTGGCTGTACAACCTTTGTCTGTACTTCGCTGAAAGACCAAGTCTACCTCCCGACTCGTGTTTTGACCTGCTAAAAGAGGAGCCAACGCTAAGCTTCCTCCCAAAAACGTCTTGCCGCCTGACCCACCTGGGGGCGACTGAAGGCGGCTCGAGATTTTTGACGCAGGAGACATTATGTCTAGGACATCAGTACTGAGCCTTACCTTCGGAACGGATAGTGTGACTTGTCCGCGAGGTGTTAAGAGTCGAGTCGGCACGTCAACGCGCGACGGCTCAGCAGTGCGCGATGATCCAGGAACAAGAGTAGATGCAGGTGATTGTTGTTCTTCTTGTTCCTTCTCAACGACTGCTGGCTTATTCACCAGATTTAGATTAAAAATACGACCGGGAATCGTTCCCTTGACAGCTTGTGACAAAGATGGGGAGTCCGATGTGATGCTATCATTCTTACAAGCCCCTCCCGCCGCGCTCGGTGATGCGCTAGTATTCAAAGCAAGCATATTGTGGCCAGCAGTCCTCAGCGCATTGAGTGGTAAGAGCCGGCGCAGAATTCCTGCCTTGCTCAGCTGCGTGGATGCGAATCCACTGAGTAGCGAAGGCGATCCGGTTGAAACTTCTTTTTCGACGCCAGCTGACTCGGAAGCCGAGGACGCTCCTTGCCATTGACTCAACATGTCTGTAGGCGTTGCACCTGCTGGCGTCCGCGGTCCCTCTGACGCACAAAAGGACGGTGTGTAAGCGTCTTCAGGTGACATAAGGACTGCTCGCTTGACTGTAGCTACAGCGCTACTCTCCTCTTCTCCAAGATCGTCTAGAACCGAAGGAAACAACGACGAAGACCAGCCAGATGAACCCTTCTGAAGCTTGCTTGGCTTTGCGCTATCAGCAGGACCTCCTGCTCTTTCAGACGGCCCCTTTGCGCTATCGTGCAACGTACGAATTTGCACTGCTGGCGGCCCATCGTTTTCCCGACTCTCCCGCATCATCGCCTCTACGTGTGCCTGGATTCTAGCGGCCATAGTTAGCGACCCGGTGGGTGACCGCGGCGTCCCACCTCGAGACGATCCTCCCTCGGGTTCTTCGATAACCGGAGTCAGACTAGCATGTTGTCCAAGACCTGATGAAACTAAGCTCTCGACTAGAGCGTTTGAGTCCTTGAAGCCACTTCGGGTCCCTACATCAACAGCAGACGCACCTCTACTGACAGATTGCTCCACATTGTTGCTGGCATTTGTGTTGATGGGCGCTAGCAGCTGCGAGGTGTGCTGAGGCGCGCCGCCGCGAGCTACGCTATCGGTAGTATTGTACTCGCACCATTTCAAGATCTCATTCCTGAGGCGAGCATTTTCCCTCTCGAGCGCTGAGTTGCGAGCTGTCAACGATTTCTCCTTCTCCTCCTCTTGCAGGCGAAAATAACGCGATGCGTCCGGACTACCTCGAGACTTTTCCTCAACGCTAGGTTGGTCACGGTCATCTTTCGATGCTGCTATGTTCTTCCTCGTACCGTGGTGTCTCTCTGCTCTACCTTGGTTCCATTCCAAAACTTCTAGCACCTCCCCAGGAATCTCGTCCTCTCGATGCGCTATGTCCAGAGTAGTAGAGTTCTTGGACATAACCGCTGTTTCTCTGGAGCTATCCAGTTGACGCTTCAAAGATTGCCGCTGTTTTTCAAGGGCATTCATTGCGTCTCTAAAACTCTGCAACTCGGCCCCGACGTCTTTCTTGTCGAAGCAACTAGTTAAGAGCGTTTCAATACGATCCGCAAGGGGTGCCTCCGCGTCTGCACCAGCTGCAGCAGCGTTTTCTGTTGCTGCCGGATCAGAAATCTTACAAGCCGGCGCATAAAAATCTGTCACCGTCACATTGTTACGCTGGCTGGCAAAAGGGCCCGCGCCTGCAATGTCGGAGGGGTTTTTTGGCAGTTGTCCGCTACTCTCAGCCACACCTTTCTTAATCTGCGATGAGGTGGAGAAAAATTCATGCTGAGGAACAGCACGCTGACCAGTTTTCGGTGGATAGCTAAGCGCCCCTGCTTCATCATATACTGCGGTGGGTGACGACATCGATACCTTTTGTAAGGCTTCCTCCGTTCTGGGAGTCAAGTCTTTTACTCCCGTGAGCCGTCCCTCGTCATCTAGAAAAACAACGCGCCCGTTTGCGCGATCGACGTGGATTGAGGACGTAGAGTCTTCCTCAGCGCAGCTGCGGTCCCGTATGAAAGCAGCTCCCTGTGAAGGAGTTGCGGCACCTCTAGTCTTCGCCGCTACGTTGACGTTGCACGCCTCCGCAAATGGTCCGGGTTCTGGCTGACTCTCGCCTGTGGTTGTAACGTCGCTGCCTTTATTCAATATGCGCTCCAAAAACGAGCGCTGCGCATCCGGAGCAAAGCCAGCTAGTTCCCGCGCGCCTAAGAGCTGCTTCTCAAGTCGCGCGAGCTCGTCTGGGTGCCCCTGCGCCTGCACATTACACGAGGCAGCGTCGTGAAAACGAAACACCATGCTGCCTGCAGCCGACTTCGGCGATGACGTCGACGAACTTGCAGCAGAAAGCGTGCTTCTCTCGCCTGCGAGTGTCCCTCTTTGGGCCACTGCTAATCGCGTCTCGACAGCAGCTGTCAGTGCCGCGGATGAGCTCGTCCTGTAGTCGGGATCTTCTTCTAGCAGATGCATCCAACTACACGAATCATTGTTGTACTTCATTTCCCCACTACCAGGGCTTTGCCGAAGGTAGATATTCTCTGCGGACACAGCATAATTGGCATCGATCGAGTGAGCTGGGCTTTCACCTCCACAATCTTGTGGACCAGACGAGAGCCGGTTCTGACTTCGCAGGGGCGACAGCAGACTAAGACTAGTGAGAGACACGCGGTCGCGCGAAGATCGACTGCAATTATCGTTTGCTGACCTGCAATTGCAGTGATTGGTATAATCACGAACATAGGAGAAGTGTCATAGATTCCTAGGGCTGTTTTATCGTGTAGCTCAACAGCTAATATTAAAGAGCTGAAAAAAAAAATCAACAACGACCCCGCCAAACTCTCAACCTCACACTCCCGAACCCCCGAAATCATGCACTCATATGAACTGGTATGGACTCATATGAATTTATATGACCTTAAAATTATAATATATGAACTTATGTGAACTGATGCGATCCACGTGGAACTTAGGAACCCGTGGGCATGGCATGGCGTGGCATCCTTGTAGATAGCTTCCCCCTGAGCCAGTGAGTGCTTGTAGATAACTGCTATACTTACGAGCTACGGCCTTGAGGCTTCAAGTCTTCAGCTTGAAGCCTACAACGCGCCACCCCGGCACTTAAGGCTACCCTTTGGGCGATAAAATTAAAAATTTTGCCACTTTGTGAAGTTTAAAGTTGAGAACTCAAATCTGAAAGCGCGAAAATGGCGAAAGTTTTGACTTTATCGAAGAGAGATAGACTTTAAAAAAATTGGGCGCAAAGCCTTTAACTTTCTTCAAAGTAGACGAATTTTAAAAGTTTGAAACCTAAAAGCTTCAGCCTTTCGCAAAGATGCCAAACCTAACAGAAGACCAGCAAACTCCCAGGCCTATCATTTCCAGGCGTGCCTTTTCAATGGCCGCAGGCCGCCAAGAGCCCGACTCTTGTGCTGTTCCACCGATCAACTCCGCCAGACGGTTGTCGCGCGGGGAAGGATCCGGGGAAGCGGAGCCACGCAATGGCGGGGAAAGTGCGTGCAGAGGGTGGACGTGGAGGATTCTAGTGGGAGGAGTGCTACCGGGCGCTTAAGTCTAGCTGGTGCTACGAATACTTCATTAGTTCGTATTCAGGACTCACCTTCATCATTTTCATTTTTCATCTCGTACTTTTACCTGCTACTATTAATTACATATTTACGTAGACACATTATCGGGAAGCCCAATAAAAGGTCTAAACCTCACCCAGGTGACCGCGATGTCGCTCGTCTTGTTCCCGTACGGGTCTTGCGCAGGTTTGGGCGAAACGTGCACTCTTGTTCATCATAGCCTCTACTTTCTCGTAACCGCTGTGCACGATCGAGTTTTTCCCGGCGCTTTGCGGCCCACGCAGAGACTTGTTCTGCATTTCGCGCTGCTAACACTTTTCCTCGTGATCCTGCCACATCTGAGGCTGCGTAATTGCTACCGCGCTTGCTTCCTCCAACAGTCGTAGTCCGGCTAGTCGTGTGCCCATCAGACCCCGCGGAGTCCCGCCCGCGCAGCTGAGACAGCAAGGTTCGCCGCTGCTCTTGAGACAACCCCATCGCGACTTAACTCATGGACGAGCAGATTTAAGACACGACTCGTTCCTTTCCTGTCCGAAACGGAGGTATGCACAACGCCGATCAGGCACCTAACATCAAAAGACTTATCTTACAATTTCCAACGGAGAAGTATGCCAATATGCGAGCAAAGGAGAACGGTCATGAACATGGTGATACTTGATACAATCTTGATCCTAGTTGTCTATGCAAAATAAGAGGAAGGCTGATTATAAGCAAATCACGCTTCACGCTCCGCAAACAACATTACTTTTTCTGCTATCCGGAAAGAGGGTTCTGGGGCAGGGGCCGGACTGTTCACAGCGCGAGAAAGCAGCAACTTTTAAATTCACTCACAACAACAGTTGCAAGCATGTGGAAGACGGAAGCATGGCCAGGTGAAGAACCGATACCGGGACAGATATACTTCCACTGCCACCTGGAACATCATACATACGCCCATCACACACCGATGATAATTCTGCGAATAGGCACAGAATGTACCGATCTGGTAACGTGGCCAGGATACCGACGTCTTCGCTGCTGCTTGAATACTATTCATCCGAAATTCACAACTTCCGCGTTTCATTTTCCGCCTCGCCTCAAATATGTACGAATAACAGCTGTTAACCACATAACCCCTGATCTTCATCTTGAAGAGAATGTTGTGCTTCGGGTGACGACGAATGAGCAACTCTCAACTCTCACACTCACAGCACTCAAGCAACAGGCCGAGGACGCTTAAAGCGCAAAGCACCAGCAAATAAATATATTTTGCGCTCGCCTCAAATAAATATATTTTGCGCTTTCCAACACTCTGTTTCTCGTTCTGTATCCAACAGAGTCTAAATGTCTGCTGTAGCTCGACATGCAGAAAAATCGTCTTCCCAATTGCGATTTTGTTCTTCGCCACGGTTATTCAATACGCCTAGGTGCAAAACTCGATGTAAAAAACAACATGATGAATAGAAGAAAAGTAGACGAAGAACCATTCACCGTCATCTCTAGCATTCTTGTTTTCGGGATGGGGATGTCGTGCGAGCCAATATCATAGCCGCAATAATCGGAACTATTGGGGAAAGTTCAGTTTGCCGCCTTGTTTGATTTATTTTATCGTATGGAGGGAGCAAAAGAGTTGTAACAAGCGGAGTCCGACTTTCTACGAAAAGGACAAGGAGGAGGTAAAATCGTTTTCTATTACGGTTCTTCCGTTACAATAGATGTGCATCATCAAGTAAACGAAGGGAGGGGTAGTACAACGAGGTAGAGATAACGTTACAGTCGAGCTTTCAGTTACGTTGGGAACAAGGGCCTCAGATCACATCCCAAAGACGCTAGGTATTGAAAGCCTTCTTTGCTGAGAATACGCGGCTTTATTTGCAAACCATCTCCGCCTGCTTCATCACACTGAATGTTGCACCCACAACCGTGGAGATATTTGCACACAAACTGCGTGTCCTCTGGCAAACTCTCTACAATCGCGACCAGTGTGCCGTACACCTTCCGCCAACTACCGCAATGAGTGCACTCTACCCAGCCTAGACCTTCTAGGCTAGTTGCAGCGCCTGAGCCTGAAGCAAATGGGAGTGTCGTTGCCGCCTGCTGAGTTACAGCCTGTTGATGGACTGAAGGCACCATTCGCGAAATATTGAATACACTCGTTGCAACCGTGCTCTTTGTAGTCCTGCTACTTTTGGGCAAAGTTCTGGTTCGAACAAGCCCACTCCTAGTCGTTGACTGGGTTATAATTTGTGGCCGAACTAAAGCAGGCGGACCTTGTCGGACTGCGCCGCTTCCGGGTTGCTCCATCGGACGCGGACTGCTTCGCGGCGCAAGAAACATTCCAGAGGAGGAGGCCGACGAGGATTCTAAGGACGACAAGATTCCACTCTGTTGATGCATGACGTGGCGCGCTGTAGTCGTCGGAACCATAAAAGGTGTCTGAAACGCTGGCGTCTGCTTGGCGGTACTGCTGCTGCTGCTGCTACTGCTGCTCTTTGCCTGCGCTACTACTCCGATGCCACTTCCCAGTCTGTTGTTGTAGCTGGTGCTCCTACTGCCAGTACTACTGCTACTGCTGCTGGAGGGGTCTGATAAAAGAGAAGTGTTTCCAGAATTAACGCCGGAAAAGCCAATGACTCCACTGAATACACCGCCGTTGCTGGCAGGCACGGACTTAGACATGGCATAGTTCGCCATAGCATTTGTAGTAGCCCGGGCTGCCCCTCCTGACTTCAAAGAAGAAAGTTCTTGCTGTTGTTGTCCCACATCTTGCTTTGCCGGTTGCTCGATCGTTGTGGAATCGTCGTCTTTACTGTTGTTCACTGCAACTCCTGCTTCTTTTCGGACGCCTTTCTTTCTGACGTTCAGCTTCTTCGCAGTTCCAACGTGGAACATCGCTGACTTTTTCTTCTTCTTCTTTTTGCCTGAGCCTGACGACTTTTTTTTCAGCAGCACAGCAAACTTCGTTCTGTTCTCACCGGCGGCTCCACCAGGCTGCACAGTTTCGGTCACTGCTTCGCTATCGGGCTTCACCTCGCGCTTTGCAAAAGCTGCTTTCTTTTTCCGTTTTGGGCTGGACATTAGGACCCTCTTCTTTAATATCGGATACTGGGAGAAGTCTTCAGACTCGTCCTCTTGAATCGTTGCTAGGGGACCGCTAAAAGTGTGCCCAAGCCAGGGACTTAATGGCTGCTGCCGCGCGGCATCGAATGCGCTTAGCTTCGGTGTCGATGCTGCAGATCCGGAAGCCTTCGGCGTCGTTTTCCTATTGCCATCGTCATCTGGAAGAGGTACAGAGGAAAAATAGTGTTCTATGTATTGCACACTAAATCGAAAAACAAGAATCATGCCAAAATCTAATAGCTTTTTCTTCAAGAACAACTTTGCTTGTCGATACAGGGGCAACAAGTTTTACCATTCTTTCACAAACCAACTACAGAACTGTACCTGCAGGATTCAGGAGTTCCTCACCATAGCGAATAGCCAATCGCGCGTATTCGGCAGGGTCTTTGACTTTTTTGTAGACCTTACGTGCGCAGGCGCGTAACCGCTTCTCCCGTAATGGGAGTATTGGCTTCTTCTTCGGAGGCGGCCTCCCCGTTGCGGAGGCACTAGATGTTGTTCCTGCTATTACGGGCCCACCGGGTGGCTTTTTGCCGACAGTTCCTGCTAGTTGTGGTTTCCCCACAAGCAGTGACGAGCTGGATGATAGTGCTAAGCCCACTGCGCCGGTTGCAGGTTTGTGGTCGAGCGTGGGAGAAGCGTTCTTGCTGTTGCTACTTGTGGATGATGAGGATAACGACCGGGTGTCCCTCTGGTCACTGCAGTTGTTCAAGTGGAGTGGATCGAGATATTCAAACCTGAAGTCATCATCTCGACTGCCCTCGCAATCTTTCTTTGTGGAATCCCCTTTCTCGGCCTGCTTCGTCGACGGCGGCAAGAGATCCTTCGCAGAAGTCGTACCTGCTTGGTTACTACTCGTCTCCCCGAACACTTCCTTGAAAGCAGCCGTACCGACCCCATTTGCACCGCCATGTTGCTTCTGCTCTTCCGGTAGCTTCTTCTCAGAAAAGCTACCAGAAATCTTTGGTCGGCGTTGCACAGCTGTGGGAGACATATCTTCTTCCTCCGATGCCCTAAGACTCAGTCGCGCTGGCGCTGCTGGACCTCCAGAAGGGGAAGAATTCAAACTCGACCGCCTACGGGACGCAGGACCAGGCCCGACATAGCCTCGTGAGGAAATGCGCCGTCTTCCACCACTCCGTGCCTCATCGCCACCGGCTGGTGGGGATGACAGGGAAACCTGCATCGGCGTTCTCTTCATTTTCTCTTTCCAACGCCGCTTACTGCTATTCGGTTTTAATTCTACTCCAAGAATATCATAGTAAGACCTGACTATGATCTACTTCTTCCTCCGCCATAAAAACTACTTCATCTCGTCCGCTCAACTTAGAACAAATGCTATTGAAAAAAGACCACCTAAAAATCTTTTCAAATAAGCATGATTCTTGTTCTTCACACTGCTCCAGACTCCGATTATATTCCGAATCTAACGACACGTTTGAAAGCTTGCTAACGCCAATTCTCATGATGATCGTAGCACCGTCGTTCGGTCGGGGTCTCTAAGAAGATCCATAATGAAGCATGACTGTCCATGAATTCAACAACAGCGAGGGAGTGCGTGAGAGGTTGTCGACATTGGGCATGCTGTAAGTGCGAATTACAATGTGGAAGGTCTTTCACAGCTTAAAAACTGGACGTATAACTTTGTTTTTGCTGGACGGATTGCTCAGTCGCGGATCAGTCCAATCACACGCAACAGACCGACCTCAGGCAAGACCAGAAGGAGCGACGAGACACAACCGATCATAGTCGTTGCCATCTTTTTTCTATCATCTTGGTGCTGTAACAATTATTGCATTTCAAGTGGATGGAAAGAGTCCATAAGGCTTTGCATCTTGTACAAGCATGCGTCGAAATTGCCATAACTATCATACATTTTGATACGCCCTCGACGAAAGAATCGCCATTCATAAAATTCTTGTTCGGATTACCTTCTTTATACTAGCGTTTCATTGAGAGCTTTATTACGATTTATGAACCCTCTACTCTGTTCAACGAAAGCGTCATAGCTTCGGCATTCGAAGGCCACCATCGAGTCGGATCGTTTCGGCATTAAGCATCGGGTTTTCACAAATCTGCACCACCAAGGACGCGAATTCCCTCCCGCGCCCAAAACGGTGCGGGAAGACCGAAGTTGAAACGAGCTGCCTTTTCACGTCTTCCTTTACGTAGTGCATAAGCGCTGTATCAAAGATCCCTGGCGTAATCGTTTTCACTCGAATCCCAAAGTCCCCCAGATCCCGCGCCATAGGAAGAGTCAACCCCACGAGTGCAGCCTTGCTGGCGCTGTAGAAACATTGACCATGCTGTCCATCGAAAGCCGCTATGCTTGCAGTAAAAATAATGACTCCGTTCGTGTCTTCGTCGTCTAGTTTCGAGTTGGTCGCTGCATCTGCTTCTGCGGCGCTTTTGTTCTGCATCATCACCGCAGCGCATTTTGTTGCAAGGCTGTAACTGCCTAGCACGTTTACGCGCAATGCGTACAGAAAAGTGTCCATATCCGCTGGTTTACCTTTTTTACTTAGTCATCGCATGGCTCCCGAGACGCCGGCACAGGCTACCAGACCGTGGATCGGACGCCAGATTTTTTCCATTGATGCTACAATCTCGTCTTCACTGCTGACGTCGACTTGCAGGCACTGCAGTCGGCTTTTCACATCGGCTGGTGAGGGCCCAGATTCTGTTACCTGTGACTCCACAATTTGCGCGTCCACGGGGTCGACTACAGTAACTCTGCACCCTCGATGTATCAAGGCCTGCGCTGTCGCGAGCCCGAGGCCGCTGCCTCCACCGCTAATAACGAAATGCTTACTATCGTCAAGTCGCATTTTTACCCAAATTGAATTTCTCTTTTAAGAACCAATTTGCAGACCCACGTCCACTCAATAAACGTGATTAATTTGACTCTTGATTCTTCGTTCTTGATCTTGTTACGATTGCCTGCGACACCGAGGGAGGGACTACAAACTGAATCGGAAAAGGACGTACCGAGTAGGATATTTATTTCATATGCATCCCGTACGACTAGGCGTTGGCATTACTCTCTAACAAGAGTCACAGAAAGTCTGTATTGATTGGTGTCGATGCCAGCGAAACGACGCACCATTCCCTGGTGTTCCATAATCCATCGTCGAATCAAAAATGGAAATCATAAATCGCAAAAGTTTACGTGAAATAAATGGATGAAAAAAGGCGCTAGTCTTCTTGTTGTTCAGGAATTCACGAGCAGGTCCTCGAACCTTTTTACACCCTCCAACTCAAGATGGCGGTTTTCTGAGCGAGCCATCCGCGTTCAGAGGCACGACGCCAAATTTCGATACAAACATGGATTCTTCCTCTCCCGTTGCTGGATTCTCTATCTCCGTCTTGCGCGCTTTCTTCAGCAGCCACGCTGCGACTTTTGTGGTCGCTGGCAGCACCGGATTGATTATCGTCTCGAGCTGGGACTGGTACCAGATCGGATACAGCGCAAAAAGCTTTTCCAAACGCAGTACAGCGTCTTTTGGCAACGACTCTTCGTCGGCCCTCACCACGCTATTCCGAATGACGAACATTGGAGGAACGATCGTTTCGGCGGTAATCTCCAAGTCCAGAAAATCAACCTTAGGATGGACTATTCGATTGATGAAGGAAACTTTTTACTGGCGGATTCATCAGGTCTTGAATCGACACTTTTAGAAAGTTAGTAGAAAAAAATAATCAAGCCGATTCTAGCACGAGATACGGCGAAAATCTTGACACCAATCGAAAATGGACAAATTGAAATACAGGTAGCTCGTTTCTCCATTTCTGCAAGAAGGTCTGCAGAGACATGACAGGCGGTTCAAAAACTTTTGTCGCGAAAATCTTGAGGACCTTGTCTGTGTTCAGGATGAATGCGGTCTCTTCGCTCCCTCCATTTGTAATTTTTCGTCGCTCTTCGTCATGTGCAGCATCGCCTTCTACACTACTACCTGCCTTATCTTTACTCTGGGGATCTTCCGACGGATTTACGACTGTGACGCGGTCGCAGACTGCTCGTAGGACGGACTCAAGTATCGGCTTGGTGACAAGGTATTCGAATTCAAACTCGAACTGGAAATTGTGGACTAATTGCTGTAACGAGAGCTTCTTTGTAGCGAAATCGTCGTAAAACTCCTCTTGTAATATGCACAGGCACACTGTATCCAGAATCGTGTCGTGCATTGCGCTGAAGTAATGGCGGAGGAAGTTGTTGTCGTCGTGGACAACATAATAAATTCAAAATCCATCTCATCATGATATACTCAGAGAAATCTACTGAACAACGCTTGCATGTGAAAGTTCATTAAAGCATAAAGCAGTACAGATCGAGCCACTGAAAGCCCTTGTCTGGAACTTTGACGACGTATGGAGAATTTTCCACGAAGTCGTTCAAAATGGCATCACTGCACTGACACCTGTATCGCATTTCTTCGCCGGAACAAAAGCGCACATTATTCGATGCTCGCGTCTCACCGAGATAGCATGGATATTCCTTCTCGAGTATGCGCTGAATTTGACCAGTATCTCCCGCTTCTGCGCGAAGAAAAATTATGTCCTCGAAGCCTGTTCGCACGCTGAGGATGCGCTCCGTCTTTACTGGAGCAGCTTCCACGGCACCGCTGGAACTACTGCTGCCGCCTGCCTGCTCGAGTGGGCCCCCAGCAGCATTTTCGGGATCCGTTTTTAAGCGCTTCAGTGGCGGCCCACCATCCACGGAGGAGGACCCTCTCAGCTTTTGCTTCTTGTCCGTAGATTAGCGCTACAATCGGTTGAAGTTCAAATCTGTAAATTGTGCACATCAACGGCGCATCATCTGGCACTTCTGCAAAAAGACTCTACCAGGTGAAGCTTTGGGGGCCTCACAATGGTAACCTACCCTCGATGAAGCCCGCCACAGTCGAATTCTAAAATTGCAATATTAAGGGCTAGCCATAATTTGACGAAACAGGAACGTTCATAAGGTGAACGAGCAACTGCGAATTGCTATTCTTCAGCTGCATTATGCTCATTTGTGCATCTTTTGTCACAAAAAACGCGTTTTCGTTTCGCTTGCCAACGAAGAGCGCCTTATTCCCGAGCTCCGGCAATTTGTGTGCTCTGAAATCCGACCCATCGCTGCTACCTAATCCTCCGAGCGCTGCACCTGCTAGTCATGAATAAATACATGGAACACATCCAGGTCCACTACATTGTGAATAAAGAATGTAGCAGTAGGACAAAGAGCACATCTTCCATCCTATAATTTGTCAACGGAAAATGAACGGAAAACGAAAATGACGATGAGAATTTCGTTATCTATTACTTCCTTCGCCTTGCCCCTCTGCGTCATTGTCCTTGCATAGCTGATCCAGCAAGCCTTCGTCAATTTCGAGCATAAAGCGATCGTTTGCAAGCGGCTCATAATTTTCGCCGTATCTAAAGGTCGCCTCGCCCGGCTCGCCCAGGAAACCACAAGACTTCACAGCTTCCGGCATTTTGGAGTCGATACTCAAGAAACACAAAATAGGGGTAAGAAGTAAAGCAAATTAAGAAAGGCCGCACTCGATGAAAAGACGCAGCACAATCAGTCAATTATGGTGTCGATTGCTCGTTAATCTCTTCCACCCAGATGCATAATATAGAAGGAATACCAGCACAGCACATTTCTTAGTCTGTATATCCATCGACAGGGCGTTGACGACACAGCAGCCTACAATCTCTTGAAGTGTGTCTTGGAAGAAGTAAATTGGAGATTGCCCTGTATTTATGTCTTTTACGGCGGCCAATTTAATTTCATCGCATTTTCTTCCCCGCCTTTTCTCTTTCCAATCACTAAATTATAACTCACAATGTCGTGTTTTCTTGACAGATGGTGTACGACATTGCTCCTGAGATCCTTTATCCTTTCAACCTTCAAATTTAGAGAAGACCAGAAATTGCGGGATGACTACGTTCTTCAGATAAACGTATCATCAAGACCGAATCAATTTGTGTAGTACTTGTTGACTGCAACAACACTGAGCTGTTTCCAACACCGCTTTTGCGGTTGGACTTAAGCAGTCTTGTCTTGCCGGTGTTGCTACGGCGATCCGGCAACCTCATACATCCCCCCGCAGAGGTTTTACATGTTGTATAGGCCATGAAAAATGCGGTACCTGCATGATGTTGTTCAATTCGAAACTATACACACAAAATCATTCAAAAAAAGGTGCTCGATAAGGATAACCAAAAAAATTGCGATGTTGTAATACGTTGTAAGAAACGAAGCCACAGTTGATTAGAAAAAGTCTGATGCAACTGCACAGGAAACAACATGGCCGCAGCATCAACATCAAGGGGAATCTTTCTAAGCGTCCTTTATGCTAGGTCGCAATCAAATTCAAATTCTTCACATCACGCGGACCGTCGCTCCATCAAGTACGGAAGGCTCCTGTGATAATGAGTCGCGAGCCTGCAGCGCGCGCGCCTGCGGCGTGGATGGCACTATACTTGGGACAGGATTATGAGCGTCACCAATTCTCGCAGACCCACAAAGCCTTGTTGCGTGTTGGTCGGAGTCGGACGAAAAAGTCATTAGTTTTGTTCTCGTGGCTGCAGACGCAACTAGACGTACAGCGTCGCGTCTTCGTGCAGCGCCGTCAGCGTCCTCTTCTGCGGTCGGGGCGGCAAGACGACGTCGATCCATATTTCAGCATGTTTTGCCGCACACGCTCGCCAAGTGCCCTTCTGCTTCATGCATCCGATCATTTCATCGTAGTAGTCATGCTCAACTTGTTCCACATTCCCAGAAGTGCTAGAAGAAGAAGAAGCGTCACCTATGATTTTGAAGTAGAAGACGCGATATCTCCCACCTGTTGTGTCGAACACAGGCACTCCGAAGTTCCCGCATCCATGCATCCCATATCCCGCGACCATCGCACCGCCTCTCTCAACGCGGTTACAATGTGTATGCCCCATTGCTGACTGAATGCGACCGCTACCTCCGACATCTGAAGAAGAAGTCGTTTTAGTGGATGCTAGTTCGCCGCGTTGTACTTCGACTGCTTTCTTGTTTATAGGACCACTGCTCCTGTCGACGTCCGCAGCGACTCCATCTCTATCGAACTGTTTGCATTCTGATATCTGGCTTTTCATGCGCTCGAGAACGTGAGACAGTGACATTCGTTCATCGTTCTCCATGTTGCACCCAGAATTGCAGAAGTTCCAGTGACCAACTACGAGCATCAACTCAATCGTTTTCTCCTTCAATGCGAAGGCGCAAGCATCTCGAAAATCATTGAACTGTGACCGCCAGCTGTAAACCGCCGAGTAAGCTACGACGAGCATATTGCCGTGCTGCGAATAGGAAAAAGTGTTCTTCTGGGCCAAAGGATTGCACCCAAACAGGTGTCGGCCAGCTGCTGGGTCAATTGACAGATCGTAAGGAGCGTTTTGGTCCTGTTCATCTTGCTTCTCTTCCTGCTCATCGTGCTTTTCGATTTCGTCTGCCGAATTCGATTTTTGGTGCAGACTAGCCAGAACGTCTTGTCCGTAATACTGCGTGAGTCCGTTGCCGCACTGGTCGAAGGTGGTGCCTACCCGCGGCATCCCCAAAACCCAGTAGTCGTGGTTGCCGTGCACCGTGTACATGATTTTTCTGCGCGTTGCGTCATCTAGCTGACCGAATATCCAGTCTGTTGCATCTCCAGTGCGATCATAGAAGTTGTCTCCGAGAATACCCCAGAACGAGACCGCGGGATCTGCGCCAACGAAGGTCCGGAGGATCTCCGGTGTGCGCTTTGACAGCTGGAATTTCTCCTCGTAAATGCAATCGATCAATGTGGTGAGGGAATCCGTCCTAAAGCACGGATCCGCGATGAAAACGCCTGAAACGCCACTACCGGGCACAGGTAGTGAAGGCAGGGGAATGCGGTGCTGGTCATACTCCAAAACGACCTGTTTTTTTTGCTCGTAGTGACGAATTCCGAAGAACGAGCCTGCTCCTGGAGCAGACAGCGCGTTCCCTAAAGACTCCTGATCCTGCGCCAGTTCTGCTGTGCCCGTCGTGACCTGGCCTCTAACGAGCCCAGTATTAAGATGATTCGACGTCCATGTCCACCTGAGATTCGTAGGTGCGTGGAAAAGGAAATGTTATATATAGTGCTCACAAAAATAACATCCATCACGCGTAGACCTGCTTTTTCAAATAATCCGAAAGGACTACTTACGTCGAATTTTATACATAGAGGTACGACTACTGCGCTAGATGATCCCTCCCGGCCCTAAGGAGCAGACAATGACGGGTTGAATACGCAATAATCGAATACAAGAAGGGGGGAATACGCAGACCGATGCGAAATATAACTTATATTCGACTCAGAACAATCAGTACTTGAATGCCGCGGAGTAGTCGAACGCAGGACTCACTTTGGCATATGGCTTCGCTTGCTTCGAGATTACTGTCACTCTGAGAACGTCGTAGCCTCGTGGTGCCATCGCTTTCGTGACGCGAAGGTTTACGAAGTCTCCGGCTGTTCCTACAGCGGTCGAGCCTCCCAGAAGACCGGAGAAAGCTTCCAGGGGTCTAGCAAATACTCCGGAGATAGCGCTACCATTCGAGCCCAAATATGACACTGCCACAGGAGCGTAGCCTTTGTTTATCATCGTTCTTGAGCCACGATCCTGCTCCTCCACGCTATTTCCATCCCCTGTTACTTGCTCCTCGTTTTGCTCTGCTCGACGAACCACAGCGTTGGAGTCTGCCTGTATGTGTTGGTCTGCCAGAACAGCGCTATCGCCAGGGCTTAATAAAGCAACGGGCGCGCGATCTGCTTCTCTTCCAGCAGCTGAAAGAACGTCACGCGCTCGCTGCCTATGTGCTTCTGGGGAGCAATGATCCGCAAAACAAGTATCGGAATTGAGGTTCAGGTCGCAAACACCGAAATGCTCGCAGCTGCCTGTCCATGCAACATACTGGCACAGAGCACACGTCATCTCGGCAGGTTCGTATTCAGCTGTGGCAGCCGGCGAGAAGAGCGCAAGCCAGAAAGCGCCAGCCCATAGCATGCTCGTGATGACGGACCATCGCCGACGAGGTCCAAAGAGTGACCTCATGGGGAACGCTGTCCCTGTCGCTTCCATAATTTTTACCTTTTGATTATTCTCTGGTAAAAAAGCGAATTCAAATATGAAAAGCCAAAACATGAAAATTATGTTTCAGTCGCTCGGAATGAAGTAGAACAAGACGAACTTCATGCCGACTTCTCTGAAAATCTGCCAAAATTTTTCTTCAAATAAGTACGAATTCTTCATTAAACTACTTACTATTACTAACCCATGATACATGACCTAGTAATATTGGACGGAGGCAAATGCAAGGTCTAACATAGGGGACGGCGAGGTGAAGATCAGTTCTTTTGTAGGTACTCATTGCCTGTATTGCAATTGTTGTAAATGTATTAAATGTGATTGTGAGCCTGCAGTGAAAACAAAATTGACTCCATCCTCTTCCCGTCGTACGAGTTACTCGTTGCAGTCCAACTCGGTTCAGTTACGCTCACGGTTTGGATAAACGTGAAGCTATTAAACATTAGCAAGTAGCTACTTGATGTGTGCATCTTCTACCATCAATTACGTTCCGCTTCGGACCAGTTTTCAAGAACACGTGAATATTAGTCTCAACATCGTCTGAGCAGCTACACATCGTGGGTGCAAAAAATCAAAGGAATCATTGAAAAACACTTCTCTCATCTTCTCATCTTTTCTTCTTATCTGAAATGCTTGTAGAATAGATTGGTATCGGTTCGGTTGTAGAGCCTCTGAGTTTGACTGTGCTACAGATAAAAATACGTCCTTGTCAGCAAAGCAATTTCCAACAAACTGCTTCCGCCAGTCTGACAAGCGTCTACGATGAATAACGATGACTAAACTCGAAGTAGATGGGACTAGAACTAGAAGCCGATGAGCAAACGAAGGAAAAAACGATAACAGTTTCTTCTAGGCATTTGTTCCGGGGCGTTAAAGTATGACAAGAACTTCCACCAAATAAACAAAAAGTTACAAGTGTCAGAGCTAGAAAATGATGAAAACTTGTACCCAAGACGCACCTGTACATAAAACAAAGTATTCATTGGATCACACGCATTGCTATTATACCTATACGGGTCTAGTGCCTCCCTTGTAGGTGACGCCAGTGTAGGCAGTGGTTCCTGGAGCTCCCTTCCAGTCTTCGTAATAGGTCGTGACATCTTTGAACTCGTTGCCGGGATAGCCTGTCGCAATATCCTTGTAGCACACAATGTCCCACTTGTTTTGCACAAAGCATCCCGGAGGTGGTGCTTTGAACGCAAATGGCCCGACTTCGATATTGTGTTGCTGCAACTCCAGTGGCGAGTAACCCCAACACATCTTGTAATCGGTCTCATCACCTTGGATACTAGTTTGATGTTAATAGATAGGAACAAAGTTGATATATGTACCAGGGAGGGAGGCTCCCCCTCCCCCCATGTGGATGGAGGTGTGGTGGCGTCGGCGCGCCCTTTTTTCCGCGGTGGTGTGAAGATTCCCGGGGGCGAAGGCCTCAAAAAGCGGAGCCGGAGCGCCCTTACGGCTCTCCGCGTGTACCTCACAGACGTCCCGACTCTTGGACCTGGACCCTATCAAGCGGACGGCCTCCGGGGGTAGAAGGCAGCCGAAGACAGCCACGTTCGCGAGGCCTGGCCCCTTTTGCTGGGTTGCCCTCATCCCCAAAATTGGTGGCAGCGGCAGCCCCAGCCGCCACCAAACGCCCGGGGAGGGTTGAGGAACATACCAATGGCGAGGAGGAGGCGGGCCCAAAGCGTGCCCGGCTGGTTTCTGTCGGACACACGCAGCACGGCGAAGGGGGTCAAGCCTTGCCACCTGCTGCCCTCGGAGGCCTCCCACCCCCCGGGAAGCTCCCCCAGTGAAGAGCCCGCACACCGGGGGGAGGTCTGTCGGAGACATGCAACACGGCAAGGGGGCCAAGCCTTGCCACCTTTGCCGCCTTCAGAAGTCTTCCACCCCCGGGCGTCGGGGCTTGAACGGCCTCAAGGGTTTGGGTTCTGTAGGGTACACGCAAGAAGCCGCGAGGGCGCGAAGGTGGGCGTTTGGATGCCTTCCCACCCGGCGGTCTATCGGAAAAAAGGGTCCGGGGCTGGAGGCCCTGCCATCGCCTCCCTAGATCGGGGGGGCCTTCAGCCCTGAGCCCTGGAACGAAGATATATGAGGAGGAGTAATGGGATCCTAGGTGTAGGTCGTTGCAGTGCTCCAAGATATTACCTGGTACTAGAAAAAGGGTCTCATATTACGGGTACATTCTTCACCCCTTTCACTGAATCAACATCAAGAATATTCGTGGTGGAGCCGACCTAACTAGAAAAAAGAAAGATAGGAGGAAGATAGAAAAGAAAGGAGGGTAATTATCACCAAGTCTCCCCCTATCTGCTAGAACTAAGTAAGCGCCGGCGCTAGCGTCGTCCTGTCAGCCCCAAAGGTCTCACCTTCGAAGGCAAGCCGGAGCCCTGTGCAACGCCTCCGGTGAGTGCTCAGCTCTCTGGTTGTGTGCGCAGGTTTCTTCGCTATGGGTATGGCAGGATACCGGTTCACCAAATAAACCCACAACCAGAGAGAAGGGCCCTAGCTACTTTTTATCTACTGCGAACCTTAAAACCCTCGCACGGAAGCCGCAGCAGAATACCAAAAGCCAACACTAGCGCCAGCCCTGTATAACCATAGGTATGTCGCGGATTCTTTACGCCATCGCCTACGCCTGGAACCTATCATGAAAGCCGCGACCCGACAGATACTACCAAACTACGGCCATGGTTATACGCTTAACTTCACTCAGCGCCCCTACGTCCAAACAACGCACGCCGCTGCGGTCCCCAACTCCATCGGCTCCCAATACATTATCTATGTATAGTAGCTGCATACTCGCAGCATGGCGTCACGTGCTCACCTCGTAGTTATCTAGCACTGTGATGCTGAGGCTCCCGGTATCGCGCACCGCTCTCCTTAACAGTTTGGGCCTTAATGTGTTGCCGCGGTCGTTTTCTATGCTAAAAAGGGAGCCGAATGATTTACAAAAACAAGAGGCATGAGGCCTACGCACTGAGGTAGGAAGATTTGACGCCGGGAGGCGACGCCTCCGATGGATGGGAAGTACCGCCAGAGAACTCCCACGATCCCCAGGCACGCACTTACTACCCGAGCCATCAATAATAATTGTGGCGGAGCCGACCTAACTAGAAAAAAGAAAGATCAGAGGAAGATAGACAAGCAAAGTGGGCAATTGTCGCCAAGTGTCCTCCTATCTGCTGAAACTATTTAAGCGCCGGAACTAGCGTCGTCCTGTCAGCCCCATAGGTCTCACCTTCGAAGGCAGGCCGGAGCCCTGTGCAACGCCTCCGGTAAGTGCTCAGCCCTCTGGTTGCGTGCACAGCTTTATTCGCTATGGGGTACCGGTTCACCAAAAAATAAACCCTCAACCAGAGAGGAGGGCCCTACTTACTTTATATCTACTCCGAACCTTAAAACTACTTTATATCTACTGATAGAATATTTTGATTTTTTACCGCTCGTCGATATTCCGAAGACGTATTTGGCCTCCTTTCCGTCGATACTCGCCTCTGCTTGCTGGGGGTTAATGAAACCTGCAAAAGTTGCCACTTCCGGTTCCTCCATGCCACATTCCGAGGTGCCTTTGATCAACAAAACACGGTTGCTGTTGGCAAAACCTGTTCCATAGACGTTAACAGTGCAGAAGCGGCCAATCGTGCAGTCAGCACTGAAGTCGACAAATGGGCCCATCATCTCGAAGACGCCTACTTGTGTAACGAAACTGGTTGTTCCACTCGGGCTGTGGCTCCAACACAATTTGTAGTGGTTGCCGATACAGCTGTTGCTTGGGTCGTCCACGCGGCATGCCACGTAGCTGCCACCTACTGTGACAATGCCCATGCGGTACTGGTTGTCGAAATCGTCGTCTGACACTCTGCGGGGATTCGTCAAACCTATCATCGCGCCGGGCACTGCGTCTACGTGTCCGCAAGTCTTTGAACTCGTGATGATATACACCTCGTTAGACGCCGCCAGGCCAAAGCCTTCTAGCAGAATGGTGCAAGCCTGGCCCAACGTGCACGCCACGGTCGGACCACGCACTTCATACCAAGCTGCACTGGGAACGTCCGGAACTCTAGCTGGGTTTTCCGTGAACAGAGTTCCCTTGTGGCTGGTCACACTAGTTTCGTACAGGAACCAACCCATGTAGGGCCCGCTGAGAACCTTGTAGATGCCGCCGTCGTTCTGGTCCTGCTCCATTGTCACCTGCTCATTGGTTTCGAGCGTGCACAGCACCCGCGGGATCCCCAGAATCAGGGCCACAGACACTGAAGGCGTCTCACAGCGGAAAATCTTTTGTTTCGGGCCAAACACGGTGAAGAACCCTATCGTCACTTTGTACTGAGAATACGTGGTCAGACTTGACGGGTTATGTGCCCAACAGACTTTCCCATTGATCCCGGGTCTTCCCTGATACGGCACTCCAGTCTGGTACGAGTCTCCTGTGTTCTCACTACCAGTGAGCGATGTTGCAGTCGGATTGCTCTGCCCTGTTAGATAGTGCAAAGTTGGCGCAGTATCCCCGCAGTTGCTACCGCGATCTATGATGAGCAAGGCGTTAGTCGCTGCGAGATCTGTACCCGTGAGAGGAATATTGCAGGCCATCGAGAGATAACACTCTTTTGGGGTTTGCACCGGCCCTACCATCTTAAATGGCGCGATCTGAAACTTGAACGCCTGCAAATACGCAGGGTCCGTACTTGGCGGCGGGTCGAATGAGAAGCATAACCGATACATGCCTGGGATTCCCAGCAGAGGTGTTTGAAACGAGAAGCGGTTGAAGTTTCCGTCTTGATCAGTCACAACGGGATTAGGGAGATTCGAAAACACCGCCAGCCTGGCCAGGGGATCCCCGCACTCTGTGCCCTGCTCAATAATCGCCGCCTCCTGGTTACTGGCCAAGCCCACACCTGTGATTGCGACCTGACACACCTCGCCGAGCGTGCACGCAACGAGCGTCTCGTAGTTCGCACCAACCAGTGTGAACATCCCCACCTGCACATTGTAGTCCCCCATCTGCGCGAGTGTTCTGTTAGTTGTGTTGACCGTCGCGCTATGAGACCAGCAAACACGGTAAAACTGACCTGCGATACCGCTTTTGATGGGACCTAAAAAATACGTGTTGTACGCGTCGTCGTTGTTCACGAATGTCGGCAAAGTAACCCCTTCCCAGTCCACTGGCGTTGCCTGCGGGTCGCCGCAATTCACGTCGTTGTTCGAGGCGTCCTGTTGTGTGTCAAAAGTAGACGAGATTGGAAAAAGAGTATTCGTACTACCGGCGATAACGATTAAAGGACTTCAGTCAAGCATTTGGACTCTCCTAGTACACCCATTTTTGTCGCGGTCAACAGTAAGAACGTATTACCTAGTAGACATGTGGCAAGTAGTACCCTATAGTTGATGATCATGATGCTGTTCGTCTGCTGGAGTCCGTGACCAAAGAGTGTGACTGTACAGTCCATCGACAGCTCGCATGCCGACGCGACTGGGTTATTTGGCCCGCTCATGACAAAGTCCCCGATGGTCAGCTTGTAGTATTGCTTGAAGTTTTGCGGTATCGGTATCGTGCCTCCGTTGATCCGTCCAACGCTCCAGCAAACTTTGAATGTTCCTGGCGGTCCCGTTTTTGGCGTCCCGAATTCGTACAAGGCTCCGTTGGACCCCGAGGTTGTCTGCTTCGTCTCCACCATGTTGCTGTACGCCGGTTGCTGCGGAACAACGTCACCACAAGTGCTCGCACTCTCAATGAGCAAAATAACATTGTCATCCTCTAAATCAACGCCCGTGAGCCGAATCTCGCAAGGCAAGCCCATGGTGCACGGTGAGGTTTGTGGACTGGGGCCCTTCATCCGCAGGTGGCCTACATGAAACCGAAACTCCTCATACACGGCGCCATCGGCAGTCGGTTCGTGAGACCAACAAACGGGATAGTGCGTCGCAGGCTCCCCGTTTCGAACAGTACCGAAGTTGTACCTGCTCGGAGATTCTTAGGGTGATGATGTGAACCACTAATTGAACCAAACTTAACTCAAGAAGAGGCTGCTCTAGGTCTACGATGAAGATCCTGCTGTTATAACCAATCATGCAGCAACTAAACAGTGACATCGCAAAATCAACAAAGTCTCTGATTTCCACGAACTATTACCTTGCCGGTGAAGTTCCTTGTGTCTGCCGAGGATTTCGCCATTCATTGTTGGTAATGCCAAACAGCGGCGCCCGCGTGGTGCTGAAACCACATGTTTCGTTGACCGCCAGCAGCTGAGAAGTTTCGGTTGTGTAAATGTTAGTCTTAGTCCTTACATCAGTCTGTCAACCATTTTTAACAACTTCAACTTGTTTAAAAAACGAAAAAAGCACATGTCGTGTGCGTTCACCCAAAGCTCGTCGTAATCTATCAATACCAGAGCATAGTTGCTATCCTGCAGACCCACGCTGGTGGTAAGAAAGACGAGCTGACAATCTTCGCCCAGGGTGCAGAAGAAGGATCCATAGGGATGCACAACCGGTCCACGCATCTCAAATCGACCCAGCCTCATCCGATAGAAAGTCGTATTGGTTTCGTTACCAGCAGAGTAGCAGAGTTGATAGCTGATGTTGGATAGATCATCAACATCGGTGTGATCACAGAGAGCAGCTCAGTCTATCAGTGAGAGAATGTGTTGTCTCATATTACGTCTACGCTTTGAGTTGTGTTCATATGTATGTCTTAGGGCTGCACGGCACCAACCCCCTGTGGTGTGGTCTGTGGTGGCGCGCGCGCGCGCTCTTCCGCGCTGATTTTCGCGGATTCTAGTGGTGGAAGGCGTCAAAACTTGGCGCAGGCGGTCCCTTGCGCCTCTCAGCGTGTTCCGCAAGGGCCTCCTGGCCTCTGCTGACCCTCGCAGGCGGGAGGCCTCCAGGGTAAAAGGCCGCCGAAGGCGGCCACGGTCGCAAGAGCCAGCAAGCCAATGACCAAGGGCCCGGAGGGAACAAGCCGAACGGCTCAAGGGGTCCAGCCCCTCGCCTTTTGCCGCCTTCAGAGGCCTCCAAAAACCGGCAAACTGCTGCGGCGGCGAAGCATATCGGAGGCACTTAAGGCACAGGCACGCACCTGGAAGGGGGCGCAGGCGGTCCCTTGGTTGGGCCCCTTTTGAAGCCTCCCACCTACATCGGAGGCCTGTAAAGAACAGCGAGGCAGCTGGAAGGGAGCAGAGGAGGCCACTTGGGCCCCTCTTGAGGCCTCCCACCTACATTGGAGGCCTGTAAAGAACAGCGAGGCAGCTGGAAGGGAGCAGAGGAGGCCACTTGGGCCCCTCTTGAGGCCTTCCACCTACATCGGAGGCCTGTAAGGAACAGCCAGGCAGCTGGAAGGGAGCGGAGGAGGCCACTTGGGCCCCTCTTGAGGCCTTCCGCCTACGTCGGAGGCCTCTAGGTGACAGCCAAGCACCTGGAAGGGAGCGGAGGAGGTCACTTGGCCCCCTTTTGAGGCCTTCCACCCCCGGCAGACGCCTCCAAAAGGGGTCCGGGGCTACCGGTACCCCCCCCTACGCTAGGGGGGCGCATATATTTATAAGAAATGGCAAGTTGAAGAAGTTCAAAAGTGCATTCCTCCTTCTCAACAAATCACGTTCAAAAAATAGTGGTACTCGTCTCGCACAGTCCCGAAAGACGCAATCCCGAGCTTGTAGAGCTCGTTGCCCCCGTCGACGTAGTTTTCGATTCCGTATCCTGGGTTCTGCCATGGTAATGCGCTTCCGATGCCACCGGTCACGTCTAAACCCGCACTCTCTTGGCTGCATGTCTCTGTTGGCCCAATGACCGCAATGTTACTCTGTCTCGGAATCAGATGGCCCCTGAGGTCGATCTGACACATGAAAGTCATGTAGCATACGTTGTTCTCGCGCTCTGGTCCCACTATGACAAGGAGTCCCAACAAAATGTTGTAGTGCTGCAGGCAGTTGAAAGTGCTGCACGTTGGCGGCGTTTCGGGTGGAAAGCCGCCCCAGCAAAGCTTGTAGAACTCACCTGGCTCATCAGAATTGTGCGCCTGCGTCGGCACCCCGAAATGGAAATAGGTTTGCGTATCATTGATCCATTCCGACGGAACTGGGTTTACAGCCTGATCACCTAAAAGAGCTTTCGCACTCAGCGTGTCACCGCACGGGTTAGCAGCGTCTGATCTATGCAGCAGAATACCGTTCGACGGCAGCAACCCCGCACCGTTCACGGGGATCGTGCACGGCAGCGACAGGATGCACTGATACGGTGGATTCTGGTTCGGTCCGTTCATGAAGAAACTACCTAGTCGAAGAATATAATTGCTGTATATGTTGATGCCGCCCATCTGTTCCGGGTCTGCGGCGTAACAGATTGTGTAATTTACACCCGTGGGACCCGAAAGCATACCCCGCAACACGCCCACACGCTGTGACAAACGCCAATCCGCGAATACGTTCTGCACCAGCACTGCGGAATCCTCTTGAATACGCGGATTGAATCCGTTGCCCCAGTTCACCAGTGTTGGACTCGCTTCTCCACATGGCGAGTTGGACACGGTCGTGAGTACGTAACTCCGCGGTTGCGAATCCACCGTGAGCGGCAGCGCGGTATCTGTCGCAGGCTTGGCTAGTTTCATGTTCACATCCTGCTGAAATCCACTCACGTAGATGTAGCATTCCACACCCAAAGTACACACAAAGTGCTCCTCTGCTGGAAAAGGACCGCTCATCGTAAAGGTACCCATCGTCACCCTGTAGTCTTTAAATGTCGCGCCGCCGTTTGTGGAATAGCAAATCTTGTATTCTGCTACCTCTCCGACAGACCTAGTGCCAAAATCCACTTCCTGCTCTTCCAGAGTGAACACCCTGATACCAGCTCCAGTGTAAGTGTACGAGAAAGATCCCGTTGCTGCAGTCGCGTTCGATCCGTAATTGGGCATGTCTTTACGAGTTCGAGCGTGTGTTTTGAAAGATTGAGATGACAAAAAAGAAAAATCGAAAAGTAGATGATGCACTTGTTTTGGAAGAAGTACCCACGGCTGAACAAGAACAACTACCTAGGAAGTAAAATCGTTTTCTCTCATCAAGTAAACAGATACTTAGGCGATTTAAGTACTTGCTCCCCAGCTCGGCACCGTAACCCCAGGAACAATATTGCTCGTCAACGAAATCGGGTTCCCGAGAATGTCAGTTCCCGCTGGTCCCGTGTAGGTAACGTTGGGACTTCCGCACTCGTCAGCGTAGTTGATAATCAGGTATCGATCGTTCTGTGTGAAGGTGTGCCCGGAGACAGCATTTCTCGTGTAGGTTCGTATCTTGCAGTCACCCGTAATCATGCATCGCTGGTTAAAGTATCCGCTAGTGATGAAGAAGAAAATTTGTCCAGTGTCCGCATCTGTTGTACGAGGGTTAGGTCTAAACTTCGTTTTCAGACAGCAGACATTTTCCTCTGGAAAATTACTGCCAATACTCTGCCGCACCCACACCCAACTTTCACACAAAGGCCAGTACTGCCCACAGAGGCCGCAGCATTCCCAGGGTGATGTTACAGCGGAGTGGCAGCCCTCGGTGAAGGAGCTCGGATCCACCACCTGATTCAGGGTGGCCCAATTTTCGTCCGAAATCTTGCCGCTCTTCGTCACGGCATCTGCAAAATGCCGAAAATTGTCGTCGTAATTCACTCCGACCTCCTCGTGGCAATGCAGGTCGTACACATGAAACTGCGCTGCCACAAAAATAGACTGCGACGTAACCAAGTCGCGCTTTACTCCTCCAGTCGCTAGTCTTTTTTGCTCTCCTCGATTATCCACCCACCAGTGGTCGTCCTCAGGCCCACGCTCTGGCGGGAAGACCCACAAGAGCTCATTCACAAAAATCAGCAGCAATGGAACCGAAACGATGCAAAAGAATAGACGCTGCAGTACTGCCAAGGAACAGAAGCTGTAGAGTTTTCTGCTCCATTTCCGACGTCGCTTCCGCTGCTCTTTGTCATTGTCGTTCTTTTCATGCGCGCCTGCTGCAGTGGACTCAACGGCTTGCACACAATCACAAAGTCGACGCATCGCGTGTGTTGCATTCCTCGCAAGTTGTTCTGTCCCAACCTCTCTGGTATCTGCACGCCGCCGCGGTGAGAAGGCCCTTGATCCAGAGCTTCCTCCCCAACGATAATTACCCTCCATCGCCCTCCACGGCGTTCTGCTACCTCGTTTAGCGTCGTCCTCGTCGTCGTCGGCGCCTCTCATTCTGTTCGTACTTCCGAATGGCTGCTGACTCGATTAATGAGCCTTTTCGAACTGGCATCGAGGAAGCCAGTTCCCATTATGGACATACTTTCCATTGCCACTGGCACGTTGGCACGCCAGCAGCCAACTACCTTTGAAACTAGATTTCAGACGACCTTAACAACCTAGAAGCTGCAGAACTACCACTACTTATGCACAAACCTATGTATGTGTGTGCCTTCTATTGACGGCAATGTATCACCTCTCTATTAATGATCGACAAAAATCGGGGTCCGTGGTCAGGGTTTTAAGGCGAATCTTCATCTTCAAGGGGAACCCCAAGGGGGCGGAAACAAAGGCGAGGGCTCCCAAGGTTTTAAGGCGGAAGACAGAAAGTCACAAGGCTCGCAGCTAACCGCAGAGGCTCAGGGCTTTCAACCCGTGCCAGGGTTTTGAGTCTCAAGGCTGGCGAAAAAGGGCACAAATGTCAGGGTTGGGTTGCCAGGGTTGCAAACGCGTAAACAAGTCGCAAGGTTTTGCGCGTCAAGGTTTTGGAGACGTTCGCAAGTCACCCGGCCCGGCAATGTCAGGGTTTGGCGCCTCAGAGTTCGAACGTTAGGGTTTGGCGCCTCAGAGTTCGGAAGGTCAGAGTTTTGCACGTCAGAGTTTGGGAGGGGACACGCTTGCAGTTGCAAGTGGCCTGGCTGACAGTCAATGTCAAAGTTAGGCGCCTCAGGGTTCGAGTGTCAGGGTTTGGCGCCTCAGAGTTCGGAAAGCCAGGGTTTTGAGAGTCAGAGTTTGGCAAGTCAGCGCTCCAGCGAGTCCGGGGCGGAGTCACGCGGGCCAATGGCAGCGCTTGCCGCCTCCTCGAGCTGAACGCCAGCGGCCTTAAGGGCGGCCCCTGCACTCAGTGTCAGTGGCTGATAGCAAGGACGCCGGCCGCGCAGCCGTTAACGAGTTTAAACGTGGCCGCCAGGCGCGTTTGGGCCGGGTAATGTCAGCGCTTTGGAGACGTGCACCAGATGCGCCCTGCATGGCAATGTCAGGGCTTTTGGCGCCTCAGAGTTAGGGTGTCAGGGTTTGGCACCAGAGAAATCGGACGGTCAGAGTTTTGCGCGTCAGGGTTACTCTGGGATTGCGAGGGACACGTTTGCAAGTGGCCGGGCCTGTCAATGTCAACGTTTGGCGCCTCAGGGTTCGAATGTCAGGGTTTGGCGCCTCAGAGTTCGAAAGCCAGAGTCTTGCGCCCGCGTCAGAGTTTGGGAGGGGACACGCTTGCAAGTGGCCGGGCCTGTCAATCAATGTCAACGCTTGGCGCCTCAGGGTTCGTATGTCAGGGCTTGGCGCCTCAGAGTTCGGAAAGCCAGAGCTTTGAAAGTCAGCGCCTCAGCGAGTCAAAGGCGGAGGCGCGCGGGCTAATGGCAGCGCTTGCCGCCTCCTCGAGCTGAACGCCAGCGGCCTTAGATAGTGGCGGCCCGTGCACTCAGTCAGTGGCTGACAGCGGGGACGCCTGCCGCGCAGCCGTTAACGGGTTTAAACGTGGCCGCCGGGCGCGTTTGGGCCGGGTAATGTCAGGGCTTTGGAGACGTTCACCAGATGCCCTGCCTGGCAATGTCAAGGCTTGGCGCCTCAGAGTTCGAATGCCAAGGTTTGGCGCCTCAGAGTTCAGAAGGTCAGAGTTTTGCGCGTCAGAGTTTGGGAGGGGACACGTTTGCAAGTGGCCAGGCCTGTCAATGTCAACGTTTGGCGCCTCAGAGTTCGAGTGTCAGGGTTTGGCGCCTCAGAGTTCCGTTCGGAAAGCCAGAGTTTTGAGAGTCAGACAGAGGCTGGGAAGTCAGCGAGCCACAGGCGGAGTCACCCGGGCCGATGGCAGCGCCTGCCGCCGCCTCCAGCTGCACGTCAGCGGCCTCAGTGGCGGCCCGTGCACTCCGTGGCTGACAGAGGGGACGGCTGCCGCGCAGCCGTTAACGGGTTTAAACGTGGCCGCCGGGCGCGTTGGGGCCGGGTAATGTCTCCGACGAACGCGCGATATCAAGGGAAACACCGGCCGCGAAATTTCGAACGTTGCGCGGAGTTAGCTGAAGAGCTCAAGGTGGCTGACGTTTTGGGTACGTATACGTTTGCGTTTTGCGAGTGGCTTCGCCTGTCAATGTCAGGGCTTGGCGCCTCACGGTTCGACTGTCTGGGTTTGGCGCCTCAGAGTTCGGAAGGTCAGAGTTTTGGGCGTCAGCGTTTGCGGTGGGAGACGTTTGCAAGTGGCCGAGCCTGCCAATGTCAGGGCTTGCCGCCGCAGCGTTCGAATGTCAGGGCTTGGCGCCTGAGTTCGGAAGGTCAGAGTTTCGAATGTCAGGGTTTGGCCGCTACTAGCAGCTTCTCGCCCCTCGTTTTTTCCTCGTCCTCTCCTCTCTCTACTCCCACCGCTGAACACACGGGACACGACTAGTTCTCTATATATAAATATATTATACTCCACCTGAAAATTCTCGTTCCTAAAAAGCCTTTCTCGATCGTGTTTTGCACTTGTAAACAAGGTAAATGAGGCCGACAGCCACGACGATGGTGTGGACTCTACTTTTTTCATCGCCCAATTTCTTGTCCCAATCTATCAAAAATTCTTCTCCCTCATCGTGATCAATTTTTTATCCTTAGCTAATAATCCCCTCTTACTTTCTCTCACTTGTTTTGAAGTCCTCTTTCTCTCACTCATTTCTATTTCGTTCTTACGCTCAAGACTCTTCCTCAAAGGCACACTCACTCTCTTATATCCTCTCTTGAAATCATTCACACTCGTGTCGGTCTTCACTCCTTTCAAAATAAACATTCGCTCGATAAGAGAAGAAAGCAAATCATCAGTCCTCAAAGTCGAAGGAACATCCATACAAAGAATGAGGCAGGAGGAAGAGATACACACAACGCCGTGTGCACTTCTTGTTGTTGTACCGCTATGCGAAATTAAATAGGCATGATGCCTGACAAACATGTTGAAAATCAAAATCTCAGATAATTGTTGGACTAATTAAACGCTGACAAACATTGGAGAAGCGAAGTGCTTAAAGCTTGCGGGCACCTCTTGTTCGTTAAATTTGCACCACTAAATAGTCATTTACCGATTCATCTTTATGGGCAAGCCAATCAAAATCTAGGACGTGCTAGTCTTTGAAATTCGTCCCTGATCGAGGGTGTTCCGGCGAACTATTTTTGCGAGATCATAAGAAACTGCGTGGACCTGTCCGCTGTTCAGATAGGGAGCCATCACATCGTTGCACTGTCTTTGCTGTTCTACCTTGCTGACTCCCGAAAAGTCTGGATTTACCATCCGTATGCCCAGCTTTGCTGCTTCACATGAACCTGATGTATTTTGGTAATGTTTTTTGAACAGGGATCCACATCATAACGACATCGAAAAATCACAATGATAGATCAAAAGAAGGATAAAAAGAAGGACACAGCTCGATTTCACCGTAACCCAGCTGCTTCTATTTCCACTCACAACGACTTGAAAATAATCTACCTCCCAAATCCATCACTTCCACTAGCGTCGCGTTCTTGAATTTTTTTCTAAATTTCTTCTCGATTTCCCTTACAAGACTGCTTTCTCCTGCGTCGGTGGTCGCGTCATCTGGATCCTGGGGTCCTACAGAAAATGTCCGCTTTCGTATCCGGTTTAGGAGGTAAAAACTAACAGCCACTGCGAGTCCAACAGATACTGCAGCTATCAAGCCTTTCGATGCGGCGTCAGAGCCGCTACTCCTTGACTGAACAGGTGGCATTTTGTGGATTCTTTATCCTACCGAAAAAGCTTTTCGAAAGTTATCCTTATCAATTTGAATTTATTGAATAAACAACAAACAGTTTCTCGGAAAAGTAATCGATCAATTCATTAAAGTAATCACGCTGGAACGGGTTGAAATTCATGGAGCTGCCGCTTAGATTTTTGGCTTCCTCTATGCAATCTGTGTCTGTCGTATCACTATCAATGCTGTGTAGTATTTAATAGCACGATGAATTTCGTTTTTGAACATCAGGCATAAACTCAATGTGACGAGATCTTTGATGACGAGAAGCGCAATCCTATGATCGATACAAGGCCGCTAATCACGTAGTTACCGGCTGCTGTACATGAAGTATCTATGGACAACGCTTTCGCTACCTAGTCGCAATCAAAAAATTCTCACGAAGAGTGGCTTTTGAAATTAAGGATGTGGAAAAGAAAAAGTTCGGTCATCGTAAGAAAGTGAGTGCAACGCAAGTGATCCTGATAGGAACCATAAGTGTGCATTATCTTTTCTGGAATCCCATTAGAGCCCGATCTTAAATCTCGCTGGCATGCAAATATGCAGCAGCCCAATTTGATAGAAAGGTTCATAACTAATGATCGTTTTCATGCAGATTCTCAACATCAATAGCCACCTGCACTTGCCGAACTCTCAGGACAGAAGTTTATGAACCTCTCTGGACACCGAAAAAGTCATGAAGATCCGTAATGTATCGCAACCTCTTTCATTCACAGAGTGAGCTCGAAACGTCTTCAGTTGATGTTCTCATCATACTCATATACCGACTGTCACAACAATTAAAAATACATAGAACTGTACTAGCCAGAATCAGGTCCTTGTGTTTGCCCTGTTGCTTTGAGTAGGACAGCGATCTTTGTCAAAGTATTGGAACACAGACAGATGTCTCTTAGGAGAACGAAAAAGGATGCTCATGACGGAATCTTTCACTTCCCTCTATGCTCATATCCAAATCCATATATCGCTTTCGCTGGGATGCACATGTAAGAAATTGATGTGGGCTCACGTTCGGGTGTACAGGTGGGAAGTTTAAGGGCTAGTTGTCCGCAGAAGTTCGCCGATGAATGTCGTTTCTTGTTTCGTATTTGCGAACAGATGCACCTCACGCACTTGCGATACTCCAGGAAGCGCCTCGAGCTCCTTCTGCAACACCTTTTTCCGACTCGCGAATTTTGTCTGACTGCAACGAATTTTGAAGGTGATCACAAATGCCGCTGAACCTCGCAACAGCGGTGCAAAATTCCGAAGAAGCTCTACCGTTTTTTCTGGCTCGCAATTGGCGTCGCACACATACAAGCATGGTCGAAAAACTTGTTCTTGATGATCTTGCTCCTGACCAACGCTTCTAGTTGATGTAGAGATGGAAGTCCTCTTGTCGCTGCGTAACCAGGAAACGGCTTTCTGCATCGCTGCATCCGCATTCTCGTTCTCCACGTCGTTTTCAGCATGGGCTGCCAGTGCCGCGAGATCCTCAGCTCTGCCGCGACAGTGAAGAATGTGTTCGTTTTCTAGGACCTTCGGCTCCAGCTCAGCTGGGTCGACTGCAACAACTCTGTCTACAATCCCATTCGCTGCCAGATAATGGCTCCAACCACCTGGTGCAGCGCCCACGTCGATTGCGACAGTCATAGCAGCCTTTTCTTGACAATCTGGAGATGAGCAGGTCGCTTCAACGTGATCAGAAGGAGCTGAGAGCGCACTTGTACTCGATTGAGACGAACTTATTTCTGCGTTCACCACATTGTTGTTCTCCAGTGTTTCTAAAGCACGACCACCAGGTCTAGGACTCGTATTTGTGTTGCCAAATATGCTCCGCGCTCTATTCCTTAGCAAATCCTCACGTTCGAAGACTTCGCGGATCTTCCAGTAGGCAGAGCAGGGCGCTCCATTCTCGCATGTGGCGTGGTACCCGCTCTCTCGTTCCGGTACTGATACAGAGAGAGGCACGTCGCTTCCCAGCCAAAAGAGACCGTCTGCGTAGACGCAAACATGTTTTCTATCTGCTTGGCCACCCTTCCGGAACCCGAACTCCTCACAGAGCTGAGTCTCTAGACTTCGCGGGAAGGCCAGTAACGAAACCAACTCCTTTCTTTCGCGCTTCGCATTTTCCGTGGCCGTGGCAACTGCAGCTTTGTCAGCGCCGTCAGCAACCTGTGGGAAAGCATCCGAAGGCTCATCGCTAGATAATCTGGCACGCTTTGGGTGACGCTGGTCGTCTCCACCGTGTTTCGAACCTTGATCTTTCGACTTCGCGGATGTCATAGAAGATAAAGAATTCGCACCAGGTTCCGAATGGAGACCTGCGAAGAAGTCCCGCACACCAGCTACTGAAACAACCGGACTATCCTCTGTTGTGTAGTACACGCGCCGTATGACGGAGAAAAGGAAGCTTGGAATCTTCCCGTCTCTCAGGTGGGCTTGCCAAAACCAGTTTTCATCGTACACATAAATAAGTCTGTCCTGGTTTAGCTGTGTCGCGACAAGAGCTCCATCTCCGAGAAACCCGACCAACCGGTCCAAAGAAGCAGAGAGGCACTGCACTATCGCCCGTAGATAATGCGATCTTTTCTTGAGCGGGACGTCATTACCCTCACCATCCGTTTCTGTTCTTTCCTCTGTTGCGACAGCGGTCTTCTGGTCTCCCCTTTTGTTAGCGCTCGACGAGCACGAGGACAGTAGGTTCTCCGCTGGCGGGTGGAACATGGCACTTGATTTCCCGCACATGAAACCCGTCTGCTTCCACGGTTCTACAATGCTCCAAGATGCATTAGAATCCTCAGTTGAAGAGCCCAGGTCGAGTTCCAGATCCACTCGTGCTGTGGTCGTGCTCGAAGAAGAACTAGACTCGGATACAACTTCCCGTGCGCCTCTCACCAGCGAAACGTCGCCACGTCGGACACCCGCAGGCTCGGCAGCACAATTGCGTATCGATAGGTCGCACTGCCGAGAACCTACGCTTCCGGCAACTTCGACCCACCCCCGTAGAAATAGACGCTTCTGGGCAGAAAGCCATCGCTTGTCGAGCACGCGGAAGCGCACCTCCGAGAAATCATCGTGAGGTACTTTAATATCCATTTTTGACGTGAACGTGTGTGGTATGTGTCAGCGAATAACAATAAAGGAAAACCCAGTTTCTTTGTTCTAAAATGATGTACCAAACTCACATCGATCTTCTGCTTTGTACTTGTCGATGTACAGAAGCAAGGTACAAAAAGATACTACGTACCTGCTTCTCCTGAACAAGTACCATCCTAGTGTGAAAAAACCATTCTTAGTGTCAGATCTTGACGTTAATATTTATATTATGAATATCTAAGTACTTGTATGTTGTTGTTCATGCTTATGCGTGGATCATCTTGCCGCCTCTTCATAAGATCTCAACTCGCAGGATCCTCCGTTTTGTTAGTAGATGCGTGTGAAGATATCCGATTAAAGAGGACCAACTTTCTTGGGATATTTCTGGAACTGTACTTAGCAGTCTTTAAAGTAGTACGAGGCCGCTGACAGCTCTCTGATCCCTTTGACGCGGTGGTCTCAAGTCACCTTTTGGATCTTTCTTTCATGACTGATCGTGATCCCAAACCATTGCTTTACCACGATCATTTCTACTGAGATACTCACGTCAGCACTTCGCGCTTGAAAAGAAGCCCGAGAGCAAAGCGTATTATAGCGCGCGACATCCCTCAATTTGACGTCATGCTCGTTCTTGTAACACATTTCAATTTTTATTCTAATCTCGCAAGACACTACAAAACATTCAAAAGTCAAAAGATTCCATGTAGTCCGAAGACTCAAAGCTCATGATCATATGCTATGACAAAATATCTGTTTTCAAACCAAGGTGCGTGTGTGCGCGAATACAGCATTTATTTTCCATAAGAAGTTATCATGAATTAGATAGAAGATCTACCGCATGTAAGCTGGGCTCCTCATGCGTTGGTTGCGTCGGCCCGCCATACTGAAAATATTGCTGAACGAGATTATGAGCGGGTATGGCTTCAAATGCAGAATGGGGAAAAATCCCCTTAAACCTTTTACGGGTGTCCTACCTTGGCAAGCGGACTTTTCGGAGGAAGCGGTACGGGCGCGTTTGGAGCAGTACTAGGGCTGGAGGATGGAATCGGCTGCGCTATATCGGATGGCGCTAGCGATTGGAGCCACAGAAAAAGAATTAATTGCATGACGGCCCCAACAACCGCGCCGCACATCGTGTCCTCAATCCAATGGCAGACATAATAGACCCGTGCAATAGCTACCATCGGAAGCAGCACGAGGACACCCCAAGCGTAGTCCCCGTACAGCAAGAGAAAGAAAGCGAGATTTGACGCCTGTGCCGTATCACCCGAAGGAAAGCTGTAGAAGCTCTTGTGCCGGTTAGGTAAACCGAAATGTCGTCGCCAAAGTAGAAATTCTGTAAGTGTGTAAAAAAATGTGTAAATTGGCACATATTCAGATTGATTCAGACAAGTATGACCTGGACACCGCACAGTAAGAATAAAACGTCTTTCCTGTATCCTGCTACAGCCTACATTTTTACATTGATTTCCGATTATGAGAACGAACCAGAAAGTAGGAAAAATACTCTCTCCGGTGGAGCTCCGTTTGAGTCCCGCATTCGCGTAATAGTTATAGTCGGGCCGGGGACTTTGTATCATTCTCTTTAGTAACTCGGTCATTGCAAGAGTGCTCAGGACTGTTGCGATGTACCACCTATAGAACTGGCCGCGCACCAAGAATCCATCTTTTATCAGTTCCCTGGGCGCGTTATCGGCGATAACCTCTTTAGGGCCATGAGACTGCCCGGAGCCCCAGACAGCACGCGCCACGGCGTGGCCATACCTGCATCCAGTGGTCGGTGAATATTCATCGGTTTGAAACATGCCAAGAATGAATATTCCGGCATGCATCAAATCCCGTCTAGTAAGGTATTCTTTTTCACAGGCAAGACGACAGTTGGTGTCAAAAATCGCTAACATTGAATCGCTGTTTACCCTGAAATAATCATGCAAAGCGAAACAGTCAACAATATGTATGCTGTAGTTGTACCGACTTGCTCCCCAGCCATTCGTGGCACTTGGCGTCGGCGCGGGTGTGCCGCCAATGTCCAGATCGAATACACAGTACACGAATACCAGTGCCCAAATCACACACAAAGGGTTGAACGCTACGCCTGCAAGAAAGATGGGCACTTCGTAGAGTATCCTTGAGAAGCCACAGAAAGAGTGTACTCGCGCATTCGGAAGACGCAGAATGCGCAACAGCGTGAATGAATCTTGTGGTACTGGCGCCGGTGGATGCACCCAGATTATCTTGTTCACATTTAGACCAGCCCGCAGGCCATTGAGCATTGAACTCGGGGACACAAGATCATGCTCTATGACGCCAGGGCCTCCGCTACCTCCACCTGTCGCCTTGCTGATGTTTATCGGAGAATACACGGTGTACTTGGAATTACCTCCAGCAGCTGGCGAAGCTCCAGTTCGCAGTTCACGCGGCACGTGCTCTGTCACGACGCAAACATCGCTATCCGTATCGTCTTCATGGAAGTCATGGTCCTCTTCGTGATCGTTGTACATCGCATTCGCTGCATTTTTTCCCACACGAAGGGGTGACAACCCCCCAGAATTATTGCTGGTTTTCATGCTTCCGCAAATAGATTTATGGTAGGGTTGTAACCGGACTTGCTTCCAGCTGCCCCCTCGCTGTTACTGGTTAGCTTTTCTGTCGCATGTCGAGACACCAAGCAGCAGCCACTTAATTCGATGCAGCATTCGTGGCCAATAATTTCCGTGAATCAGCCGTCATAAAAAAAAATCTGACTGGTACAATTGCGATAATAGAAACACCAGGCAACAGTAGACGAGCGTCTTCTAGCACCTATACAGGAAGTACCAACTCACGAATATGAAAATAATATTCAACCTAGCTTCTCCCTTCATTCTAAATCTGACGGATGCTTACTTTCAAGTCTTCAACCTAATGAATTGTAGTTATTCACATGAATCGAAACATTTCCAAAAAACAAAAACAGAGCAGTTAAACAAATTTCCGACTTGAATTCCGATGGCAATGCAGATCGCGACCATAGGTCGAAAGAATCAATCAACGTTTTTGTGCGTATGCATCATGATGTACGTTATGCAAATCAATGGGGACCATGATACATAACTAGCGCCACCAGAACAGTAGACGGCCTCGCAGCTGTGCCATGATCTATGTAATTTCTACAAACTCGACTTCTGTACGGCGCCTTGACCGCAGAGAAAACTGAAGTGATGCGATAAAAATAAAGAAAAGGCTAAGCCCGTATTTAACACATCAACAGACCACGAAAGAGTAAAGGAATTGTACAAAGTGACATGGTGACCCACGAAAACAAAAGGCACGATATTGAACAAAAAACTTACGAGAAAAGCGGTTGGGCGGGGATCTGAACTTTTTCAAATTCACCTGTGTGTCAAAAGAATAAAAATTAAAATTAGATTGAAAGTGATCATATACGCTAGTCGGGACAAGTCCAAGAAGGGTCTCACCGATGGCAGCCGTGTGTGATGTTCAAATCTACGCTGCTGCCACAACATGTCTCGACTTCCTCGTCGCTCCTTCACCGACTATTTCTCCGACGACACTCGCTTTGAAGGCTGCTGCACACGCCTTTACAACAATTTCGGGAACACGGACAAGCTACTTCTAGCTACTTGAAAGGTAGATGACTTGTTGTCATCAACATGTGGAATCTGTTCAATCAATGCGTATTTGGACGAAAGGCCCAGAAATAATCAATACAGAAGGAGTCATCATTTACGAAAACGAAGGCAAGTAGATCTACAACTATTCAATGAGGAGCAACGTCTTCATCGACGGCTTGCAGCATCCAACATCGAATGAGCACCTATTATGTGCATGTTTTCCCAACGAACTGCACCATCTTCAACATCACCAAAATATGAATTCACCAGCTCAAAATATTACCGTCCCAAGGAAATATGCGAATGCGAAAATGGCTGCTAGTAATAAGTATTCAGTATTCCGCACGAAGTAAAACTTCGTCGTTTTTCTGATTCTATGTATGATGTTGCCTGTAATTCATCGACAAAGAAATAAGATGAAGTGTTGGCTCATCTCTGTCGATGTCGTTCATTTACAAAATAAATTGATAGATAGATACAGTTCGAGGAATTCATCACTTGTTATTACAAATTTAGAATCCTATCATCGGGGAAGTGAAAGTGATCATTATGCATTGTTATGTATGGTTATGCCTAGTTTGGCGTCTTCTGCTCAATGCACCAGGATTGATGGCTCGATGTTGCACCATGTTGATAGTGATTGGTATGATGTGAAGGTGCTTGCTGAATTGTACACCACGCTTTGGAACAAAAGGAATATCGGTGCGGTCTCCTCCGATACCGGATTGGTGCGTTACATATGTATGAGGCAATCGCAAATACTTGATGCCACCGTGCCATTATCCGCTAGAGTGTACCGCGCGGAGGATAATGCTGCACAACTACGGCTGGCTGCGCTCTACTAGCATGGTCGACTTCGCAGCAGTTTCCCAGAAAGACACGGCGAAACCAGTAGCCGAGTGAGTCTTCGTCTGCCGATGCTTGCTGCTGCAAGGTCAATGATCCAGCTGCTTGGTCCGCAGTTCCATACAAATTCATCATCTGGTTACTACCTCCACACTGGCTAGTGGCGCCATAGCTGGTGTTGTATACAATTGTCCCAGCAGTTTTCCCGATCGCAAAAGAGGAGGGAGGGGACTGGCCGGTAAGACTAGTAGCGTTTCCGGCATACTGGACTGAACCCCGCAGGTCGGGAGAGGTTTTCTTGAAAGCGCCCAGACCTGCGGGCGGCGCTATTCCCAACCCACTGCCGAGCTGGCTTTGCTTTTTCTGCCCATCAGGTAAGGATGCGGCGGTTGTCGATTGAGATGCTGGATTGATGAAATCAAAGATGAAATTTCTATGGGCACGAAGCGATCATTAGGATTAGATAGGACAGTAAACAAATACAGTTTGGTCGCATCTAGGTAGCATCTAAAAATCCCGACTGAGGAGATAGATACGCAAGGGTGCAGGGTAGCGGCCCCCCCCCTAGCGTAGGGGGGGCCGTGGATCCCCGGGCCCCTTTTGGAGGCGTCGGCCGGGGGTGGAAGGCTTCCAAAGGGGCCCAAGGGGCCTCCTCCACTCCCTTCCAGCTGCCTGCCTGTACCATACAGACCGCCGATGTGCTGGCCCCTCGCCGCAGCAGCACGGTGCCGGGCGTGGAAGGCCTCCGAAGGCAGCAAAAAGCGCAAGGCTGGACCCCCTGAGCAGTGTGGCCTGTACCCTCCGGGCCTTTGGTCATCGGCCTGCTGGCTCTTGCCGCGCATTTGATGAGGGCAACCCAGCAAAAGAGGCCAGGCGTGGGAGTTCTTCTACCCCCGAGCCCTGCAGCGTGGGAGGGTCGGCAGAGGCCGGGACGTCAGTCGGGAACCTGCAAAGAGGCGCAAGGGGGCGCCCGCTCCCAGCTTTGACGCCTTCCACCCTGAGAATCCGCGAAGAGCAGCGCGGAAAAGAGCGCGCCAGCGCCACCACAGGGGGGCGTGCGTCCCTGTATCATATATTAAAGAAGATACTCCTAAATTCATGGCAACTCGACTTTGCTTCTCAACAATCTATGTCTGTCTATGAATATAGCTAGCACAAGGTGATGCATTGTCTGCCACCTTTTAGTGATCAATTGTATTTCATTGGCGGTTACGGGTACGGCTCTCTCTGTATGACAAAAAACCCTATAAAACGCAGTACGAAGCGTTGCCGATACTGGAGGGTTGTTCTGCGTTGGTGCAGGTGATGAGTCGTTCGGAAAATCTGACATGTCACTCGAGAGCCCTGACCGTGGAGGTAGCACGTACTTCACCCGTGGCGCCTTATTTGTGAAGGATGCTCTCTCGAACCCAGATATCTTTGGCACAAAATTCGGCTGATGGATGGTTATAATTTTTTCATTCGATAATGTAGGTTTAGATTTAGTTTTATTTCTGTCAGTGACTACAACAATTCAAAAGTGGACTACATCAACAAGCAGCAACACCTTCTCTGAAAAATAAATAAATGCCACATTCTCTGAAAAAAACAATCTTCACTTAACCATTTCTACTAAGGATGAAGCTGTACCTTTGGAACCGCTGACACCTTGTGCGGCTGTTTATCGGCGACATCGCCTCTACTTGCGTCGCCGCTTGACGGAGGCATGTTTTCACGCGGCCAAACAGGCATGGCCCACGCACTTGCGGACCTCCAAACACTGCCGAGCAGTCCGACGACCCACCACTCAGACGAAAGCGGACCCCAAATCGCCAGCCGAGGCACAGAGTGCTAACAATAAGTCCCAAGGATGAACAAAGATGCTACAAAAAATGATATATGACAACCACCAACTTCTAAAAAACGATACGAGCCGTTTATGCACAGTTCAACAAAGGGAAAAAATATTGTAGAATGCTCCAAGTATCCACAAAAAAACGCGTAGTAGAGGTGGGAGGCAGCGATTTATTCAAAAACAACATGAACCTCACTCCTCGTTTCAATAACATCTGGGGGAGATAAGGTGGGTGGCGACCTGCAAGAAGAAATAATACACAAGAAAATTCTAAATCCGATCCAAAAGGACAAGGCGCTAGAATCTGTTGTCATCGTAACTCAGCAGCTCTTACCCCTGCACCCTCTGTATACAGAAGTTATTGGACAGACTTCAGGAAAACTTTCTCGCCGTGCAGCCACGCTATGCGGGCTTCTCTTCACTCCTTCTCCAGTTTGAACAAGGATTATGTGCTGACTACACTCCACTGACGTATTACCTCAAGGAAAAGCCAGCGAAGAACACCGAGGTGTATAACAGAAATAGAATAAAAGAATTCATTTCATCTTCTGTAAGTCTCTCTTTCTCTTGTTTGTTTCTCTGCATCGATGCATCTCTCTTCATCAGAACTTCCTTTTTTCATTCCCTCGTCACAGAGTCACATGATAACCATACTGATTTAACGTAATGAAGAAGCAGGAGCTACATCACGCATATTGGGGAACACAACAACATGCCTTCTCTTAGTGTCGCAGATCTCGAATGCAGCAGACGCAATAAGACTTTGGAGTCGCAGAGCGTAGTACCTTACGCGGACTTGATCCTTCCGACGAAAGGCCCCTCGTCGAGCACTTTGATTTTCGCTGTTACAGCAAGCAGGAGCACTCACAAACTTAAACTTTTATTAGACGCGATTTGGGTTGTGAATCCCGTCGCCGTCGTTTCTTGGACTCGGCTTAACCCATTCACATGTATTTCACCCGACACATCATGCGAACAACACTCAATGAACAATTTTTCAAGAATGCGATTTAAAATACACTACCTCATTATAGTAGATATTCTTACACAAAAGGTGGGTTTAGAAAATAGGTGCTGGAGAAAGAAAAGCATGCCGAGCAATGTCAGAAAATGTCTTCACACAAATATTGGCTTTCACACGACTTTTTCATAACATAAATTTCATGATACGAATCGGTACTACCAAGCGAGTTGTACTAAAACGAAAATTCCGGGAACAACAGCTATAAACCGCCGCCACAAATCTTGAAAGAAAATAATGAAGACACGAGCACTGTTTACTACAGAGTCTAGATGAACAACGAACTGGTGCTGAACTTACCAATATGCCAGGGAGAATAACGAATTGATATCTAGTCACCCTTCCGTCATCACTTGAAGATATGAGGATGTCGCTGTGTATTATATCTTACACACAGACCATAACTAATCCTCGTGAGTCGTGACGACCTATAACAATTTTCTTATATGTAACACACTGCACGGGATCAAAAAAATAGCATTTATTTGATTCGGCTTTGACGATGAAAACGAGGATATTAATCTTAATGTATGTAAGGTTTATAGTACACAGGAATCCACACTGTCAAAATCTGCTTTCAGCAGTGTTCGTCTATTCACAAAAAAATCTTTTAGTAGATCTAGCACAATGGGGGTGAGGACCGTCAATGAATATGAAACATAACAAACTCGAACAAGCCAAAACATACCTTCTCCGGAGACAGACATGCAGCTGGCCGTCTACTTTCAATAAGATTTGTCACACTATCACAAGGAGAGGACACGAGCATGGGATCCACTTCCACGCTGAAACAGGAGACGTCATAAAGATTGCAGGAAATCCGGCGTGGGTTATTTCGGAGACTCCTGCTGAGTCGGTGTCCGTGTCTGTAAACTTTCTGCCCGAAGATTTCCCCTCTGAAAAAGTCCGCGACACCCGATCCGTCTGGTCTTGTTTACAGAGCCGCCACGTGAAGCGCAGAATGTTAGTATTCGATAATCACCTACCAGTTGTTAGGACGACAGCTACTCACGAGCATCGCATCTCCACGTTTTAACCTGGTCCTTCACATTACAGATCTGCGCGCTCTTCACCGCCACGACAAGAACTGCGATGTTTTCCCCCTCGATGAAGTTTGCATACTGGGGATTGCGCGCCAGATGGATAGCTCTGTAGCGTTCCTTTTCCGCCTTTTCTTGCTCGCGGTCTTCCCGGTCGAGGATTCGAACAGTACCATATAGAGTGACGCTGCAAGTGCGAGTATAGCCGTGCGATCCGCCTGGAGAACTACCCTCCGAAAGCGATCCCGCAGCCATGGCATCCAGTTGTCCTGCTGCAGGATAATTGGTAGTCACGGAACTATGTCCACTTTCAAGTGTTCCTAGCGTGCTCTCCGAGATCGAGCGCTCGTGTGGGAAATCGTGCACCAGGATAGAAACACTGCTGTTGCGCTGTAGATTTCGCAGTTTCTGCGTATCGCGCCGCGAACTCATGATCAGAATCTCTTCGTTCTCGTCGTAGGTGTAGTTCATAAGACATAATTGCGGCGACGACAAACGGCGACCGTCCACAGCGGTTCCCTCAGCTGACATACTTAGATAGCACAAACAGGTCGAACGCAACAGCTGTACTAGTTCGGGTGGAAACGGAGGCTTTCGGTGTTCCACCCCGACTATTCTTTCAGCCTCGGTAGAACCACCGTTACCTAGTCCGAGAAGCGGTATCTGCCGCCGTGCAGTTACGAACCTTCGCACAATCTCACGAAGTCCAGCAGTACAACCTCCTAACGCATTTTCGATCCAGAGTGGAAAGTGTAGTGAAGCTCGATCTGACGGCCTAGACGCAAAATCGCCTGGTTTGTCGCGACTTCCCAGTCCAAATCCGGCGATGAACGCAAACCCGGCTACCGCAGTGAAGCGCAGTGCGCTAGATTGCCACCACCGCAAATCAGCCACCGTACTTGTCATCCTTTTTCCATACGATTTTTACTATCAAGAAGTGTAGGAAATACAATCCAACTTTAATCAGAAAAAACTCCAAAAAACTGTATTTGATTACACAGTGGACGCTATGCCGCCAACAGCTAAACAACGATGAGTGCCTCGCATTCTTTCCTCAAACCCTTCTAGTATCACCAACAAAATCCATCTTAGCATACACGACAAAAAAAGAACATCCATAAAACACTAATTTCTACACACAAAATAGCGGTCCCTGAAGAGTATGCGCCCATCACGTTCAGGGTATCAAACTGCCTTAATAAACCCATTTTGTAAAGGGGCGGCTTTTTTGTCAAGGAGCGGCTTATTAGGAGATACCCAAATACACGCCGCTTGATATATCATCAATCACGATTTTATTTCCACCGTGTCATTTTTTTACGCCAGTTTTTGTTACTGGAAGCGATAACGTGTTTTTGTCTGCGTCATTCATTTCCGAGCACGGACGTGTCATACTCGTCCTTTTTCGCTACGATAGAACGACATCATTTCGCGTTTGCTTTTGTACCTAAGATACCTCTCGTTACCATGCACCAAACATCAATGTATGACAGCCAGACAGAGTTGTCTACTGAGTACCCGCGCAGGTCTCAGATTTCACGTCACTGCATCCCCGTCGCACGATTTGAGATACGTGTCTTCTCATTCAAACACAAATGTCGCGCCTGCTCGAGTACCATTTTGGTCGGATCTTGATTTCTCCTCTCGCGGATGCCATTCATTCTGTATCGAACGAATGTCATTCTTTCATTCTCTATTGCATTCACCCAGCACAGATATTAGTTATACTCGAGCAATCGCATATACTTCACCGCATATTTGGCAGCCAATGAAAGATTCATTTAGAAATCCGCAACGTCGGTCACATCGAGCCACAGCCACAAAGGAAAAAATAAACAAAACAACTGCAACGTGTCACAAAAGATACCAAGTCCTTTCTTGGAGCTTCCACACAACACACGAGATGAGAGAGATGAAATGCAATAGATGGGAGGAGCAAAGAAAAAAAGCCCGTTTCTTTTCAAACTGATAGAAGGTAAGGATCGAAACGAAAATAAACTTCCACTGTGGAAAAAACTCACAAACTACTCACAACGACGCCTAGAACATTTCAATATCTTTACGGTCCCTATTTGCTTCGCTTTGTTGAAAAATATATGAAATTTACTCTTCTCCCCCACTTGTCCACGAGCACGCATCACCGCTTCAAGAATCAAGATGAAGCATCAAGCACTGGACAGTTGTCAAGATACTAGTAGCGCCTCGCTACCTACAACGATACTCCTTATTTACAAGCCGCGGTAGAATTGCTCACCAAAGTAGTTTTGGCGAATCGACACGGCCTTTTCCAGGGCAGCCTTGGTAGAATCATTGGCGGCTTGAACATCCGTGTCCGGACCATGAAAATTCTTGCGGTGTGCGTATGGCGCGCCTGCGTCCATATTACTTTTGGCCGGCGCGGTTGCGTCTCCTTCCGCATCCTGGGCTGCGTGGCGCTTGAACCTGTAAGGGTACACGATTGTTAGCTACGGTTAGCAAGAATTCGCGTTTTTGGGTTGATATTTCCAGTAGGTTATTGACTAGTACCGGCATGTAGAGGGTTCTCGAAAAAAGACGAGGGCACGTAGACAAAAAGAAAATCAAAATCAATCAAGTTCACATGGACAATATCGTAGTGTGCTGACATATTAGACTTAGAGACGCAAAATGGAAGACAGAGTACTTATTGACAGTCTTCACGGAATCTGTAAAGCTGGCAAGCGTCTGCGAATCGTCCGACGCAGCAATCGCTGCGGCCTTTGCTTGCAAAACACGTGTTGCCTCGCTATTGCTGCCACCTGTTTTTCCCACGGCGTCCTTCACACCTCCTGAGCAGTCGAACCTAAATTTCATTTTCGTGTTTTAGTTTCAAGAAGTGCTCTCCATTACAAATTCTAGTGTAGCCCTGACAACTGGAAAAAAAATTCAAGTACTCTCTTCCATAAACATGTATCATTTGATTTCCTTCATCTTCATCATCACAGGTAGTTCAGTTCATGATGTGCTACAGAAAGTAAGGGCAGTCACTATATTGATGAATGGACTAGACCGCGTTTTACAAGAGGATCAGCGAAGTAATTCAGGTACTGATTAATCCGAAACGAGCACACAGGGAAAGTAGGCGTACTCACTAATATTGATTCCATTCACCAGGTGTAGAAAATCCTGAAGAGTACATGGCATTGCGGGTCGCGGTGTCATCGACATAGTCACTGTTCTTATCGCCGAAGGGCTGGCGCAACATCACCCCGGACGCTCCACTGACGAAAAGAAACTTGCCCAACATCTTCTTTGTCGAATGCTCCTTCAAGGACGTAATCTAATCTATCTGTGGGAAGCTGTCTCGTGTATTTCCTTGCTTACAGTGTACATGTCCATATATTCAAGGTTAATTTCACTCGATTATAAGGCCCAATTTTTCTCTCTCTGGGCTCGCCAATCCCATTATTCCTCGCTCACAGCTAGATCGAGTCACCTCTTCTGGCTCTGACAGGGATGACCGGCATGCCTCTGAGCCTCCGAACATTCACTCACTCATTCAGGGGGCCTCCGCGATAATTTTTTTGGTGCCTGGATCTACGTTTCTCGCGATAAGAACACTGAACTACCCAGCGATAAGCCTGAAGCACGACGGCCAGGCGCCTAAAACTACCCAACGATTCAGCACGACGGCAACCATTGCGAAAGATTTACAGCTGATACATAGCAACAGGGATGGGCTCTGTCTGATTTACCCCGAAGACAAAACACTACACCCTTCGAATCGAACACGTGATACGCTAGATCGGTGGCGAGGCCTCAGCTAAGTTTAATGATCACGCGCTTGATGCGCGGGCGAACTCACGGCGCGAAAAGCGGAGCCACTAAGCTAACGGATTAGGGTGGGTCGGCCCATGAAGAATCTCTAAGGTTTCTCCAGCTATATGATCGCATTGTTGAGGTTACACTATCTGAACTAGGGTCTTCCTGTGTCGCCTGGTTTTGTGCCCTTCCTAGTGACTTCGTTGCCATCGTGGAGCTTAACGTGCTACCCGTTCTCCACACGCGCTAACGTTAAGGCTTCAGAACAGCCTTCACGGGTGAAAGCAGCCCACTGCGGGCGCTTAAACCCCAAGCAGCGCTGCGCCATCCGATCCGCACCGCGCTCCTATTAAATACGGTAGGACCAAACAGACGAGAGAAGCGCCAGCTTTCCACCCTGACAAGATCCCCGCGACGCTCGTCGTTACTCTACCCCCCCAGCAGAGCAGGGGACACCTGCAGAGCAAATGGGGGCACCTTTTGCCTCACCTTAAGTTTTCCAAAGACGCCGGACCGGAGGCCCCGCGGATCTTTTTTTTTGGCGCCTGGATCTACGTTTCTCGCGACAAAAGCACTTAACCAGCGACCGGGCTCGCGGCTGCAGTGACTGCGCCACCACGTCCTGAGGCGATACGTGGGAACAGCGTGCCTCATGCACGGCGGAACGGAGCCACGCTGCAAGTCGTGAGGGCATGTCGTTCTCCTTGTGAGGGGCTCCATGCCGCAAGCACCTCCGAAGTGTGCCTGTTGTGGAGTCTCCCGCGTACCACTGGGCTTCTCTCTGGGTACATCGAGCTGCGGCAGGGCTCACTCACACTCACATGCTCTCCATAACATTGGAAGAGAAGGAGACTACTAACCCTGTAGTGCTTGAAGTCAAGATGTAGTTCAACGACAAGTTCTTCAACTCCATAACAATACAAATCGGCCTCCTACCTAAATTCTCCCCAAAAACCTCTCAAATCTCTACCCCTTTCGCTCCGTGTTGGCCTACTCTCAGGCGTTGCCGCGTTGATGCTGGCTCCCCTGTACGCTCGATCTTCGCGCCGGAAGGAGGAGAGGGGAGATAATATGTGGCCCGACAGGGAGGGAAGGGGGAATATCGTGCGTCCGTACAGAATCAGTCGATACTCGGCGGCGGGGATGCGAAGAACCAAATGGGCTCGGCCGCTATCCTGGTGTGCGAGTGTGCCTGCTCCAGCTCCAATGATCTTGCCCAGGGCGCGGGTGAAGTGCGGTCTGTAGCGCATTACGTCGATCCAATCCGTTGCGCGTGGGGAGGAGGATAGAATCCTCGAAAGTGCACTCCGAAGGGGGGCGCGCCCGACGCTTTATGCCCCTATCAGTCTGTTTCCAATTCCATAAACACTTGTGCCTTAGTGTAATATTCCCAGACGCCTGCTAGCCGCGGGTACGTCGCGCCTTACACCTTCATGAGGATACACTCGCAATAGAGAGTACTATGCAGTTCATTTTTTAGGAGCACTTATCACGTTCACTGAGTTCGTGTTTGGTGGTTATGCTAAATTCATCCTTCTAGTTTATTCGAGCCAAGCTTTCGCGTGAACATGTTGTCAATGTTGTCGTCTTCTTCATTTGTATCTTACTACTACTTGTTGTCATGATTCATAGACATAGTGAATTTCACATCTACAGTAACTACAACTTATGATTTTCAGGTATCCCCAAGGTTAATACAATGTTGTTCATGTCACAACCAACGAACGATCTTTTATTTTTTTACAGAAGCGCGTGTCATTTTATGAAGTTTCTGGAAAGAGCTCGATCGTCAGTACTAGTTGTCATAAATCTTAAAAATGTTATACTACTTTCCCCAAGTCCCAAGATACATTATACATTTGGATAATTGGTGTACAGTCCCTACTACAATACTAGTTGCAATCGTGTGAGTCTTCTCAATATTACTGACGACGAACCTTGCCTACGACCAGCTCTATATCAAGTCTCCCTGTGCATGCTCAGATTCAATAAAATCTACTATACTAACCAGTGTGAGCACTTCTCTGTCTTCACCCGAGTATAATGACCTTACGCAAAAGCGCTTCGTCGGCGAGACACTTCGATGTCGTTTGTTGTGTCGGTTGTGGGTTGGCAACAGAAGCATTCGAACAAGCCACCTCCGCTTGTTGCTACCCTATTCTGTGCTACTTCCCTCTTAGGTGCCTTTTCTGGCATCACCAGTGCGTCAACGCCAAGCTTAGCAACAAGTGATTTACCTGGACTTGGAAAACATGAACAAATGTCTACATATTTATGTCCCGGAAGAACCAACCAGGACTTAATACATACAAGAACAGTTATCATAGACTCGAATTCCAATTTCAGGGTAGAAGAGCAGCAGATCAAATGCTCTGACTCTTGTTCAATGAAGAGAAAATGTAACCTAAAAGTATGGCGGAAAGAAACATACTCAGGAATCATTTTTAATGTCAATACGTGTTCTCGCCGGCCGCTTGAAGCGTATATCAAAGGGTCTCGGGCGCTTGAATAGATCAATTTTCTGATCATCAGTCAGCGAAAAAAATCCTGTTCCGGCAATCTCCACGATCTCGTCGCCTACGATGACACCGCTACGCTCAGCCCACCCTTCGGGGCTCACATTGATAATTCGCGCACCCTTAAAGCCCATACCTGATGTTAGGAGGCAAAAATAGCAGAGAGCAGGAAAAAAAGTCGAAAACTGTATGAAAGCAAGCTACGTCTTCCGGCATACAACAAAAACTACTAGCAAAATTTCGAAGAAAAGGAGAAGTGGACGCCACATGCGGGCGCGCATATTCATAAATATTTCTACCTAATACAAGCAGTACCCAACTTCAATTCGTTCAGCGTCAGAGAGTAGTAGGCATCTTTGATTTCGGGTCGCTTCAGCTTGATCAAGAGCGGTCTGGGTCCTTGCAGCACCTCAAGCTTCTTCTCACGCGTCATTGTGTAGAACTTTTGACCTGGGGTTTGAATAGTATGGATGTAGGGCGTGCTCCGTAATCCTCCTTTGCTCCATTCATTCTCGAGTAGAAACGAGCAGGGTAAAATCAAAATGAAAATTGCTTACAACAATAGGAACGTTACCAATCATGCGAGGCCTCAATCGACAAACCCAATTCTATCTCTATGACAAAAGAGCGACATCGTATACATAGAAGTTGTAATAAACACCATTCACGAGGTGGATTTCATCGTCAATTTCGATGCCCGCCCTCTGTGCCCAGGAGTTGTCGAAGATGGTGGTTACCTCAATGCCGTTAAACTTAAGGCCAAGTCGTTTCTCCTCGCACACCACGTCGTACCACCTGTCCCCAGGCATGTCCGGGGACGCCGCTCGCAAGACCTCATCACCACCAGAGGCCATCTCTTATATTCGGTTTAGATCAACTTCAACAGCGAGCCAATAAATGTTGTCGAATTTCTCTAGAATTGATAATGAACGAGAATTGTCACAAGAATGAATCGGTCTCGACTGGCGGAAAACAGTTACAGTAGGGAATGCATGGGCTTTTTCCTAGGGGGTTTTAAAGGGCAAGGTGCTCATACACGTGAACGTTTAGCACAAAAATCACGAGCATCCTGGCAAGAAACTGATTGGTCACACAGATCCAGATGTCTGGTGTCTGTCACTGTCTATTAAACAACCTCACATCAAGCTCCATAATTTATTGCAATCAGTCCGTTGCTCTCCTCTCTGACACAAAATTTCTCTACAGAAGAATATCCGAAAAAAATGCCACACTCACTCCTCCAACATTGAATGCACGCATCCTCTCACGCTCAACAACAGAAAATAAATCTCTATCTCAAGACAGATTGCAAATACATGCATCTCGACAGAAATCTCAAGCAGTCCATGCGACTTCTTAAAATTCTCAGAAATAACAGAAGAAGCACTCAAAATGGACGTTGCAAAACCAATAGATACAGATCTTATATTTTGCTACAGAACCACGTATTCTTTACTCAATGGACATATAATTAATCTAGTGCCGCAAAGGTACTAGACATCACTTAGACGGACAGCACGAGCTTCTACACACCGCTTGCTCTCGTGATCAGGCGACGCCACTTCTATCTGCCTTAGCAGGGGTTGGAAAACACGGAAAAAACACCGGAATCTGATGGTTATTTTCTTTCCCACTAGGTAACCAAATATGGTCCACAAGGACGTCAATGCACAGTAAATACGCCCATATCCTAGATCCTGCATACAATGCATCCAGGTACGCTCTTCAGTTGAAGCGCAAGGGATCTCCTGGAAGCGGAATGGCGACACCTTTTGGCAATGCCTGCTCCAAAGCGTGTTCTGCCGCGCCTGCTGCGTTGGCTGAGTAAAAAGCGGCGGCATCAGCCGCTTGCGCTGCGTCTTTCTGTATCTCGGCTCCCCGCTTGGAAAGCTCTGCCGCTTGCTCCTCGGCTTGATACATCTGCAGCTGACGGATTATGGGTGGGTGGAAGGGAAATACGACCATCTGAGAAAATCCGGAGAGTGTCTTAATTGCATATGTGGAAAATGTGATGTGGAGATCTGCAACCATGCATGCGAAACTGACGCTGAGGGTGAGGGCCTCGACGCACTCCTTGTAATTTATCAACCAACTGAAGTAGGCAGAAGGAGAACGAATACAAAAAATAGGAAATTAAAGGGAACTACTAGGCTTCTTTGTTCGCCCTCGTGATCTTCGATGCCTTTCGCTGTTTCCGCCCTTTGAGCCCAGGTATCGACCGTCGCCTCTCGTTCCGCTGCAGCTTTCGAATACTCTCCAGCACGTTTTGCGAGATCAGCTGATGCCTTGGCCATCGCTTTTGAATCGGCTTCATACTGGGCCAAAACCGCCGCACCTGCATCATGGGCGGCCGCAAGCGACGCTCCTTCGAATGCCTTGCGCTTCTGCAGCGCGACCGTCGCCTGAACACGCGCCTGATGCTTCACTTCCCTGATCAATTCTTGCCCGAACGACTCTGACTGCTGCTTTACCTGACCCAAAGTGCGCTCGTACGCCAACCTTGCCCGCATAGCGGCCTCTCCTGCGCTCTTCGCATAACTGGCGTCATGTTGGTGGCCAGAAGTAGTGAATCAAATCGATAGTGTTCCGAAAATGAAGGACAAATCAGAATCATCTACTCATCTTCTACCATCGAGACAAGTTTGAAAATGGTAGTGGTACCTGTAAGCCTGCATCATCTGTGCTTTCACTAATGATATCGGGGGATCGCGCCTTGGTCTCCGTTTTGCCTTTGCGCGTTGCCTCAGCAGTGACAATGGAGTCTTTGCCGCTGCGGCGCCACCAACTGCAGAACCGCGATCGCCTGCTGCTTGTTTTGCTGGCATACACTGCTGCGCCTTCGTCGTGGAGCGACAGTTGCTATAACAGAACCTGTTTGATATCGATAAAGAACTTTAATCACGGAAACCGTCAAAGGCGTGCTTGTGCTTGACGAAAACTTAGTTCAACAAGTGCAGCTAAATTGAAGTATTTTCACACCACTAGCAAATTCCACATCTTGCTCACCTTGAATAGTCCAGCTCCTCCTTCTGCTCTTCGTCGTCGTCCGCTTCAATTGTTGCTGCGCATGATCCGGTGCTTAGCGGACAATTTCTTGGCACCGAATGCCCTAGATCCACCGCCAGCTGCACAAGCGTACAGCCCTGTTGCTCTGCGCCTAACGAAACACAACAATCACAACTGCAAAATCGGTCCGGCAATAGTCGTTGCATTGCCACCGCCACGCCTTGTCGTCGCCCCGCTGCTTCTCCAAGCGACAGGAGCAATACCACTAAAAGCGCAAGGGGCCGCATCGCAAGCTGCAAGGAAGGCTTGCTCCGAAGATAAATCATCTCTTGGCCGCACCAGAGTTGCGATCGTAGACACGAGCGCTTCGTAAAGATTAAGAAGATCTTTTTTTTAGCGACCGCAGTATCGAAATGCTGGCGCGCGGCGGTCGACGCGCTGCGCTCTACGTCTCGTCACCGCCCATGGGTTGTAGGTGGCGTTTTGCCTGATATCACTGGATTGGTCTATGTGAAATCTTGATATTTATTGAGCTGCAATTCGCATTGAGCAGTTCTTTTTGCGTTGGAATTTTGGTTGCGACATAGTAACAAACATCAATTTCGGTAAATCCTTCCTCAGTGATGGACCAACTTCTTCTTTGTCAACATATGTTCACGTGCGAATTATTACACACGCGCGCAAGTAAGTAAGTTTAATTTGTGCCTCAAAACTATACATAGTCACACGTTTTCGATTGTACTTCCCGCTCAAGATGTCTCAAACCGAACTTGTCAACATTTTTCTCTTCGTGAAATTTTTTCTCAGTTCTCCGCCCGAGTCCATTTTGTTGAGTCACCGAATACATGAATCAGCCCATGGACATTCCGAGACTATCCCAGTGTGATAGAAAATCAAAGCGAGGTACTTCAGCAACTGCAGATCTGCATCCCCCCTTTGTCAGAGATTGCGTTTTCGTTTGTTCTCGATGCTGTAGTTGTCGCGACATTAATAGAAAAAATGAAACTTTCTTCATGTTTGGGTACTTGGGAATACTCTACATATAGCAGGGATCGACTTTAAAATGGGTCGGAATCGGGAGTGAGAGGGAAACACAAGTGAAAGGCAAATAGGAGATTCATGTTCTCGCTAAGAGTGTTGATTTCACGTCGGCTCGCAACCGTTGAAGCATCCCCAGAAGCAGTGGCTGGTCACTGATCACGTCTAGGCCATCATCCTCCTCTAGGTGGTGCATGCGGGTTAAACCTTCACGTAGTTCTGTTGCTAACGCCTCTCCATCCTGCAAAAAGTTGTGTGAAATGGCCGCAGTTTGTGTTAAGTTCCTCGCCCTATGCGGAAAGCCGGCCGGCACGTACAATAATTGTCCTTGCCGTTGCACTCCGCGCCAGCACGTAGACTTACCGGTACCTTCATCTCCTTCCCCAACAAACTCAACGACATCAGCGCTATCTTCACTACAATCTCCACAAGCACGTCCGCCTCTCGCGTCGGGTGATAAAATTTCCCACTCTTTCACACCATCTACCAAGAAAAGCCATGCGCCTGTCCCGTGAGGGTCCACATGCATTGGCGTACCCGTGCCCGCTTCTCCGATGAAAATCCATTGTGTGAACAGTGCTAGCATCTCAGCTGTTTCCACGTCCACAAAATTGCGCCATAGCGGCATCGCAACATCACTTCTGGTAATGCTATTTCCTTTCGACGCTGACATTGAATTTTCTGAAGACTCTTGCATCAGCCTTTTTTCGTAAACGTGCGAAGACGGCAGATCATAATGAGCAACAACCGTATGAAGAAAATCCGCGCCTGCCACGTTTCGCACCACTGGATCCTCTGCAACGCTTCTTGGCACGTCCGGACACGAGTCCCCATCATCCACGTCCATCGCTGCATTTGTAAAGCTAAAACGATATTCCCACGCCCTTAGATACGATGGTGCACTGGAATCGGAATCAATTGTAACTTCGTACTCTCTTTTACGCTCACTATCGGAAACCCTCGTTTGCTCGTTTCTACTGATCGTTTTGTCTTGATCACGAACGAATCCCGGAGTGGAGGAGCATGTGGAGTCTTTGTTACTAGACACAGGCTCTGTTGCCTCCTCGCCTTTGCGACGTGAAAGTAAAAGTAATCTTTCCAAAGTCGGCCTCAATAATTCTGTACCACCTGTTGTCTCTTCCCGCTCCCAGCCATTGCCGCTTCCGTGTCGAGTCACCACACATTCTGCTTGTTGTGGGTCCGACGGCAAACGCTCCAGTAAAAAGCGCAAGAAAGCGTTTACCGTGCACTCGTAGGAAAACCGGAACAGCTCTTCATGCAAACTAGCACCCACGTCAATGACCCAAGGTGTTCTCAAGACCCGCGAATTCTTGGTGGGCGGGATCGTCGGTGCTGGTCCTGCTCCGTTGGTACGTGTCCTCAACAAGGTGCATAGATTGGGAACCGCTTCGTATCCCGCATCTGTTCGCACAGTTTTGCCAGCCTGTCCCGGAGCACCCATTTTGTTGATACGATGCTAAGCCTCGACCGAGGTTCATAATTATAGCCCTCCACCTCAACTATCGCTACATTATCACGCCCATTCTTTCCAAGTGGATCTGCTTGAATTTGAAATTACAGGTCGCTCATTGAAAAATCAGCACAGAAGATAAAAAGACGAAGAGAAGAGCAGAAACGCCAAAAACGATCGTTCAGATCTTGATCTTTCCCGGACATGTGGTCAATAATTGTAGATTCTTCAGCTAGATCAACAACAAATCGATCCTGCTTCCTGTTGATCATATCTGCGATCTGATTCTATTTCTGATCTGTATCACATTTTGTGATTTTGAAAGAGAACGGGAATCATGAGCCGCGCACTCTTCGACCCAAGAAGATACCATCAATATATATTCAGTGAGAACGGGGGGAAGGGGATAGAAAAGATCGCCGCGATCCTGATCTTCTGCCGAACATCAAGAATGTGGAGTGCGAAGGAGGTCCTGCGCACACTGGCGCTGCAATTAGCCAGCAGGACGCTCCAAAGCTACTTCCACTTTGTGCCTGCGTTCGATTTGGCTCTTCTGTATCGCGCGTATGCTGTTGTATAGCATGCGGTCTGTCGCAGACTCGTTTCACGAATTTACAAACCGGTATTCCCGGACGATTTACTACACTATTGGAGTGACAATCAATCTGAATTTCTATATTCTTATACATACTAGATCGTAGCTCAACACATCCAAACCCATCAGATGAGCAACTATGGTATACATTTTCGAGGGTGAGATGCTTGTTCTTCCCTCCCTCAGGTAAGAATGAGTTCATTTCTATACATTTTTCCTCTGTGCAAACGGCTTGTCGAATGATTATCCCGCTAGCTTGTCTAACAAAGTATGGTACATTTCTCTGATAACCCCAAAACCAAGCGAAACAATGACTAAATCGGATCCCTCATTCATGGGCCCCACCCAGGCCAACATTTTTTTTTTGTATGCCGAGATCGCCGGAAGGGTGATCCCAGTTTTTACCAGTTCGCAAACCGGCGGCAGGTGGAGTCCGGTTACCTCCTTATATTACTGCGCACTAATTGCCTACGAACCCGCCGATTTTAAACGGATGAACCCTAGGGGTGAAGGAGGTGAGTTAAAAGTCTTATATAAACCGCCACCGGCTGCCAACCGTCCCACTCTTATACGCCTACCTTCAAGGCACGAGCGCAGGGGATGCCAACCCTGCTAACTCTTGACTAATGCGCAATCAACTGACAAATGAACAACTAGACATAAATGCCTACCGGCGTAAGGTGGAGTCCGATTACCTCCGTATATTACTGTGCACTAATTGCCTACGAGCCTGCCGATCTAAAAAGGATGCCAAGACCGCCGGAAGGGTGATCCCAGTTTTATCCAGTTCGCAAACCGGCGGCAGGCGGAGGGCATTAGGCGCCTTATATTACAGATGCACTAATTGCCTACGAACCCGCCGATTTGAAAATGATGAAAAACTAGGGGCAGAGGAGGCGGATTAGATGTTTCAGATAAACCGCCACCAGCTGCCAACCGTCCCACTCTTATGCGCCTGCCTTCAAGGCACGAGGGCAGGGCCGCCAACCCTGCTTACTCTTGACTAAGTAATGCGCAAGTGAAATCCTAAGAGTAAGTTTCTACTGGCTTAAAGCCCTAAGCACAACATAAGCTGTCGCTGTTGAGGGAACTCCAACCTAGTTTTTCTTATCTTCGCCCCCTCGTGCTCCCTCCTTCGCCCCGTGCGTCCTGAACTGCGTTCCGCGATCGCCAAAAAATGACCAAAAAGAAAAACAGAAACCGGAGGGCTTACTCCTACCCAAGCAAGGGGCTACCTTATGCCTCGTAGCCACTTCTCTGCTAAGAGCGGGCGGGAGGTGAAAGAATCGGCGAGGGAGAGCGATGTGACGCTCTCTCTCTTTTAATTAATCGGCGCGCAAGATCTGAAATTTTTCTATTCTTGCGTCCTTCTTCTTTTTGTTCAAAAACTCTCCGTAAACAGTTTCCCGTCTCTCGTCTCACACATAACAGAACTCCAGAAAACTCTCGACCCCAAGCAGCTTCCAAAAGGCGCGTGGCGGATCACCAAAATGCTTAAAAGTCACCCAGGTACGTGAGTGGTCTATATGCCTTTCGGTCTCACTCGACTCTCAACAGATAGTAGCGTCATTAGCTTTGGGCAGTATTCAACCACTGGGTTTTGTATGCCAAGATCGCCGGGAGGGTGATCCCAGCGATATCCGGTGTGCCTGATCAACATTAAGCCACTGGGCAGTATTCAACTACCTAACGGAATACAGTGTGAACAGATAATGATCCAGATAAGCCATAGCTACAATGATCCTACGCGAGCAATCGCTCGATCGATCTATCTATGAAATAAAAATTCTGTGTGTAGTAGCCAAAAAGTTGTAGATATTGATATTATGTGCGGTGCCTCATGATCTCGTGCCTTCTGTAGTGCGTCGTGTATTGTGCACTCCTCACCTGCTTCCGAAAAACGGCTGAATGTGGCCGGGATCTCGAGGGCCGCGCAATTGGTACTCCTTGAGCCATGGCCAGGCTTTACTGCAACCAATATTCGTGAGCTTCGCAGCATCGTAGCCGTTCTTTCCGTAGTCTCTCGAAATTGTTCCGAAGCGCTCAAAATGCCCATTGTGGCCGAAGTCTCGAGTTGCTGTGAGTAGTCGGGAAGCAAGTAGGCTGTGGCTGATACAAGTTGAACTTGAATCCTCGAAAAAATATGAAATCAGAAGTTGTCATCATCATGACAGACCCGTTTCGTCAGCGACAGCGATGACGATATACGTCGGTGCAAGCAAAATACCACGGTTAATACACCTCCTACCTTCTTTGCAAGGCCAATTTATACGCCGTATTATAGCAAGTAATAATCGTACGATGGAGGTCGTATTGTTTTTCGTGGTACCGCAAGCGATCAATTGTTTTGTTGTAATATTCTCCTCGTTTGAATTCTCGAGCTGGGTCGTCTATTGGCCGATCGTCTACTCTACACTCATACTTCGGCCCCTTTGTATTCTTTGTCTCACCAGCCCACCTAAAGATGAGGAAAATAATGAGTTCGATTCTAGTGGTTGTGATCTACAGTAGTAGTACGTGTTTGTGGGAGATTATCCTCGAATAATGATTGTGATATGCCCAGCAGCTATGGCCATCAACCTGTTGGGAATTTGCATCTCCGGTCTAACTAATCTAGTAGTTGGATGACGAATCAGTCATACGAAAACAACAAAAAGTGGCTTCATTGCCTCGCTTTGATGGGCAGCGCTGTTTTGCCCTCCATTACGACCTCTGCCGGGTGATCGCAGTGTGCGCTTATCGAGGCACGCACGCCATCACTGGTTCCGGGTCGCCGTTGACTCCGCGTATGCCACCATGGATTTTTGCAAGTGGTCCGCACCGCACCCTCTACCGCTACCTAGTCATGAGGATGGTGCAATGAAGAAAGCACGGTATTAAAAATGTGTTATTGTTGGGCGTTGTGAACGTTGGAATCGTCAACTTGGGTGAAGCCAACGTAATATCATATTTACTAGTACCATTGTTCTGAACTCACATTTATACCCTGTGATAGGTCAACAAGTACAAAAAAAAGAATTTCATTCGAAACTAGAAAGAGAAATCAATCGGCGATAACAATCTTCAGTGACAAAGTGGTTGTATGCCTTCCGAACCTGACTCCCGCCGAGCACGCGACTCTCTGGCCGTACACCGGTTGACTGCTGTCTGCGAACAATATTGTTTTCAGCGAATTGCGGATGACCCCTTTCGCTTCCGACTGTCCGGCTGCGGAATGTATGCGGTGGCATCTTTTCTAGTTTACTCGAGTACTAGCAGTAGACAATGTTTCGACTCTTTAGCAATCGTGGTGATTCAAGTATCGCCTTGAAGCATTACAGTTCCAATTATTGCTTCTACTCACACACGAAAATCTTTGTCCTGCTTTCTTATGTCGTTCCAGACTTCTACCAACAAACATTGTTTTTCTATCTCTGATCCGTATCTTGTTTTTGATCAGGTTTTCAGCAGCTTCAAGTCCCCTTAGTAGCTATATCTAACGAAAAACTTAGCACCATAGAATGCTGACTCCATTCTTGCCTGGAGCGGATTTCTTTATCATATCCAAATTTGCAGTCATCTTTACTTGCTCCCATGTTCTTTTCTTCCCTCCTCGAGTGCTCCCCGCAAATGCTTCCCTGCCTTCCTACTCACGCACTCATAGGGAACAACCAGAAGAAGAATATCTTCTGGTGGGCTGTGAACGTCGGTGAAAGTGTCGTGTGCCCAGTTATGAACGGGCGATAAATGTCGATGGAATAAGGGCCAAAAAGTTGCAAAAATGGGGGCAAAAACTGTGTGTATTCTTAAGCTCGAAAGCTCGGCTCATCTCCTGCAAGGCAAAGTTCGTGGGTTTCTTTCTTGGACGCCGCTGTCGTGCAACTTCAACTGACACCAAAGCAAAACGACGATTTTGCAATCACAGCTGTAATACAACAAACTAACAGACTGTCTTACGCAAAAATAGCAGTAGGGTAGAACGAACGGGATACTCCTAATATGCGGTCCTCCTCCTCTCCAGCTTGTAACCTACAGCAACCAAATGACGACGCGAATCTATTCGGCAGAGGCAAACGGCCTAGGATTTCCGTGGCGACTTCTGCCCGCTCGTCTAGCTTGTTGTTGGATTGTCGTCGGCCTCTCAGCTGTTCCTGTTGTTCCTGCTATGGAATGACCAGCACGCCCACGCTTCCATCCTTCCAGCTTACTACTTGCGGCCAGCGGTTTCTATCTATTACTTGGGCTAGTTGTGCGCGTGCCCCTCTTGCTTTGAGGTCAGCCTCCAGCTGCCTCCTGAAGGCCGCGCGCGGCGCTCCTCTTCTTCTGTCGTCGCTGCGGTTCCCTTCTGCTGCTAGGGCTATCCTTACCCACGACCTGCCCCGGGGGCACCATACTAGACGCCCTGTTCTCTATGAGTATCATGTGGCTGAGCGGTTCCTGTTTTGTCTTCTCTAGCAGGTCGCCCGTCTTGGTGTGGTCTGCTTTCGTGGCACCTGCGCAAGGCTTGCTTCAGCCTCTTACCCCGCCACATGTCGAGCGCGGCTGTGTTGTTCCTTACGTACGGTGGGCGCCCAGGTCTCCGATCCCTATAGTATAAGAACACTAACAGACACCACGGGCAACGCAGAGGCTGCTCGCAGTATTCACGTCCTCCGATCCTTGCGGCGCAGACTCCTGCGCGCGCGCAAAATCTTGAGGGCCCCCCCTCTTCCTCTGGGCCCGCTTTGTCTGTCTGGCTCGTCGTCGCAGTCTTGTGCTATTGTACTACCGGGATGCGTGAACTCCCCACCTCGCTCCACTCCGCCCCGCTTCAGTGCGGGCCCCTCTGCGTCAGTATCTCCTTGGCTGTTGAATTCTACGCGTTCCGCTTTTGGCTTTGCTAGGTTTACTGTCCGCTCGTACTAGCCAGTAAGTTTCCTACTGTACCTACTAGCCTCAGCGTTGCTTCTCTTAGGTGTTGGGCGTCCTCTGCGTATGCGAGCAGGGCGATGCCGTCCGCGTATAGTAGGTGGCCCCGTCCTCGGTGTCTTCGTCCCGGTCTACTAGCGGCACCCTCGTCCTGCGTAGATTGGCGCCCTCCCCAAGGCCCGCCCGGTCCAGTGCCGTGCGTAGCTTCCGCACATGCTGAAGATGAGCGGAGACCGTAGGCGCCCCTGCTGCGTCCGTGTCGCTGTTTCTCTTGACTCGCTGACCGCTGCCTCCCTCCGTACTGCCAAATAAAGCAAAGCTAAGAGATACAAGAGTGATGCGCTGCGTTGCCGATCTGTAGATAATCTTTGCTCTGTTCTTCTCCATGCATGCTACTTACAGCTAGTTCGAGTCTCATGCTGCTCATGTCCTAGTTTCGCTATTTATTACACAGTTGGCGTCGCAGGCATACTAGCTGCCCCGCGTCGCCGCCAGTTCTTCACACAAGAGTCCTGCATGCCCTTCGTCGCATGTGTGTTGTTCTCCCGCCTGATGCTCTAAAACCGATGTCTTTTCGGCCTTGTTACTGCCCGACTCAGCAGTATACTGGTAGTCATCCCCTTAAGAGGTGCTATTCTTGTCCCAGCATGTTCCTAGTCTGTTAGAAGAAGTTACTCTGAGTAGTCGAGGTCTAAATTTACTGTGCACCTTCGCTCTTAGCATGAACATTACAACTGCTTGCAGGAAAGTTTTGTCATTTCTTTATCGTTAATTCTGAAAGAAGCAAGTACACAGTCCCTAAATTATCATCATTGAGTTCCTTTGGTTACACAAAACAAAATAAATGTCGTCGCTAGTAGCGAAAATCTGCAAACAAGAAAAGGTGAGCTGGATTTTTCGGTAGGTATCTCCATCAGTGAGGTGGACTTGTTCCGATACCGATTTCGTTCACAGGGGTTCATTCCCCGTCGCTCTCTTTGTTCATGAATCTACCTGTTAACAATTTCTGGGGAAGCAAAAAGCAAGATACTGCTCCGTAGTAGTGGAGGACTAGTGCTTCTTCCTGCCTGCCTACGTAGCTCTTGCTCCAGTTCTAGAAGCAAATTGTACTTGTGCTAGTTGTCGTTGTTCCGTACTAATTATAGTGGACACTCAGGATGACCCAGTCACTACATACATGCATGCTGTAGTCCCTGGTGTCATAGTTCATAATAACCGTAGCTAGAGAGGAGTTCTGAAAGGTCATTATGTTCATGGAGTCATGCGTTACTCACAGTCATATTTACCGACTTTTCCTTGTACCTTGTTCTTGTCCTTCGAGAAGTATCTGGCCTGGTCAAAGATAACCGAACACATGCCTGAGGACTACTACTAGTGGGGGTAAACAATTGAATCCACGCACATGTGCACGGCGATTTCCTCACTCGTTAACGCTAACTTAATTACGAATCAAAATAAAGAGTGTGCCGAAGATCATCGGAGGAAAAAGGATGCTCCTGTTGATACCAAGCACCCATATAAAAAACGTCCTCTAGCAAAATACTGTATATATAGATACATTATCTTCTACAGGAGTAGAGCGGAAAATAGAGTACCAAGAAATTTTCTAGAAGAAAGAATAGAAATAAAAAGAATCGATGTCTTTTTTATCTAAGCAATTATGTTAACCTTGCATCAAGGGTGTGGAATGATAGTTGTATCTTCCCGATCTTCCATCTTCATGAGATTGCTCCGGGTTGCAGTCCTAGCTTAACTGTCTAAGGAGCCATCACTTTCAGTCAAGAAACATGCCTGTCGCTTCAGCTCTTTTTTTCGCTTCCATGGATCGGACGAAAGTTTAACCTCGAGAAGCATTACTTATAGGGAGATACGCGGGTTTACTACAGATAAATGCATGGCTAATAGGGCTGGATCATACCATTCCACAGTGATCGCTTCAATTCCTTCCGTCTACCCACGATATGCATATAGGTACCAGGGAGGCCTTGCCGCCGACCTTTGCCCGGTCTGTGGGGTTGGGCACATGCAACACGCCAGAGGGGTCCAGCCTTGCCACCTTTGCCAGGTCTGTAGGGTTGGGCACATGCAACACGCCAGAGGGGTCCAGCCTTGCCACCTTTGCCATGTCTGTCGGGTACATGCAACAAGCCAGCGGGGTCCCGCCTTGCCTCCTTTGCCAGCTTCAACGTCCTCCGGTTTGGTGGCGCTCTAGGGTACAGGCAAGAAGCGGGAAGGGGTCAGAGGTGGGCGTTTTGAGGCCTTCCCGCCCGGCAGCCCCTCGCAAAGAGGGTCCGGGGCTGGGAGGCCCCCCCCATCAAAAAGTTAGATCGGAGGGGGGGCCTTCAGCCCTGAGCCCTGGAACATATATAATGCATATCCCTGCTAAAGACTTACCATCTTGGAGCATCCTAACTTGTATTACATGAGTACTTTACAAGTAGATGTGAGAAGATAGTTAGGAAACAGTTACGAAGCTAGTTACGAAAAATGAGTTCACAAGATTCAATATACCACCCCAACAAGGAAAACGTAGATATGGATGTAATAAATAGGATCTACCCGATTGTCAAGGGTAAAAAGAATACCAGAAAATTACTGCTCAGAAGACTCCGTGTCCAGTGAACCTCACTCGACGAAGGTTCTTCCGGTAATAAGTATGTAAGACAATGACAAATGTATGTTGAATAGGGAGATTACAACATTGTACTTAGTCTAATCAATCACTCCGGCGTGATTGGATATACGCAGACCCTGCGCAAACCTCTACCAAAGACGTCAACAAAACATAAAAAAGAAGAACTTGAATCGTGAACGAATGAAAAGATAAAGAAGGCACAAAGGAAAGCAGGAGAGCGCAGCAACATCATACTACAACTACGCAGCAACAAGATCCGGCCAAAGCTGAAGGCCGAAGCACTCAGCCCGTTAGTATACCCAGTAGCCGCTTGGGGGGCCGAGACATGGACGCGACGGACGCCAACGCAGAAGCCGGAGGAGAGGCTGGGCGCATTCTTTCACACTGAAGCAAGAAGCTTCGGCTGTGCTTAGAGATCACGAAGAAGGACAGGGAAACAACAGAGGAGATCCTGGCGACACTGAACCAGAAACGACCTCCGACACGATTGAAGTCCATGAGGCTGAGATACTTGGCGCACGCGCCACGTGATAAGATATCCGGAGGCGCGATGGGTGAGAAGAATGCGAAAGGCGACGCATGCAGAGGAGCCAACTAGAGTAGGCCACGGAGACAAGGACGACCGAGAGAAACGCGAAGAGACAGCACTGCAGCGGAGCTAGTGGCAAGATCTGCCACATTGGAGGACTGCTGAAGCCGAGAAGGAGGGAAGAGCATAACAGAAGGAAGCGCGAGCGGCGGAAGCTTCCTCCCAACAACGAGCAGCTACACGGTAGAGAAATCGGATCCCCCTCACAGCTTCAACATCAGCGAAATTCGTGGAACTCGTGCGAGATTCTGGGAAGTCGTAGGGCCAACCCGATTCGACTAACATCATCATCAATAAGTGAGTGAATGAATGACACCGAAAACAATCAGGGATCAGTCGATTGTTCTTAGCGCAGTACCCAGGACCTCTCCGCCAACTTGCAGAACAGTATCGACTGGAATTCAACCCGACGCAGGTATCCCCAGACATACACAGTAGTTCTATCAAATCATTAATCATACTTCTTTACAGTTCAAATTCAATCTTCTGTATCTATTTATTTTCGCAAAAAACGAGCAAAATAAAAATCTCATTTTGACCACATTCTTACTTTGCGATCATGGGGAAAAATCAAAAAATATACAGGGAAGAGCTAGAGAAATATTAGCTCTTTACAATTCATAAACGCGGGTCAAAAGTATGAAATACACAGGCATTTTATTGTCTTTGTCATGCTTTCCTTCGACTATAACCTTGTTAACCTTAGATAGTCGAAAAAACTATTGCACAGATGAGATGAGAAACTTCCTGCCCACAGAATAAGGATAGTGATTTCGACTACCTATACGAAGTTTTTCGCAAAAATAGCTTGACACGCAGAAGAAGTATAATTAGGACATCGAATCGTTGCTAGATGCGACATACATACTAGTCGCTTCCTGCGTACGCACCTGACTTCTTTCTTAATGCGTTCGTTCGAGTAGAGAAAAACCTATCTTGAAACTCCTTTACTACGACAGACGTTTTCGTTCCAATCATACTATCAAATTTCTCCCGAAAATGAGTGCAAATTTTCTCGAATTTCAAACTCTGTCGTTTCAATAAACATACCAGAATAATTTATATATAGAAGGTTTGGCAGCTCGCATGGCATGGAGTGCATGGATCGCATGGAGCAGGCGCCCCATGCGTTCCATGCGTGAAAATTTTTTCGGTGCGCCCTTCGGGCGCTCCTTCGTCAGAGCCCGCACGCCTACAGCTCGGCACTCCATGCGGGAACTTCAAGCACCCAGACCGCCAGCCTCCGAGCCAACTGCTACATCTCCAAGCCCACTCACTCGCGGGGCAGGGCCTTGGGGCGCGCAACAAATCAGCTTGCTGCAGCGCCGCCAGGAGCTACACCACGCCCCCGCATTACGCACAAGGCAGCGCTCCCGCGGCGTCAGTCTAGCCGACCAACCGACCCCGACTTCTACAGCCCCCGACCCACCCGCCCCCGGGTGGGCCGGGCGCTTGTTCGTGACCCATGCACTCCATGCGTGGCCATGCTGCGTCTGCTCCATGCACTCCATGCCGCTCCATGCACTCCATGCGCCATGCGTGCTACAAACTACTCTGATATACAGTTAGGAGAACTGCTACCCTTTGATTCATAAAGTCACGATGTGCTTCAACTTTGCTCAAAAATAAAAAGGTAGCCTCAACTTTGTTCGAAAATCAATAAGAGAAGCTTTCCTTCCGCATCCCGATGTTGATGTTCTTTAGAAGTAAGGTCCTGCCTGGCGCACTTCGAGGGGGCAGCGGTCCGCGTACTCGACGAAGTTGTTCCGGAACAACTCGTAGAGTTTCTCAAGCGCGCTGTCGTAGGCCTTTCCATCTTTCCAGGCCTTCCTTGGATTCAGGATCTCGGATGGAACGCCAGGGGCTGTCTTCGGCACCTTCAGCCCGAACAGGGGCATGTCGTCGTACTCGACATCGAGGAGTTCCTCATTGTGGATCGCATTCACCAACTTCCGCGTGTGCCTATAGTTCATCATATTAGTCGAAGTTCATTACAATTATCTCCACGACGCAGATGCACAAATAGCACAACTACTTCACTTCGGTAGACGAGGAAGACTTAAGTCACTTTTTAAGTGTCAATTTACTCGAGCAATAAATCTTCTGATAGAACAATGGACGTGGAAGTTGTCAGTTTCGTGAACAACCTAGTAAACTTCATTTTCATGTAAGTAACAAAACACCAATCTAATCAAACGATATATAAGAAATAGTACGGAATGCTCATGCGCTTTCCGACACCGTAGCCGCCGCCGGTCCAGCCAGTGTTGAGAAGGTATGCATGACAATTGTGTGTGGCGAGTTTCTTTGCCAACATCTCAGCATATACGATAGGATGCCACACCAAGAATGGCGCGCCGAAGCAAGCGCTAAAGGTGGCCGTAGGCTCCGTAACACCGATTTCGGTACCTAGAGTATTTTTGTCATGTCATGTCATGGATCCTCTTTTATGTGTTATGCTAACACCTTCGAGGCCTTTCAACTATCCGGTACCTTCTGTTGAAGAGCAGAGTAACCGATTGATAAGCTATCAAGTATAACCGGGAGTGCAACCACAGGTCTGGACATTTTTGCATGGGGATTTTCATTATCATCAAACAAAAGCAATGGCGATTCTTCTATCTATTCGAAAAACTGAAATAAGCAAGTAACTACTGAAAACAAGCGAGATACTGAACAAGGAAGGGTAGCCCTGTCAAAGCTACATCCCTTATTTCAGTCAGTAACTCGCTTATTTTCAGTTTTCGAGTACTTTGAGGAAGTTCAATCCTGAGGACTAAAGAAAGGCCAAAGCTCTCCCCTACAAAAAAAGGACCACTCCGCTCGTTTGTCATTCTGTTGGCCAATGGTCTAGACCTACTCCGGACCCTACGAATGAGCCTGATTCCAATGCCAAGTGGCTGCGCGCTCTCGTCGCCAGACCATGATCATGGCCGACGCCGTTCCTTGTCTTGCTCTTTCGCTGGTTCCTTATGTGGTCGCTACTTAAACCCAATGAGTCACTTCCTCACGTGGTCGCTACTTGAACTCAGTGACTTAATGAATGACTGCGCCCACTCCGTTGCTCGTGGTCTTACACGTCTACAGCTCCATCATTTATATCATGAAGATGAAAGGCGAGACGATATGGCGCAGCTAGTGACTGCATCACTATGCACGTGAATGATCAACGTGATCGATCCCCCCAGGTCAATCGCTACACCGTTGCCCTTAGTTAATGACACCCCACGACATTGAGCCCATGCCGGTACCAATTCAGGGCCTTGGGCGGTCAGTGATCACGCGACGCGCCCGCTCTGGTCCTCTTTCTGTTCCATTGCGTCAAACGGGAGCAACTCCTTTCGCCCTCAGGAGCTTCGTGGTGCGCTTGGGCGTGTTCGGGTGTTCCAACACATTGACTCGCGCTTACTAATAGTTCTGCTGCAACTGCATGCAAAATTAGCACTCATCATGTCATGTATGTGCCCCTGATGACACTGTCCGTAGTGCCCATAGAGACTAATCCTGGTAGCACTCATCATACAACCAAACACTTGCTTCAAAAAAGGGCTTCTGCAAAGTGATTACCTGCGACTTTCGCCGTGTATCCGCTGATGAAGTAATACTGGACTTGTGCCGCTGTCAACTTTGAGACTGGAGGCAGAACTCCGAAAGCGTCGCAGCACAGCAGGACAATGGAGGACGGATGAGTATCCACCTTTGCCGGAATCAACGCGTTCGGAATGAAATGCAATGGATAAGCGGCACGTGTGTTTTCTGTTATGCTAGTGTCATGGTAATCGATCTCACGCGTGTTTTGATCGAAGACGACGTTCTCAACTACAGTTCCAAATTTAATCGCATCCCAGATCTCCGGTTCTTTCTCCCGCGACAAATCAATAGCCTGTGTAGGAAAAGGGAGGCATACTTAAGACTGACAGCCTCCTTCTGAAGACCAGAGAGACTAAGGAAGTATTCAATCATCACTAAAACCAGATGCACAAAAGTCGACTGTCAAGTAAGAAACAGTTGTCGATATTGAAAAACTTTTGAAGCCGTGCATCATGTGTACCTTGGCGTAGCAGCCACCCTCGATGTTAAAGACGCCAGTGTCACTCCATACATGCTCGTCATCGCCGATCAGGTAGCGTTCAGGATCTGCACTTAGTGTGGTCTTCCCGGTGCCGGATAAGCCGAAGAAGAACGAGACATCACCCTTCTTCCCGACATTACAAGACGAATGTAAAGGCAATTGTTGCTGCTGCGGCATCGCATACCTGATATATTATAACACACAAGATATTGCACATAAAAGAGTGCTCGTATTCAATTTCCAAAAGTTTTAGTTTAGATAGTTAACATAAGTATGCTATTCAGTATCTAGTTAAATGTTAATTAGCTACTTGAGGCGTGGGCTGCAGAATCCTCCAGGCAAGACCAGGTGGCGACGAGGATGATGGCGGCAGGACTCAGCTGAAGTGGAAGGCCAAGGATGCACTTGGGCTAGAGACGATCTCCCAAAGAAGTGATAAGATCACAGACTCGGTGGTCGTCTGCGGCGCCAGGTGCTGGCGCATGTGTGCCAACAGTCTTTGATCTTTTGATTTCATGGGGGCATGGCCTATAGCCCACGTGGATCCTTGGACTTGAGTCTCAGCCTCCTCCTGTCGTCATCATATCGATCTCCACCCGGTCGCGCCTGGAAGAATCTGCAGCCCACTTTAATCTCGTTCACTAGATAGCGAAGTACCTAGTTAACTAGATACTAAACTTAGATATAAAGACAGAAATTTTTGGGATTTGAATGCGAATACTCTTTTCCGTGCAATACAAGATACATCAATCATACAAAGCAAGGCCCTCGCCGCTTTTCGTTGTTTTGTTTCATTGAGATGAAAGTGAAAGCCGGGGGATCAGATTATCGGAACGGGTCATCAAGACATAATGCAAAAACAATTCTTCTAAATATAAATATGCTCCAGGGCTCAGGGCTGAAGCCCCCCCGATCTAACTTTTTGAGGGGGGGGGCCTCCCAGCCCCGGGCCCTCTTTTCGAGGGGCTGGCGGGCGGGAAGGCCTCAAAGCGCCCACTTCTGATCCCTTCCCGCTTGTTGCATGTGCCCTACAGACCTGGCAAAGGTGGCAAAGGCTGGGCCCTCTTGTCGTGTTGCCTGTACCCTACAGACCTGGCAAAGATGGCAAGGCAGCCCTCTGGCGTGTTGCAGGTACCCGACAGAGCTGGCAGAGGAGGCAAGGCGGGACCCACCCCCTTGGCGTTCTGCATGTACCCGACAGACCTGGCAAAGGTGGCCAGGCTGGACCCCTCTGGCGTGGTCCACCACAGATCCATCCACAGGGGGGGCCTCTCTCCCTGGTACATATATAGGAATACATCATGAGCGTGAGGATTCCCTTCTTCATTTCTCCGGCGTACTCTGAACCGAGAATGACCATTTCCTTGCGGCGAAAATGCATGCAGATCGATGTCTTTGAGGTGATTCCCTTTGTGTAGCGATTCGCCGGGAAGCAGCCAGAGTTATAGATGATGAAGTCCGGGGAGCCAAACTCCTCCTTGCTCTCGGGCATGATGAGCATGTTCTGCATGAAGAGCGCATGATACGCGCGGGAGCAAATGACGCGCACCTTGATGCGGTACTTCGGGTCCCAACCGGCGTAGGCATCGACCACATAAATCTTCTTCTGCGTGTTCAGGTAATCAACAGCGCGCTCGCGGTTCACCAAGAAACTCTCATCGTCAAGCTTGATGTTCACCTGCGTTTTTGAACATTCAAAATGAAACGCATCCTCGTGTCTGGCTAGATTTTTGGAAGACAAAGACTATCTTGTTCAACCCATAATTATACTACACAGCAACAGCCGTGGAATGTCGGTATGCTAAGAACGCCACACCTAGAAGTACTACACAAGATCCAAAATCAATCGATCTACCTTTCCCCACCAGACTTCGTTCGTAAAAGCCCACCAGCCAACAGGCTCATCTACAATTCGCTTATCACTCGGCGACCTGCCTGTCTTGGCACCACTGGAAACAACGAGAGCTCCCGTCGACGAAATGAACGATCCCTCCTCTGCACGCAGGGCATCCTCGTACCTACAAGGAAGAACAAGAATGAGTAAACAAATGGAGTTAAAAAATCATTCATGTCCATACGATGCCTCACTTGTTACTAGAACTCCTACCCATAGAAAACGATAAACACCCAGAGGTGAAAAGGTGCCAGACGGAAGCGGATTTGTCATGGCATGTCATGCGTGAGGTGATTTTCTATCAACCATCGAATCGGTCATCCTCGGGAATAATGTAGCTTGTCCATAAATCTAACCGACTGGATTATTGAGGGGCCTAGAATGGAATGAGTGAAGAAGTGGAGGTAGAGGTAATTCGTAAGTCAATCTCATTACAAGATGGCTGGCGCTGCGTTGTAGACGATTTGCTTCACATTGAGTCCTGTCTGCTTCGTGAGTTCTTTCTCGAAAGTCTTCTGCGTAGCAAACTGGCCCAAGTCAAATTCGTCCTGCTTGCTCATATGCAACGGTCCCGGAACGCGCTCATAGTGTGCCAGATTCGCCTCGATCTGACCCTTCAGGGCTTCAAGGAAATCCTTCCCGCCCTCGATCTTTACGCCGCTAGACGACGACATCCTTGCTCTTCTTAAATTTGATTCTAAAATAAATATGCCTCTATAATTATCATTTCATTCAACGAAACTCCTTTGTTTAGTTACTGACTTGTTAATCTAAACTGATACGCTTATATATGATACAAGAACGCACTGCCCCCTACCCTGTGGATGCCCCTGCAGTGGCGCTTGCGCGCTCTCTTCCGCGCTGCTTTTCGCGGATTCTCGGGGAGGAAGGCGCCAAAATTGGGAGCGGGCGGCGCCTTGCGCCTCTCTGCAGGTCCCCGACAGACGTCCCGGCCCCTGCCGACCCTCGCAGGCTGGAGGCCTCGAGGCCTGCCCCCTTTTGCTGGGTTGCTTTCATCAAATGCGCGGCAAGAGCCGGCAGGCCGATGACCAAGGGCCCGGAGGATACAGGCCACACGGCTCGGGGGGTCCAGCCTTGCGCCTTTTGCCGCCTTCGGAGGCCTTCCACACCCGGCAAACTGCTGCGGCGGCGAGGGGCCAGCCCCTAGGAAGTCTCTAGGGTACACGCAGGCAGCTGCAAGGGAGCGAAGGCGGCCCCTTGGACCCCTTTGGAAGCCTTCCACCCCCGGCAGACGCCTCCAAAAGGGGTTCGGGGAGCCACGCCCCCCCTACGCTAGGGGGGGCGCTACCCTGATCCCTGGAACACATATTTTCCGAATTTCTAAGTAAAACCTAGTTATTCTTGCATGTAGTCTCGTGATTCTTTAAAGCAATACAAAACTGAGAAAAGAAATCTAACTAGGGAGCAAAGATAGATGAGTTACTGAAACGTATGATGCTAATTCTGAATGAATGACAATACACGACGAGAAAAACGAATATCAATATGATTCACACGCAATTTTTTACACACTGCATCACAAAGGTTTTCAAAGCACTCGCAGAGCTCAACACAAATTGTTTACTCATTGAAACTTTGAGGAACTCTAGCAAGAGCAATAATCTGGAATTTGACTTTTTACCTTCACACTAATTAGAAACCCAAACCGTCTGTTCTCATTTTATTAATCCACCGTCTCTAAGTTTTTACAACACTAACAAAGTCAAATTGTAAAGAGTTTTTTCCCGGAATTTTCGTTTCCCTGAAGAAAAGTCATGTTTGGAGATGGAGGGCTCAACTTGAGTTGGGCTTGGCGTAGGATGAATCTGAATGTAATACCACAATTCTCAATGATCACTTCCGGGCCGATCCTCTGCGGGGCAAGGAAAAATAACAGTTGGGCGGAGGGGTCGAAGAAGAGTAAGAACACAGCATCGACAGAAGGTTCCCTCGCGACAGTGCTCGACGTCGACACACTCTCACGACAGACGATAATGTCATAGTCCGTTGTAGTACTACGACGGGCCCACGGGCCCAAGGGTATCGCTCAGCAAAATGGAACACAACCGACGATTCTAACAGACTTGCTGTTACAGGATGCACGTGCAGGAAAGAGCCCGAAAAAGCTCTTACGATAAAAGACTTCTTTGAAGATATACCTTCGACTGAAACTTGTATCATTCTTGGTTAGCGAATTTACTCTCGTTCGTTCGCGCCCCGCCTTCTGCCTCGCTCTCGTAGTGCTCATGATGGAAGAGAACAGAAGTGGTTTTCTTGCCTCACATGCATAGATAGTCTTATTTAAGCAGAGACCACATTCACAATTCCGTCAGAAAAACAGCAGGATATGGTCTGTCACGATCTCGCAGCGGAGCACAGTACACATATAATGATGTGCTATGGGGAAGAGTTCGGTATCTATTTACAGAAAAGTTGTGTGTTTCAGGTTGTGCTGCTCCTCTTCCACCACCGTTGCATAAATGAAGGCAATCTGCCTGTCCTCGACAGTACACGATGATCATCATGATGATCTTCATATAGAGTTTTATTCTTGCAACAATATCGTAGGCAAGATCCTAGCTCACTCACTGCGCCCCCAAATACGCACAGCTCGCTGGCAAGGAAATGCCGGTGCAGACTCCAACCATGATCAGTACTTGTGTCGCATCCAGCTGCATCACGTCTTGCTCATCGTCTGCCTTCGGTGTGATGACCGAGGTCACTCTGACTTCGTCTTCGTCCAGTTCGACATCCTCGTCCAAGCTAGCTGTTAGACGAGTCAGCATGTCGGTACTCCCAAAACTGTGTTCTTGAAATAACCCTGTTATAAGCTACTATCAAAGCAGGGCCATCTTCCACTTATAAAAGCAAGGTGGTCGTTGCTGGAGCAAAGGAAGTGATGCCCACCTCGAGATACAAAAGAACGAGATGAGCTTACTCGTGGCGTTTCTATTAGCACTGCGCCTGCTAATATTCCGGGCATAGTAAACAGAATCAAAATTAGCCAAATGCTGGCGGCAAGGTGACTACGCACCGGCTAAGTACTTACAACCATCTTACCACCGACGGCCGGGGGGGCTTTTGTATCAATGTCAAAGACTTCTTCACTCTATTTGTCTAGTTGGTTTGGATTGCACCTACGATACCTCTTTAGGCAGTATATCTCTTTTGCGTTCTTATCATACTAACTAATATTACCAAGGATGAAAATGATTTCCATCCTTGGTAATATTAGTTAGTAGGTAAGATTTTGTTCTCTAGTAAACCTCGTATCCATCTATCTTAGTTAAAATAGACGTAATAAGTAGGTAACCAAGAATATTATTGCTGTCTCGACTATTTCAATTTTTTGGACACATTCGTGGTCTTCCCTCTGCTTGGCAAGAAGCGAGTGATGCTTTCTTGGATGGAGGGAGTAGGATTGGCCAAGCCATAAGTCTAAGGGGAGAGGACCGAAGTTTGGATCGCGTTCACACTTCCCCGACTCGGTATTTAGCGCATAACCTACGTAGCAACTAACGCACATAGGAGCGCCAGGGTGCGAACAATCCTCGTTTCCAACTTGGCGATCATGTGCACTAAACAAAATTATTCTCAATAAATTCTAATACTCGTAAGAAGTCCATTTTTGTTCTAGTACTATCTTCTATAACTCATTGCTACCATACCTATATACATAGCAAATAAAATAACATGCATACTAGCTCTACTTTTGACGTAGAGAATCTTCTTTCGGGTGTGTCTGAAATATTTTTGAGGTAGCTTACTTCTACTGCTACCCAGTACTCCTACCTCTACCTTATCACGATGGATGGCGCAAAACTGAAAGAAGCGGCGCGCAATTTATTGTCGTAAATTATTCGAGGCTCTCCTCGTTTCGCTAGCTCGCTTAAAGCCATCATGTATTATCTGACTCTATTTACTCACCTGTTGGATACTGAGGGCCATAAGAGTATCACCCGGATGGCCGTTTTGGCAACGTCACACCCACGCAATCCGAAACTTCTCGACACACTTCTCCTTCCCGTCCTTTGTCCCAGCTGTGAGCCTGAAGAAGCCCGCTTTGCTCGACTTGTCCTCCCTGTGCACAAACTCTGTGGGATTGCCTGGTTTTGGTCCCAAGCGATCATCCCCCAGCCCACGCGATTAGAGCTATCGATAACTCAACTTCACATGCAACAACCTTTTTGTTGCTGTTCCTCCTAGGTAAATGGTGCTTGGAAATTCATTCTTGAGAACCTTAACGGAGGAGAAACCAAAACGAGTTGTCATCCCCTGTTCCGGATATTTTTGGAGCCCCCACGATGAAACCCTCACAGACCGTCTCCATGAGAGCACACACCCTTCCGCATTGCATAGGAGAAAAATTATTTCCGGGCACATATTTTATCCGATGTGGTATTGTTGCGCCACGGCGCGCATCAGATAGTCTGACTTTGAAAAATCGCAAAGATGCATCATTAGATACCGGAAATATCAACGTTTGAGATACAAGAACAGAGACAAAGCCATCAGATAAATTGCTACCACTTCGGTTTGTCACTTATCTCCTAACTTGAGTGATATGTTGACTGAGTGACCCCCCTGATCCTGGCTTGCAGTTATCGGGTTGCTGCACACATTATGTCAAGCGACTTCCCAAGACTTGGACAGTCTCGTTCGAAACCAGACTTATTCCGTGGTTGCGTCCTTTCCAACGAATACAATAAAGATAGACCTAGAGGTTGCATCGGACACCGAAAGCGGACTATTCAGAAACTGGCCTCAATATCAAGTAGTCGAAATGCGTGTTCGTCTCTTTGTCTAATGTCAAGGCATCGCAATTCTTATCGTTGCAGTAAGCCTTATTCATGCCATCTGCTCGCCATTTTAGCGTCTTCGCGCCATCTCCTTCGTTATCCTTCTATGTTAGATCATGTACATAGTTATTTTCTCAGTCTTGAGAATGCTCACCTGAAAAATGTCGATCCCGCTTCCGCTTCAAGCCAAGCCGTATGTGGGTACGAGAACATATTGCACTTCTTTGAAATCATGGTCTTCAATTTCGCCTTAGCGATGATACAACTATGTATACGATGAAATAATAACGCAAGTGAAGAAAGTCGACGCGCAAAGTGTAGCAGAATAGTTACATGGCAACAGCCTTGATGTCGTCGGATAGCTAGCCTTAACTCTTGAAAATCCACTTTTTCGTCTTTTTTACGACGAACGAGCGTGCAGGTCACCTCTTTATTACCAGAGTCGCTTTTCGATTCCCAGGCGACACAGTCATTTGATTTCATGCAAAATCGGAGGCAGCCAAAACTTGGAGGTAGTCTTTTATCATCCTGAAAGTAATACTGCCTTCATCGAGGTAGCCCTGCTCACATACTATCCCCCCCGTCGAAACTATCTACGGGCCTCCAGTTTGGGCCGACAAGAGAGAACAATAAAAAACTACACTTAAGCATGAACTGTCTGGGCGGTAGAGCATGTCGCTGTCAGCATCACGTTTCTGCGGTGAAAACTTAGAAATCTGGTCAAAGCTGCCACTCACCAAGGTACTCTTCTCCATCCCGCAGCGATCGGTTAACCTCGAGTTTTCCTTTAGAACATTATCGAGACTATCTCCAACAGGGAGTCCCTCAGATGACGAAAACCCGTGCTGTTGGTGAAGGAGCTCTCCGAATGTTGATGCTACTGAATTCCGCCCCACAAGCTTGCTTTTGCAATCTTCTCTATTCATTTGTATATATAATTTGCATGCCCTTTCTTGCATGCCGTGGACTTTGCTTCTCCCCCATCAGACACACTAACCAAGAGTTGACAGTTGTGTTCATTTCTGTCCGAAAGCACGAGATTTTCCACGAAGGCAACTGCAGCACAGCCGGCGATCTCTGCACAAACCTGAGCGCAAAGCCCAAGGGTCAAAGTACTCGGGAACCATTAGAGCAGGGTAGCCGATGATTATGTAATCCGTGGTGGAGTGAGTTGCTTTCTTTCTCCTCGAAACTAGGGAAGAGTCCGCTCAGAGTAGGGCACGCGAGATAAATGTATGATCGACTACCCTTAAAACCAGCCCGCAGGCTGCGCGGAGGGCAGCGGAAAACCCTCGTCGTTGCGAGGTTCCGCGTGACGCGTCCAGATGAGAATTAGCATGCTCTCTTGACTCGTACAGTTAAGAAAAATGATGACCCTAGAGAGGAATTATCCCCAAGACGATCGGAGAAGGGAAATGACGCCTAAGAAGGGGCAACGAAACTACAAAGACCGGTGGGTCATGTACCTAGGTCATGTTGAGTTACAACTTACTCACTCTGAGCCATATACCTTGGGGGGAGTACGGGAAGCACGTCTCGATCTCCTTGCCGCACGTCACGACCGTCTCGGTTTTGCAGCTGGAGTGCAACGACAGCTGACGATGATCTAGACCCATAACGGTCGCTGCAGATAGAGATCTACTTCTGCGCATCTTTAGAGGATACTTTTTTGTCACGAACCTGATGCGCATGTGAACTTCCACCAGCGACATCATTATCACCATAATGGCCCTAGTATTATATAGCGCGTTGCTACTGAACAAAAAAAACACAACCATCCCTTCTTCTCCGAGCATTGAAATGTGCCAGCACTTGAGATCAAGAACGCAACAGTGGTCCGATTGAAGTATCACATTACAGGTTGGTGAAAAACTAGCACAAGCCTTAACGACTGTTGTTTGCTCTGGAGAACCTGGTGCTCCCCGAGATGCGTCACCGCGACTTCTTCCACTACGAGCCCCGTCTGCAGATTACCCTTGCACACTAAAACAAGCGTTAGCAGAGCTCGCACTGCGGCAGCAGCGTAGTGGTGGGAGCGAGGACCTCGCGAGTGCAGTGTACTAGCAGAATTCAGACCATTCCCCTGCCTCCGCCGTGTGAAACCTCTTCTGACGCTATCGCACTGCGGCATGCCCTACCGCCACCAGTTCCTTTGCATCCCTCTGCCCAGGCGTTTGACGCTCGTGACAATCATAGAGACCAGTGCTGGCGACATGAGCCCTATTCGATCGTGCTCTTCAACGTCCGGCGTCCGCAAAACAAATAAAAACCGGAGGGGTCGCACGAATATACCGCCGAACGCTTAACAAATGTCCCAACTGCACAAGGACATTGTTTTGCAATAGTCAAAATGACGCCTCTTCAAAATTGAAGATTAAGAATTAACGTGAGCAGCAGCAGCAGTTTCTGCACATACTACGTGTTGCAGCTCACCACGCGACACGAAACCTCCTGTGATCCCCGTAAAACGACGGATAATTATATATAATCAACATTAGTTACTATGTATGATCTTCAGCATATCTCAGATTGAACTGGTGCAAGATTCCCTCTCTATGGGCAGTAGAATAGGGAGCCTTCACTGCCCCCAAGAGGGGCAACCATTCTCAGAATCGTCGACATGAGGCAGCTGCTAGTTCTACGCCGCAAAACCGGAAAAAAACACTGCACGAACAGCTCTTCCGCTTTGTCGAGTGAAGCATCAGCAAGCATCCAGGCTAGACTTGATCGTACCCTTCGATCAAAGTCTAGAAACCTGCGTAGAAGCAGACTTATTGTATCCCATCTTCTCAATTCCGTCTTCTTAAGTAATTCAGTCGGAGATAAGTCCAATTCATTGTACGTAAAAATCCTGATGTTTTGATGCGATCTCATCTCCTGGATGTTTCAAAAACGTAAACTTTTGACACGCGTTCAAAGCTTCAAAAACGTAAACTTTTCTGCGCACTTTTTTACTCAGAAAAAAGTCTCACAATCCTATCAATCGTAGAGAGAAGCAAGAACAAAAAAAAAAACGAAAAACAGTCTCGTAAGCAGCGATACACGCCATAGCGAAAGAAGGGGATATAGCAAGTTTCTCACTCTGAGGCACCTTGTGTGCTACCTTGGCTTGGGATATTGAGCAGCAGCAAGGATTTCCGCTGATTTGCGAAGAACGGGTCCTGTGTTGCGCCTGCGGACTGCACTGCAGACTGCAGCAGCGCGATCGCCGCATTGAGTGCCTCGAGGACGGTAGTGGCCAGCCCTTTGCGGCTCGCGGCTACCCGCTGTAATTCAGCGCAGAGAGAACCGACTTCGGCCAGTTTCTCAAAGGGCGGCCTCTTCGAGGACGCAAGCATGTTGCTCACAAAATCATACTGGAACTGAACTGGTCCGGGATTCACGTACGAACGCTCGATTGGTGGCGGCATCTTCCGCGACGACAAGAGCTCGGGGTAGATGTTTCCTCGCTGGTTGGCGGACGGCATGTAGAGCCGAGCACAAGTGGACTGGTTATTTTGCGCTACCGAACTCCCAGATTGGAAGCCACCACTGTTTGTAACTAGAGTGCCTCCACCAACCTGAATATTGAAGCCTGAAGACGTCGTTGGTCCCGCCGATGTGGACTGCAAGCGAGAAACTTGATGCTGTGCTGGTTGCGCCAAAGACCCTGATCCAACTGCTGCTCCGCCGCCAATCCCAGACGGTGTATTGATGAATAGAGGCGAGTTGGCGCCGCCGCATTGAAGATCTCTTTCTGCAGCTCGCACATTCGGTAGATACTGCAACATGGTGGCCAAGTCGCCCGCGCCGGTAGAACAAGATTGGGTTACGGATACTGGCCACGAGGTAGTCATGGATGGCTCAGGCTGCGATTGCGAAAACCGCAAGCCGGCGTCATTGGGGCTGGACGTTGGCGAGCCCACCGGGGCAAACTGAACTTGGCCTGGCGTAGTTGCCGTCGTGAGTCCTCCTCCAGAACTCGCTATAATCGCTGAAATATTGCTGTTCTGGAGGGCCACCGCGTTGTTGAGAAGTGAGGAAGAAGACTGAAGCAGATCGACGCCAAGGCTATTATTTCTAGCTTGACTTGCTGCAGCTTCGCGTTGAAGCGAGGCGAGGCTTGTGAATGGAAGACCGCCGATCACCCACTGGCTTGGCGACTCAGTCATTAGCGTGTACTAGAATGCATCTCGGTCCCCTCATATTGGCCCCTTTTACCTTGTATTTCACGAGAATAAAAGGGAAAAGGGGACCAAGATGCCGAGGAGGATGGAAAAAAGCTGACCATAACGTCAGATTCGACGCGTGCACAAGATACCCGGTCTTCCCGCTATCTGCAACAAGGCCCGCTGAATACCCAAGTGTGTAAGCCAGATCGCAGTCAAAAATGAAGCGGCTTTCATCCAAGAGCAACAATCTCTACTTCTAGTAGTACGCAGTCGACTATAACACCAATCAACATCAAATGTAAGGAATATCACATCCCGAGCACCACAGTGCAGTCAGTGATTCGATTGCGCTTCAAACAAGTAGTACTAGTACAAGTGTGATAGATACTAGTCTACCTCGGTGAGTTTGTCATAGGACTCAAGGATGCAGTGTTTTTGAAAGAGAATTGCGGGTTCGATTACGCTCATCATACCAAAATTTGTCGGCATGCCTGACCGCGCTTGATACGCAAGCTCGTGCGTAACGGTCTCGAACGGTGCGTGAAAGAGACCCAAGGCTCGCCGTCGCTCGAGCTCCACACTTACCAAACGAGCTAACAGCCATTCCGTCGACACGTTCGCGAGGTCGACCTGTTGGTGACATATACGAAACATCCTTCTCCTGAGAAAGAAAAGCTTATAAAGAAAAGAGAAGCTGGGACTTTGTTAGATTTAGGTCATTGCTGTAAAAAAAATAGTCTGCTATCATGATCATCCACACGTACCTTCTTTGGCGTTCCCTTGGTATTGCAGCAGAGCTCCTCCTGAACGTTTCTCGGGAGAGCTCGAAACAACGTACTAGTCCACGTTTTCAGGTGATTCTGGATGTCCATACTGGTATATGGACGCGATGAATCAAAACTCGCAATTATGTCCTCGATCTCTAAGATTAGCTGCCGCGTCTGCGGAACAGCCAGCAGAAGGGACTCCGGAAAGAGCACAATGCCGAAGTGGAGGCCGCGTTCGCTCCGAGCGGACACAACATCACAGATCATGTTGGTCACGTTGAGGATGAAGCGAGGAGGTGAGACCAAAATTGGGAAACGAAATTTAAAGGGATTCGCCATTATGTAGCTGCATTCTCAAACAAGGAGTACTTTTTTCTCATCATATTGACGACGTGCACTAGCTATGCTATCTTTTGGATTTCAACAAATCTGACTAAGATCTGCTTCTTGTATCATGGGATAAGAAAATGCTCAATCGCAAACCCAGCGCCTTCTGCTAGAAGAATCCTGTCATATCTGAGAGTGACTGGCGTTTCATGGCAACCTCTTCGGATAAGAGAACCAGGTTCGGATGAGTCAACAGTGCGGTTTCAAGCGTGATGTGCGACAGGGCGTGCGATTGGCCCTTGAGTCTAACGAAAAACCACTGCTGGCGACTTGTCGCTGCTTCGCACCACAGCGAACCTACAATGGATGCGAAGATCTTCGTAGCCGTATCAAAGCCGATGGATTGCTGAATGAATGGGAAATCGTTATCCACCGACACCGGCACCCCGATGACCCTAGTGCCGCAGTCGCGGTCGGCCGCGCAGCCCTCCGCGAGCACGGTGCACTCCAGCTGCGAGGGCAGATTGCCCACACAGATGAGCGCCTCCACGCGGTGCTTGTTTACATTAGAGACTTATCGATGTATTCTATGATCAACCCTAGTAGTGCAACTGCAATTACATCGTGGTGGTAGCTGACTCCCCGAGATCAACGTGAACAATTACACTGACACATTGCCTCGCGTCTACGTTGTTCGGCGACGAAAACCAGTACTCATCTTAATCAAAGTGTCTACTGCACACGCGAAGTCCGCACTTGTTTGCAGGGTCTGCTCCCAGTCGCAGAGCAGCTCTTGGCCCCCCAAATTCCGCACAAAGCGCAACTTCTCGTGGTCTAGCTCGCGGATCCACCCATGCTTGAGACCGACCCAGCCACCAACAAAACCAATCAGGCGTCCTGGCGGTACCATAGTTCCCACGTAATCTAAGAGACCTGCTACTACGCTGTGGTAGCCGGGAGCTTGATGCGCCGAGAAAAGCACACCGAAAGTTCGCGAAGACGCCGGTGGCACGCCAACGGCAGAGCCGGTGGAGTCGGGCCCTCCGGACTTCGTGGCAGCAACAGCTCCAGATGTGACTAGCACAGGATAAGTGGTCATCCCATCTACTACTTTCTGCGTCGGCGCCGTAGGTGATGTTTTTTGCGCCGTCAGGTAGAGCGAATTTGTCATGCTCTCCTTGTAATTGCTCTTCACCAGTTGAGAAACGTAACGATAGTTGCTTGCATTCGAAGCGTTCTCAGCGAGAATAGCAGGATGTTGCTGCGCGACCGCCGCTGGGAGCACACTCTCTAAGAGGTTCCGAACTCCAAGTCGTGGCGCGGCAACCATTATCATCGGCGAGGGATCTACAGAAGCCGGACCCTTCACACAATTACGACGATCCTAACGTACAGGTACGGGAAGAACCATGAACTCGACGAGTGATGAGCAGCACTTAAAGACATCTAGAAATCAACATTACAACAACAGCTCATATGCAACCAACGTGGTTAAAAAGTGAATCGTGGCTGACAATTCAACATAGATTTTCGTCTAGAGCAGTGGTTCAACAGTCAGGATATATACAACAAACACAAAAGAGACTTTTACCGGAGCTCGTGTAATATCGCTTGTTGGCAAACCACGCTCCGATTGAATATGCGTACCCATGGATTCGCGGCTGATGCTTATCGGAAGACCTGGCATCTTGTGGGAGCTATCTTGCTGGTTTGCAGGTCGCGAGTCAGTAGTATTGTCAGGTCGAGTCTGAGTTTGATGCACAACCAGACCGGTCTTCACGCCTGAAAAACTTCCCTTGCGTGCTCCATCTTCCGCCGTACTTTCCTCGCTCCCACTCGCCTTCTGCAAAGCGCTTCGTGCTGCTGCCCCGCCCTCGACGAATGAAAGAGACAGAAACAGAACGCTCAAGCTGAAATCACAAACGTGCCTTTATTTTCTTGTAGTTCTAAAAATGCTACAAGAACTTACAATATAATTAAAGAGCTACATTAAAAACCAACAACGACCCCCAGAAACTCACACTCTTCCACTTCCGAGCCCCAAACTCTCACTCTTCCACTTCCGCGCCCCAGGCTCTCACTCTCCCACTTCCGAGCCGTAAACCCTCACGCCTCCACTTCCGAACCCCGAACCCATGAACTCACGAGCTTAGGAACTCACGAACTTAGGAACTTCTGAACTTAGGCGCTATTTATGCTCTGCTTATGGACTACTTATGGACTACTTCCGAACTACTTCCGAACTACTTCCGAACTACCTACGAACTACCTACGAACTACTTACGAACTACTTGCGAACCACTTATGACCTACTTACGAACTACTTACGAACTGCTTACGAACTACTTATGAACCACTTAGCTACTAATTATGAGCCACCTGCGAGCTACTTACGGTTACGAACTACTTAGGAACTACTTATGAGCTACTTATGGACTACTTACGAACTACTTCAGAACTAGTTGCGAGCTACTTATGAACTTAAACTTATGAACTTCCAACCTTCAGCCTGACGCCTACAACGCGCCACCCTGGCGCTTAGGTTTATCCTGTTGGCGATAAAGTTAAAAACTTTGGGACTTTGGAAAGAGTTGACGCCCTAAATTTGAAAGCGCGAAAATAGCAAGGCTTTTGATCTTATCAAAGGGAGATAAATTTTAAAGGTGGCGCTTAAACTTAAGTACGTATTTTGTTGGCGACAAAGTTAAAAGCTTTGGAGCTTTGAAAGGTTTTAGACTGAAGCAAGACCTAAACTTGAAACCCCGAAAATAACGAAGTCTTTGATTTTATCGAAGGAAGATAAATTCTAAAAGGATTGGACTCAAAGTCTTCCATCGCCTTGAGGCTTCAAGCCTTCAGCGTGAAGCCTACAACGCTACAGCGCGCGCTACAGCGTGCGATAAAATGAGCAAAAACCGAAGGCCCAAACTTGAAAGCGCGAAAATGGCAAAGTTTTTGATTATCGAAAACAATATAAATATATTTAAAAAAAAACTGAGCGCGAAGGTAAGTTTCTTCAAAGTCGGCGGATTCTAAAAGTTTGAAAGTTATAAACTTAGAGGTAGGCTTTTGGTGTTCGTTTATCCCGCTTGTTGTGGCTGTCCCCCTTAGCCTTAGCTTAGGAGAGCCATAACAAGCGGTAACAGAAGCACCTTTAGCCTACCCTTAATAAACGCTTCAGCCTTCCGCAAAGGTGCCAAACCTAACAGAAGACCAACAAGCTCCCAGGCTTACCATTTCCAGGCGTGCCTTTTCAATAGCCGCAGGCCGCCAAGGGCCCGACTCTTGTGTTCCACCGATCAACTCCGCCAGACAGTGGCCGCGTAGGGAAGGGGCCGGGCAAGCGAGGCCACGCAATGGCGGGGGAAGTGCGTGCAGAGGGTGGAGGATTCTAGTGGGATGAGTGCTGCCGGGCGCTTAAGTCTAGTAATATCTTGATTCAGATGCTATCTATTGAATGTAAACGTGACAACGATAAGAAAGGATTGATGTTGACCTACCCAGCACAACAAAAAGAAGCACGGAAAATTCTTCCAGGAGCAGGTATTATGTTTCAGAGCCTCAGCGAAGGCCCTGGCACAACAACTATTACTATAATAATTCGCTAACGAAGCATAAGCTGTTTCCTATTAGGTGCAGCAGCGGAACACCGGATCGGCTTCCCTCATCGGTCCTCTCCGTGCAAGCGCTGGAGGGAACGGGCCTAGAAACGTTGAGCGCTAGCAAATTGGCAAGGCTGTCGTCTTCCGCGGCCGCTGATGCTGCAAGCATGCGCGCCGCTGCTGCTCTCGTCTCGTCGTTCCACATTTCGGAATCCAGGGCACCCTGTATAAGGTTGTCTAGCGCAACCAAATCATCCAGGTCCTTGAAAATGAAAGAGAAAAGCGCTGCATTTGCATCTCTCAAAATTGTGCTGCAAACAGACTCACGATTCTGTCAAGTCCAGTCGTGTATGTCTGAAGAAATAAACATCTTAAAGAAGTTAGTAAGAAGAAAAGATACTCGTGCTTTATGGGTAGTTCTTGCGAAGCATCATATCACGACAGAATTGTGGTGGAATAATTTCGATCTTTTTAATTACCCGTGCTCGTCGTCGTCAGGAAGGCCTTAAGAGTTTCATCCCCCTGCGCTTTCGCAAGCAGCGGGGCCTCTGCCACGTCGTAGGCTAAAGGTTGTTTCAGGGGTCGCAGCTGAATGGCTTGTAAGTTGGCGGTTCGCGGAAAGACTGAAGCCATACTGTCGAGGCACATTCTGGCTGTCATGTCCTCGTCCGTCACTTGCAAGGGTTGCTTCAGAACGTCTGGAAGGCGCGGTTCGTACTCTATCCGCTGCCTCTCAAGTGCACTGAGGCACTCGTAACCCCGGATGGTGACGTAAAATCGGTTGAATGCGCTGCTCTCACACAGACGCCCCGAGAACTTAGATGGTAAGGCGGTGTCAACAGAACCACCCTGAAGAAGCGATGACGGCAACAGCCCAACTTGTTTTGCAGAGTTCAGCGGGCGGTTCGCAGGGATCCGTTCGGAGAAAGGGATGCCAGATGAAGCGTCGTCAGCTCTAGAGCGCACACCCACTACATACCGGCTTCGCCTCCAGCCTACTTCTTCGATTCCATATGCGCCACCGTTCCAACGAAACCGGGCGACGCTACCGCCGGATTCAGCAGACGCCGCCGTGTCTTGTCGCTGCGGACTCCTGGCTTCTATCTGCTCCCTGGTCTTGTCATCAAGGACGCCGTCAGTGCTCGTGGACGGTTCTGGAGCGATTCCCAAAGTAGGTTGCAAAGGCCTCACTGCCAAGCGATACCCACTCGCACCCATGCGCTTCACCTCGTCTCCTTGCTGGGACACACCCGGGACTTCTCTCATCTCACATTGTTCTTTTGAATCGTTGCCTTCTTCACTCTGTGCCAAGAATTCCTCTGCATCGCTCTGAATCGCCGCGGCAAGTTCCGTTGCGGAGAGCGTCTGCGAGAGCAATGTAAAGGGGAGCTGCTGCGGATCCTCTTCACCACGTGGGTGAGCAGATAGATCCTCTTGCGTTCCGTACTGCAATGGCCCAGGTGAGCGAAAGCAGTTGTGATCGCGCCAACGCGGCTCAAAATACTTGCGGTGGACTTCCCGCAGCTGCCCTACCGTTAGAGCCCCGGGCGGCGCAACACTCAGCTCCGCCAAGCCGGATTTATTTTCGACCGGAGAAAAGGCAGTCGCGGCGGGGACGGCCTTTTCCGCTGAATTTGTAGCGACAACATTTCCATGGTCATACCTGAGGACGGGGGAAGAGTCGCCACCCGATCCCCCAATGACTCCGAAAAAAGCGGTGCCACTAACAGAAGGGTGTGACGCTTTCGCGACCTTCGTGGCCTCCACATCACCCGCCGGCGAACATGTCCCGAAGGCTGTCGCAGCTGCTGGTGATATTGGATTCCGCGCTTTGCTTGCGGCCGCACGTCTTTTATCGTACTGGACTGCCGTTACTAAAGGTACCCCAGTTGGTGTCCACAGTCGCGGAGGCCGGTCAAGATCGGCGCAGGATGCGATGTAACCTGTTAAACCGTTCGCTAGAAGTGCTCCAACTGTGTGTCCCAGGACCCATCCGAGATTTCCGTCCAAACGCGTTGGCAAAGCCCCTGCGGTCTCGCGGCCCAGATTCTGGAATCGCGGCGAGAAGAAAAAGTTTTCGGACAGCGTATTGTAGCTTCTATCTGCTTCGTCGTCGGAGACTGGACTTTGCGCTCCTGGTGGTAATCGGCCCGCTGTACCACCCGAGGCAGTGGGCGCTGGCGTCGAAGATACAAATGACGCTCTCGATGTAGTTGTGGGACTTGAGCGCGCCTCTGCCTCCCTGTTTCCCATCTTGTTCGCAGTTGGTTGAGTCACGTCGTGCGCGTTACCACTTACTGGAACGCACGGCTGGGTGGGAGGCGAAGCCCGGTCCATATCCACTGAAAAACCATCACCCGCCGACTTAACAAATCTGTTCCATGGCACCATGACAGGTGGATACCACTGGCGCCACTCTGTCTGTGCAATTTCTCCTGCGGTCATCTCATTCTGTGCTTTCTCGGTTAGCCGCTTCACTCTCTTGGCTAGGTTTTTACCAACCTGCCGGCCGAAGAAGCGCTCCGCCCGCAGAGGCGGCAAAACTGGGTTTCCGGCACTATCTCGCCGAAAGCACAGAGATTTGCGGCAGTAAAGTGGCAGTCGGTAAAAAAGCAACCGGCTATTTTCTGTGAGCTGAGCCGCAACGGACTCCTCGTCCAAACGCGCAGCTTCATCCACTTGCTGGTTAAAACTTGTTCTTGAAGGCGCCCCTGCTCCACTTCCGCTCCCCCGGTGGACCGCTGGGCTCAAGGACGCGACACTTCGGCTCAGCGACAGTGGCATCGGAGGACTTGCTACTTCATCCTCTTCGGAAAGGTTCTTACTTAAACGATCAGCACTCTCGGTCGCGCCCATTTCCTGCTCTGCCTCGCTCGCAACTTTGCGGATCTCGCTCTTGAGCCGAAACATATCCGGATGTCGTTCCAGTAGACCCTCCGCCATGAGGACTACGCCAGACCAATGACCGCAAACCACGCGGCGATATTCTACCACATCCGTGATTTCCTCGATCACGTCAAGCAGTCCCTTTTTCCCAAAAATGTCCTCTGTGAGGATCACCATGGTGGCGCGGACAGAACACGCAACTTCCAACGTGAGTGCCGCGTCTCCACAACGAATGAAGTGCCAGTATTTCCGACTACTCAGCACATCCACAGCAATGTTGCCTGCCAACTCCGAAAGCATACGCCGGCTGGTGTCGAACCCAAGGGTGAGCGGGATGTAGTAGGGGTAGAAGAAATTCTGGTTCTTACTTTTCGGCACAAAAACGAGCTGTACTCCCGCAGCAGCGAGAGGATCCTGCAAGCGCAGAGCCCACAGGAGACAGTTTGGGCCCCCGATAATCACTAGGTGCCGCAAGCGGTCCCGTCGACAGCGCGCGACAACGGCGCCATTGTAGAGATCTGCCTCCGCGCCGGGTTCGCCTGGCAAAGGCGTTTTGCTGTATGAGAAGGGAGAGCAACCCCCCTGGTTTAGCCAGCTCCTCACCTGCGTCCAGCGTGTGATTTTCTTACAACGTCCCTCGAGAAAACCTCTGGGGCCACCGACATATCCTAAGAGCAAGTACTCCTCTAGCTGTGCACTTGGCGCCGCGACGTCGGTCGTAGCTAGTATCTCGCGAGGCCGCGTGGGAGATCTGCTGTAAACCGGCTGTCCCGGTTCCGATTTCAGGAGACTTCCAGCACCCAGTCTGCCTGTGACCGAAGAACAAGTAGCCGCTCGTACTGGCGAGTGCGCGTCCTTCAGCAGGTTTTCACTGCTGCTACTGTCAGCAAGATTCGTTTCTGACACGCCCCGCTGGTATTCTAAGGACTGCGATTGCCGCTCAACGTTCCGTGATTTAGCACCATTCTTGTGGTTTTCCTGAGTGCTGTCTGCTACGCCACTCCTGGGTTGCGACCCCGCCTCGGGCACAGCCGCTGATTTCTCGTGAGCAGAATCAACACCACTCGACGCAGTTGCATTGCGAAAAAAATCAGAGACACGTTCTGAACAAATGCCTTCATTCACAGTGGAAACGCCGGAGCGTGATCGCCCGACGCGCACTGCGCTCAATCCCCGGACGCCTCCGACGTGATCCATTGGTTTCCTGACAACCTCTTTCCGCGTAGAGGCAGCAACTGCGCCGTCCGAGTCCGTTGCTGCTGCGTCCACTGTGACGCCCACGTGCATTTCGTTCGCCAATGTTGGCACTGGAGTTTGGACACTGCGGGCATCGCCAAATGCATGATGAGTATGTGAAGATCCAGCACCTCCCAGTTCTACTGATGCTGAGTCAACGAAACCTCCTAGGGGCAGATGTCCGGCGACTGGCGAACGCCCGCCACGCGGCTGGTTCATACGCTTCAGGTACGCGAAGAGCCCACCAACAACGTTCAGAATGCCACCAGCGATGGAGTTCTGCCCGGACAGCACCACACCGACACGTCCGGGGACTCGTGTGCGACCAAGATGCGACTTGGCCGACGCCACCTCGAAGGGACTACTGGAAGCCCCCTCAGCAGACTGCTCCCGCGTCAACGCCCCTGCTGTAGCACCGGCAGGGCCGTCACCTCTTCCTGTGGGAGACGACGGATCTGACTTACTGCTGCCGTCTGGTGTCTCGAGCACTTTGTAGCCGGTCACGCAAGGAGCTTCTACTCTTAGGAACATCGCATATTTCGGATCCTTCGCGACATAGCATTCAACTCTCTGAGGCCAGGTTTGTCGCCCTTACAAAAACTTGTTCAGACAATATCTGGATTTCTTTTCATCTTGTCGAAGAAATCCAAGCCGAAAGCATGCTCCGAAGATTAATGATCTTCATTTTCATCATGCGTTGATGATACAAAATCGTATGAAGTAGCCTTAATATTGATTGCGGAGGAAGAAAAAGCACGCATCCCGTAGCCTCCTCTTGCACGATCGAGAACCTACTCTGTTCGAACTGCTCGCACAGTTGCGGGATTCTTTCCGTTCGATGCACCTCAAGAGGGCTCTTGTGAATGCGCTCTCTGCGTGGCTGCGACATCGTTGGATGTGCTCTAGCTGAATCTCAGTTGGGCTTGATGATCTCTACTTGTGACAACAACGGTCGAAGCGGGTTTTATCTGGTCTCTTCTTGCCGTCCTCCTTCACCTCCGCGTTCCGAGTTTGGCACTCAGTGAGAATGTTTACCGAATGACACCCCCCAGGCATGCATGCCAGCCGAGAACGGCCTAAAAGAACGGTACACATTTGAGCTAGGCATTATTTCGAGTTCGACGCGGCCCCATGAAAAAGTCAGCTGTATCTAGCCACCTTTAACTTTTTTGTATCTCTGTCTTCGCCTTTCATCCCCAAAAATGAGGCACCTCGAATGAAACAGGACACTGGCAGGTTGCATCAAGTCAAAAAATGCGATCTTCGTACCCCACAGGGAATGCATTCTCATCGTCACACGCCAACGTCGCCTCTGAACAACGCGCCCTCAGTTAGGCAACCATCCTGAGATGCAGCGTCCGTCCGCTTCTACGGAGCCGGAGAGGGAACTATGTATCTATATACTTATAAAATTATCTTTAAGTAGACGTCAGAAGAATATTTCATTTTGAACAGACCACACTCGGACGAGATATAAAATCAACAATCAAACAATTCGTCAACAAAAATTAGAAAAGTACTGTTTCATCTCGATGTACTCGTAGATGTACTTGCAACGATTATATAAAAGAGACTAGTTCTTGATAGACGATGTGTATCATTCAATTTTTCGAAAGGAGGTAACTTCTTCATTTTGTTTTCATTGTTGTTCAGCTAAACAGGAAAATGCAAAGAAGGTGCGTTTCCGGAATGACAAGCCTTCGAAACAGGCACGCGCTAGGAATAATAGACAACAGACCCCAGCGAGCCTTGCAGGGGTACCGAGATGTGGGTTTCTTTGTCACCCAATGACATATGAAACGCTACATGACAAAAATAAGCTCAATTTAAATTCTCGAGAAAGGTGCATTGATTTTGATCTTTGGTCAATTAGCATCATCATGCTGGAAGTCTAACTTTTTTCGAGAAAGTAAGTTGTGACTTTGATCAAATCGAATATCATGTATCGAGTCAGTAGCGTCTTCTTGTGCTTGCTTGGTGAAAAAAAGTTGACTCCCTGTGGGCGAGTTCTTACTGCTTATTAGCAAACTTCAGTGGATGATTTGTTTCTTGGACATGGCGTGTCCTCTAAGACATACTGGTTCGTTGTCAATTATTTGTTGACGCTCTTCTCCAAATGACTTATGTTGAAAAAACTTCAAGTCTAGTATTTTTCTACAATTTTCATTTTCTTCTACAAGAATCATAGAATGATATCTTCGTCTGTGACAGCACTTGTCATCGGTGCTGCTGATACCTCCTGCAGCCCTCTGACCTCCAAATCAAAGTCATTGACAGCCGCGATGGATGTAACGCTACTCATCATCTGGCCAGCGGATGGTTCCAGCGGATCTAGCTCTGATAGACTCGTACTCGTTATCGAAGGGTTCATCGTCGATCCGTACGTACTGGATTCCTCTCCGGCACCTGCTCTAGTCAACCTCTGGAGCTTCCCAAGACCGTCACTATCCGATCCATCAACACGGTGCATTGATGTTGTAGAATGCTCGATTACACTGGACATCTGCCTCATCTTCTGATCTGCATCTGCAAAGAAGCCTGAGACAAATGTTGAGCCAAAAGACAGATGCAATCCAAAAAGAAAACCAAAACTAAATGTTTCTACTGTTGCACATCTTCCTGTATTGTAGTACCTGCAGTTGATCCGAATCGATTGCCAACGCCAAAAATGCAAGTAGAACTAATAGATGATACCTTTTCGATATACTGTTTCCTCTTGTTTCTGTGGTTGCGCTTCAGCATCATCAGAGGCTAGGGAAGCGTTCCCGGTTTTCATCTTGAGTGTCCCGTATCCTTGCCACGATCCGACCACTTGCTGAATGGCGCTTGAGCGTCGCGATTTCGGGATTCGCCGCAACATCGCTGCTACAACGACGAGGAAAGCCACGACAAGGCAAATTAGCAGCCTGGTTGTGTCCATGTGCGTACCTGTGTGGCCGATTCGAAATCCCTCCCTTCGCAGCACTGCGCTGTTTCGGAAGCGACTCTCCCAAGGTTCTGCATCTTCTTGTTCCTCCAACCGCGGGTGCTCAAAATCAGACGAGGGTCCCGAAACTAGAATCTCCATATCGCGTCTACCGTCTTCACCACCTAGTTTTGTGCCGATAAGATAGCTATAATCGTCTCCTGGAGAAGGTACCCCTACTGTCGCGGCGTCCGACGTCGTGACTGCATCAAGGTCTACCAACTCGTCAGATACTCCGAGACGATCTCGCACTTCGATCCGCAAGTGTCCACTGTCATCTCCGGTTTCAGATATTCTGGCTGACAAGAATCGCGCAGGATGAGCACGGATCGCTGCAGAGGTAGCAGCGACAGCATCTTCCCAGGTCACGACCGAGGGAGGGACTACTTGCGCACCAGTAGTTCCTGTCCCCCCAGCAGCCTTGGTTCCGTCACCAGGACCACTGCTCACTGTACTAGTATCCGTAGATCTTGCGGGAGTTGATGTGCCTGCTTCAATCAGCGTCCTGATGATAGCGTCCAAATCTAGAATGCGGAGCAGGGGGGCTGAGGCAGAAGAAACGTCTCCAACATCGACGCGTCTCAACAGCCGTTGTGCATCAGTAGACGACCCAACCTCTGTCAATTCAGGTTGTTCAGCACCTGTTCTTGTACCACTTGAGGTGAACGAAAAGAGAGAGGGAGTGGCCGGCACGGAAGGCCTTAGCGACACCCCACTTCCCCGCATGGTCTCCGCTTCTGCATGTTCACCAACATTTTGTTGCAGACTCTCAGTGGCTACCGACAGCAGTCGAAGGAGGGAGAAGACAATACGTGTCAATGACAAATCCGCACTATCGGAAAAGCTCACGCCGATCTTGCCAAGGAGCAGCAGCACTGTTTGCGGCGCCCAGAGCTGTTCCAGAACACTCTCAGTCAAGTAGAGAGTTTGCGCATCCTCTGATCCTGTTGAGTCGGCTCGTGAAGACGTAGGCATCTGCTCCGCTTTCGACGTAAATGGCGACCACCACGATGTCGATGCTGATGACGGCGTCGGATTCCTTAAAACTCGCGAATTCGTGCTTCCGAAAATAGTTGAGAAGAAATCCCAAGCACTACTGGCAGTGTGCAGCGCGCGATTCTGTGGTGGCTTCTTGTGGAAAAATCGCATGGGGGCACCGCGATCCGCAAGATCGTACACTTGGGGCGATAAGAGGACTGTCGCTCGTGACAATCGCACTGCTGCATCCCGCAGATGCTCTAGTGAGATGCCGCTCTCAATTCCGGACATGCTTTCTCGGCACCTGATTGTTTGTGCGGCAAAGTCGGGCATAGACGAACGCGGAAACTGCGGTAAAAGCTCTGCGTGTCCGTCTCCAGTCCGCATGGCGTCCGCCGCACGACGATCCAACAACATCTTCGGCCGCTCTTCGACTGTCGCCGCCGCGCCGATAGGATTGCTTTCCTGCGATCCAGCGTCGCTACCGTCCCGATCAAGGAGCATCGCGCCGAGAGCGATTCCACTGGAGTCTGCATCCAGTACATCGGTCTCAGGGATAATACGGCCAATCCGATGCGAGTCTGCCACGTTCGATTTTTCCAGCTTTGCCTTTCTGCGAAGAACTCCCTTTAGCCTCGTCTCCTCGCGCAACAGCCACTGCTGTCGGCTTACGCGGTAAGAGTGATGCAGCACAGCTTCTGGCTGCATCTCCACAAAAAAATGCAGGAAGTGATCTACGGCCTCTCCGACTTCACCCTCGCGGAAGAAGGGACCTAGTCGACCTAGTGTCTCGACGGCGGCTTCGAGGTTCATTTGCTCCTTGCTGGAGGACGAGAGAACCTTCGCACGCGCTAGCCACAGTGCAACCTGCATGAGATCTGCATCGAAGGGTTGCACGGCCGAGCCGCTTACCCACCACTGGGCCTCCTTGTCCTCGGCCGTCATTGATGGGGACGCAAACTGCTTCTCTTGGAGCGCTTTCAGCGGCGCTACCAGAGAGGACGTGATGCGCTGCTCAGCTTTTGCCAGCTGCTTCTCATCCCGTGTGATTTCCGTTTGCGCCTGCGCTGCACTCTGCACACTATCTGGATCGGCTTCAATACTTGCAATTGCACTAGCTTCCCGACGGCGAGCATTTTGCGCCGCTCTCAATTTGCGTGCAAAGGTCGTTTTAAAACCAGGTGGTGTTTCAGAGTGAGCAAAACCAAAGATGACACCAAGAAAATGGACGACCTTCTGCCACAAACAAGAAATGATACCACTGCATTTCTGTCGGGTTCTCCCTCTCCTCATCATCGAAGCAGCGTCTCCAGAAGACGAATAGTAGATGAGGCCATCACTGGATGGACTATCATTTGCTGTCGTGATGTCGCGGTGATCTTCATATCCACCCTCTGCGAGCAACTCCGCGATGAAATCTTCCCCGTCAGATACCATTTGTAACCTTGGCAGTTGCCATGTCGAGAAGCGCTCGCTTCTGAGCGCAAGCGAGGGAAAGAATAGCCGGGACAGAAGCGCGGTCGCGTCTGCTACACCCGCCATACCCGATTTCGGATACGCCCGCCGCAGCTCTTCCCAGGCGGTGATCAAATCAACCGCAGTATCAGCAGGCCAATACTGTTGTAGGACCTCCGAAATCTGTGCCCACACCGCGCCCAGCGGTGGCAAGTCAATAAATTCTTCGCTGCGCGCCTCATCATCCGACTGTGACTTCACAATGAGCGCATCGCCTCGTTCTGACCCCTGCGGGGCGATCAGAAACACACTCGATGCTTCTTCCTCCGACGCGGCATTCATCGTGTCCTGGACGAGTTTCATGATCGTGTCCTGCAGCAAAATGGCTGACTCCGCATCCACTGCGTCTCGAGATGCGCTCAGCTGGCTGCGAATGTTCTCGCCGGCGCTCTGCGCCATCGAATGGTCCCTCAACGCCAAGAACTCCCGCCGCAGATGCCCGATTTTCGCGGCCAGGCGTAGGGCGTCTTCGCCTGCAGGAGACTTGCGCACTATCGCGCGGAGCACCGTCACCATCTGCGTGTAGTGGGACAATGACTTGTCCACTTCGTAGTCGGAAAGGTGTTCTAAGGCATGTAGCAACTCTTTGAAGGATAGCGACGAGCGCCCTCCAGGTGCGCCGAATGCCTCGACGCTGTTTTCTACGCCGACTTGCTCGTTGCGCAACTGGCACAAGTCTCGCGCGAGCTGCGCTGCAAACCGGCGGATGGGCCCGCTCGGACCGGTCATCGACACCACGACCGAGGAAGAACCTGGAGGCATCTCCACTCCCACGAAGTCGCCAAGCAGCTCCGACACTTGCGTCAACTCCAGAAAGTCGACCTCCGGAAAGCAGCTTTTGAGACTGTTGATCGACTCAATCGCTTCCTGCGGTCTAGCAAACCAACTCTGCGACATGATTGCACCCGCTTTCTGCCTCGCAGTCCGTGGTGGCGCAGAAGATTCTCCTGCAGAAGATTGTGTTCCGGGTTGCGCTCGTTGAGATGGGGAGGTGGCGTCTGTAGTATCCTCAGCCTGCGCAAAGACCTCGAAACCTGCTGCGTCACTTGCGTCATCGCTTGTTTCACTGCCGGTGAGACGCTCCCACTCGTCTGCAGAAACCCACCACGGACGTTGGATTATCATACCGACATCACTCGTGTCGTCAGCATCCGAATCACTGCTGCTTTCGCGATAAAAGGCCGGCGTTAAATGACCATCTGTCTGTTTCGCAGAATTACGACTTTTCTCAAGAGCGGCTTTCATGCGCTGCACTCGTGTTTGTCGTGCGAGCGCCCGCGACGCCATTGCCTTTACCTCCGAAGCGATGTCGGCCAACGAAATCCAGCGGCCCGACGAGACCGGCCCCACCTGCGCCAGCATCTCACTCATCACCACTTCAACCCTGTTTGAGTCCCGTAATCTCTTGCCACTTACCATAGTGTCGCCGTACGCGTTCAGGAAATCAACAACACCTGTGACAAGCTCCCTAAGAGTCAACGCTGCCGGTCTCGACGTTGCCGAAATGGAGGTGCTGCTGCTCTCGCTGCTTGAAGACGAAGCGGAAGAGGCCGGTAAAGACCCAGAAGCCCCCGCACTAGTTGCCGTTCCTCCTCCCGAACGTGGCGTGCTTGATGAAGACGACGTCGCAACTATGTTCGAGAAAGCCGGCGGGCCGGCGCTCGTAGCCGTGCTGGCGGAAGAGACCCGTCGCATTTTCAGAAAGCTCTGTACAACAGCCCGGAGACTCGTCTCCTTTGGCAGTGCGGTGGAGAAACGCCGCATTTCGTCAACGAAGTCCGCGAGGGTCCGCACGTTGAATTCACGTATTATTGCAACCACGTCACTTGAAAAACAGCCCTCGTGTTGGAACCAAACTGGTGCGGATCCGGGTGCAGGCGACGCCTTTGCCGTGACCGTTGAGGAAGTTTTTGCGTCCTTTTGGTCGTCTGCCTCGCCAGAGCCACAGCGCGTTTCGAGATCGAACATGCTGTGCAATTGAAAGAGTAAATTGATGGACTCAACCAAATTATTTCGTGCGATGTCCTGCGGTTCGTTCGTCGTCTTGCTCTTGATTTCCCCTAGAATGTGGGAGGCGTCACTCAGCGGCTGTGCCAGCGTGAGGCTGCCGTCTCCTCCAAGCTGGCGGATCTGAGGAGAGTTTCGTAATTCTCATGACAGAAGAAGAGGCTCATCACCTAGAAATGTTTGTTCTCTTTTCATCAGAGCTCGGTGCAAACAAACCTGACTCACAGTTTTTGCATCCTCTTCTCTATAATTGTCGATGCGGCATCCGATCCTACTCATATTTGACCTGATAGATTCTCGAATTTGTGTTAAGAAATTATACGATGTGCAAGACGGAAGCGAAATCTTTGGCGTTCGAAATCTCAAAGTCGTTTTCGAAGCCGCTCGTTCGTAGACCTGCCAAGAGGTTTACCAGCGTTTGCGGATCATCAATTTCCGCATTGTTGCTGAAAACATCCCGCAATAGGCCCAAAACGTCCGAGAAGGATCCACTTTTTGCTGGAAACTGGCGCTCGATATCCCGTAACGATTTTGCAATTGCGTCGATCGGCTTGTGCTTCAGAGTAGGATGACCGCCAACGAAGAAAAGAAGACTCGCCCATGCCTGCTTGATGTCAAAAGGTGCGAAAGTGCCAGCTAATGTGCTAATGGCAGCAGCAGCAGCTTCGAAGCTTAAGCCCTCAGGCGGCGAGCGGAGTGCCTCCTCGATGTCGCTGAAGGCAGCGCCTGGCCACGAGTGTGGAAATTTCAATGCGGTCGTCAGTTAATATGTGACAGAAACACAATTAAACACGTCTTCGAGATCTTGTACCTAAAAGAGGTGACACTAAGCTCTACAAAATCGCCCTCTCCTCTATAGATTGATAAGACAATCTCAATCAAGCTTGATGCACATCTTCGAGTCACGATCACATTCGAACCTGGTATCGCCGTTTTTATCTGTGTCAAGCCGCGCAGAAGCCCTTCGTAGGAAGTGCTGCTGAACTGTGCCTGCATCTTTTCTATTTTCGCTTCAAACGCGAACTCCTCTGGTGGTTTGCTTTTCCCTTTATTGCGTTCGCCCCCGTCTGCCTCACCGTCTGCTTGGATACTCGCGCCGCCGTGTTTACCTTGGAACACGTTGATGTCGAAGAAAACCTCATGTGGAAAGAGTGCTGCGATTTGCTGTAGTATCTCCGGAACGCCATCAGATTGCATGCAGAGCCGCTCTCCTGGAGGCACCTGCCACCAGTGCCCACAGCGCCCGAACCTTTCGTCGCAGCCCTGACCGCACTGACACCACGCTGCGGTTCCTCCGCACCAGCCAAACTGCGAGCAACAACCCGTCGCGCAGCGCGTTCCAAACTCTGCACCACAACGACCATTGGCGGATGCTGGTAGCTGGTTTTGCGATTGTGCTGCACCTTCTGTGTTGTCGACGCTGCCGCCATTTCCTTGCTTGCCTAGCCCTTTCTTCCGTACGTCTTGATTACCAGCGTTGTTCTTGGAACCACCGGGTGCAGATGTTGACTTCGCAATCACGCCTTCTTTCTCACCGTTGAGCCCATATCGTGCAGGCGAAGGCTCGTCACTTGACGCTGCAGACGTCGCATCACTTCCGAAAATCGCCGAGATTGTCGAACTTACTATACCACTAGCGGAAGTAGTCCCTGATTTGCTTGAAGATGAAGGCTGTTGTTGCACGGACCCTTCGTCTGCCGCTGACACCAGCCTCACGGCCGTGCCTGCAGCGACGAGGCGAGACACTCGCATTGATGCTACCGTATTCACCGTATCTCAAGAGATCCTCTCTTTCAAAAAATATTTGAAAAAACTAGTTAAGCTGAAAACAGCTGACATCTCCGTAAAATTTTCCCCAGAACAGACGGTGATATCATGGTCAGATTTCATTTACAGATCACATAACTCTGACAACACTTTTCATACCAATTTGAACGAAAAGCAGACTATGAAGACGAGAGAGAGGGGCACAAGAGAAACATTACCGAACTGAATTCGAAGATAACGCTCTTTAGTACGATGTAACCGATCCGATCAGTCATTGTCATTGTCGCGCGTACGAAATACTTGAATCGTCGATGCTCAGTACCGATGCCGAGATGACTATGGAAACGAATCTACAACCGGACACACGCACTCCAGCTTACCGAAGGCCGTTTTGAGACAGATTACGAAGACATCACCGTTAGGTAGATACTACATTTCAATTTCGACTTGCTTTGTATTCTATTCTGTGCATCCCAAATAGGCATATAGCACCTACCGGCAGGATGAATCGATGTGACAAGCTCCACAAAAAAGGAGAACCTGTAAACCAACGAGAGCGGAGATGGATAAAATAATATGAGGTAAAGAACCCTGAAAGAGAGAACTCGCTCAAATTGGTGGTTCCCCTCGTATGTGCGAGGAAGCGAAGGGATACAGGGAGGCCTTGAATTCCACTCTAACCTAGCATCGTCCTCTGGGACGGCATAACGAAATGCAGAAGCCTCACACAAGAAGCAGCTTTCGGACGAACCAACACTGCCTCAATCCTAAGAGGAGGGAAGATCAGCGTGGAATACCTTTACATAATCAACTAATGATGGCCACGAAATCCCTGTAGCTGCCTCAACCCTAAGAGGGAGGAAGATCAACCCGGGAGAACGATAAGACAGAGTTTTTGTATGTTTTACCGTCATTCATCATTGCAGACACCGTGTTCGTGTTCTTTTACTTCCTTTTTCATGTTGTTGTTTTCAATTGATCAAACTGGCCAATTTCTTATTCATTCCATCGGATCCAAGTGCTCCAAGATGTTTTTGAATTCGTTTCTAAAATGCGATCTCGTTATCTTCTTCAGTGCGTTAGTTGAAATGTAATCTCGCAGCTTGAGTGCAAAAGGGTGCGTCAGTTTCCTAACTCCCAACTTGGGTTCACCGTCCCACAGCCAAATGTCGTCTTGAAAGTCCACATATTCGCCAGTTGCAGGTCCTTGTTCTTGCAGTTTCCGCAGTTCTGTGGTGAATCTGCAGAGACAATTGCAAAAGTCTGTCCTTGTTTGGTTTCAAATGCACCATGGGGTAACACAAAAATGGGGAAAACTGCAGAGAATCTGGGACAGGGAAGCGACATCATGACTCATGATTGGGGATTGGATGATCTATTGTCTATATTAATCATGACACTTTACAGAGATCCAAGAACAGTCTCATTGGCCTTAGAATTCAAGAAACGGCTCTCCTTGTTAAAATGAAAAAAAGTTCTGTATTATGTGCAAGTAGCTATGCAGCTTCAGCTTGCGCGCGGATCGTCGAGGTCATTTTTTGTAAGAAATTACTATGCTGTCTGTTCCTAAAGTTTGATTGGGATGTGAGAGAGAGAGATCCAAGAACAGAAAAAATGCCTATCTATCTACGACACTACGACAAAAGTGAACGCAAATCCGGCTACAGCGGAGATCCAAAAAAAAGCTCTGCTTGGGAGAAGCATGTATCAGCTCATGTTTTTGTTTTATTCATTACATTTTGCTAAGTGGACTCTTTTCAGCAGCGAAAACAGACAAAACAAAGAACGCAGAAAGCCGTCGTGCATTTTTCTGTACAGGAAAAAGAGACTAACTAATGACCAGCGTGTGGAAGTTCATTCTATTCGAGAGGAGTGACAATTTCCAAATTAGTTTTATTTGTCGAGGATTGTCGAAAAGAAGAATCAATATTAGACACTAGCAGTCTATTACTGAAAATGACTGTAAAAGGCAAGAATCAAGAACATGAAACAAAAAAGCCCATCGTCAATTTTTCAAGAACAAGTAGAAAAGTGACCAAATAACTATGTTCCTTCCACGAAAGAAACAAGTCAAATCACAAAGGCAAGGATCACTTCTATGTATGAAAAGGGAGGTCCTCGAAAATAGAGGAGAGCATGTAACCAATTTTAGGCCTCAATAATGGCTGCTCTTGTGCGGCCTCAGATATCATCCACCTGATAGCGGGATTCACGCTATAATCCCACTGTACTTTGGCTTCCGGATTTTTCGTCCAAAGTTCTAGCGTCTTCCCAACCGAATATATGTCCGCTCGGAATCCGTCGTACCTGAAGCATAGCACTAACTACTTACTAGGGTTACCTTCGCAGGAGTACTTCCCATCAACAAGGACCGCAGAAGCAAAACGGCACTCACCTACCCACCGAATAAGCGACTAAATATAAGCACTATCAAATCAAGTTGTGAACTCAGACGCTCACCGCCAGCTTGATTAAAGAGACACTGATCAGAAAATTCATCTTGTAGAGGGAAAGACACACACAGAGTGACACACACGACTCATACCAGTAGTATCACAGAAATAAGTAGTACCCCATTGTTCCTGCATCCGTGATTTCCGGTGCGCGGTAGCCTTCGGTTCCACAGGTGCAGGTCTGCAGAAAGCCGCTTGAAGCTACTTGGATAGCACTGCCGAAGTCACATAGCTTCAGTTTATTCTTCATGTCAATGAGGACATTACCTGGCTTGATGTCGCCGTGCACAATGCGCTTGTCCTCATGCAGATATCGAAGCACAGAGAGAAACTCGCGAACCAGAACTAAGAGCCGTTGATTCCATTCGTCTTCGTTGTCAAAGGTCACAGTCACGGGCAATGGGTAGTCCTTCAAAATATGGATAATCTCGGAACGATGAAGTCCCTCACCGGTCTCAGGATGCCGCCGTAGAGCCCAGCGTGGACGGACACCTTTTTCGTTGGAGGTCGGTCGAAGATTTACAAGACGGGTCCTAGGAGTTGTGCAGCTCATTACTACAATGTAATTTACTTTACCTCCACAGTAATAAATAGTATTGTCATTCCCTCCAAATTTTGTTTAAACTGGCCTCCACCATACAAGAGCAATGTGGGTACCAAGTCTTTCCGCCTGGCCATCCACCGTCGTGACTCGATACACCGGGTCCGTCACGTCACAATTTATGCCGAATGGACGAGAGAAAAATGTGATGTCTTCCTGCTGGACACACTTTTTCGCAAGCTCCTCTGTGTAGGTCTGCGAATCCATCTTACAGAGCTCGCTTAGGAAATAGAGCGAAAACGGGTCCTGAATGAATGTGATGAATGGCTTCTGATTTTGTTAGTGACAGGAGCGAAGCGGATGCAAATTTTCTAGAACTTGTTTAATGACGTGCGGAACCAACTATCTGCCATCCAATGAAGTACTTATAGATGAAAATAGATGTGATTCTACGCAGAACTAGTTGGACGAGACCAGTCCTAACTAGGACCTCCAAGTAAACGCCGAAGAAGCGTAAAATGCTTCGGTGCTCCAGGTGCGCCAGCATTTGGACCTCTTTTGTGAACGCTTCCCTGTGCGGACTGCGTTTGCTAACCTCCTTCAACGCAAAGAACCGCCCGTTATTGATGCCCTTCATCGGTACACCCTCCCACCACTTTTCCTGCGTTTCTTGGTACTTTTTGGTGAAAAAACTCTGTCGGGTAATGCTCCTGTTCAGCTCATCGTAAAGTGTACTCGACGTGCGCGCTGTGTAATTGTCTGTTTGAAAAGTCGCGGTCGACCTGTGCGTACCACTATCTCTTGCACTACGCGCGTCGTAGACTGTTGAACCTAAGGCAAATTGTTGCTCGCGGTTTGTTTCAAGATCCTCGTCTCAACGATTCGACAGCTTTGCACGCCCACTTGACACTCTAGGTAACAAGATGGAAGATGAGAAATGTTCTACGTACGAGAACGAACGATCATAACTAAGCCATTAATTACCCATTGTGGCGCAGGTCATTTCGCTCCGTGTTCGCCCCGTCCGCTGATTCGTAACATTTGTCGTTCCCGAACGGTAAGAAGCGAGATTCGTAGCATGCGTCGGTGCTACAGCACGACTAGCTGCCTTTGCAGCTGCGATATCGTTCTTGTTCCCGTTGTTACGCCAAACGCAGCGGAAGACACGCGAAAAATCTGTAGCCATCAAGAGCTCGAACTCTGAACATTGATCTTGTACCGAAACTCTTGGAATTCTACGGTCTAAGATCGTAAAATCATCGTTCTCGAGCTCCACGTCCTCCAATCCACTTGTGTAGAGATTTCGCGTGGATACGGAGGTTTCCGCACTGTTCGCTGAGTAATCCGCAGCATGATTCTTTGCACCATTCGCCGGGTACGAACTCGGTTTGTTGTTGTAGGCGAAGTTGCCAGCAACGCCAGGCTGGTTGATGTAAAGCAGGTGCTCCTCGTAACTGTTGGATGCATCCGAAAATCCCCCTGGTGTGAATGCTTTCCCGCATTGGGGATAAAGTGGCGTCGAAGCCGTACTCAGACTGGCACCGGCTCCGTCTACGGACAGCTCACCACTGCTCTTCTGCTGTTTGTACGTGCGTGGCCGCAGCGGCGGTGGATAAATCTGATCGACCGTAGGCATGGCTTTATGCTGACGTTTAGAGTTGCCTCCACCCACAGGTCCTCTTCCACCGGTCGAGGACACACTTCCGCCCGCCGACTCATTTCCCGTGGAGGCGCCCTGTCCTGGGAGACGAGACGCACGCCACGTGAAGTTGCGTCTCCGCTCTCCCGAACTCGATGATGAACTCCCGCCGTCCCCAGCCTGCGCAGTTGCGTCACTCGATGAACACGGTGGGATGCCTTGCTTTGCAGGAGATGCGTGACCTCTCTGTAGTATCGATTTACCATAGGGACTCTCCCCTACTCCCCGTCTCGAAGGGCTCGATCCTGCATGAGACCACTTCCCAGGGCCATCACCTCGGCGAGTCCCATCGTCGTCTTCCAAATAATCGCCCTCCAGCTCATCAAGAAAAGACACACGACTCCGCTTGGCTGGTGATGAGGAACGAGAGCGCGGCTGTCGATCGGTTTCCAGCACGTCAAAGGCCTTCTCACTGTACGGGCTCGGAGCTGTTACAACGAGTCGCCGCTGTGGTAGGTCCGAATGACTACAACCCATCTTTTGTTTTTAGACGACAATGATTGGCGTTCGATATCATGCGAGGTTGATGACAAGTGCGAACATGACTACATCACCACAAAAGGAAGACGGCAGCTCCAACAGTGCTCTAGCAACTAGCTCCCTCTGAACTTCACTACATACACCAGTGGATGACGGGACTACGACTCAGAATCTAAAGGTATAAGGGGGTCTACGCGGAGTGGGGGATTGGATTATTATTGCAAGAAGGGATACCTCGAAGGTAGAAAGAGGAAAACTAACTAGCCGGCTGCATATTGAAGTGCTATGAGAATCGCCAGACCGAAACCTTCGACGTTTTACGGACAAAGGCCAGTCGTGGCCTAGGAACCACTAGCGATGTCTATATGTTCGACCGATGCATACGAAATTGCTTCAGGTACAGAAGAAACGTTGAGCACATACACCATGTCTACACACCGAGATTGAGTCTAGGATACAGCGAATAGCACGCACACGATTCCGGGGTGCTTTTCAAAAGGACACACAGGCGAGCTCCAAGCTGTCTGTCGGCGACAGCGGCTCTCCATCGATGAAAACGAAGCGACCTCTTTTCATTTTATCATGTATAGATTGAAGCCACAACATCGAGCATCAGTTTATGCATCCAGGCGAGTCTCTTGGTGGTCCGAAGCTCGGAAGCGCGGAATGCCCCCCACGTCTCAGCTATTTAGTATCCTGTGACCTTGCCCCGCATTGGTTCTATGAAGTACATACAAAGGGAGTCGAAGAGTAGATGTCCACTCGTCTCGAATGTTGCATGCCGAGACGAAAAATGGTACAATGAAGCTGCAACATGATGGACTAATCGAGTGACTACATTTATCCCCATGAAAGTTCTGTGTTGATCGCCTCAAAATATTAGGTACTCTTTTGATCGAATCGCCATCGTTTTGCCCTTTGCACGTTGTAACTTCCATCTAAGTATTCATCGTATCTGACCACATGTAAGCTCGTCTTTATGGCGGAGTTCTCCAGAGACTGCTAGAGTGCTCAGGCGCTCCAGCAGTTCCTGCAGATTTCCGAAATTTTTTTCGTTGGCCGTAGATTTCATACTGTGAGTCTTACACTTGCGACCACTGCACTATTTTATCAACGTACTCGCTACTTTCTAACACATCTATATATAACTTACATAGCTGGTACCGCTTCCCGAGATCTAGGCTAGCTCGATGTTGGGTTCGTTCTCTACGACTCCGTTGCATCTTTATCATACTACGATGTGTAAGAAAACATCAGAGCACGCACCACACGAAAGGTGGCACAAAGCAGAAGCGGGTTTCAGTACGAGCAAAAGAGATATCAGAAGCGTCTTGTTATTACACGTGCATGATTCACTATCACATTCCACATCGTGGATGCACTGAGGACAAGGACTCGTAAACAGCACCCGCCAAAAGCGTATCCGTGGAGTTTCTAGCGCTGAGTAGAATATGAAATGAAGCCACCAAAATCAGTGCACCTAGCGCCACTGCACACCCCTTCGTTAGCAGACACCGAGGTACTCCTCTGAACTGTTCTATTTTGCCTCTAACATCAACTCAAATACAACATCAACATCAGCAACATTGATTCTATTTCAGTCCTTGCGAGTATCAATATTGCGTACTTTGTCCAAAGTTCAACAACATCGATAGCTATAGCACATTACATCTAGCCAAAAAGTGGCACTTATCTACAACAGAAATGAGACGTGTACTGTTCGAATATTGTAAGCAAGTTATCTTCAGTTCCTTCTTCTAGTTTCGTTCTAGCAGTTCGAATGTCATGCTCCTGCGAATCCAAAAATTCAACAACCGTGACTCCTTTAGATGATAACGATATCTATCATACACCTCCTGGAAGATGTTCCCTTCATCTTGCCGGAAAAGCGACAAACCGTCAATTCGTCAAGCAAGAGTCCGGAAGCACCCTCGCCCCTCTTGGGCCTCCTCACTCCGACAAGCGGGGCTCTTTTTCACTTCTCCCTTCTGATATAAGCGATGGGGCTTACCAATAGCCCTTACCTCCACCATATCCGCCGCCATAGCTACCACCTCCACCGTAGAAATCCTTGCCGCCACCGCCGAACTTTCCCTTGCCCTTTCCACCCTTGCGGGGTTCACCGTCACCGCGTCCACGGACGTTGACTGCGGCGGTCTTGTTCTTCTGCTCATCCCAGTGGGTGTCGAAGTTCACAGTCTCGCCGTCGTTCAGGCACTTGTAACCGTCACTCTGGATAGCACTGAAGTGCACGAACACATCCTCGCCGCCGGCATCCGGCGTGATGAACCCTGTGAAAATCGTGTGAAAAATAAAAGATAATGAAACTGCGAAATACAAATTTGACGAGTGAGCACTTGCACCATAGGGAAAAACATGAGTTACAAGCATGCATTTGCAGCTGCTACTAGTCTTTGGTTGGTACAGCAAATTTTTACAGTGAAAGTCGTAGCAAGGCCCCTAATATGAACCTACTTTCTTCACTATAGTACACGGTTTCGTTTCAGCACACGAGATATTCCAGTCATTCTATCGTTTAAAAAAGTAATATATCGCAAGGTCGTAGTACCGAAGCCCTTCTCGTTGTTGAAGAATTTCACGACGCCAGTCTGCGACATTTTGTTGGGTGCTTGTTTCTACAAAAGCGTAAAAAAACCGATGCTCGAAAGCGAGATACAAAGTCTCAAGATAGGGAAACTGCGTTAGGAAAGACGAGGTTTTGCCTTCTTTATTGAACAATCATACAATGGCGTCTTCTTGTATAACAATCATAAAGGAGAATTCACTACGGCACTTTCTTACAGTTCGCGGATGTAGATCTTCTTTTTACGAGGTGTGTAGTAGAGAGTCCATGTGAATTGGCAGCATCTTTTACAGAGAATCTCGAGAAGTGCGAAAATGGCGCCACGCCATGAATTTCAGAATTTGGTGCTCCAACCATACCAGTTATCAAAGAAAACTTCAAAACACGCACTAAATGTTGAGAACTTCGGACGCTGCATATGCACTGGATCTTCCGCAGATACAAGAGAACATGTTACAAACGCTAGACCAGGAACATTAGTACAGCTGAGTCACTGCACAGTTTCCGACAACAATAAGCGTAGGGCACCGCATGTGGTCTCCGCAGCATCACGGATTGGGACGAACTAAGAACAGCGGATCATGACCAAGTGTCTGCAATAACAGACATGGTCTCGTACGTTTGCATGACAAATTCCAACATAATATGTGCTCTCTGGCTGAAGTTACAGCACACACTGACCATAATCCAGCACGATGATAGAATAGTTTAGACCTGCAAGGAATATCACACAAGCATCATCATTATGCGGAGCATTATTCACATTTCATCGCATCTATATTCTCGAGGAGATAGTCATCAATATTGAAACCTACTAGTCGTGGATACTGGCGCTTCAGGCCATACAGTTGAAACCGTTCGGAACTCGTATCTTCCGGATGCACCTCTGAACCAAACCTATCTCTACAATGACAACGACGAAAGCGATCCGACGATATCACCGTGTTCACTTGACGATATCAACCCAGACAAATTTCTCTTCCGGAGCTGCATTTCCGGATGGGTGCGGAACTAAGTCGGCCACGATTTCTGAAACAAGGTTATGACTGAGCAGGTATTCGGTAACGTCCAGACGAAGTTCCGGGTTCCAAATAACGAAGTGCCCCCGTCCGACTCGCTGCGGCGATGGAAATCCGACGACCGGACGCGTTACGTACCTAAACAGTGGCAGTCAAAGAAGGAAACTCGGACTCATTTCGTTGAAGTACCACGACACGCCTTCAGGCGAATGTGAGTGCACACAACCCATCCACGAATAACTCTAATTAAGGCATGTATTTGCTTACGCAATATAGAGGTGAGTACAGCCGAATTACTCTCTCACGTCCACATCGAATGCCCATTGGTGCAATCCCACTCGAAATTCGCCTGGCACGCCTTCGTTTTGTGCATGTCTCAATAGCACGTAGCCGCGGGGCCTTGTCACGTGCAGCATTTCATGTATCCCAATCAGCGGATTGAAAACATGGTCTAGGGCGTTCCTCATGTGCGTTATGTCGAAGTAATTGACTGGAAAACACTCGGAGAGCTTCTCGACATGGCAATTGACGGGCAAGTTCGTTGGCGGAACCATGTCGAAACCGTCGTAGAGCTGGAGATAATACTTGCCCAGACCATCTGCCGACGTTATTGGTATCGTGAGCTCCGACAGTGTGGCTTCCTGTTCTGTCCTGACGGATATTCCTTTCGCGGTGGGAGACCTTATCGCAGCCTTGGACTCAGAGCCGGCTGTATCCTCTCGCAAAGCGTTTACATCGTCCGGTGACGTATCCCCGCCTGTCATCGAGGCCAATAATGCTGACCCCATACTTCCCCAGGACGATCCCGCGTCAGATGGTGAGCCAGTGTCATCTACGTTGCCTCCAGCTGCGCCATCGTCGTCGAAAATTGATTGGAATTCTTCGACGCTCTTACATTTCTTCGCTGCACCTCCATCTTGTAGACCACCCCCACCGTAACCCTCCTCGGTACCACTTACACACACGGTTCCTGCCTGATCACGGGTCTGCTTGAGCCTTATTGGGCTTGTCTTCAACAGTCGGGAAAAGTCCCCATCAGGCCAACTCAGGTCCTTACACGTGAGCTGCTTGGGCGCGAAAGGTCCACTACCCGCGTTCAATATGTGGAGGGACGTCCGATTTCGTCTCGAGCCACAATTTTCGATGTACATGCACATGTCGTCATAAGCCCAGGGCGCCGCACCAGACTGCAGCCACTCTTGCAGTCGCGCGCGTGAGTCGATCCGTAAGTTCGTCTCGGGGTCGGGCGATAATCGACCGTACCAAAAGCCTACTTCAGAGTCGATGGCGCGCGTCCACCTTATCTGGAATTTCTGAAGTGCCCACTTATGCCTGAGGTCTAACACGGCCTCCACCGCATTCTCCCCAGAATCTCTGGCTTCTTGTAGCGAGTAGATACCAGCGGCGACTGCTTCTGCATCTGTTGAACCGGAATGCATACCAGCCTCACCGCTATCCACGTGCACGAGGGGCCGTATGCCAGTGCCAAGGCCGTGGTCTGCTCGCTTCCAGGTAAACCTCTCTCGGTCTTCGAGGAAAAGAGAGTAGTTTTCGTTTATTTCTCGAAGTGTGAAGGGCCAGTTGCTATCATCCAAACAATGGAGGCAAAATTCTCCAGTGCGAATCGTGAAAAGCATCAAATTTGCTAACTCCTCTTTTTTGCTCTCCGGTAGCGAGTCGTACCTGCACAACGGATTTTTCGACCACAAGTTACAGCACAGTAGAAGCTTTTTACGAACAAGATCATATTCTCAAAAGCGCATCAGAGTCAGCGAACATCTGTGCAATTGATGTGTCATTCTTATGGGCTTCACACCCAATACAGCCTTTGCTGCGCGCAGCCGGAAACCGGTAGTGTGTACCGGAGCGAATCGAGGGTAAAAAAGACACGGCTACAAAACTAGCATTTTTCGTAAACAGCACGAATATGCAATACCGCTTGGATTCAGGCTTTTCATTTCGGCCGGAAACATTCGGCAGTCCGAAGGGTATCCGAGTAACGGCAGTAGTCTCGTGCTCGCCTACCAAATATCTATTTTCATTTCCTAGTGCACCTCTGTCTTTCGGCGCACAGTCAGGATCGTCCTTCCTGTAATGCGTCTTGTAGATTTCTGCCTCCGGCATGTCCTCAAAAAGATGCTCGCGCGCGAGTGGCGTATCTGCGTTCACGCACTTCTTTTTCAGGTGGCAACCATAGGGACCATGCGCTAATGACTTGCACTCTGCGTTTGCATCACATAGCTCGCGACATGTCCGAAAATCCATAGGATGTGCCACGTCATCCGCACTCTCCCCCTCCTCTGCTACCACGCGGGGCAGCGTCACCCACTTATCTGCATCAGATTCCTCTCGACCTGCCAGTGCAGTCGAGCGCGCGCACACCACGATCATCGACAATAAACCGGCTGATTTAAGTGTATTTATGGATTTCCTCCTGTGCTCATAAGAAACAAATTCAAATTTCATAAGACACTTTCTGCAGCGAAACAAGTAAAAATCAAACTGGTTTCATCTACGACTCGCACACGGTCTTGATCAATATCAATATTGCAAATAAATATCCATGGTCATCCATGGGTACCACTGCAGTCTGTGTTGAGAATGAAGGAGTCGTTGTCATCGTATGAAACCATCTTGAAGATGTAGGGGTAGGCTTTCGAGCACACCCCGTGAACCCAGTGCGGGTTCTGATGCTCGTTTTCAACTCCGAATCTAATTTGTGCCAGCATGTTGTTCCAAAAATACTTCGTTCCTTTTTTTGTATCACACCAACAGTCCGTTCGAGACCTCGCTTCATCATGCTTCGACTCCGTCGACCAAGCTTTGTCATACGTACTGGGGTCTCGCCGCGTGTACGCTGACCAGCCGATCACATACTGCGCGACCAGTGCCTGCAGTACGGCCCATCGCAGTTGCAGCGACCGCCGCGCTACAGGACGAGAGACAGTAGGCATAAACATCGCGAGCAACCCCGGTTTTCCGATGGCGTTCTTCTTGCTACGGAAAAGTACAAAGCGACGCAAGCGCAACTCGACACAGCCAAATAATCGGATGCCGAACGAAGGGAGTAAGCGAATGTTTCTCAGTGACGTAGCGTTTCGCAAAGCAGATCACTGCCGAAGACCCACTCTACTTCTTCGAAGCGAGCGGAACAAAAAACTTCTGCCTTCATCCTCCTTTTATCGTACGTATGCAATTTCCAGCAGTTTTACAATGAATACCCAAGAGGCTTCTTAGTATGCCGCAAGCACAAGCAGGCGATGTAACCATAACGTTAATCAACAAGTCTCTACATCCAATCCTCAAACCAAATCACTCACTGAAAAGAGCGCCGAAAGTCCGGCCACCGAAAGTTGAACTACTTCAAAAAGACGTGAACTCTGCTCGGATCACTCCATTCTCGCCCTCCGTTTTTCCGCAACTACGACGCCCGGAACTCATTGGTGAGACCGGTAAATACTGCGCCTCCCTCTCTCTGAAATACTCGCAGACACTGACGGCAAGACTCCGGACTCGCAGCTTACAACAAGTGGTGTGAAGATTAGGTGTAGTCGTTATGTATTGTATACTGCATCTATATTCTGCACCAAGGACATGTCCGAATAGGTGTACAAATGCGATCGGCATTCGGGTCGCCAGTTCGGGTAGGTTTTTCGCGGAGCAACGAAAACAGAATGGTTACTCGAACAACAAAGAAATGCTACACATGCTTTCTTAGCCCTCTACTTACTATGAACTCCTCATTTGGATATCCAAGAACGTAAAAGCCATCAATGAAAAGAGTGGCTGATAGAAACAAGTCATTCATTCTGATGTGTTCTTTGTTTAATACTTCTACTCAACCGCATTCCTTACAACAGTGTATATTCTCAAACCAAATTTTCGTCAGGAGCGAAGAGTAGCGATTCACCGTCCCAGTCAAACTCAATCTCCACGACAATTTTCCCATCTTGTTACAAGAAAGGAACCATTACATCCCATTATACTTTCTTCATGCTTACTGACAGCGAAGAAATTTTAGAGGTAGACCGAGCGAGGGTCGTGGCCACCGTAACCACCTCCAGTGCCTCCACCGCCTCCGTTCCTCATGGCGGACTGTGCGATCTGCGTCAGTGCGGCTGGCGGCGTTTGGTCCACATCGGTCATAGCCTTGCATAGCTCCTGCGCAAATTTGAGTTTCGCCGGGTCATAGTATTCCCATGAAAAGTAGGTCACCGCAGTACCTTTCGCGCCCGCGCGACCCGTTCGCCCAATGCGGTGCACGTAATCGTGGATAGTTTTCGGCAAATCATAGTTTATCACGTATTTCACGTCAGAAATATCCAGACCTCGCTGTGCGACATCGGTGGCGACCATAACCTGGAAATCAATTAACATTCACTTCACAACTTGATTCAAAATGACTCTTCATCTCACATATCTTTTTTACCAGCTCCGGCAACTGCTGACTTGTGAATTTCATAATCGATCTCTACTGTCGAAATTTGCATGCAGGGACCAGAGCGAAAAGATAGTAACCAGTGGTTAGTAATTCTCCGCGTCCTTTTGGCGTCGCTGAACCTCAATCTATCAAACCCTACAAACACTGGAAGATCCAAGCTAGCTTTGAAACTCTGAAACAGACACTTGACCAATCAGATCTGAACACCAAACTTTAGCATGCTAAACCTTACCTGAAAAACCCCCTTTTTGAAGTCCCGAAGCAGGCGTTCACGTTGCGTCTGATCTTTGTCCCCATGAAGCGCAGCACAAGGAATACGCCTTCCCCTAAGATTCGCTTCCATTTGATCGGCCGTTCTCTTCGCGGCGCAAAAAATCAGGCACTTGGCATTGCCATCAGGGCTGTCCTTCAGTTTCTCGAAGATTCCCACCAAATGCTCCATCCTTTGCATCTCAGGAATCACCTTCATGTTAAGTTTCCACACATACAAGTTGCATTACGGATCTTCAAGTATCATCTTCACGACCAGCAGCTTAAAACTCGGAGGTCTCGCATAGTCTACACGTGCCTGAGAGGTTCTTTCGACCAGCAGTCTATTCTCGTACACTAGCAAATTTATTTTTCACTGAAGAAGGAGAATAATACCTCCACGATCTGCGTGACATCTGGATTGCACTGCAATTCCTGGGAACCAATACGCAGTAAAGTGGGGTCCTCCTTGCAGAAATCCCGTGCCAGTGACTGAATGTCACGCGGCCACGTGGCGCTGAACAGCACGGTCTGTCGATCGGGACGTGTCTGGCCCACGATCTTCCGTATTGAAGGCTCAAAACCCATATCTAACATGCGATCGGCCTCGTCGAGTACGAGATACGTCACCCTGCGGAGATTCACAGCGCCAGAAGAAACAAAATCCATCAGCCGTCCAGGAGTTGCCACCACAAGCTGAGGACCCGAACGTAATACGTTCGCTTGTACCGTCTTAGAAATTTAACTAACGAAGGGAGTATCCCGAAATTGCGGAACAAAGGACTGCTGCATTTGCGACAGACGTGCCCTATCAATTGATCAGCGGTCAGTAGCCATGTCATGTCATGGCATGTCATGTGTTCGTTCCGTGTTGCGATCCTGTTTCGATCACCAGCACGTCTTTTGTGATATATATTTTATAATATTCGCTTGCCCATAAAAAAAGGAAAAATCGATGGGAGTAGCCCACTTTTGAACAGATTCATTAAGATAAGCAGAATCTAATCTGCTGAAAGGCCTATTTTCCCCGCAAGACATCTCCTACCGAAATTAATGCCAGCGGGTTTTATGTTACAGAAAAGGAATGATCCAGGCTCATAGATTGTCGTGACCCACCACCACCATAGGCGACTGCCGTTTTGATACCGCTAAGAGACCCGAATTTCTGCGCCTCCTCGTTAATTTGTTGGACCAGCTCTCGCGTGGGGGCCATGACAAGACAGACTGGGCCTTCACCTGGTGCTAGCGGCCTTTGCTGCAGTATATGCGCGAACGCTGGGAGAAGGAAACCGAGGGTTTTTCCGCTTCCCGTCTGTGCAATTCCAACAGTATCACGCCCGCGGCAAACAAGCGGCCAGGCGAACTGTGAGTTTTACTCGAAAAAATTGACACCTCTCATAAAGCGTTTGCCCTCATGTCTAGGAGCTACTAAGACTAAAACTAGTACTGTCTTCATTATATATTTTATAAGTATGGTTGTGTGTTTTTTTCACGGCTTTGTTTTCGGAAAGATCATGTTATTAAGACCATGATTGAGTTTCAGTAGAGCCGTAAAAAATCACATGCATCCAGAATGGAAAAGAACACATCCCATTTAACGAGTACCTTTTGAATGGGTGAGGGTTTGTCGAAACCTGCCTTTTGCAATTCCTCCAACAGCTTGTCGCCGAAAGTTGATCGCATATGTTCAAACGAAGACACGGGACCAGGGACACTCCCGCGACCTTTGATAGTAGCCTTCATGCTCTCGACAAGCTCCATGCTCGCCTCGGGAGATCGTGTCTCCACTTCGCTATGCTCGCAAGATTAGAGCCCAAACGGAATTGATATACGCTGAGAAGCGCGAGGAGGGGAAAGGAGCGGAGGCACCCTCTCCTGTATGGATGAATCAAGAAAGAAGAGGTTTCCTACATTACCTTCAACCACCAGACCGATTCTGCTGATAGGAGTTTCTTATAAGACGTAGTTACTAACATCAAAACGACAATAATAATTATTTACCATTGCATGACCTTCTATCACAAGGCAACAAATACACCGGATATTCATTTGTCTTGCGATAGCTCGTGAGGAGTAATTACATCGCAACCATGAATAACAGGTATTGGCAATTCAAACCAATCCCACTTCTACTACATGATAAATCGCATCTTAACGCTATAATTTGGTAGGATAAATAACTGACATCGCAGTTCATAAACATATAAGTCCTTCTTGAATTCTTCGAGATTCACGCTCTCCCAGTGAATTGGTTGGAGGGTATTGTGGCCCTCAAAGAAGTCATTGCGCCTTCCTCTCATACCACCGTCATGCCGATTTGTATTGAAGCTCCCGCCGCCTCCATGGCCACCGTTGCGGTACGCACCGCCTCCGAAAGATGGCGAAGTGGGGTCATTGTAACCGCGTGTTCCTCCACCACTATCGAACGCGAATTGCCGCCGGCCAGCACTCAGTCCTACGGCTTTTCTCAGGTGAGAAGCCCGCATTGAGAGCGACGCTGCCGTTGCCCGAGAAGTGCGGACGGACACTCTGCCGGAAGCTGCCACGCTCATACTGGCAGGCGACGGCAAGAGGAGAACGAGACTGGGAACCACGAAATCGCAATCGGTTGATTCAAGAGATGCGCTGGAGATGCTACATACACAAGTATAAGAAAAGCACAGACGATTTGTAAGGCTAGTCAAGCTACTAGGAAGTGCTACGGAAGAGGTGTCACAGGAAGTTAATTAACGAGGACGAGAACGGAGGCACGAGCAATCGGGCAAAGCCATTGAGAAAGTATAAAAACAATAGATACCTACGCAGAGTAGACTGACTTCCAATTTCAGATATCCCGGGCAAACACCTGAGCCGCTCGTCGAGTGGATTTCCCTCGGCCGACTCCACTTGATGAGTTTGAATTAGAGTCAAGTCAGGCTGCTCGCGAATGACGGATCTGAGGCTGCTCACCAATACCATGATCTTTGACTAGAGCAAGACGATAGGCCACGTGCTCCTTTCGCAAAAAAAAGATCTAGATCAGTTGATGATAGAAAAGTCACGTCGTTGCTCCTGTTTCAGTGTTTCACTACAATTGTCTCACGACAACTGATTTTTAGAGGCGCTTGACCATCTGTTAGCCGTCTCAGCCCCAGGATTGCACTTGAACACAGAAATGACCTTCGTGTGGGAACATACAGGCATCCACGACGCGCCAATGAGTGGCGCCACGGCCCCACCCTGCTTGGACACAAATATCTTGAATCCTTTGTTTCCAGTTCCAACGATCACAAATTGTCATCTGTGATATACATGACAAATAAAACCACAACATCGGTTCATCTTCATCGACCAAAAGAAACAACCACTACAATAGGCAGGAGGTACTACTAACCCTATGTATAGTTCTTGAGGTTAAGATGTAGTGTTAGACGAGCATCAGCACGTCCCAAGCAGCAGCAGCAGCAGCAGCAGTACCGCAACTATGAACTGAGGTGCTGGCGTTTGGATAGGAGGATGGAAGAAGAAGAGTGAGCTTGAAATTGAAGTGAATAGAGTTGGTTATGAAAGCAGCGAAGTAACTAAGAGCTCGAGGATCCGCTTATCTAGGCGCCGCGCTATTGTCGTGACTACCCTAGAGGTCTTCTCGTCGAAGGCGGCCGAGGCCTGTGCGTGCCTTCAACAAGAAATCAAAAACGAAATGCCGAGGCTGTAGCTGTACATAATTCGTAAGGCAGTAACTTTCAAAGCACAAAATTCGCCGGGCTGTCATCCTTGTGAAAGTTTAACTATTTTTATGATAATCGAAGATTACGTGTAGGTACAGCATAAAAATCTATCGGATTTTATTTCTTCTGTTTTCCATAATCAGAAGCAATAACTACGGGTAAGTGGTGTTTAGAATCAGATATTATACTTTTTTTATACTTACGTAGTACATCATCATTTTTTTCCTGCCTTTGCCGGATCTGAATTTTTTGCCTTACTTTTTATCGTTTTTTCTTACATGTTCACCTTTGCAGCACGTAAGCCATGCTGCAGTTTATGAGTCAATATATAAATTGAACTTTCAAGTACGTTGAAGATGCTGCCTATCACATAGTAATGCCATAAAAATTTCTTTATTTTCTATTTATGAGTGATTTCTAAAGTACATTTAACTAGCGGCCGGCTTGATTATGAAGAAAAGTTCGAGACTAGCACCACCCAAACTTTCGTTTGAGACGCAAGAAGAGTAGCATGTTTGATCTGCGCAGGAAAAGGAAACTCCTATATTGGTGCCATCACTGATAGAGATCGATAGCAGTGAATGGCGCCGAATGTGCTTCCCCGAAATATTTCCAGTGCCCATTACTCCAACTGTTCGCATTCAGGAAATCAGTGGCTCCAAAATTGAAGGCGTCACCCTTATCTTCTTTCGCAAGTATTTGATTGACACTCTGTATTTTTCGCATGTTTGTTTTTGTATCCATGCCTTGTCCATCATACAATCTTCGCGCCTCCTTGTACAATTGCTGGCCCTTGGCAGTGCGGCCACCGATCGGAATGAATTCTCCAAGTAGGTTGAAGCCCATCTTGATTTTCGCTCGACGCACGCAATCGACCCAATTTTGAAGTTTGCGAGCCTGCGGTGCTCGCTTTGCGCTTGCGTTAGCGCTGACCACTTTTCCACGCTTGTTTTTCTTGAGATCGGCATTGCACAGGCCACCTGCCGTGCGCGCACGGTGACCCTGAAATACCGAAGCTTTGGATCCGCGTTTGCGCGCATTTGCTGTCACTTTCACCGGACACTTTTTTCCCTTGCGGTGCTTGCCGTTGCAGGCAGTGCAATCGCGCCACTTGCGAGGACAGTTCGTCGGGAAACCGCGAACGCCGCGTTGATGATATTTTTTTGCAATCCAAGCAGTAACGCCACTGCCGCGGGCACCTTTCCCCTTTGCGATGATGCACGCCGCAGTCGCCACAGAATCTTGCCAGTGTTGGAAAAACGAACAGAATGAGTCGTGAAAAGAATAATTATGGAGACGTGACCGAACTTCCACCTGAAACTCATAAAAATCAAACTAAACTTGTGGCAAAGAATCGTGAGATAAAACAAAGCTTCTTTGTTACAACCAAACTACTCACTTTTACCCGCAAGGTTTCCCGCGTCGGCTCACAGGCGACAATCGAACCATAATGAGATAAGTAAGCAAAAACTCCTACTTAGACAGGCAAGTACCTTTTTCAGGGGACAGCCAGTGTCTTTGCGATGATACGTGTAACAGTCTTTGCAATGTCTCCACTTTGCTGGGCACTTAGTTCCCTCCCGGTGTTTTCTGCCACAATCGAGACACTTCGGACGCACACGTGGACACACGGCGTCTCACCTATGCTTTACGTCGCACCTTGAGCAATATTTCGGACGCATGGACTTGATCACAGGCAGTTTCACGATTTTCTTCGTGCCACCCTTTGAAGGTTACGCAGCTGCTCCCAAGTGTGAGGCTTTTTTACCTGCCGAGGACGAAGGAAGTCCTACTTTTGCGGACGCCGGGAAGCTGCCACTCTTTCCACTCTACTTTGCAGCAGCTCCTTCCGGCGGCAGCACCTCAATGTACAGTGGACTCCCGGCGGGCTCACTGTAAAGTCCTCGGTCTCACACTGCGGAGACGAAAGAAGCTCTTTTCAGGAACCATGGTAACCGATGCCCTCTGTAGCGATCATTAAAATGATTAAGAACGACTGTTTGGTTGATCGAGGCGCATGGCATCGCTAATTGTCAACTTCAGAAAGATCTGGAAGTCACTCTATGGAATAAGAGCACCAAGACCGAATGTTATTTTATTACAGTACACGAAAAGTCTCATCTACGAGCAAAAAATGATCAAAATAGCTGACTGAGTGGATCCGAAGAGCGCAACAAAATGTCAAAAAATCGCGACACAATATTCTTGCAAAGTCGGAACACTAGATTTAATGGCTTATAACCGCTTTAACATTCAGTCTGTACGCTGAGTGTCGCTGGACGCAGGCCACACCCGATGAAGAAAAGACTGCAAATCAACATCTGCAGCAACAACTAGAAAAACTTTATTTACGGGAATAAATCACTCTTCAGCGATAATCAGATTTGATCATACAAAAACTGCAAGAGGCCGAAGCGGGTCAAAGCGGACTAATCAGACGTAAATACAAAAAACCTCAACCCGAAAATCTGTTGTTGTTCATGATACTGAAATGGTGATGTGCCGCATATGAAGACAAATACTGTATCAGGTGCTACTGCTATTATTTATCTAGTGTCTTGAAGGAAGCAGGCCTTTACAAGTCGAAACAGAATGCATCTCGTAGATACCTTCTGCAAGTCAGTATTCACGACTTGCAGAAAACTTGGTGAATACTGTTATGCAGTAAAACTATGTTATTACGACTACCTTCTGGCACTTCTAGCGTCTCGTCTCTTCGCAGTACACTCCTAGTAAGCGGGCACTCTCATCGTTCAAGCAGAGTCACTAAATAGCGCTAACATACCCCTACTCTCAACACTTCTTTTATGGAACACATCTACCAGTTTCTTTATCCCTCTCGTTTCTGGGCGCTATAAAAGATGGATTGACTATCATCGACTTTTTTCAGCGTGAATGAATGATGTATAGCTCAATTAGGCCGTACCTCAGCACGTGACTGCTGACTTTTCAGCTATAATTTTCAGCATGTTTCATGAACACTTATAGCCGGTCGCAATGCTATCCAACGGCGTTGAATCAACGGCGTTGCCAACCCTATTTCCGTTGCTGTTTGATGTCTTCATGAGTTCCAATTTGCTATTGAAAAACTCAAGCTCATCTTGCAAGACATGATTGGCATCAGAGGAGAGGGGTGAAAGCAAAACCCACAAAGAATGTAGGGTAAAGCAAAGTAGTTACTATGGAGTTCTAAAAAATTCAAGTGATATAAGATTCGAGATAATTGAGAGTGGAAAATATTAAAGAGCTAAAGGAAAAAATAACAGCGACCCCGCCAAACTCTCAACCTTCCACTTCTGACTCATGAACTCCCAAACTTCTGAGATTTCCAAACTTTCCAAGCTGTTCCAAGCTTTTCCAAGCTTTCCAAGCTTTCCCAGCTTCTCCCAACTTTTCCCAACTTTACCCACCTTTTCTCAACTTTTTCGCACCTTCTCCCACTTTTTCACAACTTTTCGCAGCTTTTCTCAGCCTTTCGCAATTTTTCAGAATTTTTCACAATTTTCCACAGTTTTCCACAATTTTTCACAGCTTTTCAGAATTTTCCAAACGTTTCGAACCTCCCCAACTTTTCCCCGCTTTCCCAACTTTCTGGCCGTTCGTTCCCAACTTTTCGCAGCTTTTCACAACTTTTCCCAGCTTTCTCAGCTTCGCACGCTTCCCGGCCTTTCCGAGCTTTCGAAGCGTTCCGACTTTTCCCAGCTTTCCGAAATTTCCCAACTTTCCGAGCCTTCGAAGCTTTCCAAACTTTCCGAAGCTCTGAGCCCATGGACCAGCGCCTATAAACTTAGGAGCCTACGCATCCCGCCCAAACCGATCGGTGAGCTCGCATCATCATCATCATTACTATCAGCACCACCACCGGCGCCATTTATGAGCCAATGAGCTTGCAAGCTTATGAGCCTGCGAGGCTTGGGAATTGGTTAGGCCTGACCTCATGCAGATGGGCGCGAAAGTTAAAGCCTTAGCCTGTGCGATAGAGTCAAAATGTATAGAAATTGAACCCAAAAAATTGAAAAAAGGCCGCGGAATTGGTTAGCCCTGACTTCACCCAGAAAGGCGCTAGCTTTTTAAGTCTTACACGATAAAGCCAAAACCTTCACGGTTTGAATGAGCTCAAAAAATTGAAAAAAAGCCCGGGACGAATTGGTTAGCCCTGGGCCTTAAAGTGTCAAGCTGAAAGCCCACACCAGACAGCCCAAAGCCGAAGACTCAAAGTCGAAAGCCCAAGGCTGAAAGCTCAAAGTTGAAAACTCCAAGCTGAAGACCCGAAGTCGAAAGCCCCAAGCTGAAAGCGCAAGGATGAAAGCCCAAAACGCAAAGCTGGGCGCTCAAAGTTGAAACTTGAAAACTCAAAACGGAAAGCTCAAGGCTGAACCTGCAAGCTCAAAGCTGAACGCCCAAAACCGGAGGCCCCAGGCTGAACGCTTACGATTAAAGGCTGCGCCGCAATGTCTCAAAGTTTCAAACTTGAGACTGGGAGCCCAAACCTTTGACTATATTCAATAAAGGAAAAGCTTGGAGAATTCCGATCCGAAGTCTTTGATTGTGTCACAAGAAGAAGAACCGCGACAAGTTGCAAACTCGAGCGCTGCAACTTGCACGCAAAGAAGGCCAAACCTACCAAAAGAAGAGCACACCGACAAGCCAACGGCTTCGGTCTGTACCTTTTTAACCAATGGCCGCACGCCGTCCCCCGCCCAGCTCTTCTTCCAACGATCAACGCCGCCAGACGGTTGGGGCCGGGGAAGCGGAATCGCGCCGGGATTGAGGAAGTGCGTGCCGGGGGTGGGTGATCCTAGTGGGAGGAGTGCTCCCGGGCGCTCAAGTCTAGTAAGACACAGTCATAAGATCGCGATTATTCATACACAAGGAATTGGAATGACAATTCACCTGGAAAAGACAGGCTTCAATCAGAAACCGTGCAAATCTAAAACAACCAAAAGACAATCCGAGAGTCCACCATCAACAGAAAACACGGCGGCCTGACTGCTTGTGGTGGTAGTCGCGTCTTCAATAGCCATCGCGTGCATGTGTATGCGAGTGTGTTCTTGCGATAAGAATCGCCGAATTAGATGTCGAAATAAAAGGACAACTGAATAGAAGTTTTTCGGGGAAGCTGATAATTTGGATCATTGGAAAAAATTATCAACGCTCGCAGTCGAAGATACCAACCGGAACAGCTACTAGTATCACCGAAAATAAAGCCTTATCTCAAGGGCCGTCAGACGAGACCATAAAAAAATAGATACATATACTGATGCCGAGAGGGATGTACCAATTGCAAGAGCGGAAGGGGAAGTTTAGTTAGCGATGCATTGAGTTTGTTCTGACGATACTGCTACGCACTACTGCTGCAGGCGCCGCTAGTGAGAAATATTTTTACAACACTGACGTCTCTACTCTTCCGTGCTTTTTTAGTTGCGCCGCCAAATTGGCCATGTTCCTCGGATTGCACATGTTGCCGCTGTCTTTTGCGATCTCCTCCCAATCCTGTGACACTGCCAACCAGTGCAGAAGCGTGGCGACCCACTAGAGTGCCGTTTCCATATCGTTTTTTTTGTTTTTTGCTTGTTTCCGGCGCCATTCTTTCTGGCTCAGTAGATTTCTCAAAAGCTTCAGCCATCACTCGTCTTTCTATTTTCTCCATCTCTAAGGCAGGCCGACCTTTGTCAAGCATTTCCTTTTGCTCTTTGATTGCAGCCATCTGCTCGCGCTGTTGGTCTTGCTCCTTTTCATTGTCGTCGCGACGTTTCTGCAGTCTCGCAAAGACGTCTTCCAGGCGCTTGTTTGCATCTCCATTACGGAAGCCCGCGTGTCTCATCACTGAGAGCGGTAAGTCTGGAAATGATCGCGAACTTTGGTCACCGCCAGCGGGAAAATTTATGAACAAAAAGGAAACAAAGCGCCAAGCAGCTCAGTGTAGAAATGCCAAAAGGGTGCACAGTCTACATCTATGTAGGCTCTAAGGCTGCATGCCCCCCCCCTACGGTCTGGTCTGTGGTGGCGCTCGCGCGCTCTTTCCCGCGCTGATTTTCGCGGATTCTAGTGGTGGAAGGCGTCAAAACTGGGCGCGGGCGTCCCCTTGCGCCTCTCTGCATTGGCACTGCAGCAGCCGGGAGTAAGGTGCTCCCTTGTTGCTTAGTCGAGAGGCTGGCACATACATGAACGGGTAAAAAATGGTTCTGCTTTTAAAATATCCAGAAAATTTTTGCGCTGTTACCGAAAGGTAATGTCACTGCAATCCGTCTCGCATTCTCCTATCGTCGGTGCAACTTTCCCAGACCCTTAAATTCAACTTGTCAACTTGCTGTGTGCAATGCACTGTTGTAGACATTCCGCGTGTGCGCATCGCTGAATGTCCGGCATAAAACTCAGCTACGCTGCCCTCAGAATTGAACACCAAACAGCAAGTGAGCCTTTGGAGTGGCTCTGCCGAACGGTCCATGCACCCACGGTTTTCAGAAAATATAACTTATGCCAAGTATGAATGTTACGATCCATCCACACATAAAATGGCTGAAACCGAATTAGTCATAGTGGACACTTTCTTGAGCGTTGTATAGGAAAGCAGAGCTGAGTCAAATGTATCTCAAATGCTGTTTTTTGACAGCCGCTTCTGCCTTCGTTCTTGTGCTCCACATATGGAACGGTGTGTGATGAAAAGAATAGAGGAAAAGGCACCTCTTCTTTTGAAAATGTTGTCTAAACTAGTCAGTGTAGAAAATGATGCTGGCAAAAGAAGCGTTATTGATGCGAACCGTCGATTGCTATATTCGCCAGCTGTCTGCTTCCTCCTGTTCACGATTTAGGTCAACAAAGGGACGTTGCATCGCGTCGATCATTTGGTACCCGCAAATGGGACAGTCTTCATCGATTTTGAGCCCCATGGCCTCGCAGCAGTCCACGTGGAAGGCATGCGTACAGAGGTAGGTCACAAACTTGCGCTTGAGGATGCTCTCACCACAAAACGCGCAGACGGCGTCCACGCGCAGCTCGATACTGCGGTTGCTCACCGTCTTGAGGTCTTCCTTCAGCAGTTGCGCGGCGCGTCTGTGTTCCCGCATCTCCTGTCGTAGCTCCTCAATGGATCGCTCGCACTGCTCCAGGTAGTTCGCGATGTCATCTTTGAACGCGCCCACAACAAGTTGCTCCGGCACGTAGGGCAGCAAGTCGCGAATAGAGATTAGATGCGAGTGCGACGCCAGCAGAGCCTGGAAAGACAGGAGAGCCTCGTTCTCTGCTGCCTCTGGTGTTGTACTACTATCGATCTTAGGAGCACTTGATACTGCATTCGCGCCTTTTTGCTTGAACTTTTTGCCTTCGTGCTCAACTATCCGCAAGAAGAGTCGTCTTTGCTCACTCTTCTCCTTCGGTTTCACTGCCTGCTGCTTCGCAAGCTCAAGATCGCCAGACTCCAGGGCCACCTACAGAAATCACGATGCATTCAAGCTTCTTATAGCGAGTCGTAAAAATTGATTGTTTCCGGAAAATATGCTGGAAACAAATACTGGTATCTACATTAATGAAAATCTGGTGTATCATGGATGTTCATCTTTTGTACTTATTCTCATAGCTTTATGTCACGCAGTAGACAGTTATGACTATGAGTAATACCCTAACGGCCTCATCATGGTTGCCCACCATGGCGTACAATGTCGTCAAGGCTGGTCTGGAACACTGTTTTCCGTTTTCTTGGCAAATTCTCAAAGCAAAACACAGGTCCAATTGCTGTGGCACCTCCTCTCGATCCAGAAATCGCACCAGGGCTCGGTCGTCAGTGTCACTGGCATAAAAAACGAAAAGCAACTTCACCTGCTCACGCCGCAGACTGCTAGCGTTGATGCTTGCTCCTGATGTTGATGGTGCTGGGACGGCTGTTGCTGTCTTCCTCAATGCATATTCGAGGTACCGAATCGCCTCTACGCGATGCACGGAAGGGGACAACTCCCTCGCACCCAAGGACGACGCTGCATCTGTTTTGTTTCGTTATTCAAAAATTAGAAGTACTCAAAAGCAAATCATCGACTTAGTCATACTGAATAATTCCATCTGGGAATAGCCGTATGCAATAATGTGCCTAGTGCGAGGTTCGAAATGCAGCTGTTGGAGGTCTGAATCATGCTGAAAAAAGATAGCCCATGCTCCTTTTGTGCTTTTACCAGATAATATACCCATAAGATGACAAACTTTTTGAAAGTGAGCTGGCAATTGTCAGATCATGGTCCAGCCTCTTGGCTAGCTTCGGAACACAATTGAATGGAGATCACACGATGAAGTGATGAAATACCAAAAGCGTATGGTGTTTTACACGTAAACTCAGTTTTGATTTTGAAGTTGCATCTTGAAGCAAATATCGTGGCACAATATCTAGCAATATGAGGAGCCACAACAGAAGAGGCCACAAAGGACCAGCCTCTCGCATTGTGGTAGGCTTAATCAGGCAATATTTCATTCGCTTCCAAAACAAGAATTCAGTCTTACCCCTTTGCCAACTGCCAGAAAAAGATGCCGGCTGCCCGTGTCTTGTGTAACTCGCAAGTAGCCCTAGTGACAATGGCTCCGCTTGCGCGAATTCGGGGCGCCGCAAAAACCCTACTACCTCTGCGGGGCAAGCCTGAAATAAGACGGAAGCGTAGCGGTTCAAGATCTGAACTGCTTCCCGCTCTGCGCGACCGCCCTGCATGCTCCGTTGGTCGCCGCCCACAGATTGCTGGTTTCCGGCGGCACCTGGTTCATTACTCGCGTCGGTGCCAAGAGCGATTATCTTCTCCAACAAGAGAAGGACTTCCAGAAATTGCCGTCTGGCGACGTGATGCCCTGCCACCGTCTCGAAATCACGCAGTAAAAACGCGAAGAAAAGGAATTCTTCGGTGCAATCGTATGACATCAAAAGTTGATAGACGGTTGCCGCGCAGTCTAACCTGCTGGCCTGGTTCAAGAAGAAAATGAGCAAGCCTTTCGCCGTCTGAAAAGTGGTTGCCGGTTGATTATTTGCGACTTGTCCTGCATCGCCAGGCTGGCGCGGCGGCGGTGTAAACGAAACTCCACCGGGTGCTCCGAACATGAGTTTTAGACAAAGTTCGAGGGCGTAAACGCACAGGATAACTTTCGGAATTTTCGTCTCCGTCTTCTCCTTGTGTAGCGCAAGCAGCTTCAACCTGAGGAACTCCAACAGCGCAAGCAAAATTGCATCCTCGGCCGCATTCGCTGAGGAGTCTCCGGAGAAGCGCGGTTGCCTGCCAAAGGGAACATCCGGGAAGCCACTCCCCTGCCCGGCAAGACCGCCAGAGACTGCCCGCGGCCGCCCACTTGAACTGCTACCCGCGTCTGCAACCAAGGCCGACGCAGTCGCTGTCGCTTTACCACTCGTGCCGCCGCTATTCAGGGCACGAAGCTCTGCCAGATACATTAGGACTATGCTCTCGAAGCTTTTCACACTGGAGGGCAGCTGCGAGAAGAAGATCGCTGCTTTTTGGAAGTCGCGATCCCGAAAGAGCGCTTCCGCGTGGTTTTCGATCACTAGATACTTGTTGCCACCGTCGCAGAGCTTCAGCGCGTTGGAGAAGTCTCTTTTCCTCAGCAGCAGGCGCCACACGTCGGTCTTCTCGTTCTCGATGCCCACCTCGTACACGAAAGCGTCACAAACTAGCAAGATCTGCCGAGGCGCGTTACCCGGTGCTGCGGGCGGCGTGCCCAGCCCCGCCAGGTGACCCTGCGCATGGCTGGACAAATCGCACAACATTCGATCTGAAGACACAAGTCCGACAAGCTCGCCATACCGATTTGCGGGGAGCGCCTCGCTGGCCATCGCCTCGTTCGTCACGCGACTGAAGAGAACGAGCCTTCGCGTGTCGAACAAAGCCACCGATTAGAAGGCTTACAAAGAGAGACGTGACAGCATGATCATGCCGATCGAGATCAAGAGTGAACTTTGACATATTTCTGTGTTACCGCTTGTTCCAGCATCTAGCAAGTGAGAAAACTTTGATTTTCAGTTTGAAGAGTTCTAGAGACTACACAAGAATGAAAAAAGTTTGCCACGCTATATTGAGATAGAAGAAAAGGCATGTCAGTTAGCATGCAGTACAGATTTTCAAGATATTGATATTCATCAAGATATAATTCATAAAAGAAGCAGAAATCGGTAACAGCAAATCCAAGCACCATGTGCCCATCCACGACCTCCTCGTTTGAATAAGGCAGTAAAAAGTGGCGTCTGAGGTCCTCTAACGGTAATGCCGTGACGCCCGCATCCGAAACCCACGCAACGGCGTCATGCGCATAAAGGGAATTTTCGAGCTCTTGAACACTGTTTCTTGCCCCACGGGCGTCTTGCTCTGCGGACGCGCGCGACGCGCGCTGAATCGCCGAGTTCTCTGAAGAACTCGCCACTGCGGGGAGGTGGTAGATGCGGCTGTACGACGTCTCGACCGGCAATTCTTTGGAGGTTTTCTCCACAGCGTCGAAAAATGCCAAGAAATGTCGATCAAAGCTCTTGGCGAACGTTTTGTCCAGGATGAGCGCGTTTACATTAGTGTACAACAGCAGTCTTTTATCCGTCGCCGCCAGGAGGGTGTACCGCACCAAAGTGTTGCTAGCATATGCGGCGTTGCCGCTGGTAGCTGCCAGCGGCTCTCCCGGTGGCTGCTGGGAAGCGTCGGTAGTGGATGCCGAGGAAGACAGCGCAAAGCGCACCCGCAAGTCGAGAATCGGCTTGCCTTTCACCGGCGTCTCTAGCGCTTGACGCACCTGCATGCGCTGTGAATCGTGCACGCATGAGATTTGGTACATAAGTCCCGTTTCAGTACCAGCGAAGGCGTGACAGGCGGAAATCTCGGTGCTACCAGCAAAGGGCACGTCGAACCAGCCGACGCAAGTTATTGCCAGATTCCTCAATGCTTTCAGTTCCAATGCTATTGTAGTTGCACCACCCAAACCACCTCCGCCGGAACCTGTCGCGCTGGTCAAGTGGTAGTAATTCAGAAACTGCGTCTGAACAATACAGTGCCGCTGGCAGTCGGACGCAAAAAGCTTCCGGATTTTCTCGCCTCCGGGGAGCAGGCCGTTGCTTGTCACCGCAGCCGCACCGGCGGCACCTGCCACCCGCCATTGCACGTCTTCGACTCCTACCGAACTCGCTGAAGACCGCACTAGTTGCTCGCCGTTGCCCAAAGCTACAAGGAACCCTCGATCGAATGGAACGACTTCTAGTACACGCTTGCTCCCTCGACTGTTCAAATCGGAAGACAGCCGCAGCGACAGGGTTGGCGGCGTTATCGCGCCCCCACTGCTACTCACTGGCGGCATTGCCATTCTTTTGCTGTACGTGTGAGCCGCGCGTTCGACAGCGTATGGCGTTGCCCTACCAAGGCAGAGTCTCTGAAATTCAGCTGCTTCGCTGACGTTCTACCCTACTGCTACGTCTGCTATTCCTGCACGCCGTCTAGCGCGGCCTTATATCCATGATCACCACAAGCCGCAAGCAAGCAAAAGCCCACGTGCCCCGGACAACACGAGGAGCCACAACTGCATACGAAACTAGTAGCCGCAGTCACCTTCATTCTTACCATGTAGATGTATCCAGGTGGAGGACGATAATTTCGAAGAATGCTGCGTTGTACCTCCTAAACCTCATAATCTTTAAAACACATCATCAGCAGAAAGGGAACAACATGTGAGAAATTTCCGTGCGCTTAATTAATAAATAAGTCTGCAAAAAATCCTACAACAACAATTAGAGCTACAGTCCCTAGGGCTCTACATGCAACGCCTGTTTCGGTCCTGAACCTGTCTCGTCCTACGGGTTAGTATGTATGAACGAGCACAGACATCTAACCTCAAAAATTTCTGAACTGCTGCTGCTACTACTAACTTTTTCCATTTCGAAATTTTGAATTGACGCTAAGGCAAGACTCATCCACTTCCGGAAAATATCAATTCTATTCAAATTCCTGTACAGAATAAGGCGTCCCGGAAGGTAAAACTGACCATATGAAACCGAGCACATTGTTACGGAAAATTTTTCTACAATCGACAACGTTGTCCGAACAACACAGAGTAGGGACCTACATCAAAGGAACGAGAGCTAACACGCATTTGCTTTCCAATCACTAGTTGACACGCTGAGTTTGGCGTTCTTAGTTCTTCATCTGGATAGATAACCATGAGTACTATCGCAAGGGCGTTCCCAAACCAGGCTGCTGCTCTGTCTCTCGTGTAAGCGTGATTCAACCTAGATTGGGCAATGGGGAATCCGATAAAGCTGTTACTTATACAATTAACACGGGACTGTCGAGTTTTTACATATCATGTTGTTCTTGGACTCGATTCCATACCACCCTACACGTCGGCAGTGAGATGTTCTTCGAGCGTCTGACTGTGAAGGTAGAGGTACGTATGTAAAAATATCACATATATTAGTCGCCAAACAAAGGGGTCCTCCTCAGCAACGTAACTGGGCAATAAACGTGGGCTAGGCGACTCCATGATGCTGGATATGATGAAGAATATTGTGGCCAGAAACTAGTGACAAGGCAACAAATTTGACTAAACATATCTATGCATGGACCGCCAAAAGGGTGGAATTATGCGTGAGTTACGGATGCTTGATGCGGTATTTTCTCTTGATAATAATATGTGTGGTATGGCTTATGGACGATCCACACTAGATGTGAAGTTGAGAAGCGTGTATATGATGTTGTACTAAGTAATGTCTTCTACTTGTGATCATTCAACAGCACTGGCTCGACGTTTCTTTCTTCGACTGAGCTGTCTTCTCCTGCTGCGTTGGTTGCTCGTCCGCCTGCACGGGTTCCACCTCGGTCGGAGTGATATTCTTGTTCGCAGGTAACTCGTCAATGTGAAAGGTGGATGCCACAACATTGGACCACGCAAATTCGACAGCTACACCTGCAGCCCAGGACGCCTTTTGCGGGGCCATGAACAGCTGCACCGGGTCTGACGCAAAAAATTTGTGGATCACGCTCGCAGCGAACATGCCCTGCTTGCACAAATCCCTCGCGAGCTTTGCATCTACGTATGAAACAAGAGAAAATCTTCAACCTCGAAATGAATGAGAAGCAATATTCTTGAGGATCCGACGCATGTATTTTTGCAACAAATGATCCTCAAGTCAGCAGTGCTCAAGGTTGAAGAAGAGTACATATCAAGTTATAAAATCCCTCTCTCCACCAGGTCGTGAACGGGAGTCGCGCACATGAGATTGGCCGCCGTTACCCAGGCGGGCACATCGGTCACCGAGTCACGACCTTCGTCACACATCTCCGGTGAGAAAAATAACATATTTGGCTTGTCCGGGATTGTTGCTTCCTGAGCGCGACACGCATCGCTAAGGAAACCCGAAAAGCCGGCTCCCGCGAGCTCCAATTTAGAAACTGAAACTTTAAATTTAACCATCAATCGAACCAAAACGAAGAGCGAGAACCATCATTCGAAACTTTGATGGAAAAAATTATAGGATAATGCGACTGGAACTGGCAAAATTAAAGCTCAGCATTCAATGGTCACTGACTCTGAAAGAAATGGGCCCCATGCCTCTCCCTTTGCTTTTCCTTCATTTTCCCCTGTTCTCTCAAGAGGGATCTCAGTGACCAACCCCAATGACCATTGAAAGCTGAGCCTTAACAAAAGCAATGTGGAAGTTCTCTGCCATCATTATTTTTAACGCCTTGTTCCTTATCAATAGTAGCATTCTCTATCTCAACAAATCTTTCTACTGCTTTCTGAAAACTCATTTTTTTCTCATAACAATAACTGTACTCGCCGTTTCATCGACGGAAGTCAGCCCCTTGAAAGTCGCAGATTCTTGTGCGGAAATCTCGTACGCACTGCCACGCTGCGTCACATCGCCCAACTCCCGGTGTTTGGTACTAAGTTCTCTCTCGAAGAATTTAGTGCAAGAGGAACTCGCGTCGCACGGTGCCTGCTCGCACGAGCAAGCGTTCTGAGGATCGTTCCATTTTTTGACTTGCTCCAGCCCAAAGTTCAGATACGACTGGCTGAAGAGCTTCGGAAAAAGAGACGAAAAGGTCACCAGACTGGAGGAACCCATGGCCCTGCGGTCGGGAGTCACCACTTGCATGGAGGCGCCACCGATCTCGATAATGCCGCGCATCTTTTCTGGATGGACACGAAGCTCCCTTGTTGCTGCGCCAGTAGTGGTATCCCCGACATCTGCGCCATACTGAGATTGATGAAACGTGATTGCTTTGCGATATTCGTTCACCCCGATGAATCCGTAGAAGCCCTCCTCGACCCCGGAAATCGTTTGGATGTCGGGGCGCAGGAGAATTCGTGGCGAAGATCCACCAAAATCCGGAAGCCCTTCGAGGTATTCTTTCAGAGCCGTGTAGCAAATCTTTTGCTTGTCCGTAGAAACAGGACGCATGCCAGCAGTCGCACGCATTACCAACAGAACAGGATCGCTTGATGTCGTCGGCTTCTTCTGCGTTTTAGATGATGAGTAAACACGTTTACGCAAAGCTACACAAATGTAATCCGCTACATGTCGACGCACCATCGTACACATAATTGCAAAAACGTCTACAACTCGACGTACCTCCAGTGCGAACCGTCCTACAATATACTGATCTCTTGGTCCTCCCTTAACGTGTAGGAGATCTGCCATGCGTGACAGCTCACTCTTCAGGGTAAACGCAGGTTTGTTGTTTTTCGCTGGATACTCTGCCTGAAACATTTCAAGCAAATTGCTCGCGTGGTCTTTAGGCTCAACATCGTCTGCGACTGCGCGCTGGAGCATCACTTTCTTCATCTTCTCGGATGTTGTAACGGCCTCAAATGTGACTGTGCTGTCCACTTTGCGATCATCATCGATCCACATTGTAAAGGCTTCCAATGTCAGCCCTGATGACCCTAGATCCCCAACGATAACCCGCTGCGTTGGAAATCGGGTCTTCGGGACAAGACCATCCACGTCGATTGAGAGTGGAGCTGATGAACCCCTGGTGGCATGCGGCTCCAAAAAACTTGCCGTGGTACTGGCGACGATAAGTGTTGCATTCTCACGACCCGATATGGCATTCGCTCCACTAATGGCGTCTACTACCTTGAAACGAGTTGTGTACAACAGACTATAGTTCCAAGGCTGTTGCGTCATACTGCTACGTCGAAAGAAGATTTACTTCTAGTCTCTAACTGGATGAAACAAAACCTCCAGCATGTTGCCAATGAGTTAACTGAAGCTATGTATACCGTCTTCTCAATCGTGTCTTCGCACAAGCCAGCGCGAAAAGTGGACCACAGCGAATAGCAGGAGAGCCAAAAAGATGCCACCGCGAAAAGACTCAGGATCCCGCCGAACAGCGCCTTTTATGAAAATAAGTCCTACAAAACCACCGGACAACTCATCCTGACCCGGACGGTATCATAAGATACCACCAGTAATGCGAAATACATCAACTTCACGGTAACAAAGTATGTCACGAGGGGCCGCGTAGTAACAGCAGGTGCATCCACTTTTCTTACCCCTTATTATTCATCAGTAAAACTCCAATAGCATAAAGCGACTTTTTGTCGAACAGGTCCGCACTGAGTCTTCTCATCACCAACGAACTCGTCTTGAAAGAAATCTGCCACAGTATCGGAATCGATGGTTTCGCATTCCTTAAGTAGTCCTTTCGTTTCCCCACGAATCCAAGGAGTTGCAGATCTGTTTTCGAATGAGTCAGGAGGCATTTGATCCTTGAACTAACTAGCTCGATGACACTATTGATCTTTAAAAAGAAGTCCCTGTAAGCCCGTCCTATATGATTGATTTTAGATTCATGATAAAAATCAATCCATAGATGACTCTATTACGTAGTATACCTCTCCTCTTCCAAGAAAGAGGTTGAAGACCACACGAGCTCGTCAGAGCGCTTCCACCAATCGAAGAAAGCGGTCATGACGCGTCTCCCTTCTTCGCGATCGTTAGCGAAACTTGTTAAACTTTGAACTTGCGTTCCAGCTGGAAATATTCTGAAGCATACACGTGTCCAAGACCAACTAATCTCCTGCCTTACCACAGTGCGAAAGATCTCTAAATTTTTCGATACATCACAGGCATAAGGGAATCCAATATGTTGAAAAGTCTTGGGTGAGTCGATCTGCCAAAAAAAGGGAGAACTAGGTAGCTACGCGATTGAAAGGACAGGGGTTGTCGAAGATGGTAATCTACTAAAAATACATATTGGGCATAGGGCCAAGAGGTCCTCAAGCTTTTAAAACCTCTGTTGGACCGACGAGGCGTGAACCCATGATCTCTCCTCTTATCAGACCGACATCACACAGAGAAGAGTGGCGGTCTACTTCACAACCGATGAGTCACGAGAGAGCGCGTAAACCGAGGCTCATCACCTGACGAGATCACTTTGAAAGGAGATTTCACAGCAAAGATACAAAATCATGTTCCTTACGAAAATATTTGGACGAACATCATAAAATGAGCAGATAGATTGAACTGCGCTGGTTGCGAAATCATGTTACCCAATAATCGACATGGAACACACTCAACTAAGATTCGCATCCCGGGTGCTCGGAAACACACCAATGTTCGCTTCCAAAGGATGAATACGTCGGTGAGCCGGACCTCAGAGCACGTTGTCATGACCCTCTGTCGTGCGTGGCCGAAGCAGTACGGCGTAGTTTATCTAATAAATAAGGGTCTGTAATCATCGAGGGTGGGTACTGGAAGGTCTGGCTCTTTCGCAGCTTCGTCGCACTTTCTCAAAGCGATTGAGTCCTTGTGCCAGTGATTCGCCGCCCACGCCTCTGCTTCTTCTGCGGACATTGGCCCTCCTTGGTGGCGCAACGTCGTTTTGCTCGCTTCCGTTAGCATGTCGTGGTATGCGGCATCCTGCGAAACCAAAAATCGTTTTGCATTCACGTGGTTCGCGACGAGATACGAGACCCGCCTTGGCAGGCCTAGAGAGTCGTAGAAATCCGCCCCAATTTGCTCATGCTGCATGACACCGAAGCCCTCCATCTCTTCCAGAGTTGAGTCGCCCTCATCTCACCTTCTGAATCCGATTGCGTGTCCAACGTCGTCTAGCCATGACCATCTCATCGTAGTCGGGAAATCGCTCCCACGCAAAGTACGCTGCTTCGAGAGAGAACTGCAATTGTGATACTGGCTCCCCGATGTAGTAAAAAGCGCCATTGGCTTAGACGAGCAAAGTTTAGGTAGTCCAAAGTGCCTAGTCCAACATCCTGCTGCTATCTCGTAACCATGCACATTGATTTCCCCCACCTTACTACAAATGATTCCTTTACTAGATATGAGCTGAGTTAATGCAGAGGGACGAATCATCCATGTCAGTCATTTTTCTTTATATATAATTGTCAGTCATTTTTCCTTAATAGTTAGGCCGATCCTCCCCTGGGTACCATACCTCAACAAGGCGTTGCCAGCAAGCGTCGTCGCTAGAAGATGACGTTGTAGATGTCGCCATATTTTTGCTCTTTTTATGCGTCTTCCCGCGGTCGAAGTGTGGTATTCACGGTGAAGGCTGTGTCGATGTCCTCGCAAAACATCTGTATTGACAAAACATTGCACCAAAAGAGCTGTGTCAGGGTTTCGATGTCTGTGCCAGGGTTTTTTTTTATTAAATATCACGAACTCAACTAACAGAGTCCTAAGCAACAGCAGTGCCAGCTCGTGAAAGGTCTGGAACCACGAAAACAGTAAAATTACATGATTAACGGGGGCGGGACGCTATTCCTTTCATGGGAATAGCCTTTCGAAAATTATACCGAAAGAGGTCAACAGAACAAGACGCCTACTAGTGGATACAACAGAGAACAACCATTCTGGGGCGCCGACCATCCTCACGATGTCAAGATTCTACACATTTTCTTGAAGAAGATCTCGTCTTGGCCATACTGAATCCTTTATGAATTGACGACGAGTCCATCACTCGTTTCCGGTCCCTGGCACGAACACGTTGGTCGGCACTGCAGAGTGCGCAAAATCACCACAGCTCCATTCCGTTCCGAGTGACATAAAAAAATCTCTTGTTAATATGGGTTCTGTCATCTCTCTCTCTGCATCCTTGCGATGACGCAGCGCAAACGGCTTGTAGATTTCATCAAGAAAAAATGTGTTGTATCTATGTGCGTAACCTAAAGAGATGAGTTTGAATGAAAAGTACTACAGCGAAACAAAGCGCAGAAAACTAAGTAAGTAGCTGAATGCCCCAAGAAGGGGCACATGCCTTAAGTCTTTCAAGAAAATGACAGAGTGCGATTCAATCGCATGTGCGGTGAACTTAGTCACGCGACACTCCCAACTCAGGTCAATGCAACTTGTTCTGCAGTCTGCGTAACAACGTACAAGGGAAGCTTTTTTACAACATCTCATCGAGTTTGGTATTGACAGCAATTGAGAAACCTCACGTTTTCAATACCATGGATGCGCGATACTTATTGTGAACTCTAGCAAAGTCCTCTGAAATCCCAATGGATCCAGGGAACAGGAACAGTCATGATAAGAAAATGCCCTCACCTCCTGAGAATCAACATCATCAAGCCTAGATGTTCTATGCTTACAAAAAATTCCTGGCGTTCTGGAAAAGCAGCGCCAGCTGACTTCCGGCCTTCACAGCCGATCGAAGTTTTACCTCCACGGCTTTTCTACCGCGCGAGCAAAATCCTGCGTTGAGCGCGGATCTGATAAGCAATTCATCTCTCTAAATTTCATCTTTGTTGCTCCGCTGACTCGACCAGCTCGAACTCCGCGTCATCTGAGCCAGCGGTACTGTTTATTGGACTAGGTGCGAGGTACTCCCAGTCACGCGGACTCTGCGGGCTCGCTGGGCGCGTATTTCCGTTGGGATCGGAATTGCTGGTATTTCCGTTGCTCGTATTCTCCATGGACAACAAGCTATCGTCAAGCGAAAGAGGTGCGACGCGGTCCTTTCGTCCTCCTTGCTGGCCGAGCAGGCCTGTGGTTGGAACCGACATGTTGCCAGCAGCAGTCTTCGTGAGATCGTTACTGTGGTTACTAATATTCACCAAGTTTGAAGATCCGCCAATAGCGGAGCCTAGCGGAATCGCCATCGTCGAGTTCTTTTCGCTGTCGACAGCGGTGCTCGCATCTCTCCTGAGAGGGAGATTCGAGTCAGCATTTCGATCCCCTGGCTGCACTTGTTGTAACGAATACGATTGCTTGCCGCCTGGAGATATAGGCTCAACCTCAGCTGCACTCGAGCGTTCTGTGTTGCTATCTTCTGCAGCCTGCCGGGTCGCTTGATTCTGCGGTATCATGGGACCCTGTTCATGGACAACGAGGTCGAAGTCACTACCATCTTGACTTGTGCCGCGCGGGCCAATCCCTGACACTTCACCCTCGCCGAGACAACTCCGCCGGCGACCACCAAAAGGAACCGCAGGAAGTTGGGTGCTCACCTCGCGACTCAGCATAGCTGGTGACCGTGCCGCGTCGGCCCCTGCGCTAACGTTTTCCCATGACTGTGCGAGGTCCTCATCACCTAGCAATGCCCCATGAATTTCCTTGTCGTGGAAAACGTAGTACACGCACTCCACGTAGTCCAGAATTACTGGCCTGTGATCTGATTTAGCGCAGTCGAAGTTCGCGGTGTAGCCCTTGTATGCGGCTTCGAAATTTCGACTATGCAGGATCGGCGCAAGTGGCTCGCCCTGCTGTTGCAGCTGTTGCATTTTTCTTGCCCGCACAGCCGCTGCGCTGTTCTCGGACACAGTGTTGCTTTGCGCAAAATCACCGGCGGACGAGGACGACGCGGAGTCTGCCACATCGCCGGTGTCGCCAGGTAACGACGAAGACGCCGCTGTGGCTCGCTCCGTGGTAAGGTCCCGCGATGCGTCTGCTGTGGACGCGACGGCCCCGTTTGGCGTCTCGCTCGCGTCCGCACTTGTCGCTTCACTTGCTGGCACCATACTTGATGCTGTTGCTGTCGAAGCTACCTTTCTCAATTGTGACACGCCTGGCTCTGATCTCGATTTGAAGAGGCGCTGTGATGCCGCTTCTGCCTCGTCGATTGCCACATTAGCTGAATCCGCACCAGCTACTATCGCACCCCTCGCTCCCTCCCAAGCCTTCTCGTTCCCGTCTCTCTCACGACCACCTTGTGTCGACTGCTCCTCGCGGGATTTTGACCGCAGCGGCGGCGTGATGTCGCGAGATCGCTGCCGCGCCATGAGAACCTGTTCCTGCGCCGTCGAATTCACTGCCGTCGCTAGAGACGGGATCTTTACGCCTTTACCTGCGTACAAAATGCGATCGCACCATGCGGGCTGTCGGGTCATGTCAAATTGTGCAGTTCCTGGCTCGAGCTTGTAAGTCGGAGGAAACTGAATCGGTAGCTCTTTAAGAGCCAAATAGCTTTTCGCTTGATGTCCGGACGCAGTGCCCGGGCGTCCGAGTCCCCTTTGCTTGTCCAGACTTTGCAAGCTAGCTGTGAGCGAATGTGTTGCAAATGTCGAACATAGGGTTTCCATACAGAAATACATCAGATGCCGTCAAGAAGTCTTACAATACAACAACACGAATTCGGTGAAAAGCCATGAAGGAAGGTTAGTCGCAAACCATTGAAAAAGCGCGCTGTGATACCTTTCTCGTTGAGGTACTGATCGAATTTGCGAAGGCTCCTCCAGTATTTGTAAACAAAGTCTGAATGACGACAACCCGCATTCGGGTCGGACTCGACGTCGAATCGCGTCAAGTCATAGACCTCTGAAAGACGCTCAAAACTCGTTGGCGTGCTACCTGGGGGGTCGCCATGACTGTCCTCAATATCCGCCACCTCAGCAGCCGTTGCAATCTTGATGTTTTTTGGAGAAGCAGACACACCAGGATCTGTCATTATTGTCGTCGCTATTGCACTTGATTGCGGCGCCAGTTGTGTTCCACAGATTGGCTTTTTGCCCGCAGACTTCTCTGCAACATCCTCCCGGCTGCTGTCTTCTGCAGTTTTTCCCGGTAGAGAGGACTGTGTCTTGTTTCCTCCCAGGGAGAGCTTTTTACTCTGCGCAGCTGCGACTCCATTGGCGGGTGGAAGCGAGAGCAGTCGCACGTCACCCATTTGGGATGCTCGGTGGCGTTTCTTGGCTAGCCGAAAGTTGAAATCTCCCGCACACACAACTACATCAAAATTCCATCGGTTCCTTTCCTCATTCCAAACTTTTCCTAGTTTCAAGATGTTCACAAGTTGGCAGTATCGTACAACTGCATTACCGACGCCGCTTTCCAGGTGCACGTTGAGCAAGCACAACCGGGTTTCCAGCAGCTGAAACTTGATGAGCACCGCTCCCTTGTTGCCGCTGAGGCCGCCGAGACCCTCCCGGATCTCTTGACTCTCGATGCGACTCACATGAGGAGCCATTTCCTCTAACAAGTACACGACGGAGTACTGTCCGATCATACCAGCACTTCGCAACTTCAGGTACACGTGACGTGGATACTTCGTCTTCAAACCCTCCTCGATAGTCGCGTTTATCTCCGACTCCGTGGCCGATGCAGTGGCAACGCCTACCAAGGAACTGGCAGTGGCAACTCCTAAATCCACCACTTCTTGAAAATTGAAAACCTGAGAAGACCTCCAGGTAAATCCGTCAGAAGAATCGATTAAATTTTCCGAATGTCACTGTTGTCTATTACGCTAGTGTAGGTAATAAATGGCATGCAGCGCTTCTCTAGTAGGTCAGACTGGGGCGGTCACAAGGTTGTTCTCAAGATTCACTTCTGAAAGCGAATTCAGAAGGTGTCCCAAGTGATCCAATCATCATGACAGTAAGCGTTTTTGCTCTAATTTCAGAAGCTCTTACGTCGATGAATGATACCATGACTTTTCGAGGCACTTCGGGAAAAATCTTGCGAAGATCGCACAGTGGAGTGGAACTCCCTCCAAGATTCCACGTGCACGCAAAGAGACAAAACAGCCCACTCCACAATCGCTTCCGCTCTTCCCGAGAGACTGCTTTAGAAAATCGCTCTGACAAATCGCTAGAGCATAACAAGGCGTCCAAACATTCTTGCCGGTTAGCGTCTTCGACTAATGCGTTGTATGTTCGCTGCACAGACCTAAATTGAAGAGAAGGCAATGGTGGGCGGATTAAGCACGACCTTTCTAACGCCCAGGTTCAGGGCAAGGGGGAAAACTGGTAACTGAACTACATATACTACAGTAGTCGTTGTTCAAGCGATCCGCTCCCGGAGGAAGCTAAGAGCATAATCGACACTGGGAAACAAGTGAGGACACACTCGGACACACAGACCCGAAAGTTTCGCTCTAGTACTATTGGGATAGAGGAGGTCTGATACGGGCCCCTGGAAGCCACCAGCCGCCGACCGTATAGTACGAAGATCTAATAACATCTTGAAAGAATTCATCTTGTTGAACTGCACGACTATAGTCAGAGTTGGTGAAGTGAAACTTGTGGTTCATCAGCCGCAGAGCGTCAGAGTGAACTATGCTTTGGTGAGTGTTTCTCATCATAGAAAATTAAAGATTTAGATAATATTCTGTGATCTTTAGTAGAATACAAGATGGTTGTCAGAGTTGGTGAAGTGAAACTTGAGGTTCCTCAGCCGCAGAGCGTCAGAGTGAACTATGCTTTGGTGAGTGTTTCTCATCATGTAAATAGCGATCTCCGATTTATTGACAACTTTTTTGATCTTTGGTGAAGAGAGCACAGCATTCAAAGAGATCTTGAACATTACAGCGCTAAAACCGATGCGCTAAAACCGCGAGAAAGCAAAACTCTTGCGGTTTTCGCGGAGAACTCAAATTTAGAATATGACGACATTTGTGTTTGAATGAGTACCGCCACCCATGCTGCCACGCACTGTACCGCCCACTGACGAGCATCGCCGTAAGAATACTTGGCGCTCCGGTTGTTTGCTCTGAAATAATATCGCCCATCTCCCCCCAAAGGGATTGCAGGTCTAACCGAACTTTGTCCTTAACGCTCGAAATCGCTTTTGCTACCGCCCGCTCCCGCTCCTTTGATATAGTGGCGCTTTTAGACGCAGGGCTGTCGGAACTCGCCGTACCTGGTGCAACTCCATGCTCCGGAGGTTTTGTCGTGTCTGGCCCGCCTTGTGGTGGTCGATGCGTCTCCGACGAGGAGCCGCCACTGCCGCTGGCCGCGTTCGCTTCGCAGTCCCCATTTGCCGCGGGTGGCACATCCTGCTGCTGTGCTTCGGTGCCACTAGGTGCAAAGTAGTCAAAAAAGCCCCCCGTCCATGTCGCTCCCTGCGCTTCGCTGGGACCCCCAGGGGCTGCAGTCGCAGCATTACTGCCCTTCGCGCCCGGCGATCCTGGCACGGGCCCCCCGAACAAAACTTTCGGCTTTACCACCCCTTGCGCTTCAGTGGACTTCAGACTCAGGCTCTCGCCTGCATTTGACCTTGACGTAGACTCGTCAGGACCCACTGTTGTTGGAGTCATGTCTCCAGCCATCACCACCACCGCTGCAGCTGCGTCACTTGACACGGCAGTGTTGTGCGAGGGCTCTGCTTGCTGCTTGTGCGTGGGCTTTCCTCCTGGTGAAAGTTTTGATTGCGATATTGCGCGCGCTTCTGGTGCAAATTCACCGGGAAAAGACGCGAAAAGCAGACCCTGAAGCCAGCTCCACGCAATGCCGAATTGCGTCAAGTTCGTCCGGTCAAGACAGTCCATACAGTTGGTTCGCACGACGCCAGTTTGCCGCCAACCATCGTCTGGAAGACCAATATCATTGCAGTGAGAGTGCGGACCTTCCCCAGGAGGAACAGCGTCGTTGTCATATGCATCGAACGAGGGAAATCCGACGTCACTGCAAAACCCAAACGAATCGATTTCACCGCTCCACTTCGCGACGTGCGGCATTAAATCTTCAATACTGCCAACGTGGTGATGAAAGTCGAAGTGTCGCAGACGCAACGATCGCTGGCCGCCGTAACCACCCGCGGGCGTGACCTGAGAGAGACGGAGCGCTCCTTGTCCGGTTCCAGAGGAAGGAGCTATCTCGTTGACGTCGTTGTGCGCGGGGCTGTCTCGAGTGTCAATCGGCGCGATAAGACGTGGCGCTCGAGAGGTCCTCGCTTCTTTCCCTTGCGCACCCGCTCCTACCTGGTCGTCAGCCTCCGCTGTCCCTGGCGTCTTGGGTGGGGTACTTCGGACTGATTCAGCCGAAATGTCATGATAGGCGGACTCCTTGCTGTTGCTCGCGGTCGAAGATGCTAGTCCCCCCACGGAAGCCATGTCGCTACTCACGCCCCCCGTAGTTACCGCACGGCTCGCGCTGCAGAGAGCGACCCTAGGATCGTCTATCACTGCATGCTTCGTCGTGGCGCCAATGCCAGGGCTACCACATGTTTGCTGCTGCTCTTCATCTACAGTGTTCAAACGCGTACCCTCCGGGATCCCATCGGGCGACCTTTCGCGAGCAACGGCGACAGGCGACAAAAACGGACTGCCGCTGGTACTGCCGGGTACGAGCGTGAACGAGCCTGCACTCGCGCGGCTGTCGGTCCGGCCTCTTCCTCCACCAGATACACTGGACTGTGGATTGATATTCCGTGCGACTGCGATTGCAGGCTCGTCTGCAGACAATAATGACGGTATTGACTCTTCGCCACCCGGTCCTCCCCGTAAACTGTTGACGGAGGCACTATTATACGCATTCGCGCTACCAATGGAGGGTCTTCGAATTAGACTGGTGGTACTGACGCGCCGCCGTCGTACATCAGACAGGTGTTCTTGAACTTGGTTCTTCAGTGCATCCACTAGCATTTGCTCCCCAGCCTTGCGCTCAGTGCACAAATTCATGTAGAGGATTCGCCCATAGAGCCGCTCGAGTCCCGCCTGATGCCGCCGGAAAGCCTCTTTTGCGAATGTCGGGTGCTCTCGAGTAAATTCGGGTACCCCTGTTGCGTTCTGCTCCCAGAATAGGGGAATCGACCCACGAATTTGCACCAGGCTGAACACGTTGGGTAGACGTAATTTTCTTGGCGTAATGCCCTCCGTTAACCCCGGTGGAGTCCAATTCTCAGAGACATAACCATCTGTACTTTCCCCATTAACTGTGCCATTCGGAGTATCCGTCCGTCTCTCTGAAACACCGGACATGCGCACTGCGGCTGCTCTGTCTTCTCTTGGTGGAGGCACCCGATCCGCTTCATCGTCACTGCTCTTGATGAAATCGTGAAGCTCGCAAGCCTGGCTCTCTCGAAACTCCGGTGTAAGGGGCTCGCAGCTAGCGTCTCCCATAGCTGCGGTGCTCCCACTACCCGACAAATCCACAACCTGCTCTACTTCAAGGAAGTTCGCGACGTCTCCCCTGTCGTCCATACCTCGACACGCGTATCGGGTGCCGACCCTGCGGCAACTGCGTCGTACCAGCAAGAGGAGACGCACTTTGTCAGGAAATTCTCTCGGCACGACACTCCCAGGCATCTTCGTACTACTCAGCAACAGCCGACCCGGTTGCGCAATTGGTGGCGAGACCTGCACAGTCGCCGGTGCGCTCTTGTAGTTCCACCTCGGTCGTCCGCAAGGCATACCCGTTGTGTCCATGCCATCGCCACTCGCCCTTAGACCGGCAGGCGTGTCGTTCCTTGAAGAACCCACATTGCTTGCTTTTGATGGTGAAGCATGCTGTGCCGAAACATTTCCAGTTTTTCCACGCTGAGCTGCCGCGAGTATGTCCGCCCCGTCTATTACTTTTTCTGCTATGTAACCTTGCATTAACACTGACAAAAACGCCTTCGTTGCTGATTCTTGATGCACGAAGACGCGCGCAAGCTCTTGGTTCCAAAAAAAGCGAGCATCGGCGGTGTCGTAGAGAAAGTGCCGCTTGTTCTCGAAGTGCAGAGGCGCTCGTGACTCTTTGCTATTAGGACTCCTCGGCGCGACATGAAACGTACCGTTAGAAGCACCGGCACCGATGGACGGGCGAGAACTCGGGTTCATCTGCGAGGGACCAGCAGCGGCTGCTGCTATTGCAGCGTTCCCGCTTCGTTCTCGCTGAGGTAGCGAAGATCCTGCAACAGAAGACGAGGATGAAGGTGCAAAGCGTGCTGAGAGCGGCGAACCAGACTGGCTCCCCGCGTGCTGCGTCGCCGCCGTGAAGTCCGAAGAAGTTGTCTGATGCGGACTGAAGATGCGTTGCCTCAGACGTTTTTGCCGCTGCAACGAGTGTGTTATATCCACGTGGTTGCTGAAGTAGAAACCACTCTGCAAGAGCTTCTGAACGCCCTGAAGAATCGGCTGATGTGCTCCGGTGGCGCTGCGTGCATTCAACGGAAGTAATTCGATGTCTTCAACTCGAAGAACGGGGCTTTTTCGAATCGCCTGCCTATCCTTGTAACCAGGACTGCTTGTCCCTCCGCCATTTGCGGTCGTTGAATTTTCACCTGCTTCCTCCAGTCCTGCATAGTGTAGCATGTCGCTTACGACGGTTTCGCCCCCGAGTAAGCTCCCGAGCCACGAGGAGCCATGATCCTCCGTACTGGTTTTTTCGGATCCATTTGCCATGCCATTCTCTCCAGGGTCAGGAGCCCCTATTGTAGCCACGTTCTTGTCCCGTGGAGCCATTATCTGTTTGCGAAATTTTGCGTTCCGACTTTTCTCGTACTGTTCCTCCGACGCGCAAAAGTCTACGACTTTCGATGCTCGCGTGCATATTACGAGAAAGTGCGCTCGCGGCTTCTCCAGAGTGAGAATCCCAAAAAGAGCCGCACATGGCCGCGGTGGGAGTTTCATGTTGCGAAGACCCAGGGGCGGTTCCCGCATAACTTCCACCCTGCACGTCGACCGCTCGATCGCTAGGTAGTGGCTTTTCATCACGGTGCCGTTCGCGGTGCTACCTAATTTCGCGGTGACATCTGTCGCTTCCTTGCCGAGGAAGCGGCTCGCGAAAAAGCCTGTCGCCGCCGACGTCAGTCCGCCCACCGCCCCGCTTGCGATATTTCTGGCGCCTCCATTCGCCGACGAAGCGGAATTGCAGTCTCCCGCACGTCTATCGAAGTCCCTCGATGTTGATCGAAAGGAGGGGCAGAATCGTCGCTCGACATACATATGCGTATCGGTTACTAGCACGGACATGCCGTCCTCTTCCACTGACGCAGCAAAACGCATACCCGAAGGCCGCGACCCCCCGTCTTGGAAAGACATATTTCCCGGTCCTTGTCGAAAAAAGGAACACAGGATGCCGAAATGCCGTTTCTGGCTTGATGGTCTATTTGATTTTGTTGAAACTATGATCCATTGCGGTAAGCGGAACACCAGCGTGCACTGAATTCAATCCGTTATGATTATCAGTAACAACCACGTCACAAGCACAAACGGACACCGGAACAGGATGTTGTGAAGCAAGAGGTTTTCATGGTTGGTGACCCATTATATAATCGTCTTGCCCATGCTTTTTTTACAAGAGTGAAAACAAAATCGCACCACAAGAAACTGAGGTCGGAGCACTTGATGGCACCAACAAAAGGGCCAATTCAACAAAGCTCCGACAATATCTCCTTTCGCACACGCTTTCAGAGGCTCTCGCTCGATGCTCGCAAGGAATTACGAACTAAGTATATTCAGAGATGTTGGTTTTGACTAAAGGAACAAGCAGTTTTAATGCAACCGAAACTTCGATGAGGTAGTAGGCATATCTTGGTAGCAGTTCTCTCTAGTTACAGCATCCATGAATTTTAGGACATTTTGTTTTTTCTTTCAGCAAGCTACTCATCGCATAACACTCGGTCTGTAAGGCATACCTAGTCGTCAAGCTCCTGTCACCGTCACCGAACATAATATGTTTGTGCATCAGGATCGTTCACGATGGTGAAGATCTCGGGTTACGCCAATTACTTGTGTATTTCTCATGATCGATATGACTGCTGAATTATGTGGTAATGATAACGATAATGACGCGTCTCCCTGTATGTCGCCCCGGACCTCAGGCCGGTTTTTTTTTTTCGTTAGGACTATATGCTGCCGCCCTTTTAATCACTTAAACATGTCTGTTATATTTTTTTTCGTTAGGACTATATGCTGCCATCCTCTTAAACAATTAAACACATCTCCTAAACAAACAACCAAGTAGGTGCATACTGGGGGAGCATAGGGCCGTACATTCGGCCAACAAATCTACACCAATCGGGACTCTTCTCGGGGAGGAATGAGTGTGTTGGTCTGCAATAAATTTATCAACATGGTGTTAAAATAAGTAAAAGGACAACAGGCGTCCATGTTATGCACTCGCGGGCCAGAATAAAAGTGCTCGCGATATGTACTGATGATTTTGCACCTCGGTCAGTGGCATTCATGCGTATGTGTGTGATGTGAACAAGGGTATATGAAAACGTTTTCCTAGCTTTCCTCTTCTTGCGTATCATGCTTGAGCGGCTGCGGCGCTAGATAAGTCTCAGTATGCATAATGAGTAAGCAACTAGCACGAGATGGATCGGATTGTGCGTCCGCACGTGTGGCCTACTCCATCTTTCACAAGTGACAGATTAGCGACAAGTTTACGCAGGCACGTTCTTGAGATGAATGTTGACACAAACAGGTCTCCACATTCAGAAGCAGAGTATCCGTGGATCATCAAATAACGCACTCATTCTTAACAGACTAGGACCCAGTGCGTATAAAAAAAATCGATTCACTTTTTTAGGTGTCTCTACAGCGTAAAAGTAGATAAAATCACAAAGATATGACAGGGGCTTTATATTCTCAAATGAGTCTCCTTGCTCGGAGGAAAGCAGCGTCTAAAAACTGAAAATCACAAGATCAGTCAAGGTCATACTGTATTGTAGACGTTTCCTGATCCTGTCTCAGCAACTACAAGGCTACAGAGTCACCACTTCTGAGTTGTATCATAAACTTTGTTTCAAGTCGATACTTAAGTACTCGAAAGAGTAGGCGTACATATTTTTAACTGAAGCGGGGGTGCGATCTCTAAGTATGGGGTATTCACAAATCAGTTCTGATTCACACACACAACAGGCTGTATTCTTCATCAACAAAATTCGTCGAAACACACATCACACGTGACGTGTTAAATTGCTATTCTTAGTTGTTTTTTTGATAACTAACTACCCTTTTGACTAGTGCAGTCTGAAAAAGAATCCGTCTTACACTTGTTTTTGCTCTTCTCAACGAAAATGCTACTACTACAAATTTCCTACTATTAAAAACGATAAAAGCCAAGCTAAAAAAATGTCAATGTCTTGTTGGTCCCTAAATGCGTCATTTCCGTACTGTTTTTTCGCGCGACCTACATGCACCCATATGATATCTTGTTCATAGCAGAGTATTTTCATCATCGTACGTCTACCAACGGCGGGTACCAATACATGAAACAACATTCTTTCTTCTGCTCGTTGAAAAGGCACCGCCGAGGCGAACTCGGTAAGATCGAGCTTGTGCAAACGTTGGCAAACCAAGACAGAACCGAACGCTTCTTTTACTTGTGTCTTTCGGATTCAGACTCAGATGGGTTGATCCGCCCGACCAGACCGTGCCTAGTCAGTCTTGAGTGACACAACATACAAGAACAAAAAGCGGTTCTACTCGCACTAGACTCGCACAAAAAGATCCCCTCGAAAAAAACCGCGCGTCGTCAACAAATAAGCGTGATCGTTAGTATTATCTTCGTTGTTGAACGCGGCATGCATATCTGATGAAGTTCTCCGGGCCGGCCCTCAGTTGCCGTGGTGGGCGCACATCTCGCTGGCCACGACACAAGGAAGCGGCGCAACGAGACCAGGGCAAAGGGCGGGCGGGTAATCAGTACAAGAGAGATCACCAAAAAAAGGGCGACCCGAGGAAGTAAAAGTAACACAAGGATACAAACGCCACAGAGGGCCTGCCTGTAGAGGAAACTGTAAGCCACAATGTCTTCGGCTTCACGCCTTCATCTACAAACTTCATCACTTTAACGCTGACGCACGATCATGCTATTGCTGCGGGCACTCGCTGCTATCAAGATCCTGCACATCCTTAAAGATCACGAAGTTCTCCGGGCCGGCCCTCAGTTGCCGTGGTGGGCGCACATCTCGCTGGCCACGACACAAGGAAGCGGCGCAACGAGACCAGCAGAAGCCGCTTCCGCCAAGCGCAAGTCGGAAACAGCGCACCCACCACAAGGAAGCCGGCTATCGACAAAGCAGCCGATTACGCGTCACCGGCGTCATCGCTTGAGTCACTAAGCTCCAAGGCAGCCGAAGCCGCTGTTTCAATTTCACCCATGTCCATGCACGCCTTGAAAGCAGCACTCTTCCATCCAGCGGCCAACAATATCTGGCGCAAAGACGAACCACTTCTAACCATCTCCTGCGCAGCACCTTTCCGAAAGCTGTGGGTTCCATAGCCATCAGGCTCAACACCAATTTGCACAAGAGACCTCCGGAGGCCGTCACGAACGTCAGCATAAGACGATCGAACAAGCGGGGGAGCAGCAGAAGACGGGTCTCTTGCGTGCGCGCGGTCCCGTAGACGGAGGACAGCACAAGCACCACACAGGCATGAACCGCAACGGCATCGCCGGGAGACTTCCACCTGCCGCGTAGAGTTCTTCCTCCGCCGGAAAATCAACGTTACGGATTTCGTCGTAGGATCATGGGAAACTTGGGAACACTTTGCCGCAAGTAGTTCACTCTTCACGCGAAGCATGTAGTGGAACGAAACCAAGAAAATGTCACGGAGCTCAAGCAAACCACTCCCGGCGCAAACACGCAGTAAGCGCGCAACAAGGTCTTTCGTCAACGCTTTCCGTGCAACCGCAATATCTCGGACTTTCTTGAGGCCAGACTTGGCTGTGAGCACCGCAGGGGTGCACCATACGAGCGAGGCGCCGGCCAATTTGCAAGCAAACCGAAGGTGCTGCATATACTGCTCAAAGGTCCTACCTGAGCGAAAGACTGCGGAGTACCGCAGAACAGCCTCCTCTGAGATGTGCCTAATCTGGGTCGAGTGCCCGACCTTTTTACACCAGCGGATCCACACTCGAAGTCCCGTGCCATAGCACTTAACACTTCGGCCAGCATTATCCAAAACCGCTTTCTTGCCAACGCAAAGCGCACGGGTTCGCGCATCAGACCCTTGAGTGCGCAAGAGCGCGATCTCCTGCAACGGAGTCCCCGAAGGACCACTGCCAAGGCCGAGACTCGGATCGGCCTCATACAATTCGAGCACCCTGACAACCACGGACAAGTCTGACTCAGAGGACAGGGAGGCAAGCGCAGCCTTCGCGGAGTCACCACATTGCAGCGGCGCAGCACTAGGAGGAAACCCATCATCAGAAGGCAAGGCGGAAGCAGTTCCGGGACCCAGGGGGGCTGCCACAATAGCACTATGGGTCGGCAATTGCATAGTGGACCGATGGAAAGCACCAGAGCCACACATTTGCTGGAAAAGTCCTACTCCTGCTCGCTGAGGGCCGACGCTGCCAGCGGCAGGGGCACTCAGTGACAACTGTCGCTCCTGTTTGGGTGCAGCGGCACCTTTATCCGTCATGTCCGTCTGCTTACAGACAAGCTTTTTAAACATCCTGCATACGCGCAAGTCACTTACTAAGGGGGCACGATCAACATCGACAGCAAGGTAAACACAAGCGCAATCACTGGAGAGTTGAGAAGCAGCTAACAACATACTAAGCAATCACGCAAGATGAGCGCAAACTTAAATAAAGAACTGCCCAGCCGGCCAGCCCTCGACGCCCAAACCACGCTGCGGTTGCAAGCAGCAGAGCAAGCACTGCTTCAGAAAAAGCTCAAGCCAAAAGGGAGGGCTCATTTAGGCAAGCCAAAATTATTAAGACAACGCGCTGTAGCTGCCAAAGAAATGCCGCTGCAGCAGAAGACAATCCGCCGAAACCAGAAAGGAGCTACATACAAGACGCAGCTCACAAAGAGACAGCCCCCAAAACAGACAAGCAAGTGCGCAGGCACTAACCTTCTCGACGCGCAAGCGCCAAATCATTTAACAAGAAAACAACCGAAGTAAGGCAAGATATCGATCAAATCGCTACAGCTTCATCATGTGTGTGTGTGTGTGTGTGTGTGAATGAATGCCAAGGCATACAAGAAAAACAGAAACTCAGCGGCTAGGCCCTTCCTAATCCCGAAAAGCTAACCGCATCAAAATTCGTCACGAACTGCTTCTCACTCAAGAAACCACACCGGGATAGAACCGGCGGCACCTGCTGAAAGCCTTCTCGCTCCAGCGCATGCTTGTCCCTAGTAGGAACGTCTGCAGTGTTCCATTCGCTGGGCACATACGTAATCTCCTCCACGCAGATGCCTCGCGTGAGCGCGAATAAGTAAAAGTTGCCAATGAACATCGACACGTCTAACACCTTGGAGTAACCTTTCTGCAGCATGCCTATTCCGGACTGATTGTCTACGAGCAGCTCACAAGAGCCAGAGCCAACGAAGGTCAAAACAGCGACAACAGCAGCCAAGAGCTCACCCAAGATGATTTTGTTCTTGCGTTTGCGCAGATTGTAATCCGGAAAGAAGGCCTCAGGCTCAGCCACAACCTCGCGAAAGTACACACCACCTGCTACGCCCGCTATAATTAGCGGCTCCCCTGGCGCAAACCAAGCGTCCGACGCAATCAAGAGCGGAACCATTGGAGGGACCGATCTCCCCACAAGAGGGAAACGTCGAAAAAGAACTGACTCTGCATCAAGAAGAAGAGCGCGCCACCATTGCAGACAAGTGCGAAGGTTTTCGGAGATGTCTTCTTTTGGCGACCGCGCCCTATTGCCCAAGAGGTAAAGCATCGCCCTACCAGCCTTGAAGAAGATCGCTGAGGAGGCCCAGAACAGTTTGTGTCGCAAGCGGCTGGCGTCAGAGCAGCGGAGCATTCCTGACGAGAGGAACTCCTCAATGTGTAGCGCATACTTCTGTGCCTTAGCAGGGGGTATCCTGAGAACAACCGCGTCGCCCTCGATGGTAACCATGATACCCAGGACGACCATCGATCTTGCAGCAGGTGCGAACTTCTTCGGGTCGCTTGGCAGGCCCAGCAGCTGAGCAACATCTTGCTCTACAGTACCGAAAACCTTGCCGCGGATCACGAGCCCAAAACGGTCGTCAACAAAGCGCTTGCGCGGCAAGCCAAACACACCACTCAATATGTAATTATGAAAGCTCCCAGTCGCCTCCCAGTTGTCGACGCTTGCGCGAGTACCAAATGGATTTACTAACGGCACGAAGGCGCGCCCCAAGCACGTGAGCGCCAGAAACTCGAACTCCTGAGGCTGGTTAGGAAGTCGATTGAATGCCGCTGAAGTGTCGTCTTTGGTGAGCAGAAACTGCGAAGACGGTACGCCGAGAGCTGTGGCAAGCTGCAACGAAGCCACTAGCTCGGCGACCTTGTCATGATGAATGTCCTGAGTTTGATAGTCATAGTTTATAAAGCTCTCCGTAAAGTCGTCCGCTAGCCTCCACTTTTCTGCCGACCATGTCAAATGCCTGCGGGTAAAGTTAGCATCCTGAATGTACCAACGCGGGGGCTGGGGTAACTCTAGCAAGAATCCCTTTTCTATGGCATCGCCAACCTTCTCCTCAAGGGTCTTCTGCATTTCTGCGGTAAACTTCTCGCCTTTACTTCTGCGCAGCAGCTCGGCGTTCCTGACCTTCCTGACCTTACGCAGTAGTGACGGCCGACCCACTTGCGGGAAGCCTTCCATGAACCCGCTCCGAATGAAAGAGAACCTCCGGAAACGTGGGTAGACCATGTCCAACTCGTCCCATAGTAAAAGATTAACCGGGCGGGAAACATGCTGGATCTCGAGAGGAACGTGATCTGTCACCATGCTGCACCACGCACCCTCCAGCTTGACCTTGATAGAATGGAAATGCTTGCACTGACTGACCGCGAAAGAAACAGGCGCGGCTGTGCATATGTAGCGCACTAGACTGTAGGAATACAGGGGGGAGCCAACTTGCTCCAGTAAGTCCATGACTGAGAGCAGTCAATTGGACGCGTCACCGTCAGAGTGGCTGCCCCTACGCGACACTGAGGGAGAGCGAGCGTCCTTGCTTTGGTTCGTTCTGCGCAGTGCTTTCTGGATGTCAGTCCTGACACGGTCTGACTTTGATGGTCGCCCTTCTCGTTCCTGAGTGGGCCTGCGGCCTCCACGATCACGCGAGCGCGAAGCCTTCCTGTTGGAAGAGTAGTAGCCGCTTCTTGGGCGGCTATAGCTGCGACGATCTCTCTGGTGCCTGTCCGTGTCGCCGCGATCTCGCTCCCCACGCCGCTCTTTCTCCTTGTTCTTCTTGGCCTTTTCAACAGCTTGCTTGAGCTGCCGCTTCTTCGCTTCGTCCGCGGCATGACGCGCAGCGGAGCTTATCTCGCGCTCTGTGAATGGTACGGCGAGGAGGTTGTGGGCAGGTGTCGCCGGCCCTACCTGTCGCTCGAAGCGTCTCATCATGATTGTGTTGAGCTGCTTAGCGGCGCCGACGCTGTGTTCTAGTGCCACCGCGCTAAGCTGACCGAAGTAGCTGAAACTGGAAGGAATGTCGAGCACATTGAGTGCTACCATCGCCGACGCATATGCGATAAAGGCCACTACGAAGTGACTCCATGTGCCCTCGCAGTTTTCCCGGGCATGCGGAGGGGCCCACCGCTTGTCATCCGGCGCAAACGGAGTGAAGAACGGTGTAGTCGACTTCTTCTGCTGCCTCTCCAATGCAGCAATTGTTGATGCGCTAGCGCGTAGTTCCTGAGGTAAGGTGAAACCAGCGGCCCGGAGCCTGTCATCGACGTCGAAGCTCGGCGCAGCCGGGTCTACGCCGTCGTCTCTGCCATGGTTTACTACCACGCTATTTCCTGAACCCTGAAAGGAGGCCGGGTCCACAAAGTTGCACTGCGCCTCCGCCACCAGCTGGGCCCTCCGCGCAAAGGCTCTGTGACCGGCTTGAAAGTCTGGATCCGGCAGCGCATCTTTGATAGTGGCACCGCAGAGGTCAGCGCTAGCTGTGAGTGCTTGCTGGACCAACTTCATGCCGACCTTCTCGATGAACTGCAGTGCCTCGAGGGTTGCAGTCTTCTCGTCAATACCGGCTAGCCAAACAAGGAAATCCTTGTTCGCGGCAACGCTATCACCTTTATGGTCACAGAGGTGGCCCATGGCCTCTGGGAGGCTCCACTGAGGTTGGACCTCGAACGCCATGGTTGAGCGATGGACGATCTGAAGCTCTAGATAAATACGAAACACGAAAACGAAGTCAAGAATCAGTACAAGAGAGATCACCAAAAAAAGGGCGACCCGAGGAAGTGAAAGTAACACAAGGATACAAACGCCACAGAGGGCCTGCCTGTAGAGGAAACTGTAAGCCACAATGTCTTCGGCTTCACGCCTTCATCTACAAACTTCATCACTTTAACGCTGACGCACGATCATGCTATTGCTGCGGGCACTCGCTGCTATCAAGATCCTGCACATCCTTAAAGATCACTAGTATTTAGACAGTTTAGGTTCTGACGTTTTAGTTTTCTAGCAATGATGGAAAGGTTCACTCGTATCTGCAAAGAATAGAACATGCACAATGGAGCTGCGGCTAGGTAAAGCTGCGTACTGCGCATCGCGCAACAACATATGGACACAAACATCCTACCACCGGAGTAGCAGTGCATCAGTGCTGTCTTGTAAGTATCTCAATTTCTATTCAATATCCTCGAATAACTATTGCCACCGTTTGTTCAAGTACACTTCTTGTTTTTGGAGCTTACCTGAAACCAAACTCGACTGCGTTATAAAAAATGGACCACGAGCGTTACCCAGGTCGAAAACAAGTTGTAGTTGTACGCCAGGTATCCAATCATATCATTTGTTTTCAGTCAGGACGACTAGATGACTCTGCGTTCACGGCTATTATGTGAATTTGAACCTTGTTACTAGTGCGCCCCTTCTCCCCCAGTGCTAGTCCACCGATTCATGGAGTATAACTGCTTTTGTAGCATAAGTGTCAGCCAGCCTCCTTCGCCACCTGCAGCAGAGAGCTACAATAAGTGCTTGACCGTGATAAATTTGATGAAGAGAGATAGAAGGGGGGAAAATTAACCGGTTAAATTTCTTCGGGTACTCCGACGTGTTGATTCAGTGTCTGCTAGTGCTCGACCATTACAATTTCGAATTGGCGCTCCTCTCCTTGATCTTGCAAGCCTGCATCAACATCTCCACTACCTGCTTCGCCGTTCTGCGGACATTTGAAATGAAGGAAATGCGTCTCAAAGATCACCTGGAGGCCTTTTTCTTCTTCCAGATGGGATCGGAGATGCCTTTCCTACTGTCATAAGGACAGTGGTAATCATAAAAATCGTCTGGCTCCCCCACAGGAACGTTCTCCTCCCATGCTCTCGGACTTAGGGGCCCATTCCATGTCGTTGCAGGGTTCCTGCCCGACAACAAGTGATACCGCGTCCAGAACTGATCGTGGTCTTGCGTTAGAAGCTAAACAATCCTTTAGCTCTAATGACAAACTACTTAGTGATATGCTATTACTCACAAGTGGTAACTTGTATTGAGCCTAGTGGTTTAAGCGTTCGCCTAAACATCAATTCATCTCCCATAGGTGTTGGCGTATACGAATACTATTTCGTAGCTCTTCTACATCTACTGATTTCATCATGCGGCCTTAACATTAATCGGTATTCCAGTTTTCGTAGTATCCATCTGCAGGTTTCATCAAAGTGTTTTTTCGAGTAGGGCGAATACGTTTTCACCTCTCTTGTTGTCATGCCAGGTTGTGCAGGGTCCTTCTTGCCGATCCAAGGAGAATATGAAGTTGGGCCACAGTCTAGAAGGAGAGGAAGAAGCTATGCAGCGGAGACAAACTACATAGTCGATGCTTCCAAAGTAATTGTAATTGATAGAGGATTGTCCGGACTTGTTCTCCTTCAACACAGAGTCTTATTTAATGACGGGTAGGGTAAATTATTTCTTCTTATGTCATGTTCCATGTCATAACACCAAATAGTAGCGCCATGTGTCCGGTGTCGGATGTTGGTCGTAGATGATCAGATGCGCAAGCTGCAACCTGGGGTTTAAGAGAGTTCTTGCAGGTGTCAAAACTTAGATACTGCTATCTCCGTAATATGACCTCAATCAAATAGGTACCACTTCAACTTTACATTTCTAGCGTAGCAGGTTGCTTTTTCAGATTGCCTCTATACTTGATCGACTCGTTCAACAACATGCTCAGGACGCTTTCTCAAGAAATGCACTCAACGGATTAGAAAAAAGGTGGGATGTACAAGATAGCGATCATCTTGTTTGTTTCAGCAGCGGTTGGCGCGAAGTGACCATCACAGTTTTTGTAGCGTTCTGCTCGTTTCTCCCTAACATACTCCCTATGCTCTTCGGGTATTCTCTTACCGCCGTCTTCAACGAAGTCTGCGTAGGGAATAGGCGCATCGTCCGGATCCAGTGCCCGAAGTCTCGAAAAATACCAGGACGCGTACGCGAGCATACCTATAATATTATCATGGGGCGATATAGTGGTCATGTGGTACTAGCTCGTCTCATTTATGGGCCAACAGTGAAATCTAGTGAAGTGATACTTTTCATCTGTCTCTTCTAATCCCCTGAACACGCAATAAGAGCCGGTCGTAAATTCAGAAGACGAATGGTACTTATGACATCCGCCTCGTTCGCGTAGCCGTACTTGTTCATTATCGTTGCCATATTTCGCACACTCTGCCACAGTCCAGGGCTCATCGGCACATTCACTAGGACCACAAAACGTTTGAATAAATCCACTAAATCGAAATCCAGGATGAGGGGCTTCTCTTGCTTACTGTAAAGTAATAATGGTGAAGTGTTTTCAAGTTGCGCAGTGACGAATAGGTGGCACTTTTCGTGAAACATGACTGGTGTTTTGGTTGCATAGATATTTCCAGGTAAAGGCCATTGATGAACCACCTTGAATCAATCGTCTTCGTCAAAAATTAGTTTGGAGTTTCGTTACTAAAAGTTGGACAAGGGGCTATTTCACAGATATTCCCTACTAACGACGAGCTGACAAGAAAAAAGTGAATATTATCATTATCATTTTTTTACAAACATTGAGTACCTGCGCGCCAGAAGATCGTTGCGCATCGTATTTTCTGCTATTTCGCCCGCCTGAAGAGTACGCGCGAATCTGCGATTGAGTGTGGCCTCAAACTGCTCGAAAGTCTGGAATTCCGTTTCGGTGCCGGATCTGCCAGCTGGTTTCGAACTTCCGCGGCAGAGTACACGACGAGGAAACAGCTGCTCTGGCTCGACGTCTAACAGCATCTGGTGAAAATAAAAGGGTTATCATTTCTTGTGATAAGAAAATTCATCGAACTAGAAATACGAGCAAATGAGATTGCATGGCCAGCGGTGCCCGGCTGTTGTCTTCTCTTGGAAAGCAACATGCGACGTCTTCGAACTCCTAATCTCTCATCTATTCTTTTTATACAGAAAGCAGTACTGATTGTCGTCCGCGTGGATCGTGGGCCGGGCTATTATATGCCGTCGAAACCTGGCTTACGCTGACTCCATGTAGAGATTCAGACCCCATCCCTTTTTGCCAAATCCCTTTCATGACCGAGGCTTCATCTGGAGGTGTGATTGGGAATAGTGGGATGTCATGAGTCGAAGCGTGGCAGATGCTCGTGCACCGACGCAAGACGAGGTGAAGGTATAGAACTTGATATCTGCAAGAGAAATACAAGTGGTAGTAATTCAAAAACAGAAATCTGCTATTATGGTAACAAGAGCGACTAGCGAGAAAGATTGATAAGTAAAAGTTATCTATAATTCCTAGTATAAGTAGTTAGTGACCACGGTCTTTGTCTTTACCTGCAGCACATGGTTGTCGGGGAAACGGAGAATGAGTATTCACAACGTTGTCAGGAACGTTTCGTCCGAGTGCGTTTTTGAGCAAGATCATTGCATTTGTGGGGTCTCGCACCGGCGTGTTCGCGGGGCTTCCTACTTCAGAATGAGCGCTCGACGGGAGATTCGGGAAGCCATCTCTAAGATATCGGTGGTGCGTCCCCTGGTAGGGCGGTTCATACGTATCGGAAGGCAGCATGTCCGGTAACCTGTCTAGGTTGAAGGCGTCGTCAACGCTGGCAGGGCTGATCTCGACAGCCTCTGGGCTTCCCACCGAACGCTGTGTATGCTGCTCCCCCATCAAGCTCAGATTACTTCTGCTACTCCCGGATTGTGAGAGCATCCGTCTGTGGGACCAGCTCTGCCTCCTTTCGTCACGCCTCGGCCCCAGAGATTCTTGTTGCTCTGGTAATGCTCCTCCAGGTGCTGTCGGTACATTCGTTTGATACGGCGCCGAGCGCCCGCCCGCGTTCCTGTTGCCTCGGGTAGAAGAGGTAGAAGATGAGCCAGAAGACAATACTGGAACTGTATTGCCTCTGCAAGGGGCGCAGCGAGGGTCCAGCGGTGGGAGATTGTAGCCCTGCCCTGCATTCCGAGAGCACTCGTTGCAAGCATTTCTGGATCCTTGCGTTTGTCCGGCACTCCAGTCTGTGGCCGAGGAAAGGCGGGTCGGCGGTTGCGGTGGCCTACCACCCGTCTGCTGGGCCGTTGCTGCCTCTCGTGCGGCAGGAGCGAAGCCAGGGCCAGGCCGCGGTATCGGAGGTCTCTGACGGGACCCTCTGGCCACACTGTTCCCAGGAGCATTCGAGGAATGTGCAGGAGGAAGCCGAAAGCCGCCAGAACTGCCGCCTCCATGATTTTGCGTTGAGAGGCCACGATGATTGCCGTCGCCTGATGTAGGTATTATTCCTGCGCCTCTTTTTGCCGCGTCTAAGTACGCTGTCGAGGAAGCATGCAAGGGCGCGCAGCCTGATGCAATCACTGGAGCAGTAGTCGTTGAATTTACGAATGTGGTCACACCACCACCAGCATGGGCACAGCCACCGTGGTCCATTGGCGTACTCGCTAGATTACAACCATTTTCTGAGAAGTTCACGTCCGGGGCTAACATCAGCACATGTTCGTTGTTCCTCAGAAAATGAGGACCCCCCGGCCTGCCCGCTGCATCTCCTGTTGAAACACCAGGTGCACTAATGCCGGTGGTCGGGGTTGTGATGAATGTTACTGCAGTACTATTAGCGACTGGCGCAGGACATGGCTGGAAAGCTGCATGTGCTCGCGCCGCTAGAGACGTGTTTCCCTCATTATTTGTCGCACCGTCGAGCACGCCTCCGGAATACAGAACCAGCATGATCCCGCCCATCGGCGCCAGCTCAACGTCTGATCCTGCCCGCGTCCGGTTATGCAGTGCTGCCCTCTCGGCTGCCGATTCTGTGGGCGACAGCCCAGTCCGGAGTCGTTTTGGCTGCTGCTCCCCGGCTATGCCCAGGCCCTCGATTTCTCGGGCTAAAAGCATGTCCGTGGGGCTTTTTTCCCTGAGAATTTTTGTATCGACACAACTAACTTTTGAACAGATCGCTTGAGGTCTCTAACTATCACTAAATGCTGCATATTAATGCTTATCAACAGAGCCTTATCCCCCAAAGAATGCAACTGTGCGTAGTCACTTAAGAAACAATACGAATACTGCGCAAGAACTATCTGACAATCTAGTTACTGTTCTCTGAAGGGAGGGCGTCCATTGTGACCCTCGCTCGTAAGTGAAGGCTCTTGTTCGTCTGGGGAACCTTCGAAGATGCGCAGCACGGGCGGCGCGCCTGACACCGAGACCCTGGGTGCAGCCAGCACCATCCACAACGCGAAGCGGCACCTGCATACTATTCTTTCCAACATCTCTGGATTATTACAGCACAAAGTGCACGGTACAGGGCGAGCTCGTATTTCTTGCGATAGGCGAACAAGAGACTGCAATCAATCAATCAAGTGGCGATGCGCGGTGGTCCGAGCCTAGCGGACGTAACCGTGTAGAAAAACGAATATGCCTGTTTTCAAAACAATGCGGATGATAGAAGTCTCGTCCGGCATGGAGCTGAGAAGCTGATGCGCATTGGCTCCCATGAAGCGGACCTGCACCTCGGAAACAGCAGAACCGGAGCTGATGACGTCGACTAGTCTAGAAAAAGGTCCATTTTGACTCGACCATAGATCTCGAGCTTTCGGACATGACTGGCGCAGCCTGATCGCCTGAACACGCAGTTCCTGCGCTTATTCCTGTTCTTGGCGCTGGTTCCTTGGCAGATGAGAACTCAGACTAATATTTGCTCGTATATTGGAGCTTGGACGTGGCGATTGTGGTTGTACCTGCAACTGCAAGCGTCTCCCACCTACTACTCTAGTTCTTCGTCTCCTTAGGCGAGCATGCGGCGTGCATGCAGTTTTGCCTTCTCATCTGCAATTAATTAAAAAAATCTCAATACATCTGAGCTCAAGGCTTGCATCCCGTGCTAGAACAACATGGTGCTGCTTCTAGCAGTAAGATACAAATTAAATTTCAGAAAATCGAGGCAGGTTTCAACGACCCATTGATTTCAAATTGCATAAATAGTGGATCTGGGCTTTACCTGTATCAACACGATAAAAGAAGGAGAAAAAAGGTTGCGCTTGCAACATTCGATAAACAAGATCCAAGTTCTCAACGAGAAAGTGGAAGCACGGAAAATGTTGAAGGTACACGTACAACGCCATAGTTTTTGTTTTTCACCAAGTAAACTTTGTAAATCATCACATCGGATATATTGCGTTGAGCGTGCATACCGGAGTCTACCGCCGATCTTCTTGATCTGATGCAGTTTCTATCTGAAACGTTTCTTAAATGTAAAACTCTGTATCCCGTTAGAAAAAAGTGTGCATTTAAGTAAGCAAGGTAGCTACTCACCCTTTACCTCCACGGATCTAGTTAGTTATACCTACAAAAGCGTAACTACTTGCAAAAGGTAAGTATTTTGGTACCTCTCCAATCAACATCACAGGACAACAATGAGGGTGGAACAGCAGAAAGGGAATAAAATGACTGCACAAGTACTAGTCGTAGTGTACACAGCAAATGTAGTGTGTATGTTTTTGAGTTTTTCAGCGTCGGTGGCATGCACTCGATCCTGTAGAAAGAAAAAGATCTGAGTGTATAAGAACTGGAACTTGTTGAGAAAACTGCGAACATCGACCAACATGCATCGATATTTACTATATATTCATGGAGAGGTTGAAAAACGGCAACTTCAATGACTGGTCACCGAGCAGAACGTGTCATACCCACTAGCCAAACATCCAAAAAAAAATGACAAAATAATTTTTATGGTCTAGCAGTTGCCACGATGATCCTTTCTCAAACACCATAGCAAAACAACATTGGAACAATGTCTCATTATATAATACAAATGTCTGAAAAGCTACTGATTCAATCAACGAAAAATCGAGTTATTAACCAACAACAAATTCTTCGCCTGGAATTCTAGCAGTTGTATCTTCACCACCATGCGCGCATCGAAAAACCTGCTCTAAACCTTGTCTGAACATGTCTCATATTTCTTCGCTTCCAACAGAAAACAAAGGCTTTTACTTCTAGTATGCTAAAGAGTGGATCCTTCAATGTTTCAGTTTCAGAGTCGACGATTTGTGGCTTCAGCCACAAAAGGCAGTACTACAATAAGGATCAATCTGAATTTCGCAGCTTAAAACGGATTAATGCAGAACCACCCTCGCAATACGAGAAAGTGTCAAGTGTGCATTCTTGTTGGCGAGCATTCAACATCACCAGGCAACATGCATCTCGTGACCAAAAAAAAAGAGCTGCACGACCCGTTCTTTTGAAAACATCATCTGACAGATGAAGCATTATGCATGAAAGTGTAACGTGCAGGGAGTGGCACTCACCACAACGTGAAGGAACACTGTTCTTCTGCGAACAAAAACCAAAGTGCGTCGCTTGGTAACCTTTCACGCTTGATGGTAGAAATAAACACGCATCCATTCTACAGAAACACTGTCATCCAAAAGCGTCATAGTGAAGTACTTGAATAAAAGTAAAGTCAAGAACTGGGAGGTCGGAGAAAAGATGAGAGATTTTCGATCCATCTTTTGCGGTATATTCTCAAGGGCGAAAGGAAACAACATCCGTGAACCAAGGTGTACGTTGATGCTTAGTATCCTTCTGCATATTTCTGGAAGCGTCTGCAGATGACCGAAATTGTAGCCATGTAGAATGTGTAATGAAGAAGGTGTCTAATCTTGTCGTATGTTTCTTCTCGGTTCGCAGATAAGCAAAACTCAATCAATCAGTGTTATCCAGATCGATGATAGCTATGTGTGTGTTTACTCGTATGGATACGTAGCTATGTGCGATGGTACAGAGCGCATTCTCGATGCTCGATCTCCGGTTGCTGTCGGGTGCGCAGCCCATTGCTACTCAAAAATTTGTTACGCCTCCATAACATCCATTTGTCCAGTTTCAAGGACATCCGCAAGCAGCCTCGGCGAAGAACTAACGATCAAAGTTCTTAGGAAATCTATATTTGACAAACAACATGAAAATCATTCGAAATATATGAGCAGAGAAGATAAGTCACATTTTTTCTTTCTTCCACAAAACTGTTGTACAACGTTGGCGTCGGAATTGGCTCATGCGTCACAGCGGACACTCATCATGCCCCTCTGAGGGAACCCAAGTAATCTTCTAAAATTCCGAAACAATTGCTTGAATAAGATACTTACCATGATTTGGCGTAATCTCTTCGTCATGCCGTTGATCGAATGTGCCGTCCGTTATCATATATTTTCCGAAAATACCAAATTATCTAGTACCACGAGTGCAGAGTGACCTGTTAGTTGAGTCGTTCTCTTACATGATAACATATAGATACATACATGGCGTCTCAGATGACTATGCACAGTCATCAGCAGGACGAAACAAATCCTGCGACGGTCAAATTAATTAAGCTGGTTTCAAATGCATGATGGGGAAACTGACTACTGTTGCGGTTGCGTCTTTTGGCACCTGCAGGCACCCGCCAGAAGACCTAGCGCCTGCCGTGCTAGCGACTGACCTTTGTTTCGGTTCTGCTGATGCTGGTGTACCGCTCCAACAAAATATGGATGCTGTGCCGCCTGCGACCCATTCCCGCTTCCACCAGATTGCTCCCGCGCCACTCCTACCCCAACAAAGTCTGCAAGTCCAACGTCTCCTGGCCCACGCGCCTGATCATCTAGCAGGAGCCTTGGCAACGGTCGAACCGGTGGCACGCCACCGTAAGCAGCGCGGCGCTGCGCCAGGTCTACATTCGCTTTTTGCTCGAGCTCCGCTGCTTGTTGCTGCCAAGGCCCATGGTTGGCAAACCCGTCGGGTGGCACCATCCCCGCAACGGCGTGCACGCAGGGATCGCGCGGCAACGCTGGCTGCAAATGCGGCGGCAACTGTGCATGCGGCATTGGTATCTGTTGCGGTGTAACTAGGGGATGGTATGCCGGTGCATGCGACTGCTGCTGCTGTACCTGAGGATGCTTGTGGCGATGTAGCAAAACGGCGTCAGAGCTCCGCGAAAGCGCAGGCGCCTCCTCGTAGACGCGACCACCCGCCGGCAGCTGATGCTGTGCTTGCTTTGGAGTTCCGCCGATGCTCACAAACGCACTTCCCCTAGCAACAGGCTGCGCGCCAAGCCAGGGCTGCTGGAAATACTGCCCCCCGATCTGTGGAGTTCCAACCGCGTGTAGTTGTTGTGGGAATCCAGCTCCGAGCTGCAGCAGGTTCGCGTGACCAGCAGGGCCGCGGGCTGCGAGTTGATGGTTTGCAAGGAATATGTTGTTCTGCGGTGTCTGCGGTCTAGGCGAGAACTGCCTCAGGTCGAGGACTTGCTCGAACAGATTGAAGTTACGTCCGCCTGGACTTGCGGTTGGAGACGCGACGGCCACAGGAACTCCAGGATTCGCGACAGGAGACGTCGCTTCCCGTGTCGCGTGAGGTCGCAGGATGTGGTCTGTCGCGCCTGCTGCCTTGCGCTTCTGTTCCGCGTTCCAGTGCGCCTGGAGCATCTCCTGTTCGAGGAGGAGAGCCCGCTGTTCAATTGCTGAATTCCGTTTTGCTGCCGCTATGCGGTCCTGCCACTGCTGCAGACCCTCAGGTACAGGTGAGCCGCAACCCCCCACACAAGGTTGCAGAGGCGTTAGAGCGTTTCCAAGGATCGGATGCTCCGCACCGCCAACTGCTGGAAGCACTGGCGCTGCTGCTGGTGCTGCTGCTTCCGCTGGAGCTGCTTGTGCGGGCGGTGGGTTCTCGGGAGACGCTTTTCGTGGTGGATACTCAGGGGACGACCGCAGTGGTGTATATTCAGGTGGCGACAGCCGTGGTGCTGGAACAGCGAGCACCACTCGATCCGCAGGTGGTGGTGAGGCTAGAGGTTGCGCCACCGCTGGGCCAAGAGCCGACGCAACTGCTGCCTGTTGCATCGGCATGCGATCTTTTGGAGCAAACTGCGCGCCCGCTGCATGTCGTTGGACGTCAGCTGGTTGAGGCACCGGACCGGGTGGATCCATAGGTGGCGGTCGAGGCGACTGTGCTGGAGGATGCTGCTGCGCACCGGGCGGAGGTTGCTGCGGCAGCTGCAACGGAGGTAACTGCGGCACTTGGGCAGGAGCCTGCACAGGCGGAGGTGGCTGCGGGAGCTGTACAAGGGCTGGCCTGACTTGCTGCACCGGACTTGGTTGCGGCTGCTGCACTGGAGATGGCTTCATCGGTCTCTCCTGCGCTCGCGGTGATTGCGCTTGTGGCGAGTGCTGTCTTTGTTGTGCTCGAGGCGATTGATTCCCAGAAGCCGCGCGCCCGCCACCACGATCGGGTGGATCCAGACGATTCCGCTCCTGAGCCAGCGGGCCCAGCACCTGTAGAGGTTCTATGATGAAAGCTTCTCATTTTCATCATATCAAGTGCACGAAAGACAAAGACTTCTTAGAACGGGGTATCCGTAGTAGCGTCTCGCGTTTCTCCAAAACAATTCTACGTCCTCAACAAACGCTCTTGTACCACGATGTAGAACAAACAACATTACCTGCCTTTTCTGTCGTTGTGGATTCGGTTGATTATGCTGCGGTAGGAGCGGCGCAGCTTCGTTTGCTGGTGGATGCGGCTCTCGCGCAGGCGGCGCTGGGGTATTCATATTATTGTCTGCTCTTACATGTTGATGCACCTGTGGACGACCAGCAGCCGGCGGTGCGGCACTAGACTCTCCTCGCTGAGCTTTTGCTTTCGCTTGTACCGCGGCTTCTTGATTCACAGGATACCGTTGCCCGACATCCTGCAAATTCTGAAGATTTCGCGCTAAATCGTTATACATACCCTCTTCTTCTGCACCGGGTGCAGCAGGCTGAAAGCCTGAGGTCGTTCCGACTTGTCGATAATTCGGATGGTTGCCCCCAAAATGCTCGGCGTTTGCCTGCATTCTGGCAGCTTCCCCAGAAAAATCCACTGGTTTCCGAGCCGCATTATCGGCCACCTTTTTTGATGATGAAAAATAGACGAGAAGGTCATGTTTCAGTTGGCCACAAATCAAAGAAAGTGGGTAAGTATAAAATCAATCGTAAGAGCGATAGCAAAGTAAAATTTTTGATAACAAGCTAGTTTGCAAATAAATCAAAATCGATGTAGTCTATCATGGGAAATAACGATATTGTTGGCGGAACGACAGGCCTCCCGCTTACCGGCGCACTTAGCGCATCTTTGATAGCGACAGCGTTTCTCGTGGTATGCGGGGCAGCGCCATGCACAGCGATATGTGACGAACAAATGACAAGTCCTGCCCAGTGAAGCAACTTCATCCTTATGATGAAAGTATCCAAGAGAGCGAACAACCTCCGACACGTTCTTGTAGAAAGTAGTGCTCGTATTAGTGCTACCTACATGTTATTGGAGTTGCAGATTTCAGGGGATCCCGCTTCATTTTTTTTGTATCCTGGGGCTGCTAGAAGAGTGGCCTCAGTGTTATCCAGTTCGCAAACTGGCGGCACGTGGAGTACATTAATCTTCAGCCTGGACGCTCTGCTATCCCAGTAATGATACTTATTCTGAGTTCTTTCGTAGTAGCTAGTATGCTCTTCTCTCCTATGGTACCTAGGAATTCATCGTTTCTATCCTAGTGAGCGGTGATCACGTGAAGTATGTACTTACTCTTCTTGCTCTCCGAAACTGGAGCACCAAACACTACATTTAGTGACGACGGACAAAGACTCCTCGGAAACGTCATACTTCTTGGAAGTACTCGTGGATAGATCAGATATAACACAAAGTGTGCAGTCCAATAATAATGGTCGGTTTCAAGAACTTACATTGTCAAGGAAATGCGTTTTCACCCATACTTCCAGGATAGGAAAAGAGGAGATCCACCTAAGAAAACACAGGTGGAACACAAACGAAATAGCGGCACAAGCTTTCTGTTCGCATCGGAGATGAAACCCGGATAAGTATATTTTTGCAGACGGGAGCGAATTAGCTAGACGCATCGATCAGGCACTGATCACCCAAAGAAAGAGGATGTTGCAGACACTCAAAAGAGCCGCGAGGCTGCAGTCTTCATATGAATTGTGAAAGTGAAGCTATGGAATCCTAGCGCTGTGGTGCAATGATTAGAAGATTCTGTAATGCTAAGCCTTCGGGATTGACAAGCGTGTAGGTCAAAAGCATTGCCTACGCATACTAGAAAATAGTACTCAATATGATAGTAAAAGCAAGGGTAGACAACAAAATTGTGTCTGTATGCGATAAAATCTTCGCGCAAGAAACTACCATGTTATTGGAGGGCACCTTTTCCTAAGTAATGCATTATGGCGGGTTTTTCTATCTTTATGCGAGCCGGGTCATTGGTCGTAGAAGGTCAAGTGTGTTCGTGTGTGTGTGTCTGTCCATGTTGCCTTAGAAAATAACATTCACTAGCTTCGCTACTCCGCAGGTAAGAACGAAGGCCAAAGTAATCAAGCAAAATTATGCTAGCAGGTTTGATTAACACTAGAAGAGCTACAACATTGTCAGTATGAATACACATTCGCGGAAAAGGCTTGAAAAGGTCTATGAAAACTCCTACCTCTGCGTATTCACTATGCAGAGTAGGACATTTATGCCATAGTGAACCAGCGCTATGGAACTGAAAAAGATGCTGCTGCACGATACAAAGCTTCCGTAATCACGCTATCTGGTCAAGTGTTGATGCAAAGTCAAGGACGGACCTAGTGCGTTTTCAAAAAACTCTCAGAAAGCCTCGGGTTCATGGACAGGGTTGACACAAAGTGTCTGGGGAATGCCTATGAAATATGCGTGGGTCATTGGCAAAGTAACCCAATCAAAATAAGGCAAAAGAATGCGAACGGCATGGAATAGCTCGTAGCGGAATTTGATTTCAAAGAAAAAAAACATGGTCTTTAACGGTGTTCTCAAAAAATTTGGCATCAAGCATATGGCCATTTACTTGCTGCACATGATTATTGACTAAGACAGCCCAACAAATAACTATCGACTCAGTCGAATTCATCCTCCAAAATATACCAATCGCCGAACGGGTCCTCAACCGCTTCGTGCGTTCCCGCCTCACTCTGCTTGGTTCTGTTCTCGGGTCGGAAACCAAAAGCGCGGACGCCAGATTGACTAGCTCGTACCGGGTGCAGATATCCCTGGGGTGGAGTCGGGTGTGCAAGCGGATCAGGCACCGCCGCTGCATGTGCAAGCGGGTCATCTGCTTCCACAATTACGGTGCTTGATGAAGATGTCTGCGCCGACGACTTTGAGTCCTCATCTGCACTACCTGCACCATTTATCATATTTTTGGTGCTATGATCCATCCTAGATGTGGCCGACTTCTTCCATTTGGCAGACGGTGACGGCGCTCCCAGAGTCGATAAGACGGTTTGCAACGGTGCTCCACGAGGTTGGGGCAATTCTGGTGTTCTCCAGGTTGTATCATATACCCGAGGCTCGGATCCGGCGTCTTCTGTTGGGCTCGCCTCTTCTTTGCTCTCCTCTTGGTAGCGTGAAGAACTACCAGCACTACTCACATTCTCCTGCTTCTTTCCAGCCCATGCAAGCGCACGATCGAATTCATGCACTAGGCTATCTGATCCCGGTGAAGCCGGCTGATGGACCGGGGAGTCAGGCACTTCTGGTTCCGAAGACGCCATTGATGAGAAGATGATGTCGCCCGCTGCAGTACTTAGTGGCAGCTGCCATGAGGAGTCAGAAACCGAGTGCTGCCTGATGACCTCGTCGTTAGCAAGGGAAAGCTTGTCGAGCTGTTTCCGCAGCAGCGCAGTCGGGCTTCCAGGTGTCGCTGCACTCGCAGTGACATGGAGACTTGCGAACGCGTGACTGGTGACGCTCTCCTTGCTATCCGAACGGAGAGAATCCTCTTCGGAAATCGCGGCACTTCTCGGTACTTCCGGCGTGTATGCGCTCGTGTCGCCCACAGCATGGTGGAGTTGTTCGGCAGTAGCACTTTCAGCACCTGAGCGAGATGTGTCCCCTACCGCTAGTGGCATAATCTTCTCCTGCGGCTGGGCCTCATCTTGCCGCGGCGGCCGGCCAAGCTGTGCTATCCTGTGGCGCTGAACGATGAGCTGTCGCGCGGACGCGGAGGACAGAGCACCTTTGTTCGCGCTCGCTGGGAGTCTACCCGCAGCATGAAACGGGTCGTTGGAATGCTCGTGCACCAACGAGGCAATGAATGCGTGCGTTTCATTCGTGCCATACTGCGCGGCGCTCCGCTCAAAGCAGCGACGCTCTGCCGGTCCACCCTGCGAATCTCGAAGATATGAAGCTAACCTAGGTGAATAAAATAGTCGCAGTCCAAGTTGAACATGCGTATCACGGGAGTAAAATCATCGGCCAATATTCTCCTTGTCATGTTATTTTGTTTTCAAAATGAAATTGGATATTTTGTAAGCATAGTTAGATAAACAAATTTTGCCATAAACTGGCAGATAAGAACTCGGAGAGTGATGGTCGGTGGTGGGGACCCGCATGCGCATCCTCTCCACTAGATAGCGTTCCTCGATAAATACCATCCTCGCCGCTCGAAAAGGTGGACTGAGTTAGCCGAGATGCTGCAAGTGGTGCTTTTGCACGAACCACTTCACTGTCTCCGCTTGAGAACGCATCGTGTGGCACCAAGCGCTCTGTGGTGGAGACAAGGCGCGGGGCCAGCTGACCCAGCCCCGGTGACGGGACTTCCCGCGATCCAGAACTGGCTGTGCTCCTGAAGTCTGCTTCAGCCATCCGCGTGGGACGCAATGGACTTGAAAATCGTAGTCGCGGCCTAAACTGCTCAGGGCGAATGTCGCTGGCATCCCCGAAGTCCTGCCCTCCTTCGTTTGGCAAGTCACCCCGCATCATTGTCACAATCCGTTTCTCGGCTTCCTCTAGAGAGCTGGTATTCTGTAAGGAATACGCACTGCAACTGCGGTCCAGCGGTCCCCGGCATACAAAACTGATCTGACTGCCAGAGCCCCCTGCTTGCTCGCCTCTGCTGCGCCGTTGCAACATCTGAACACCAAACCACACACGTGACCTCGCACTTATGGACCCCTCTTCGTCGGAAAAGACTTCTGCTATATCAAGCTTCCGCACGGCGAACTTGCCTTCACGAAAACTGAGCTCTGGCCGCTCGTCTCGGATAGTTTGTCGTGGTGTTGCTGGCGCGACGGGACCGCCATTTGACGAGTAGATATCCCCTTCCGGGATGCCCATAAGCATCTCCGTTGCGTTAGCTGTTGCCATACCATTAGGACCACTAGGCCGGTTTGCAAACAAGGCAATTGAAGTCTTGGAAATGTTGCTCGACGGAAACCCGACGTAGGGCTCAACTACTATATGTTCTGATGAAGTTCTCGCCTCTCCAAAAGCTTCGAGCGGCAGCGGAAGCGGCCTTCTATCTTGGCTGAGCGCGTCCTCTGAGCGTCTCTCCTCCGAAGGACGGACTAGACGTGTTTGCGGACAAGAATCGTGCACCACTTCCGCGATCATAGTTTCCTCAGAAGCCTTGACATCCGTCCGGACGAAGACGATCGTTACGCTGCCACTTCCGCCAGGCACACTGACCGAGAAATCCTTGCCCACTACGACGCCTTCGTACGTGGGTCCCAGAGAATCTGAGTTTCCTAGAACGTCTGCGACAGCAGAAACCTGGCATTTACTTGTGGTCGTGGAAGAACGTGGCATCCCCTCTTCAATTTCATTCATTTCGAGATCTTCTATCAGAGTCGCCGCATCCCTGCGAGTGCCACAGGCCGCTTTGCTGCGCATATCCATCATAACCCTTTGTGCTTGCGGGTCACTGCTAGGAGCCGCTAGGTGTTCTTGCCATGCGTCGACGCCAGAGAGCACTGCGCCCTCAGGAAAATTATCGCTCTCAATTTTCGCCCAGCATCCTCCGTCACACGTGATTTTTGACGACCATGGGTCATGATTGACGAAAACCATGGCAATGGCGGGAACTTCAGTATCTGGCACTGTGCGCATTCGAATTCCAGTAGTCTGAGCGCTTGTGACTTTCTCAGGCCCATGACTAGCCACATGGGCGCGCCCACGCTCTGCATTTCTCGAAAGGGAGTCAGAGGACCTTAACTCGACTCGGTCTTGTCCGGCGCCTCTTCTCAACGGAAGCACTTGCTCCGGTTCTGGTTCCACATCTCCGTGTGCTGCCCTAACGGAAGGTTGAATGAGGTTAGCTTCGTTGCGAAATGGAAGCAAGCGCTGTGAAGTGGAAACGCCCAGCCTGGGCGACGGGTTCTGCTCCCGGGTTGCATAGAAGTCAGCAGCCCGCAGGGAATCTTCCTCGCTTCCACAGTACACGTCTCCGCGTTTCCACGACGACTTGATTGAGCCGGTCGTAGCTTCTTTTTTCGCTCCGTCAACACGCCGAACAATGTGTGCTAGAGCCGGCGACAGGATATGCAACTTGCTGCGGTCGAGTGCGATCTCACGGTAGCCGATGTGCGAAAGCCAAAACTGACCATACCATACTAGGGACCCCTGTTGGCGAGCCTGCTGATTCACGGCCAACAGTAACTTGTTCGTAGATTAGAAGTCGTTGGGTTAGAATTATCCCAACACTGATATGATAACTCTGAATCATAAAAAAAGTTGTTGTTCCCCGCGAGGAGCATCAACATCTTCAACAAAACTAAGTAATTGTGATATTAAGGGAGATGCAAGACAAATTTGCGTGCTCAAGACATCATACTGCTAAACCAGAGATATTAAATGGTGAATATCCAAGGCCTTAAGAGTAGGTCGCCAGATCGAATTTCGTAAGGTCAGTTTTAGTCAGGGGAGCGCCGATCAGCAACGGAGTTCCAAGAACAGCGTATAGAGAAAATTGAGACCTCGATGCTGTCGGTCCCAGTTTTTTCTGCTGAAAAGTGCCGGCGTGCGGATTTAAGCTGGAACCAATGAGCATGTCGATATCATTCCAGCCGCCAGGACCTGATGAATGTTGAAGTTGATGTCGATAATTTTCCGTAAGCCGTCAAACTGATAAAAAATGCATAACACACTGCCCATTTACATCGTAGCGGATCCTTCGAGTGATTTATTTATTGCGCATTCATTGATTGGCATCCCAAGTAGTACGTACTCCTAGACTACCGGCAGGACGATACAATTCCACAAGTGTACCCCAAGGGGCGGCCGTGGGGCTGTTGAGCCTAGTGAGGGGACAAGAAGGAAAAGGTCATGATGAGCTGACTCTTCCAGTGGAAGAGAGCATTGACCAGCTGTAAGGACAGAGCCGCACAAAAGAGTACGGATTAGCTATCCAGTACTCGGAAAGTGAAAGCTTTCCAGGTCGAACTTAATCGACAAAACAATCTCCCACTTGATCGAACTTAATCGATCGGGAATGAATGCGGATTGCTCGGAATGGGGCGGCGCTCTTCTTCTTGGTCATTGTCATGTACTTCAGGGTCGGCCCTTACTGGCCGTCTACGAAGCAAAACTTACACAGAGGCGAACTCATGGTAAGGAATTTGCAGCGCTATGCGGATTAAGATAATCACAGAAGTAGTCGTCTTCGACCATCATGATTACCGGCAGCAAGGGTGGGGCAATGCAATCATTATCACACTCCGCCTCCACCTCGAAGCTGCTCCAAGAAAACGCCGCGCAAGGCAACGCTTCCACAGAAAGTGGGGGGGGGTCGCGTCCTTTCTTGGCGGCAACATCATTCTTTTACTATTATCAGCGGGAGGCCTTCCGGAATCTTACAGCTACACAAGCATAATTCACTGTCGCAATCAAGGGCACAAGGTGCCAGACAAAAAAGAGAGCGCTTGCTGATATGGTTCCGGCCTAATTTGCTTTTTCTTTTGTCTTTCGTTCCCTCATATTCCCAGCATCACCGCGCTCGTTTTCAGTGTGTCAGTGTCTCCGAGGCTCCTCGCAGTTCTTGCGTTTTGTTAAACTCGGCTAGCTTTCTTGTCTATTTTGTGACACGAATTTTCTAACTCCCTCCTTCGCCTTCTTCTTCATCATCGCCAGCACCGTGTCCCTCAGCTTGTCCGCAGCTCCCCCCCGTGTGCGCAGAGGCTTGCCATCATCCCACAGCCATAGATCGCCACCAACGGCGATGGCAATCGTCTCCGCAGGTGCCCTCTCCTGCAGTTTCCTCAACCCGTAGGGTGGAAGACTGGATAAGATTCCGAACCTTGTCTCCCAAGCCGCTCTAGATGCCCCCGCCCTTGTTGGCTTTCGCCCTTTCGTGAATCAGTCTCCTCTGGAAGCCAAAGGCGGCGACTTCTGAAGCGCCTGCCAAGCCACCACCCTGCTCTCGCGTCCTGCTTTGCTCGTCGATAGCTGCCACCCGTAGGAAAGCGCGGGCTCTGGTTCTTGGCGTCCACAGTGGTTTTTTGTAGTTCCGTAGAAGCGGAAGCCCGACGCCGATAGTCCTCACCAGTAGCCATTCTCCGCCGTGTCGCTTCTTCGCAATAAATCAGCGCCGTGTCTTTTTCTGGCAGCATCCAAATAGCTGCCCTAACGTCTGGCCGGTCCGCTAGCGTTTTTATTAGAGTGGGCACGTCGTAAGCAAGAACTGCGCTGCCATGTAAGAACTTCGCAGGGGCCGCCTCGTTGCCTATCGAAAGAGGCGCCGCGGCACTTTTGACCGCCAGCGCTCGACTTCAGGCCATTTCGATCGTGTCCTGCTCCATGGTTTCCGTTTCGTGCTCTTGCATCGATCCCGTCAGCGCCTTTGTAAGCTCGTAAATAGTGCCCGTCGCGGCCGCATAACAGATCGCCTGCCCCCTCAAAATTCTACCACCTTGCGCTACTGAGTGTACCCATCCGAATACGGATGAGCACAGCACTGCAAGCGCGTCCATTTCGGTGGCTTCGCTGATTTCTTTCTGCAGCTTGTTCGTGATTCCCAAGCCTCTGAGGATGGCCTTCGCCAAGTTTGTCGCCACCGCCACCGCGTCCATGTTTAACATCTCGCACGTGATGGCTGGACCGAGATGAAGCATCTTAGGGAGGCCTCCCTACCTTGTCAGTAGCAAGATACGGGCGAGCGTTGTGCCTTGGCGATTGCCATCCACATAGAGTACCGCGAGACGCTCGACAAGAAAAGCCCTCGCCTCGAATTCGACTAGTGACGCCGTAAGTATGGAAATGGAAGGCGCTTTTGAGAGGATATCCAAACAGCTTGACTCTGTTGCGGATGGTAAGGGCCACTTTGAACACCGCTGCCGCCTGCTGGGTTTCTTGAATCCATCCCGGGCGAAGCATTGGCCCTTCATCTGGGGACTCGACCTCCCTTCTCGCTCGCGCAGAAGGTCGAAGAACTACGAAGCACGCCCTGGATTTTGAACGCCACCGCCCGCACTAGTTTTTGGGCTCGACTGGGTCAGGTATCTCCGAGCCAAAACCCTCGCGGTGTCGTTGTGTCATCTGCCCAGATTCTCGCGGGCGCTTCCTCTTCATTGCGCCGACCCTTCGATTTCTTGCTAGCCTCATCGATAACGCTGCGCCAGTCTTCAGCTTTGCACACTTCGGGAGCGTCATGCCCCGGGTACTCTCGAGACCATTCAAACCCCGCAAAACTCTGCGGCCTTGCTCCTTCGGGGGCTCTTTCGATCTCGTCGCCCAGCTTCTCAGTTCTTGCGCTTTTTTCTCTTTTCATCATTCACCTGCGCCAGAAGGTTCATGCTATTTAGTGTCTCTGTTGTGTTGTCAGCAATGTCGTTACTTTATCAACTTGACCGCAGCGGCCCCCCTTCTCCCTCATCTAGGAGTGCCACACTTTACAGCATCCATTTCGTAGCGGTAGTCCCAGTTACCTTAGTCCGGGAGCTTCTGGAGCTGAGCCAGCTTCTTAAGCTTGACAGCCAAAGATGTGGAGGTCTTCCCGATGAGTAGTTTTGGCTCGTCATCCCATGCCCAAAGATCGCCAGCCATTTTCGTCTTCGTGGGAGCAAGACTCTGCGGCCGTCGCAGTCCAGTTGTCTCAACCAGACCAGCGCAGTAGCACCTGTGAGCCTCAGCCCCCACCTCAGTCCTGCCATGGCTATGCTTGCATTCCTCCGCCAAAGAAACGTCGTCCGTGGGGTGTCTTGAGCACGTTTTAAGCCCACAGCTGCTCCTTTTGCAGTGGAGGACTTCTTGCCTCTCGTTCTGCTACCATTCCAGCAACAACGCGCGCCGCCCGTTCGTTGTTCCTTCATCCTAGACGGCCAGACCGTAGACCCATAAAGAGGGAACAGCTCAAGCCACTTCTGGCGTTTGCCCGTGGCTGCCCATGTCCCATCAGCAACCATCTCCGCCCCCCGTACCGTGCTCGTTTCTTTTTCTAACCATAGCACGCTCGAGCCTGCTGACATCTTCACAGTTTCACTCACACCTTTTGCCGTAACGAATTCAATCGCAGAGCAATCACATTCACAGGCGTACCTTGCTGGGTGGTGCTGCGTCGTTGGTCAAAAAACGGGCAGCCTTGACGCTCTTCGCGGCAGATGATCTGGAACGATGAGAGAGGGCCGATAAGCTCCGCCGTCACGAGTTGCCTCGCTCCCTTCTTGCGTGAGAGGTTTGGAGAAAACCTGGGCCAGCTCCGTCCCCGGTCGATTTTGTCGCAGCGGAGTCGCCTAACTATGGCTTGGCGGCGCATCATCCTCAGGCCTATTGGTAGCAGTGGCGTCCATCAAAAGACCGAGCTGAACAGTATGTCCTCCGGTGTCAAACCAGCCCCCCGAGAATTCTCGCCAAAATTGAATCAGAAGGCACAAGCGCTCACAGCACAGCGAAAGCCGCCTCATTCTGCACAGTAGAAGCCAGCCCATCAGCTGCCTCATAAACCCCAGCCGGTAGGAGATCGCTAGTCTTACTCATAGACAACCACCGAAACACTCGGAGAAGATAACAGAAGTCGACACCACTAAGATGCTGCCTGCAGAACAAGACCGGAAGCCGCTCGAGATTGTAGCAGCCATACCCCCCACCGTTCGTTGCGAAGTTTTCCGTTGCGAAATTTTCCCTAAAGAGGAGCCATCCCCTTCCTCGGCATTGGTCTAGACCCAAAAACACTACACGCCCCCCGCAACTGCTCCAAATCCGAGGCAGAAAAAACGCGCGAACTGTCCCCCAGCTGAGGAGCCGCTACCCCATGCAGCCGCGAAAATTCCGACGCACGCTGATGAACATGCGCCGGAGTATCTATGTAGAAAATTACCGCAAGCGCCCTTTTTGGCCGCCCAGATACCACACCCGACGCCGAAAAAGTTAACACCAACCCGGTGCCATCTACGCGCGCCCTCGCTGGTTTTTGTGTCTCCCTCGTCGTCTTCTTGCTCTTCAGCATAGCCCCGGCTGCAGCTTGGTGCATGTCCACAGGTGTAAATAGCTCGCCCGCGGCTGCCTTGCTATACTTGTTGCTCCACCTGGCGCAGTTCTCGCGGATCGCTCTGCCTGCTCCCTCGCTTGTGCTAAATGTTCGCCGAGTCCCTGCTGTACAGCACCGCCCTGCGGGTTTTGCGTCCCTGCTTATGGTAGGCGTAAGTAATTACTTCGCCACTTAGTTAGAAAGTGAATTTTTGGAGTTTCCTGGTCTTGTGCGTGGGCGGAGATTCCCGAAGCGGCCATCGGCTCAGAGCTCGCGCAGCCTTTTCCCGCTGTGGTTGCGAGTCTTTTCCGGCCCGACAGAGCGACGTCTTCCAGGCATCATTCGGAGAGAAACAAAGAAGACAGAGCCGCGGGCCTGCTGAATGGCTGGCGACCGTTTTTAAATAATTCTACTTTTTGGGAGGGGTCCCAAAAAGCTTAATTATTTAAGAAACTGGGCTCGTAACCCCACTAAGATCCGATCCAGCAAGGAGAGGAAAAAGGGCCCCCAAACGGACCCAAAAGTCGGAGAAGCAGAAGGCCTGCCCCTTTTCTGGCTGCGGTTGATCACTTTCGCAGCAGCGTGTCAGCGAGCCGCGTCGGTAGCGGCGGAAGCCTGGGCGCGGCCAATACCACAAGGCGCAAGGCCTTCCGCGCGTGTCTTGTCAATGGGCGAGAACGCTGGCCGCCGAGTTCGTTCGACGACGAAGGCGACGAAAATTCTGCAGCTCCAGTTTATAACTTGACGCCCAACTAACTACTTAAGCCCGCCATACTGCCATCAGCGTTACTATTAACCTCAAAAAAGGAAGCAGCGCCCAAATGCCTGCAGTCCTTCATAGCGTCCAGCTGTCCCCGAAGACAGCGAGGCCGCTGCCTGATGCGATAGATGCCTGATGACTCGTCTGCCCGGCCGCAAGCCTAGCGCGATTTTCTCCACACCTTACCAAATGGTAAAGGATAAGCATCAGGCGAAGCTGGTACAGTCTCAGCGTCGCCACTAGGCGAGCTAGCTGAAGAAGGTTAAACATTTGACGAGCGTCGTGGCTAAGAAGTATAGCCCCGACACTCGCCGAACGTGAACGAGTTACATCTTCACGCGCTCCAACACAGCCTGCGTAAAGACTGACGCCATTCCTGCAGTTGATTGCGACGCCTCCAGCAGCAGCAAGCGTCTCGATGAACTCCATCCACATGCCGCCAAGCATGGACAACGGAGCACGTTGAAAAGGACAGCCGCGGACTATTATCCTGACACCGTTGGCGCCACGTTTCCGCGGCTTCTTATGCTACACGTTTCCGATGTAAGACCTGCCCAAGTCGCGACCGACTTCCATGCTTCGAATAGCCCGCTATCTGCTAAACCATCCAGCATCTTGCTATAGGTAGCCTTTGGCTTTCGATCCACCCACCCCGGCCCCATCTTGATTAACCTAGCACGGAAACCGTTAGGCCCCTGTAGGTTGTCACTGACTCGTAGACGTGCTCGCCGAGTTTGCGCTTCAGTCAACCGCAGAGGGGGAACCTGCTTAGCTACTCCCCGCACCTCCTCGCAAATCTCCGCCATCTTCCGCCGAGGCCGCCTGATGTCTTTTGCTACCCCAGGCGTCGCTAGTATCCACTGACTCACTTTTCAAAAAATAGAGGCCAGCCATGCCCTTTGGCGTTGGCGCCTCCTCCTTAGATTGCACACTCGTGCCGTCGGCGCAGATTTGTGGTATGTCAGAGACAGGCGCCCCACGTCCTGCGCCAGCCACCAACTGCGTAACGCACTCCAGTGCCCGCGCTGCCGAGTGTGTCCTGGTCTCCTTCGTGCGATCTTGTGCTTCGCTTGTAGGTGTGCGACTAAGTTATAAGTTTTGTCGTTGGATCCTTCGTCGTAGCTAGCCGCTTGCTCGTCTGGCTTCACGTGCGCAAGCTCCTTCCTTACTATCTTGTGGCGCGCTAGAGTAGATGTGTACGTCTTAACGAAATCCCGACACGATAGGGGTTCGCCGTACTCGTCTTTGAGTTTCACCTCCTGGCTTTTCAGTGCTTCGACTACCACGTCTTTCGCTGGAAAAGCGTTCCTTTTCGTCTTCACTAGCGGAACAGACGCGAGCTGCAATAACGGCAACGCAATGGCTTCGATCGTTTTCACCGCAAGCCGTTTTGCTGCCAGAGCCTTCTGCTGCGCCATAGAAACCGGAAATTTGCATCGTTGAAAGAGACCCATAATTTTGTCTCCTACAGCTCGAAACGTGGATGGCTCGATCCAATCGCCCCCCTCTCCTGATGATAATACTTAAACGCTACTAGGTGGCAAGACAGTTGATGTAGAGAAAAGTTCTTCTGGAATGGATCTTTTTGGGCAATATAGATCAATCAATTTCTTAGGTACTGGTCAACAAGATATCTGTGCGCTACTTGTAGAAGACAATATTAGTACCTCCGTACTTCTGCAAGCCGTAGTAGTGCCTCACAGCATCGACTAGCGTAAGATCGTCTACAACGTCAGCACTGATGCGCCACATATTCGAGAGCTGCTCGCCGAAAGGCCGCATGGCATAGAAACTCAGATCGTCTAAGAAAGCATGCGTCCAGCCACCACCGCAGACTGAATACAACATCTGATGGAGTGCAGTAGACAAGAAATACAACTAGCTATTGATAGAGCCACAATTCTCAGAGAATACAAAGCGAATCGCAGGAGTTGTAGGCCAGTTTATGTTGATATTCACTGTGTCGTGTATCTAGCTCCACGTACACCAAATTATCGTAGTATAAACTGGCATAAAATTATCCTGGGTCAACGCTGTTACTGAAGATTAGAAAGATCGCTTGGTGAAGAGAAGGAAAGCTCTACCTTTCGTTCCTGCTTAAGTGTTGCGTCACGAAACGCCTGAAAGCCTAGCAACGCAGCTTCTCTTGTTTGGTCAGCATAGCAATTATCGATCTTAACAAAATCTACGTGCCAGTCTCTACTAAAAACTCGCGCATCGAGCTCCTCAAACTGGTGGCTGCCCGGTCGACGCGCACACGTCTGAAATCATTTGTTTGCAAAGAGGATCAAGACTGGAAAAAGAATGCCACAATTGATAATGATACAAATTGTAATTGAACTATCTAGTTACGGATAGATAAGACAACAAGATGCAAATTGTAGCCATTCATACTCGTTAAGCCATGACAGAACCGAGATTCGTACTTACCTCAGTTCCGCGGTCCGTGTATATCCCGAAAAGGAGGCCGAGTGAATGGATTTTGTCAGCAAGATATCGCATGCCATTGGGAAAGCGCCTGGGGTCTGGGACTAGCTGCGATGTGTCGGGGTCTCGCTTTGGCGCCTGCCAGCAGTCGTCGATATTGACATATACGTACCCTAAATCTTTCAAACCGCTGGACACTAGATACTCGGCACGGCTCAGCACGGTCTTTTCGTCGACATCGCACCCAACATCGTTCCACGTGTTGTACCTCAAAGTGAATTGGTGAAATTGAGGTGGACGCACCAGATGCGACACCTTATTCAAGGCACTACAGGACGATATCCTAGGAAGAAGGTTCTTACCACGACTGTGTTGAGGGTGTACTGACACGAATCCTTCACATCAGCCAGAAAAGAAATCAGTGTATCCGTCCATTCAGATCGGCACACCCGGACACTACGAATCTGATAGGTGAGTCAAATTCTCATACCCCATAGGCGGCAGACGTGCAAGACCATTATCGAGGGCGAAGCTAGAAGAAAAATTTCCGACAGCTAAGAGAACGAGGAGACGTATCGGCCAAAAATAGCTTCGTCCAGTTATGGTCTTTTTCAGCATCGTTACCGGTGCTGCCGCTGCGGCCTTCCAGAACACAAAAATTAAACGACGAATAATCAGAAACGGCACGTGAGCAACAAACGCCGCCCCATCCAGTTACGATCAAAATGCTTCTTATCAAATCTAGGATTCCCAAACTAACCAATATGAAAAAAACCCAAGCAGTAGGACCGAACAAGAATCTGTCTAACTAATATACGAGAATCACAAATCTACATGATGCACCCAGCCACATGACTGTCATACATACTTCAAACTGCCTCTATCTGGATAATTGGAGTCCACAACGTTCAAGCAGCGGCGCATTGGTGTTCAAATAATTGAAATCGATTCTGCATTGACTTCACACAAGGTGGATCACTGCATGAGCAATGCATGATTAGAATGGATGAATTGGCGGATGCTTCTTTCTCCGCTTCTTCCTTGCAAACTGAGATGCTTGTACGCGATGGGCTTCTCGCAGATGAACTAACCCTACTTGTAGAAGGGCCATGTTTCGCAGACGAACATCAACATTAAAGCAAACTCTTCCAAGACGAAGAAAATGCGCGACCTGATGGAGGGCACGCCAGCTCCCCGAAAAGCGATCACGGTCGTTATGACCAGAGAGATTCTTGGAGCTGAAAAAAAAGATACACAAGTTACAGTATGGCTCTAGTACGCCCCAAATCGAGCCATCACCCATAAGAATTCTGCCATCTACAACGAGTCGCATGGCAAAAGACGGGTGACTTTTGGCAGCGGTAGACCTGAAGCGGTCTCCTGTGTACATAGTGTGTCCATCCTTTACGGCATTCCACGAGTAAGTTATTGCTATGCTTACAACTTGAATACTAAGTCTGACTGAAGATGATCTTAAAAATCAAGTCTGTGGGAAGGCTCTTGATTTTAGCCCAACAAGATGCCCCTTCAACAATGAATTCTCCAAGATTAGAAAAGAAAAGCGCTGTTATAGACAGACGCTTTCAATTCGTAAGCAATCGGTCATCGATCAATCTACTCTCTCAGAGAAAGTAAAAGCTAAGACAAAGAGACGCGACCGCCTTGCACACTTGCCAAGAATCTACACACTAGGACTGTGGACACTAGAATACAGAAGCAGAAGCCCCGTCCTCCTGCGTCTTAAAATGGAGATCCCATTACGTTGAGATAATTAATGTCAGCACAACAGTAAAGCCCCACCAGTAAAAAGAAAGATTATGACACTAAGGAAAACAATCCCCGGATTGCCCGTGGTGCCAGGCAGTGTATGAAAGAATTTGAAAGCTAGCTATGCCTTTTTTTGCTACGTCCATGCTGATCATAAGCGAAATTCACTCCACGTCGTACACTCACTAACAAAAACACTTGTATGTCCTCTCTAGCTAGTTACTACGAGACACTAGTCATTACGAAAAGGAGCCGAAAATTCAAGTGTGACAATAAAAAAACCTCTACTACTTCGATTCCTTGCTCAGTCAGCAAAATTATGAAAAAAATCCCAAAGATACTAAAGCTCATGCTGTATTCTTAAGAATGACCAAGTGAGGATTATGTAAGCCTACATTTATGATAACATCAGAAAAGTACGCACGATCCACTATATTCTCCACTATGGTCGTGCATTCGCGATCATAACAATGCTTCTTCTGCTTGTGCCCGAACTAATGACAGCCGCGGCCCTATTTGTGTTTTACAAAAAACATATGAGTACCAAAATGGAATTTTGTTTTGAATTTCGCAACAACACGTCCCAAAGTTTAAGCTTATGAAACTATGAGCAAATAACTACTAAGTATTCTGCAACCTACAACGCCAGCGAGACAATGTCACGCGACCTTCTCTATGCCAAGATATGACTACATCCGATAAGGTAGAACGGAAAAAAAAAACATGAGCAAACAAAATGTATCTAGTCAAATCACGAAAAAAAAACTCCTCGCCCACACAGCAAACGAAACATAAACAAAAGATCCATATTTAAAAAAACTAGATTTCCACATAAATAAAACTACTATTCAGCGCATTATTGCAGAGAGTTAAACGCATAACTAAAACTACTGTCTTCAGAAAGTTAAGAAAATCGAGCAAGAAACCCTCTTCGTACTAGCCAAAAGTGCTCAACAAAGCGCTACTTCGTATACAAGTACTAGGACAATTTAGGCGTCTACCTTCGCAATCATCACAATCGTTTTGGAAGTTAAAGTTGAGAACCATAACGAGACGAAGAAGGGGAGCACCATCGATTTTTACATTCTGAGGTCGCCCCTAAATCTGAAGGTCGAAGAAACCAGTTGGATACATCCAAAAATACGCATAATCTCAAATATGAAGCCTCATAGTCGACGCTAAAAATCTCATTTGGGCAGGCACACAATGCGGAGAAGCCGCACAGCATCGATCAGTCCACGGCTCGGAAAATTCGTCCTTTGCTTTGACGGTTGCAGCGTGAACCCTCAGTGACTGGGGAGCGTAGTGGGACGCGTTTCCCTGGTCTCATCGCTGACGCTTTTCTTGTGCGCAAGACGGACAAGAATCATGGTACTGATGGATGGGACTGATGGGATAATCTCTAACTTTGACCTTTTTCCTCAACGAGTTGCAGGAAAGAGCGCTGTGCAGGGGGTCGTGATATCTTCGTCCTCGGGCACATCTGCTAGCGTTCCCGGTGAGAAGGCAATCTGACAAGACCGCCGATTCTTTTCCCGCTTCCATGGTGGAGAAGAGACCGGGGGTTTCTTCTTTCTCTTTCTCACCTCTTTGTCATGTCTCTGGGAGGTCACCGCACTGGTCCCACGCTTAGAAGAAAATAGGAACGGAAAAGAGGGAGATATGTGAGCTTTCAGCACTATGATGGAAACCACCGAGAACATGCAACGCGCCACGCACTTAGTGCGAAGGCGTAGCATTGTAGTGGGGGGCTTCTCTCGATGTCACTCGATTCCCCACGTACAAGCTCAGCCCGGTGGCTGTAGCAGCGGGCAGAGAATCAGAACACAAGGCGGCGCAAGAGATGCGGATACTGGTCAGGAAATGGCAGCAAGATCACGACTCAGGCCAATGCGCGCGCTTTGCTTCAGTTTGTAGCTTCGTGCAGTTTAAATGGATCCAGTTGCTTAAAAGCGCGCAGGCTATAGAAATAGTAGCAGGCTATTAAAAAGATGCCAAAAAGTGAAGACCAAAAAGCCTCCAACTCCTGGCGTGTATATCTTGAGAGAAGGAAGGAAATCAGTGGCAGTAAAGATAGTGCGCGTTTTGGTAGTACTAGGAAACGAATCGGACCAGTCTAAACGAATCGGAACACCATGGGGAACGTCGTAAGCTACGGATCTAGTAGCGTACCCAGGGGGAGCATGATCACCATCGCAAGGCTTTGACCACGAAACACCAGAAGGACACAGCTCGGGCAATAGATTGACTGGATCGCTGGACTTGGAAAGTTTAAGATTAAGATTGCAGGCGCTTGCCGGTAAGATCATCAAACGACTAGGAACAGCATGGAAGAACGACCGGAAAGATTGGGAATTTGGGAACTGGATCAGGATCAAGGAAGCGAGACAGGATCTGGATCAGAACATTCTATTACGAAAGAGCGCAACATATCTTGAGTCGTAACATTGCCGACGCGTCCCGCAGCCGCACGTGCTCTCCCAGAAGGCGAAAACCCTTCGCTGGTATTGATGGAAGATCGCACTTGTAGAACGGGCTCAGTTGTCGAGCACTCACTGCAGGAAGCCAGAAAGTCCGAAGATAGTTTCATCTGGCGCCCAAATCGTTCGTGCTGCTCCATGCTACGTGGAGGCCGCGCTGTCAGCTCTCTCCTGGAAGGAGAGAAAGACTCTCCACCTTGTTCAGCAGGATCGTGTTTATCTATTGCAGATTCTACGAGTGAGTACTGTCGCAGTTCGTCCTCGGAAAATGTTTTGGTCAGCAGCGTAGCTCTAGCGCTACTCTTTGTGGAAATGCCAGCACCCTCCTTTGTGAAACGGACCACGTTCCTCATACTCAAGAGCAGTTTTTTAGGCATTTCTTTACCTTGTTTACAAGGTAACTCCATTCTGCTCAAAAGCTGACGTTCTTTGAGTATGAGTGAAGATATTCGTATTCCTGCCATATCATTCTGAATATTAGTGTTAGAGGAAGAGGCATCGCAAAATACATTACCGCACAGGTCGCCAGGAATCGGCGGAATGTCGCCTAACGCAGCAAGCAAATTGCTTGGAGTGCTATCACCCGCGTTGTCAGACGGCGGAGCCGCCGATGCATGAATCACGTGCCACGTTTCCTCGGGGTCTGATACGGAACGTCTACGTGTCATGCCTCCTCCAGTGCGGGGACCAGCATTGGTGATACTAGTACCTCCAGGCCGTGATGAAGAAGGTAATGTTTTTGGATTGCTAATTTGCTCATGCAGTGTACTAGAAGAGGACGCTGATGGTGCTGTTGATGAAAAAGGTATTCCAAAGCCCCCTTCTTTTCCAGACTGAGAAAAGTCACTCTCCGATCTACCACGTGAAAATCGCTCATCGACATCAATCGCGGAGGCAGAATACGCCGCCGCACTTGGCCCGGACGGGTTACTGCTTTTGCTGTTGCAAGAAGATGTCGTGCTACAACTAAGAAGCGCTGGCGCCCACACCGAATCCGCAGTGCCAGGGGTTCTACCAGAAGGTGCTCCACATCCGCCTCTGCTATGCAGCCTGCTATCTTCCCCTGCGTGTGACGGCGCTGTGTTTATGTCAATTGGCAGCCCTGATTCACTCACCTGACCAATTACTGGTGGACCCCTTTCCAGCAACGAACTGTCCTCGCTTGCTTCGCGGCCGGTCGAAGGCGCACTCAGCGCCTCTGAGTCCGCTGGAAGTGTCCCCCAGTACCATTCAGCAGCCGACGTGCCTTGGTGAGATACAACCGTGCTTGAGCGCTGAGGCGAGGACTCGGTTGGCGGAAGCACCACTATCATATCTCCAGAAGTACTGGCACGGCCAGACGCCAGCGGGGTCGCCATAGGAGGCCGCCCAAAATTGAAGGACCCGTCTACAGACACTGTATCCCGACTATCACACAAGGAGTGACTATGCCCACGATAGCGCGTGGGAACGAAGCCACCCGACTCCACCAACGGGCTCGCTTCTCTCGTTGGCAGACGACACGGCCCATCCAAGAAACTAGAAGGGGGAAGGCATCCAACGAGTGGCATCGACGGGGACTTGCGGCTAGGAGAACTTGTCTCTGGGCGTTTTTCACTGTCGGACGACAGGCGGCCTCCTGGAGTTGTTCGCCTTCTCTCCGACTCGCGAGCGCGTTGTTGGCCCAAAATGGATTTTTTCTTCGCGACCCCGGAAACACTAATCATCTCCCCGTCTACCTCAGTAGGGGAAAAGGTAGTATTGCAATCGGAAGATTCTGGAGTGTGTCGCACCACTTCCCGTTCGTCGCTAGTCATATGCAGCAACATCGGCCGCCGCTCGGTCGCAGCCTCGACATCTTCCTCGTGTCCAAGTCGAATATCCGCTCTATTTTTCTCTTTGCTACTTGCAGCACCACCTACCCTGTTAAAGCGCAGTCTGCGCGTCCTCGCAAGCGTCAGCGAATCACGCCGACCATGCTTCGTCGTCGCTCTCGGCTCGTCTTCATCGCTTACCCCGTCTGTCTCGTCAGAAAGCGCGACAGAGTGAGCACTACTATGCTCGAATTTCCGCGTCGGGGAGGACACCTTGGCGACCCCCTGTTTGCCAGTAGTATTAGTCGCTGGTTCTCGATCAGATGAGGAAGATTCGTTTAAGCCTACATTAGTACACAAGACAGATGGCGGCACGACGTTACTCGCGCTCACCCTCGCGGAAGATTGTCTCGCCCCAGGCAAAGTTCGGAAACCTGTTCTCTGTAGTGGAGGAGGCCTGCCGAGGACGGAACCGCTGCCAGCTGATGTACAATTACGAGGTGGCAGACCAGTGGAATTCTTGTACCGGTCCAGGCCACTTTGTTCATCCGCAATGCCTGCCGCGTCACTCCCGCCACCTGGAGTCTCGGGTGTTACACCGAAGCGCGGCGCCTCCGCCTGCTCGTTCAAGGAGTGCAAGCGCCGCAGCGGACGCGGGTGAGCCTGCTCCTCACCGTTGTAACTACTCTGAACCGACACGCGTCGCTCAGCTCCGGTGCTAATACGCGGGAATCTGCTCTGAGAGCCCGCCGCACCATTCCTGGCGACAACAAAACTTGTTGTTGGTCGAAGCCCGTTCTTCGCATGAATACTGCGCCTGCGCGGCGCCTCTCTCAGCAACCGTATTTTTCCCGGGTACCCCGATCTGCTCCCACATTCATGAGATGCATTAGCAAATGACAAAAAGTCTGAAGAAACGTAAGAAGTAGCTGATGCGCGAGGTATCGAGATTCTAAAAAACATGCGTAGGGCTGAAGATGCAAACAAATTCTGCGCAGCATGATGTTGTGGAGGGTATTCCACAATTATTGTATCCGCCATAAGGCTACTCCGCTGGTGTGGATTGGGGCGTCTTGACCTCTCCGGTGTGTCCGCGCCTCCCGAGCTGTAGTGCCCGCCCGATAGGAAATCCGAACTGCCTTCCGATTTGCGTGCACTGAGCCATTTCGGATAATTGTCGGAGCGCCTGTGACTCGCGCTCTGCCTCCAAGCTATACTTTGTCGCCTCAATTTGCGGTCGCCACGAGTTCCAAAGGACACCAGTGAGTCGCGAGAAGCCCGTCCAACACGCTGTCGATCGCGTTCCTGCAGCCCCGTGCCCTTTGCCAATGTGCTGGGGGAAAGAAAAGAAGCTAAAGCATTAGACTGTCCCATCAATATTGTCTCAGTTTCGCTCCCTTATTATTTCCATGCTTAAAAAAACATGCAAAGCGCCTTTAAACTTCTAGCTGCAGTCAACATATTTATAGTATGAATGAGCACGGAAGAATGCACGCAGATCTTGATGACATAAGATAGGCAGCAACAACACAGGAAACACAGAGTCCACCCAGGACGAGCACCACTCGGTGGGCGATAAAAAGCTGTTGCGTATTCGAACCAGCCTGCTCTCCAGCTCTCGACGTGGTGTTCGACGGTAAAAAAGATCTCTGCGCTGCATGTCGGAACGACAATGGTGGGACGGAGGCCACACAAGGTGACATTCCCAGTATCCCGTCGTAATTCTCACTGTTTGACAGAATTTTAGAACTGGCGCTTCAGTGCGCATAGGATGGTACTTACCATGCGCAGCAGTATCGTTCAAGTGGAACCTCAAGTAGCCACTGTTGGATGCTACCCTTCACGTGGAACCTCAAGTAGCCACCGTTGGATATCCTCAAGGACGAGGACCTGACTGAATACATATGAAATCACAAACCATAAATTGAAGAGGTTGCGATACACTGCGAGGCGATTCTGTGCGGGCCTCGCTGCTTGCGTCTGTCGAAGAAGGAAAGCGTCCATGACGACGGGCCCAACACGCGCCCGAAGAGCCACGAGACCCGGACCCGGTCACTCGTCCGAAGGAGTCAAAGGACGATGCGTCACGGCTTGTCGTCGTATTCGTGGGTAGCACAACATTCCTACCAGTGATCGATACGGACGAGCCTTCTGCGATGCCGTTTCCTGTCGCTCCTAGTCCACTAACTCTATCGCTCCTTAAAGCGTTGTTAGAAAAAGCCCGCTGGAGGACCGAACCTAGCCAGCCTCCGATCGATATTGAATTAGCGTCTCCCGGGGAAGCCCCAGGATTACGCAGAGTCGCATTATCCGCCTCTCCCGCTCCACCTGTTCCGGTCTGACCCAGAGTAGGTGACTCTGTTGGCATCTGATATGTCCATATGTTTGACGGCAAAAACTCTTCCACCGTGCCACTTCTCACCGTCATTTCTGACGGAAAAGGAGCGAGGACACCCTCTGAACCCCAGTGCGCTTGAGCTTCGCCGGATCCGCTGCTCACACCGCTTTCCCATGACACGCCGCTCCCACCAGAAGCAAATTGTTCTCTTCGCTTCCACTTCCTGCTTCTTTGGTGTCTAGGAGTACCGCTGTCGACCGCACTAGGAACGGGTGTTGGTGCCCTTCCCGTGTTCCCCTGAAGGTGATCTTGCTCAGCATTAGCATCTTCCGCGGATGGTGGATCTACTGCTCGCAGCGAGTTTCTATGAGCCCTGATCATTGTAGGTGGTAATTCTGATTCTGCAGGTGCTTGGCCTGATGCAGCAGCATTGGTTTCTGATCTACTTGGCACGCGCAACGCATCTGATGTTGGACAGGCGGTCGCCCCACACCCATCGGCCCCTTCGCTACTGCTCTCGGGCCGCGGATCTCCCGAAAGCAAGATGCCGTTGTCCGGTATTTGGCTCATATCCCCACACACAGTGGCTGTGTCTTTCAGCGAATTGACTTTGCTCGCACTGGTCGCTGGCGCAGTGTGTGCACCTGAGGATCCCGGCTGTCCCCCGAAGATAGGCAAGTTCCGTCCACCTTCGAGGACTTGTTCTGAAGATGTTCCCGTCTCTAGGATGGACAGGGCAAGCAGCTGCTGCTGCGAAGGCTGTGGGCTGGCTTTCAAGAGTACGACATTGCGCAACTGCTGATACATGACGTCCAATTTTGATCCACTGCTATATCCATGTTGCTGCGGTATCTGTCGACTTTCTATTTGATTTTGATCAGAATTATGAAGTTCGTCTACTGGCGCTTCATTTGGTCTTCGCCACCGATCCTGCTGAATCGGCAACAACGAATGTGCCCCTGTGCGAGTAGGTCCGATTCGCCCGTCGTGCAAGATCAAATCAATGTCTGCGCCGTTGTGCTCGTCCAGCAGCGTGTCGTGCGATACCGGGGCACTACTAAAAAGACGCCTGTCCTTCTTGCTGGCAAGAGGCGGACGTCCTCCTGGTAGCGCGCCAATGTCCAACGTGCCGCTCACCGACGCACGGCCACTGCCAGTCGATGGGTACTGTTGGTCTTGCATTGCTTGCGTCACGAAGAGCTGTTCTAATGGGGGCAAGAGCTCGCCAGGCAACACGCCGGGCAAAACGCCCGGAAAAAGTCCGCAACCTCCAGGTGGCACTCCCGCTACGGCGGCGAGCATCTGGCTGCGATGTAACCGGTCCTGTGCGGCAGCACTTTGATGAAACAAGTGTTGATCCTCCTCAGGCAAGGAGGACCCGTCCTCCACTTCGCGCTGGCGCTTCACAATCCAGTGCAGGCGCAAAGCCTCGCTGCTGGGCGACCGCAAAACGGTCGAAGCGTTCTCCACTTGTTGGCCACCGTTCGAATCGACGGAAAAGCGCTTAGATTTATCCTTCTTATCCTCCGGGTCTTCGTTGCTATGATACGAGTTTCCGGACGAAAATCTCTGCCGCGAACGTCGTTTTCTGCTGTTGTACGTCCGCCCCCTGCTTCCGTAGTCATAATCAGCCGTCGCTTCGCTCGCCCAAGGTGAAAACTCGAACCCTTCACCCTGAAGATAGTTGGTCAGGTCCATCATCTACATCCTTATATATGACCCAGGGCACCGCCGTAGGAGGGCACCGTGCCGCCCCGGGCCCCTTTTTAAGGCGTCTGCCGGGGGTGGAAGGCCTCAAAAGGGGGCCAAGTTACCTCCTCCGCCCCCCTCCAGCTGCCTGGCTGTTCCTTACAGGCCTCCGATCTAGGTGGGAGGCTCCAAAAGGGGCCCAAGGGACCGCCTGCGCCCCTTTCCAGGTGCCTGCATGCTCCCTAAGTGCCTCCGATATGCTTCGCCACCGCAGCAGTGCGCCGGTTATGGAAGGCCTCCGAAGGCGCCAAAAGGCGAGGGGCTGGACCCCCTGAGCCGTGCGGCCTGTACCCTCCGGGCCCTTGGTCATCGGCTTGCTGGCTCTCGCGACCTTGGCCGCCTTCGGCGGCCTTTTACCCCGGAGGCTTCCCGCCTGCGAGGGTCAGCAGAGGCCAGCAGTTCCCTGAGGAACACGCAGAGAGGCGCAAGGGACAGCCGGCGCCAAGTTTTGACGCCTTCCACCACTAGAATCCGCCAAAATCAGCGCGGAAAAGCGCGCGCGCGCCACCACAGACCAGACCACAGGGGGCGGGGTACCGTGCAGCCCTAAAACAAATAATATATATATAAATCAATTCTTGGTGCTGATGCATGTAGAGAGATACTCCAAGATAATGAGGAGCAGGAGATAGATATGTAGTGCAAATAAAGAACAATGCTTCTAGGATAAGCTTTCATGATCATCTTCAAATCTAAAACAACGGACAGGGCAGTATTGGTACGTAAAAATGCGCATTGCTCGAGGGGCGCGAATCTGGACGCCCTATACGAGTCTCGGGCTCTCCCTCGTCGTCAAGGACGTCACCCATGGCGTCATTGTAATCCAACCCATCCCCGTCAGGAAGAAACTGGAGAGGAGATGACACAACAAGTAGCTAGTAATATCATGATCATGTCATTTACTACATTTAGCAGATTTCCTGAAATACTTTCAATGGCTATCGACAACCACATTCTTAAGCCATTATCTTCCCCTAGACAGCGTAATGTCGACAAGAGGAAGAACAGGCATAAAGTTGATCCTAATACCGGCACACCCTCAGTCGGATGGGTCTCGCTTTCTTGTCTGGTTGCGTTAAAGTCAAGGTGAAACAGCGTGCCCTGTACGACTCCATCGTGATTTTTCGGCCGTGATCCACGTGCCGATGAGGCAGATACTCGGCGCCCGATCCGCACCCCGACAACGACCAAATTCGGCCCCCCACTTTCTCCGTTGAAAACTTCCAATATCGCTAGAAATATCCCAACTAGAAAAAACAGGTTCCCGTATAAACACTTTGAGATGTTGGTATTCGTGACGAACTTTCCACCCGCCACCCCGCCGAGACTTCCCAGAATAGCATCGGAGACTCCGGTCAGTGCGAGATAGAAGCAGAGACCAGGCAATAAAACAATGTATGCACAAGTAGGCACCAGCAGCGGAAAGATCACAAGGTGATAATACGTGCTCTGCAGAGCAGCAGCCAGAGGGAAAAGTGCAACCGATGGCGCACCTAGACAGGCGCGGTGGCTTTTTCTCCGACAACACATTGACGATGTGCAACTCCTCTCGTGGCCAGAAGATAGCCACTACTCGGTCCTTATCGCATTTACTCGGTCCTTATCGCATTTACTCGGTCCTTATCGCCGGAAATCTAATCTTCAAGCAAACAGGCGTAAAATGCTGCGACGGCTCCAAGTGTGGGTTCATCCATCGCGTCACAGTTATCTTCTTGCTTCGGTCTCTATATCGATCCGTCTGTGCAGAGGCGCAGCCCCGAGAAGTGCTGACACTACGATTAGTCGAGCACAATGCTACCTTGCAATAAGGAATATGACAACTGCTTCTGCAAAAAGATAACTCTACGCCAACTCTCATACCAGCTGCTCCCGTTCAAAAAAACCATAAAAAGAATCATAATCGTAATCCGCAAATTGAACAAAAGAAAAACGATCTGTATGAATAGGCGAAAAAAAAATAAAACGATGAACGACTAGCAAGGTCAAGGTATAGGAAGGTAGCTACATGAAATCATGCTTGTCCTTATTTTACAAACACTGTGAATTTGCTTTCAAATAAAGAAAACAAACTTCTCATCTATGTTGTACCAAGACAAATGATATCGCTAATCAACTCCGTTGGTTAATAGAGGCAGCTTGCAAGCATGACTAACTTCTAGTTCATTATACGAGCCATACTTATTTTCTCAATCACCTAGTTATCTTCGAAAGCCATGAATGCCGCTTGAGGACACTTCTGTAAAAATATCTTACAGTAGGAGGAGCAAAAAGGAAAGAACTTTGTTCCTAGAGACGAGGTTCCTCCCATAAAAATATAGAGAATAAGCGTAGCAGCTGCAGAAGACAGGCAGCTATCATGACACTAACAAAAACGAAATGGCAGTTCTTCGATGAAACAACAACTAAGGCGTTGTGAAAGCAGGTTCCTGCCTTATTCACGAGGCATTATCTTATGCGGCTTATGATTATGAATAAGCTGCCACTGCTTAGAAAAACTTCATGCTTCAAGGACTTCTCGCGTCGACTCTGCGCTTCAAGCACCGGAGACCAAGAGCAAACGAAACCAAAATATGCAGTACTTTCTCCTGGTAAGCGACCTGCCGAAGACAAGTAGTCCCCATACCAAGTAGTGCTTACTCACTAAGTGCTTACTCGGGACAAGTCACGCCGCGAAGGGTCGTGCTTCAGCCTCCACGACTGTGCATCGCTTTATAGTGGTCCAATAACCACAACGATCTGAGTTCCACTCTTTTTTTCGATGTGCATATGCGCCACCTAGCGGGAACAAGAAAGTTCCTGCGAAGCAACACTTATCAAGAAGGTAAGACCAGATACAAGGTAAGACCACATACACGATAACCAAGGGTACCGCGTCAGTCTGAAGACTCTCTGACAATGAGTATCCACTACATGAAAAATGCTAAACACATGTAAAGAAAGCGGGGATCGATCCAACCAAATTCGAACCAACAAGGCAAAATATGTCATTAAACATAGCAGATATATTCTCAAAAAAAACGAGCAGCACTACAACAAGAGTGGTCACGAAATCGTAATCGTAAATACAGTTCTAAAATTTACTACACATATATTTATCACGAAGCTGACGTCGGAGTGACTCTTGACGAAACAGATCTGACCTTGCACAGCACCAAGAAGACTCGCCTGGATCAGGGATCTTGCACATCGAGTCCACTCGAAGCTAGACTAGGACTTCAAAGTAGAACCAGCAAAACTACGTTATTCAATGATTGATTCAGGTCATCATCATGCTTGCGTCTCTGGTAGTTCTGCTGTACTAGTATCCTCAGAACCTGAATAGAAACTCAATAAACAAAGTAATAAACCACAAACTGCATAGCATACTTTTTAATCTGAACAAACTAAACTAAGGAAGAATGAACCAGTACATAGATCATCACATTCACTGGAGAGTAGAAGTAATAGTCAAAAAGAGAAAATAATGAAGACGAGACACGGCAACACCTGAGACAGTGGAAATTTTCATCATGCGGGAAGCCAGCCACGTAACAGGAAGCAAAACGGAGAGAACTCGGGCAAGTAGTAGTGGAAGTTGTTGTGTCGCGGGACCTATGCCATCTTGGTATTGGAGAACGCGGTGTAGATTTATGAAGGTTGGTAGTCTCATTATTATTCACAATATCTTAAGCTTAAGAAAGGTAATAAAGAGTGGAGACGGGCTGAAGGCAAGCGAAGGGAAAATACAATTACGCAACTTCTTCTACTAAACATTTATTGGCATTCAACCATGGGGAGAGGGGACATAACATGTAATTGAAATTCACATCCTTCAGCTGCACACAGTGCTAGTATAAAACAGGACTGAAACGACCACAGTAATCAATGAACAAAATCTCACATTTCGCTCCAGTGATATGTCAAGTCCACTGCTAGATAGCGCGCATGTTGTTGAAGCAAGTCAGACGCGGGTCCTCATATCGTTGCCTCTCGTTAAAGCAGCCCTCATCTCTCTCTCTCCCTGTCTCTCTCTCTCTCTCTCTCTTGTAGCAACTTCTCCAATAGCAACTCTATGAAGAAAAAGTACTTACTTTCTATTTTAGTTCGACCCCATTTTACCACCACCCAGTACACCCCGTGATCAGCATCTCTTGTCATGACTACGAGAAAGATCTAGACAAACCTCGTGGAGGCAGTTTGCATGCTCTCCTGGTGTCAACAGAGTGTCCTGCGTAGCAACGAAGTGTCCTTTGCCAAGTCTCGAAGCAAGTCTCTCCGGTGCTCCTGTGAATTCCTCGTCCTGCCCTTTTCCACTTGACTCGACTACCCATTAACATCTTGTTTTTATCATTTCTATGTCCACTCTAGGTGAATCTAAGCCTATTCCACCTTGCGTAAGTCCTACATGCTTTCGTGCATCGCACACGCTAAATACATCAAACAAGTGAATCCTTTTCGCCATCTTGCCATGGGGTAGAAACACAGATAGAGCTATGAATGCGTCGCCAAATACGAGTAAAATAAGGGGAAAAGCCAGTCACGCGTGTTTTCTTCGCGTTACTTCCGTGAACGAATATTGGAACCTTGTTGATATTGTATCCATAGCAAAACCTAAGTGAACAATGCATATCACATGTTGAATCAAAAAAAAATAAAGAATAACCAACAACAATGACAAGGGCCCACTTGCGCACAGCGAGTCTCGACTTCGCATCCTCCTAGACGCCAAATTTTCTTCCGACACGGAACAAGCAAAATCGAATATCTAGCTGCTCGATCAGCTCACCCGACGCCGACCAACCTATGAAATAGAAAAAAGCATTCAATGCTACCTCCTGTTGTTTAGCACAGCACCCATGCGAAGCTGCAGACATTGCTTCTTCAATTTATCAACTTGCTCTTCTAGAGCACGCTTCTCGAAAGTGAGCTCCTCTTGCCATCGTCCGCGTAGCTCCTCTTGAACCTGTGTCAATTGATCATGATGGATAAAAACTTCTTCAAATAAATAATGAGACTTACCTAGGTCTTTTCAAAGTCAGTATTTCTATGAAGTAAAAAGGTAGAGAGGACTTCCGTCAAGTCTCCGTAGCTGCTGCGGCAAGTTTCGTGAAGAGGTACCTTCTAAGTCTTGTGTGTGTAGTTGTGGGTAGTTGTGAGAGAAGATGAAGACATTAATGGATTCGAAGAGGCGACTAGACTTAGACAAAAATACTGACACGAAAGCGAGTCGACGAGTGCGATAGAGCGGCGACAGACTAAAGAAGAGCTTTAGTACAAGTAAGTAGGAAGTAGAATAGGGTTAAGAACTTAATCACTGCGCACTTGTAAAACCACACTACTGCCGCCAGAGGTCTCATCAAGGAGGAACGAAAGATGAGTGCTCTCACGTTTAGAAGTAAGGCTAGTACCCATGGCTCTGGGGTGCATGCTCACCCATGGGTACATCCTCTAAACGTCGTGTGGAAATAGTCAATACCTTAAGAGTAGAAGCATCGTTTGGCTTCGAGTATATCTTTAAAATTAATAGATTTCATTCTCTGTGGGCTTGGACAAATAACTGGTCGTAGTGTTGAGATGTTGACTCCCAAACATAGTTGTACTCATGTATGATTTTTACTAAATTAGTATCAAGAGGAAGTGAGATTGGTATCACTTTTAGGAGCTCGATGGCTCGCTGTTCCCCTGCTTTGCTTTTCGTTGCGAGTGCTTTTAGCTTGCTCAGGAGACTGTTTCTTTCCGTATCCCACTTTCTACGCTCGTCGTCGAGGCTCGTACTGTATTCCCGCTCCCGCGAATACTATGAAAAAGGAAAACTAAGCACAGCTGGCAATTCCAAAGGCTACATTAAATTGCCAGCACTGCCTCTTGCTAAGGCTGCGAAATTCAAAAAATCAGTTTGCTAAGACTGCCTCATAAATCAGTTTGTTGTGATTCACAGCACGGCGAAGAAGGTTCTACGATAAGAATCTATGGAGATACGTCGAAAAGACTACTCTATTAGCAACAGCGGCAGCACCAGGGAGACATCCTTTATATATAGAAGGCAGTTATTAATTACTCTGTCCTATTACTCGCGAGAGTGATATGAAATGCAACTCCTACAACAACAAGACATAACAGAACTTGTTTTTGAAGGTCGGCCACACGTTTGACTAGCACCTCATTCTGGCGCTCAGTCACGACACAGGTATCTTCTTTTGCCTGTAGTCTCTGCCTGAAGTTCTCCAGAGACCCTGTGAGTTCAGCCTTGCTCTCGGTACTTCGTTGGAGTTGACGATTTTGCAGCACCGTAGTTTTTAGACAGGTTTAGGTTCTTGGAATCCGAATCGTCATAATCAAAAATTTCCACCAGTGGCCGCCACAGCCTAGTTTTAGAGTCCTATCAGATGTCAAAACTGAAAGGCAACAACAAAACTGACTTTGCATGCATTAGCTAAGGCCTTAAACTCTGCTGCAATTGCTCACCGAGTCGCTGCAATTCCGAACTCTTCGAGAAAACCTTTGTGAGAGAAAAAATCGATAAGGAAATACACTCTCCAGAGTACTGCTCGAGCCACAACTTATTCCATCGATCAAAGAAATTTCACTCACGAACACTTGTACCACCATCTCATAGGAAGATAACAAGTACAACGAAGTCTCATATTCTTTCAAGACGCCTAATAAGAATTTTATCAATTCTAGCTACTTCTTCCTCTAGTGAAAGGCGTCGTTTCTGCATTTCTTCGAGGTCGTGCCTCAGATCGGTTATCATTTTTTCGGCAGACTGCAGTCTGGACTCGGAAGCACTCTGATCGTGCGCGTGCTGCTTTACGAGAAAATCATACCTGAGAAAGAAGATACATAGAGGTCGATATGTTTACTTTCCTAACCAGAGAAGAGAAACAAGCGTTCTAGATTTTGTTCGCTAGGTAGGGCGTGGTTAAACAAGTGCTTATAAAGTCTGATCGAAAAGTACTTTGTTTGAAGATCCAGAGTGAGCGCGCCGGCTTTGGATAACTGATCTTCCAGATCGTCTATCCGTTTCTGTCGCAATTCCAACTGACCCTCTGTCGCCCTTCGCACTTCCTCAAGCATTACCTGGTTGTCTTTATTTGCGTATTGATTATATTATACAACTGAGGAAATATATTATATACCCTGGCAAGCCAGGAGCAGAAGTAACACACTGATGATTATTTGAGAAAGGCTTGTATACTATTTTTACACACGGCGACCGGACAATGCAGAATTTGCACGCGGGACCAGAAGAAAGGAGGGAAAATGATGAGAAATTACGAAGATTATGAAGCAAGGGGAGGGGATAATTCTTATAGTATTCTTAACTGCCTAGTACGTCCATCTCCCCTTTCCGTTTTCGCTCTGATGCGTCTGCCCCTTCCCTTACTGTGGATTCTAGAGCTTCTAGCTTCGTTTTCTCTAGGAAGAGCTCTGATAGGTCCTTTTCCGCAACGTCCAGCTTGGCTTTCAAGTCCTCTGCGTTTACTCGCGTTGTCTTCTCTTTTTTCTCCAACTGCTCCATCATGATCAGTCTGATTAGAACAGATAACTAATGGCACGTGAGAAAGGAGGACCAAATGTGAAGGATAGGAAGTACATTTTTGTAGCTCTAGCTAAGGGAAAAATACGTTTAATAGCGAGAAATTGTCGTGTAATTGCACCATACTAGAAGTATATTTCGTTGTACTTCTCGAACGAAAGACTTCCTTCATACTCGAACGGCACCATCAGTCCTGTTTTCATAGCATGTTTTGACTCTCTGTCTTTAGCGTCTCGGCCTCCCGTCGTGCCTTCTGAAACTTATCGCTCAGCTCCACGCTTTCCCGTTCTAAAACCAGGTATTTGCTCCGCCTTTCCGCAAGCTCCTCGCTCAACTCCTGGTACTGCTGCAGAGACTCCGTGATATTATGAAAGAGAGGCTGAGGACTTCAATGGATAGACATCAGCACTCTCATCTCTAGTTAAAAATATGATTTTTTTCAAGAACATGCGGGAGCGTTATGAAATCAAATGTGTTTCGTGATGTACTCAGATGGCCATAATTTTCTGCACTTATCCTCTCCACGCGTTCGTCGGATTCTTCACGAAGGGCTTCAAACTTTCTCTCCCATTCTCGTTCGCGACCCATGCTTTTTTTGACATTTTCGCCTGCTGTCTTCACCTCGTCTACTTTCAAGGCTAGCTGCTGGCGCACGCGCTCGAGTTCTTCCTCAGCCGCGGCGCGCTGTCGTTCTACCTCCTCGCTTTGTCGTGCCCGCCGCCGCAGTGGCTCCATTTCTTGAGTTAGAAGTACCCTATATTCATCATTGCTCGGTGTATGGCAATATCCACGAGAGGAAGATTGAATTTGGAGGCTAGATTGAGCTATCATTTGTCGACAGTTGTTGCCGTTCTTTTTCGCACTGTAAATATTCGCCTCGAAGGCTACGGACATAATTGTGTCAAACAGCAGCATAAATCCACATCCTCCATAACTGCAGTGAGAGCATCATTTTCTCTATTTGCGCTTTCAAAAGCACATTTTGTTGAGCCAACACCTCGTTCTGCTCAATGCTCATGCGATATAGAGCGTCGACCTCATCCCGCTCCTCCTCAAACCGACTTCTCACCTGCGCTGCACCGAGTCCCCCAGCGCTACTTGAAGAACCTTCTAGATGTTTGTTTTTGTAAACTATGCTAGAAAAATACGGACACTGTTGTGCATGAAAGAGTTCATCAACATTTCTAAGCGAGCAATCAAAAAAAGTTACGATGAAACACAGAAACCTAAGTAATTACGTCGGGTAATCTGTGGTCGCCAAGCTATATTAGATATTCATACGTATACCGCCAAGATATTCCCTGCTTTGAAGCTGTGCTATATGCTCGCTTTTTTGAACTAGTTCTTCGCGAAGCGCCTCATTCTCATTTGTGAGTGCCGCCGCTTGCTCTGCCAAGCCAGCTGACTTCCCTAGTATGGTTTCCAATTCTCGTACTCTATCCTCATACACCCGGATTAGCGGGCTCATCAACTGCATGTTCGTAGCCCATGGTGGCAAGTTCACTGGTGGCTCCAAATCATCGCGCTTTGTTGAGGACGCTGAGCCGCCTGTAGTTTTGAGAAGTTAGAAGCCTGAAGACAAAAGGGGCAGCAAGAAAAGCTAGAGAGAGCCAAAGAAAACTATAGATCACATGCTATTCTGCGATGGATCGATTAAAGCTGAGTACCCGAAGTTGAAATCAGCGACCAGAAATATCATAATGATACCCGACTCGACGAGCCGGTGCAGCTCCTTCGTCACTTTATCCGCATATTGCTGAAGCTGATACTTCTCAGCCTTCACTGTTTCGAGCTCAGCCGCGGCCATCGCGGTGATCCGCTGGTGCCAAGCAGGCCGTAGTGGATCCTATAATTACAGATCTCCCTCGATGTTCGTCGTTGGCGTCTTGTTTCTCCACGATTTTCCGTTTTCTCCTACAGGACGATTGGCGCACGTCCTTTCCTAGAACTTCCGGCGTGTCCGTCAATGGTGCGCCACGAAAACCTGGATCATCTCTTTGGCCGGAGCATTAGCATCACGCTACGCCAACATAATTTACTAACTGCAATTCATATTTTTGGATGTCGCGCCATATATTGAAACATAAAAAATCGAACAAAAAAAAAAGTATCCAAAAGATCAAATTTTCCGTGGGAGTGATACCTACTCACTTTGCGTGGCAACAAGTGTCCAAAATTTTCTTACTGCCGAGTGTTTTCACTCGCCTTTTTAAACTCACGTTTCACCATCGCTGTTTCCGTTAAAGTGTACTTGGATCTCGCTACTGCCCATTTTTCACTCGTCCATTAGCATCTGAGAGATTGTAGATGTCACTTTTGTTCGAAAATTCAAAGGTTGTCACTTTTCTCAATCCTCGAAAGTGTGTCATTTTTTCTCGGTTCCAACATCTAGTCCTCCTGTCTTTACGCCTCAGAGAAAGCAATTGGAGCGCGCCCTTGCATCAGTCTCCGCTGGAGCTTTTGTATTGCCCGTTTCAAGCACAGAGGAAAACGTAAGTTCAGGATTCTTTGACAATTCTTCTCACTACGTTTCAGAGCGAGTGTTCTTAACAACTGGAAGCATATTGACTATGTTGATGAAGTAATCTATATTCTCCGTTTATTTCAAGTAGAAATGTTGAAATGATATACATAGATATAATCTGCTCACGAAATCCAAATGGTTGTCCGTATTTTTAGCGTTTAACAGCCGTCTCAAAAAAGTCACCAAATTGGTCTGCCCTAGACCGATTACCGTACCGCAAATCGTTTCCACAGCCAACAACTTCCAAAGCTGAGCCTGCTGCTGTAGAGCTAGTGTCTCCTTCTGCTGTTGAGGTCTTACTCTTATGCAAGTTTTTCAAATCTGGGCACGCTGCACACCGCAATTGGGTCTTGCCTCTCGAGACCCAGCCACAGCCGAGAACCGGGTGATCACAATGCACGTTCTCGCAAATTTGCAAGCCGTTGACACCTCCAAAATTCTTTCTCAAGTTCACCTTGAATCGATCCAAAGCTGAGGTGTTCCAAACTTGGTAGGAAAACCACTCGTGCGGTGTCACGCGTGCCTCGCAACCGTTCAAATTAGGCTGACAGCAGTGTGCACAAGTGTCATTGGCCGTGAACTCATGCGAAATCGTACGGAAAGCGCTCATCGGAAACCGGTCGTCGCGCTCGCCATGTATGATGTCATTCAGGCATGGGCATCATTAACCAACATAAATCTTGATTTCACGTATCATTTCTTTCAGAAACCTACGACAAATTTCTTTCCAGATATTCGAGATCTTGGGCAAGCAACTGCAAGAACCTAAAAACGAAGATACTGACTAATACACCTTCTCCTATTTCACCTACCACAATTGCAAGGTATCAAAATATGCGTGCCGACACAGAGTTTCCAAGCTTGGTTTCCGAAGGTGCAATAGTTCATTCTCTTCTCACATAATCGATAAACAACTACGAACTGGAAATGTATTGTTTTTATTCAAGACTACACTCAGAGACGACTATCAGGATTTTTCGAAAGCAAGTATTTTAGCTACTTGATATTGGCCGTATCTTCATCTGTTTTGAGGACCACGCTCAGCAAGCATGTGGCGAGTACCCTCCACCTGACGCGATTCTCTATAATGTACAACGATTGCTTCGCAACTACTAGCGACATTGATGACGATCAGAGTTTATGTGTGACACGAATTACGAGAACCAAAGTCAGTAAGCAAAAACCATCTTGGATGCTGATGTATAATTGAGGAGATAGTGGAGAGAGGAGCCTGTCCGTGATAAAAGGAGCCTTTTCATCTTTGACAAAACGGTAACTCGTCTCTCCTCGATTCTGTACATAGTTAATCAGCGGCCGAACTGCAGCACCCACGTTTTACGCGATGTACCGCAGACGCACGGGGAATATCGTTGGTATATCTGCTCGGAGCGTTCTTTTGCTCAAACAAAAAGCCTTTCGGAAGCCCAATAAAGTGCTCCGACACAAACGCTGCACGGCGTTCCAGTAAAAACGTGTCATCGCTCGCCAAAAACGGGGTCTCTAGCACGCTAGATAAAAAGCACAAAGGGTCCACCCCTTCTCGACGCGTATTATCATTTCCTTCTTCCGTTCTTTCTCCTTCCACACTTTTATGTGCCTCGTTGAATTCATCGACGTCCTTATGAGCCAAATCCAGCAGACGTTCTACTACCAGCTCGGTGCGCGGCAAACACAGAAGCTCAAATATGCGGGTACCGGCAGTGCGCTCAATAACCCCAGTTCCTCCAGTACTTCCTGGCGACGATGCGGGACCTTCGCTGTGACGGCCTTCCCCAAACACGTTCTTCGAACTTGGTCTGTGCTCCTCCTCCTCCGATGACTCTGCATCTGAGGCGCCAAGCTCATGCTCGTCAGACGACTCTGCACCATGGATAGTACCAGGCGGAGCCTTGTTCGCATTACCGATTCGGAAGACCTAGTTGTAATCAAGCCATGATGAACGGGGAAAGAATATGAATGCCGTGTCCACCACATATCAGAAAGATAAAAAAAAAACTCGCTTGGCAGAGAGAGAAATGTAAACACCGTTTCCTCCTCTTCTGATTGTAAGATCTCTTCGCCGCTTGAGTGGCAGAAGCCAGCTTGACTGTCCAGGTCGACGGCAGAGATGGTCTCGGCTGCCTCAGCATCGCTGTGCGCGAATCCTCCAGTTTTGTCTCCAAGATGGCTTGTTGCATTGTCAACAGGTGTGAGTTTTTTCTCTTGCTCAATGATTTTAGGCGCTTCTGGAGCACCTAAGCTGGCGCCACTTCCCGATCTTGACGGCCTCTTGTGCCGCGTGGGCGGCACAAATTCTTGCGCAGTTTTAGTGGTTTTGGTTGTGACGTATCCAACACTATGGTCTGCTGTGGCACTTCCTGCTGTTGGATTAACGTTGCGAGTGAGAGAGCTTTGGTCCGCCTTGATCTGGTTTCCCGCGGCGACAGGGGTGTCCGTCGCATTGTTGTCGTCGGCGTCTAGAATTGGACCATCATCTCCCGCATCGCGATCAGAACCTGAACCGCCCTGCAAAGCATCCGGCGAGGCCGAGGGTGATGCGGTACTAGTGTGCTTCTTGTTTCGTCCCACTTGAAGTTCCAGAGCGTCGGCTTGATCCGCTTCCTCTAAGTGCCTAAGGTCTGGAAAAACGAACTCAAACTTTCGATCCAAGCGTGACTGTTTTGTCGGCATCTTTTCGGCCACAAAAGCTCCAGAGACACGACCGCGTAGTTCGTTGGCTCTACGAGAATGGAAAAAACGCTTCCCAGCTGCAGCATCTTCTGCCACCACAAATTGCAGCTGGTAACGACTATTCGCGAACTCTTGAACGTCTGTACCAAAGCGAAGTAGCTCGAAAGAGACTCGCTCGTTCGGTTTGCAAATGTGAAATCGAATCTGCACATCCGAGTCACCCTTTGTGTTGGGCGCTCCGGCTGTTAGCGATTTCAGCGACTCTAGCGGAATAGTCACTGTTCTCGCGTTGTTGTCGTCCTCTTTCTTGTCGGCGAAAAGGAGTTCTTGCGCTTGCAAGTCCACGGTGCTGAACCGATGCAGTGTCTGACTTCCTCCGTGCGCTCCAACCTTGACTAACTCGATGAACAGAACATTCTTGGGTCCGAAGCGATGCAGATAATGCCGTGACAGCTCGAAACCCAGTCGTCCCAACGCTTGCAGATAATACGTCCAGTACTTGAGCCGCTGAGCCCGCTCCAGAGGCATCAATTTACGCATGATGCCTTCAGTGTTGAACTCCGATCGCCCCCAATCGAAAAGCTTTGCAACGGTCGGGATTCCATCAGGCGTAGGCAGATGCACTGTAATCGGATCATTCAAGATATCCTTCGCGTATACTGTCCCAGCCTCGAAACCGAGCCCCACACTGCTGCCGATCCACATCTGGGGTAGGAATGGAAAGCGACGCACCAGACCAGTCACAGTTTCCATTACGCGCACCAGTAAACGCCGAAGCACGCGCTCAACGTAGAGCTCGAGAATCCAGGACTCTCGAAACCGCTTTGTGTGTTCCTGCACGAACGTCAGGTGCGAACTCTCCAGATCGGTAACGCTTTGTCGGATCGCCTCCGTCATTCGCGGAGGAAGGTCGTCCGCGGCTGCGTGATCAACACCGCTATGATGAGCTGCATCTTCCGTTCCAACTCTGTCATCCGCAGAAGTTTCCACATGCCCTACAGTTTGCCGCATATGGTAGTGCAGGGGAAAGAATTCGAGGTCACTCCGCGACTCCTCATCATCGTCTTCAGAAGTAGCCAGTTCTTCAGTCTCACTAGATGCCTGTATTTGCCCTTGCCTCGAATCTTTATCGCTGCGAGTTTCCAACAGCGTTGCAGAGTGAGATTTATGATCGCCCATGTCGGTATCGTCGACCACCCGCACCGCAGACATGTCTAGAAGTAGTGGAAGGATCCCTGGCGTATCCAGACTTTGGTACATCATCCTGGCGAGTTTTTTTTTACCTGAGACAAGCTAGGTGTCAGTTGATTAAGTACTATGTATAAAGAGTAAAAACTTTAGTAGCCTGAATTCTGTATGTTCTAAAAATGTCGTAGTTGTGAGAGAGAAATGAGTTGCTTAGATAGATAGATAAATCGATAGATGTTTCTAGTGGCTCTTAAGCAAGTATCATGGAGAAAATAAACTCTGTACTCAAAAACGTCGAGCTGAGGAAGCTTTTATGCAACCGCAGTAGCCGTTCGATCTCCATTGTTGGAGGAGCCTCCATGCCTTCCAGACGATAGCCCTCCACACAACTGTTCGTATAGGTGTCCACCATTTGGTTCCGCCACGCAGCAAACTTGCTTTTTCCCTTCCATCGCCCCACGGCGGTCTGCCTTCCCAGCTTCAAATCGATGAAACGTAAACGCGCAAAGCCATGGAACATGTTCTGCATTAGCAAGATCGGCAAAACGTGTGGCCCGGACTCTTTCGCTGCTTTCTTGGAACCTGCGCCGGGGGCAGGTGCCTGCCGATAACGATCTTCGTCCTCACTAAAAGAACATGGATTTGTTTACAATTTTCTAAATCGGTGGCAGAGTATTGCAATAGAACCTATGCATATGGATGCAATTTTGATCTTCTCACAGTATCAAATTCTTTAAGCAATCGTGGTATGCTATCAGGGCAACTACATCTTCAATATTGCATCAAGGAGCAATAGATACCACTTCCAGCCGCAGCATGCCTGGCGAAGACAGGAAGGCAGACGCGACAAAAACGGCCAGCGATGGATCCTCTAGCCCCCATTTCGTCAGAAAGTTGCGCAACGTATTGTAAAAGATTATTAGAGATCACCCACATCCATCTTGAAAGTCATCTCGGAGCTGCTTTGACCTTACACCGCAGCTCAAAGATGCTTCTGGAGATGGCTTAGAAGAAGCCTCAAAGTTAGTTCGTCGGGCGCATGCGTGACGTCTTTCCCGATCCAGTACCGATCGCATGTGTTCGGCTTCAGTACAAAGTCTGAAGTCAGCCTCTTCACGGCCTCTCCCTTCTCCATAAACCCGGTCGACGTTTGCATATTGTACAAGCCCGCGGTTCCCCCGCTAACGCGAATCGGTTGCAAAGGTGTTTCGAAGCGGCGAGCAACGCACCAAACCTTCTGATCCCAGAGGCGAAAAGCTGCGTCGCCGGATCCCTTGGTGCCTTTAAGAAACGAAATCGCGCGACTGAGTCGAGTCTTCCTTGCTTTAGGTGACGGCAGTTCCGTCGCGGCGAGAATGGCGGAAAGTCCCTCTTCATCTCGTTCGGCGGCGCCAGCTCCTGCCGCAGCTTTTTCGTCGAAACGAACGACAATGCTCTCTTTTGATGGCATCTTCTTCAACGCATTCGCCGTTTCAAACTTCCGCAGCTATGCTGATCGCAAGGAGAAGCGTGCTGATGGACATGCTTTTCAAACAACAAGGAGAGTTCGCAGACAATCGGAAGAACCCCAATATTTTCCTTCCGGGAGGCGTGGACATGAAATAATATCATCAACCCACGCAGATCAACGCATTGAAGGTTAGGTTAGGTTATGGATCCTGCACAACGAGCCCCACCTTATAAATATCACCACACCGTTGAAGAGTATAAATATCACTACATAGAAATAAGCATAGAAGCGCGCCTCCATGCTGTCGCCTATTCTTTATTCTTTTTATCAAAACTCCTTTTTGCACTTTTTCGGTTTTTAGTCTAAAAAGCGCCACTGAGGTCGTGACTGTGCCAAATGATGCAGGGCACAAACACTGGAAACAACGTCGACGAAGGCACCAGCATGTTCGAGGCGTTGCATCGGCGACAGAACTGTCATGTCTATCGATTGATACATTTTGTTTCCTACAGAGACTTCATAAAAACACATCGTTGCGCGACTCCATTTAAAGGATGGTATCTACGTAAACCAAAGGCGAGTGTAATCAGCGTTCAGTTTTCGGCAAAAAAAAAACTATTCCCATATGCCTGTCGTCTTGATGCCAATCCCATTTCCCATGTCATATATGATACAGGTGTCCACGCAGGATCGAATAATGCATAAATAATATCTGCGATGTTCTACGACGCTTATGATTTTTCGAAAATCCAAACGTCGTCATTGTTATCCAAAGCGGCTGTGTAGACCAGCACAAAATCACCTCCTCGACGCAGCCTAAAAGTAGAGACCAGAGCTAGAGGAATATTTCGAATCCACTCTAGTAGGCGCGCCAACAAGTAGTAGTTACTTGCCATTTGCATTGGTGTCCCAGGAAACCGGTCGATCATTATCCCATTTTCCTGAGCGGGTTTCGCCTTTCGCATTCGTATACGTACCTGTATGATTATCAAAGCGATAGGATGGAGATTCTATTCCAGATAGACATCAAATTACGACTCACTATTTCAATCATATCATGAACAGTGAGGCAAATGACTCACCACCAGACTTAGACTGAGTGTCACATGATATCACTTTGCTGCCTTTCTTAGTACCTTGCCCGTGTCTCCTACCATCGAGCCATTGACCGGTGTATTTTCGTCCGTCTGGCCAAAGGAAAACGCCGTAACCGTGCTTTCGTCCTACATGATATTCTCCCTCGTACCGTCTGCCGTCGGCCCAGGACATGGACGCCTTACCCTCGAACTTACCCCCTACGAATTGACCCTGCGATACGAACGAAAGGACCATAGATTGCAATTTCATTATAGATAACTACAGAATAATGATCCTACACTACTGAAAAATAAAAATGAATTCGGTTATTCAAATAGAGCGTAAATAGCCCCACGAAAAAAAGATTACTATTCAGAAATACCGAATACACCCGCCCGTCTGGCCATGTAAGCACGCCCTCGCCCTCCTTAAAGTCGTCTACAAATTTCCCTTCATAATCGTAACCATTCTCTCGTATCTTCCCATAGCCTTGTTTCCTTCCCAAATCGTCCTTCGTCACGCTGATTTCAATTGTCTGGCCCATGTCGACTACCTGATTCATGTAATGCCAAAAACTGGATGGAGATGTCGATGGAGATGAGAAAAAGTTTCAACAAGTTTCTAAGTAGTTCTAATCCTATTAACTTGTGCATTCAGAATGTGGATAAAGTCAAGGAACAGCACAAAGCCTTTTGTCATCATGTGTCTGATTAATACTGGTGCAAGCGTATATGTTTTTGGCTGCTCTGTTGGATCCAACGTAAACTCAGTGCCATCGCCGCCACCTCGCTGGCACGTATCTCGCACGCACTGCTGCCCCATCTTTGCGGCGTTTTTGGACTCAGAAAGACGTCCTTTAAACGACTCTCGCTGAAGTCACACAGTCAATAGCAAAAGATGAACGAAATTTTTTCAGCATAGGCACATTTTTTACCATTTCTTTGCAACTTTTCGAAAAAAGCCAGAACAATGTCGATTTGTTTGTCCCACAGTTTCATTCAATGTTAATAAGAGTTTACAGGGAATATTAGAGGAGAACGCGTCTTGTATTATGATACTTGATAAATCTCATAGTCCTACATGATGATAAAATCATGAAAAAAGCAAAACTTGAAAACGGGCTTCTATTGACCCCAAAAAGGTTTCGCTACCGGAAAAACTCAATCACTCCACATTTTTCGCACAACCATAACTTGGCTCGAAAAATCTAGGTCGCTCTCCGACATCTTCGCATCTACCTTAACGGTCTCTCTTCCGCTGCCTGAAAGTGAACACTACATCATAGAGTGCTCGCGACTTTCCACGACTTGTCGTGTTTGTTTCTTCATTGAGTCCTACTTACGTTTTGTTACAACTAAATTCTTTTTCTTTCTCAAGTCCAAATTCATTCAATTCATTCATTGTAATCATCAAATTCAAATCTTTTATGAGCAAGTGCATTCCCGTGCAACTGGAACCTCTGTCTTGGGCTGGGCCCTCGCTCCATGCAGTGAATATTGAAAAGATAAATCAAAAAACAACAACGACGCCGCCAAACTCTCACTCCTCCACCTCCGAGCCCCAAGCCCTCCCCCTTCCGAGCTCATGAACTTAGAACCCCACGAACTTAGGAACTTATGAACTTGCGAGGCCTGGGAATTGGTTAGGTCTGATTTCGCGCAGATGGGTACCAAATTTAAAACTTACGCGATAAAGTCAAAACTTTTACGGTTTGAACTCAAAAAGTTGCAACTTTCCAAAAATTCACGGCGATGCCCAGAAGTTTATAAATTTTATCACATTCCAACAGAAGCCATAAGACAACAGAGATAGATAAAAAACCAACAACGAACCCCCCAACATCCGAACCCAACACACACCGAACCGAAAACACCTGAGCCGAAAGCACTTGAACCAAAAACATGCGACCCCCATCGCAAATTATTCCGCTCCCCTTCTAATCAACCAACAAATACAACACGCGAACAAACTAACTCTGGCGCCTCTTGGATCTCCTTACTGGTCTGGTTGCTATGATCCTCGTGCGTTGGATCTTCGTATTGTAAAAGGCCGAACGACTCCACAAACGACGAACATCCGCCAAGAATAGGCGGCAGCGGCATCAGGTTCCCGCTGTATTGTTGTGACGTTCTTACTTATGTAATTGGTCAGCGGGTTCCCCGTCGTTGCACGAGCCAAAACCGTCTCAGTTTAATCTATGAAAACGATCCGAAAGCATTGACTACGCACGGAATTCGCGCGGTATATGTCAAGGGTGTACTTTGTGCATGTTTCTCTTCGTGCCTTCGTGCTTTTTCAAGTGTTGCCAGTATTTACTTGGCTGACTGTCATCACCTTCCTACCCTTGTCGCCCCTCTCCCTCACTCTTGTGTTGGTGTCTCCCTCCGCGTAACGCCAACAAACACCGGCAGAGTAAATCTATGTCAGCCCGTCTCCACACTCCCCCGGATTCTTTCGTCGTGTGTAGTGCGTCAACGTTCAACCCGGCGTAAGCGAAAACTTGTGCGGAGCGGCGTCTTCGTACGGATAACGGAGAGCTTATCCGGATACCAGCGGGAGGAGGAGGGAGGCAGAGGCAGGGGAGGAAAGGCGGCGCATTATCTACGGGGGAAGTTGTAGCTTGTACTTCTGTCGTAGTAGTTGCTTTAATGGCTGCCCCAGTTCTTACTTAAAAGGTGGCCGCGTGTTACGCAAGAGCCTATAGCTTGTTGCTTATGGCGGGCGCTTACTGCTGCTGCTGAGCTTACTTGAGTGGCTTTGAGTTTGAGAAAGAGCTGCGCGGACTGAGTGAGCTTATGTTTTTTTTTTTGCTGTTCTTTGGTTTTGTCTGTGTGACACGGGCAAAGCTGTTGCTTTTTTAGGGGGGCTCAGAGCTGGTTCCTGACTGCGTTAGTTGTAAAGTGAAAAGCGACCAAGAAACGCGCGTAGCTCGGTAGTGTTTCTCTGTTGGTCATACTTGTCGCTTGAGGTACTGAAAAAGAAAAAAAGGCAGTTTGTGACGCACAAAATAAAACGAACCAAGAAAAAGACTGCTCCCCCCTCTCCTTACTTTTGGCTTGTATTGAGTGCGCTGCTGTACGAGACTAGTTGCCAGGCTGCGCTTGCGTGTGCTGTTCTTTTACCGCGGTGCTTTTACTACTTACTCGAACTGCTTAAGGTCGCCCATTATCTGCTGGGGGTGCTTGGTCTGCTCATCTTCCTGGTCGGCAAACAGGTCGAGCGCGTTGGTTGCGATTGGAAATTTGCCGCCCGGCTTTGACTTTGTCAGTGGGTCCGCGCGGTTCTGTGCTGCCGGACAATGGCGCACTTCAATAGCTCCGCTGAAGATTAACTCGCGCAGTGTCGCAAGGTCAATGCGCAGTCTCTTCTCGCGCGCCCGTGGTGCTAGCTGAGATAACGCCTGGACCAGAGAAGCGCAATCCGTATAGCAGATAATTCGCAACTTCTGCACAAGTCCGGCCCCAAATTCGAGAAGCTCCCTCCAGAGTGCGGCAGCATCTGTTAGTTCGAGAAGCGCGAACGCTTCTGCGGTGAATGCTGAACGCACAACGCGACGAATACGGTGCGAGATAGAACCACTCGACCAAGTTGCACTTGGCGATCTTATTCGCCGCGGAAGCGTCGGATGGTTCGCCGATATACACAGCTCCCCCGCATTGTGTGCCCGTGCAGAAATCGCTGTCAGCTTCACCACTAGACGACGCATTTCCATGACTGGCGTCACTCAGAGAAAGCGCACACTACTAAAGGCGGCAGCGATAGAGCGACGCATCGGAGTGCGGGTGGTCCCCGTAGTTTTGCAGTCCGGTGCGTATTGCCTCAGGCAGTGCAACTGCGTCCGCCTTGGTTGGTACCGAGGCAGAGGACGCCTGTGCAGCAGCGAATAGTGAGTCAGGATATGCGCTGGAACCTGTCCACAACAGTTGCCTGCGCCCTCGCCTTTTTGAATGATACAACTTCCGCAGCTTCTAAGCGGTCAGCTGCACACCGTTGAAGCTGCTCCGGTTCGTCTATGCTCTGCGCATGCTCTCCCTGCTCTGCCGTGGCCTCGTCTCGTGTGGACGACTGACTGACTTGGGTACCAAGATAGCAGAAAGCGCCACAGGCAGCATCACTGAACTGAGCCGCACCCACTTCGCAGCTGCTCAATTTTGCCCAGGTTCTCCACCAGTATGATGCCGCTTGGGTCTCCTTATCGATCTGGCTGCTGTGGTCCTCATCCGTTGGGCCTTCGTGCTGTAAAAGGCCGAACGACTCGACAAACGAGGAACATCCGCCAAGAATAAGCCGCAGCGGCATCAGGTTACTTCTGTACTGTTCTGACGTTCTTAATTATGCAATTGGTCGCCAGCAGGTTTCTCGTCGTTGTACCAGCAAAAACCACCCCGGTTGAATCTATGAAAACGACCCGAAAGCGTTGTATGCTTGGCCACGCATGGAATTCGCGCGGTATATGTCAAGGGCGCACGTTGTGCATGTTTCTCCTCGTGCCTTCGTGCTTTTTCAAGTGTTGCCAGTATGTACTTGGCTGACTGTCATCACCTTCCTACTCTTGTCGCCCTTCTCCCTCACTCTTGCGCGGGTGTCTCACTCAGCGTAACACCAACAAACACCGGCCGAGTAAGTCTACATATGCCCAATTCCACAACTAACCCCCAGCAAGTAGACGTCGAGCATTTATTAAAATAAAGCGCGCTGCGATTTAATTTAATCCGGATGCGCTATCTAAAGTCAACAACTTTGCTCAAAGAGTGAGCCCAGCTCTTTGACTTTATCGGCCCAAGCCTTATCCCCAACCCCAAGCCCGAAGGCGTAAGCCTAAGGCTTAAAGCGTTAGGCCGAAAGCTCACACCTGAAGACCCAAAGTCGAAGGTTCAAAGCTGAAGAGTCAAAGTTGAAAAGTCGAAGCTGAAAGATCAAAGTTGAAAGCTCAAAGCTGAAAGCCCAAAGTTGAAAGCTCATAGCTGAAAACTCAAAGCTGAAAGCCCAAAGTTGAATACTCAGAGCTGAAATCTCAAAGCTGAAAGCTCAAAGCTGAAAGCCCAAAGTTGAAGGCTCAAGGCTGTAAGTTCAAAATTGAAAAAGCGAAGCTGAAGGCCCCAGGCTAAAAGCCCAAAGCTGAGCGCTTAAGATTAAAGGCTGCGCCTCAATGTCTCACAGTTTCAAGCTTGAGGCTGGAAATCCAAAACTTTTGACTATATCCAATAAAAACGAAGCGTATATAACTCCCAGCCAAAGTTTTTGACTGTATAACAAGAAGAGGAATTTTTACAAGTTGCAAGCTCGAGCGTCGCAACTTGCACGCAAAGAAGGCCAAACCTACAAAAAGAAGAGTACACCGACAGGCCAACGGCTTCGACCTGTGCCGTCTTAATCAATGGCCGCACGCCGTCCCCCGCCTAAATCTTGCCCCAACGATCAACGCCGCCAGACGGTTGTCGGGCGGGGGAGGAGCCGGGGGAGCGGAATCGCGCCGGGGTTGAGGAAGTGCGTGCCGGGGGTGGATGATCCTAGTGGGAGGAGTGCTACCGGGCGCTCAAGTCTAGCAATACAAAGCGCGACTATCCAGCAACTGCGCAAAGGTCTCCAGTCTTGAGAGGAGGCCGCGTCCATTTGAGATGACCCCTCTCCCAACGCGGTCGTACCAGCACGGCACTCGGCGTCCAAATCCACATGCATCAAGTAGTTCAAACAATACATATTCAAATTCATTCTCATCTATTATAAAGGCGACTCTTCTACCAAACAGTAATAAATGCTCGTCTAGTACTTCTACAGCAGGCATTGATGGGAGGCTGTCGTTAGATTTTTCGCGCGAAAGGAGCGACTAACAACCATCGAAAATCCTTGTATCAGACTCAAAGAGCCTGTATCCCACAAAGAGCCGCGCTTTCGTACTAGTGCCGTTCGTTCCTTTGCTGCCTACAAAGTCGTTGGCTCGGTGGGTGTGTGATGCCTAGTACAAGTGCATTATCATGATCGTCTCTACATAGTCATAATTTCTTACCAGTTCAACCTGCTACTGATGCCCACACTGCGGAGGCACAACAATCTCGCTGCTCCTCCTACCTGCTGCTGATGCCTATACTTCAATAATACGATGCAAGATAACACAATTTAACAATCTGGATGTCCGAATTCTCTGGATGTCTATTAAGCGATATTCTCTGGATGTTAAAACGATGTCGTGGTTCAATGTTCTCTGGAATAAGGGTGCTCTGTTCTAGAATAGCAACACTTTCACGCGGTTTTCACCTACACTTTCTAGCAATATTTTGTGAATAAATATCAAGGATCGAAAAGATTTTTCCGTACAGGAGTCAGAAATTTAGCTTTATATCTTCTTTAGTTCAGCTTCTACTACTATGATGCGAGCTTCATCTTGACACCGGCTAAGAGTCAAGACAATCCGGTCGTCCTGACAGCTGTACAAACCAGTGACGACAAATCTATGCATCTTCTATCCCGGCGATCCCTGCATCGGGATCCTTCTCGTATGGGTTGTTCATTGTTCGCGTTTTCGACGAGAAGTTGTACCTGATTAAGCAGTAGCAATAAAGTCCAACAGTAGACACCAAAACTTTATGATTTCCTTTGTATCGAATATGAGCCACTGTTGATGATAAAGACATCGCTCATCACGAATCAAAGAAAATGCTTTACAAGGTAGGAAAAATAGCGTGCTTCGCATTACGACATGGTTTATCCATAGTAAAATTCTTGGTACCAGTACGTATTTAGGTTGTCGTCTTTGAATGCGACGAAGGGTCCGCTTTCGGCCGTACTTCTAGCTCTGTCTGTGAGCACCTGTGCTTCCTCTGGAGGAACTAAAAAACCTCCGCGAAATACTTGGCCCGTGTTGTCGATTGTCAGATGCACATGCTGCCTTCGTTTTCCTTTTCGATGCAGCTTGATGAAACACTCTGTGCAGAATAAGTCCACACAGTCCTCGCACAGAACCTGACAGTTAGGTCAGAAGAAACATCTTACTTGATCTCGAGGGAAAACTGTATTCCGAAAATTATTTTTCAGCACGAAACATTATGTCCCTGCACAAGAAATTCGTGCGGAAGCAAATTATGATTCATGTAGCCCAAGGCCAATTCACTTCTATAACTTGTCAGATCGATCTAACGAAGGAAAAGAAAAATTACACTAGCGTTGTAGTGCTCGCACTCCAGGCACACAAGACCATTGATAATTCGCTTCAAGTGATTGTGCAACTCCGGTCTTGATGCGTGTGTTGAGACGAAACACTGATCGCAATAGAAGAGACCGCATTGGATACCTGAAACAAAAGGTGGTCAGGCTCTTCTCCGTGTTGCTGGTAGATGTTCTTGGTAAATTCGTTTCTTTATCTAAGTGGGCCAAGTGAACTGCCCGTTAGCTAAACTGAAAATATCAGAATAAGATTTCGAGCTATAATTGTTCAAGAGAATTCAGATGGTTAATGTCAATCCATATCATGAAAGTACATTGACATGTCGCAATCAGGTGATCGCAGGCTGCGCACACAAGCTGTTCCACGTCTTGGATAATGTGGCCGCGTCGCTTACCCGTTGCATGTGTAGCGTTGAAGCAGTCCTGGCAAAAGAAATCCTTACACTGCTGACATTTGACTACGGCAGACTTCTCCTCGCACTCTTGACACATAACCTGTGCGGCGGACAATTAGTTTGAGTGTCCGTGTGTGGTAGGAAAGCTAGGTACCAAGGTGCAGGTACTGTTAAATGAAGCTGAAAACAACGAGTTCAAGACACCGTCGATAAGTGGTAGGGAAATGAAAAATTAAATGTACCACTGTGTCTGGCTTTCGGATGACGTCCACTTTCACCTGTTGTTTCCTCATTTTCCTCAAAAACTCAAGTGGCTTCTCAAGATCCTGCAGAATTGTGCCCAAGTTAAACTGCTTCTCCACATAAGCCTCTATTGTCTGCTTTATTACCTGAGAGTATAGGAAACAAGGATGCTTCATCTCAATTCGGTAACGTTCCTCTAGATGGTAATGGAGGTAGTTATATTCTAAGATAAATATGTCATGTCATGGTGCCTCTTTTAAAGCAATGCAAGTCTTTGTATGGGGCCATTCAGTTACGTAGTACCTCCTATGGAGTCCAACCACTCTACTTAGAACAACTATCGAAAATTTCCGATTTGAAGGACTTAAAAGTACCCTTGCCAGGAAATATTCGGTTTTTGTGTCGCATTCTAGAAGTAAGGCGACTTTATCCACCATCTCTGGTGTCATAGGTGGCAAATGACTCGTCACTCGATTGAGAATTTCCGTGATAATGCCACTTAGCCGTGTGCTGTTGCTATCCAGGTCTGCCTGCTGTGATGTTCCCGACATCTTAACGAATGATGCCTGCTTGTGGTACCTGAGCCGCACAAAGAGGGTGTCGAAGAAATTTAATTACAGTGCACAACACACTTACCCACCTGTGGAGATGTAGTTTCCTGTCAAGCATCTTCTATATCTGTGATTGTAATGGAAGAAAGCGGGTTATTCGAAAAACTGAAATAACCGAGTAAAGTTACCTAAGGGGGCTATTCACTTAGCAGTATTCTTGAATATACTTGCTTATCGTAAGCTTTCGAGTAAGCCTAATCAAGATTCGCTCCTAGTAACAGCAGTACAATCCGGCATATTGTTCGAGTAGCGGGTGGAGCTTCTGTAGTCGCTTTGTTCGCACATGATAGTACATGGTTTCTCCATTTTCGTTCGTTAGCTCCCGCCAATCTGTAGGAAGAAACAAGGGATGCAAGAATAAAACCGGTGGAGCACGTCTATCTAGGAAACAAAATTACGTAAAAAAGAATAAACAAAATTCTTGAAAAGTCAGTTCATTGAAAAAAACAAATGAAGTTGCGAGTAGAAGATGACATCCCGCAAGTCGCAAACTAGTCGTACCTCCTCCAATGAGATTGATTATAGCTACGGCAGACGAGCGACATGATCAAGCAGGAATCACATATGTTTATGCTACCCTTTGATGGCAACTCCGCCTTCGCACACTGCTCTGCAATCCACAGGTATTCTGGTTCGTTCACGGCATCTATACCAAGCATCTTGGCCACCCCGACAATGATTTCAGGGCTGACATGCTTCAGCGCCGTCGCGTTATCGTTGTCTTCCATCTTGTCGCGATTGATGTTTCGTCAGGCTAGTACTAGGGGTGGTTCTCCGTTGAAATCAGCCAGTAGATATTTCAAATACACAACTAGTTGTTCTTCGATTTGTCCTGCACTACTTCTTCTCCGTGGTTAGACAGGCGAAAAATTGACGCACTAGTTCTGGTGAGTGGTGTCGTGTCGATCACTGCTGCTAGTCGTGTGAATCACTGGTGTTACAACTAAGTGGGGTCACCTACTGGAGACGGGCACAAACACAAAGTCTTTGCTGCGGTGATCACCCGAAAGAAAACGCGTCGTAGCCGCTAGCAATCGCTTTCGTGCTTCGGAGGAGAGCCTTTTGATGTATCAGGCACTAGTCCTATTAACGATACGGGCTAGTGCTTCTTTCGAAGCTGCGATGTCCTGAGTAGCCGAGCCCTAGTATAACTGTAGCGTTCAGAAAAGATTCTTGTCGTAGCTATCAGCAACGTCGCATCTGCTTCGTTGTACAACACGAAACACTCGTGATGGTGATGCAGTGCAGGTATCAATTCAGCGGTTGTTTATTACTACTTTTTCAGAAGCCAGCTATCGCGCTTCTGCCACGCTACGACGCATCGAGCTGCTACGACCGGCGTCGGACAGTCTCGACCGACAAAACACGCGGCCCAGCCGGCCGCAGCAAAATTTGTACGGGCAACGTACTCCTTACAAGTGCGTCTTTTATAGGGATCCCATTTTTTGATACGTTGTCAAAATCATTTGATGTCACTAGTTTCACATACTTACAGGACCTATCGTTTGGAAATAAAATACTGAAGTTTTTCTTGTCACACAAAAACTAGAAAATCCCACGACAGAATCGATGGAAAGCTCAACGACAATCAAAGGCCCTTCTACCTACCACATAATTCCTCCGGAGACAAACCTGGCCTACCTACGATCGATTCACAATTTTATACCCAGAACGCCCGGTATGACATCAATCTCAGATATTAGCTAACAAAACAAGGAACTATGCAAGTTCGAGCACGACGTCAAAATTCTCGATGATGAATGCAGCTCAAACTGAGTTTCCTGTCTCGAATGTCCTCTGCTCTGCCTCGAATCAATCTAGTCCTCTCTTCTGTCTACTCTCTTCTCTTATCACTCTTTGTCAAGCGACATCAAATATCGATCCCTCGACTAAAATAAAAAGGCCTCTGCGACGCTTCTAGTGCGGCAATTGAACACCTTCGTTAAATAGCTTGGCGGTAAAAATGGCAATCTTGTTCGCTAAAATAAAAAGTGCCGATTGATACCCGACACTGTCGCGCAGTGCTGCTGAAAGACTTATGAATCATCACTTCGCCGGGTTCGGTGTAGATACACGACCAGAAAAATCGTAGATATGAAGACTCGTGTTTGTCAATGAAAGCTTAAACTATGAATTTAGAAGAAGAAGATTTAAGTAGGTACAACATGATTACATCGATATGTTGCCGTGGTGCTCGTGTAGAAAATTTTATCTTTTTCCAAGACAAACTAGTGTCCTCTTATATCAAGTGCGCGTAGTTTGACCACAACGCAATATCAGAAGCGGCCTGTGATGTTTGTCTCTGTGATGTGCGATCACATATTTGTGGTATGTCAGAGTTTCATGTGAACACTAACAGATGCCAAAAGAGCCGGAGTCTCCGTCGAGCGAAAGCTGGACCAGAGCAAACCACTGCATCAGCGACATCTAGTCATGATTGTATCCTATACTGGCAATGATGATCAGCGTGAGTGAATGTGAAGAAGTACAACTACTGGTGTGAAGAAGATGTAGAAGTACTCGTCTGGGTGCTAGTCTGGAATGGGGCTACATCTTGCATCTTTTATGCTTTCCTCACCAGAAAATCTTCAGTCGAATGGGTTGTGGTATCGAACTTTTGGCTTGGGAGCTGCGGGAGCAGGCGCTGGATCCGCGGCTGGTGCAGATGGCATTGATTGTTGTGGCATTTCACCATAACCCGCATCACCCTGCGCGTACGCGTTGTAGCTTCGTTGATCTGGAGTTTCGAAAGAAACGGTTATTTCGCTTCTCATTTATAACGAACGAAACGCACAAAAAAGGCAAAGCTTCTAGTTGTTGTATCATCAAAAATTCTCAATCAGATCATGAATTCGCCAAGTACCTTCAAGTATTTGCTCCTTTAACGGAAAAAGGCTGCAATTCCGCAAGTGCACCTCAATGTAGAGAGTAAGCTCCGATGCGCAAGAGAGGAACGGAAAGTCCCCACCTTGCTTCAATGTGGCCACCTTCGCGTCTGGATACCTACTCTTCAGCTCCTGTCGCACGTGTGCTGTGGTTACACACTGGTCATTTACGTCGATAATAAGAATTTTACCCTCTGACAGAGTTACGTGCCCAATAGTGGCAAGTGTATACGCAAGCGTTATGCGCGACGCTAAATCATAGCCATCTAGCGCAGAGTCGTCCCCGGCGAGTCGCTCCTTCACCCACTCATTAGCATGCATAACTCGCGCATCACCACTAGACGGAAAGTTTTCTAATAACATCGACCTGTAGAATACGGACAGTAAGATGCATTTTTTGATGATGTACAAAAAATATGTAATTTTCATGATTTCCCAATTTATTACTGTTGCTCTGATCACAGTGTTGTTATTTCCTAGATTTAAGTCGAGAAGCAACAATCAAGACAGAACGGAAGGTACATCACGACACTGCATTAATTATACTTAGTAAGGAATAAAAAAATGTACACCTTTCCAAAACAGCAAAACACACACCACAACACACCAAGCACACAACACAACACCAAGCACACAACACAACACCAAGCACACAACACAACACCAAGCACACAACACAACACCAAGCACACAACACAACACAACACCAACACACACAACACAACACCAACACACACAACACAACACCGACACACACAACACCGACACACACAACACCGACACACACAACACCAACACACACAACACCAACACACACAACACCAACACACACAACACCAACACACACAACACCAACACACACAACACCAACACACACAACACAACACCAACACACACAACACAACACCAACACCAACACACACAACACAACACCGACACACACAACACAACACCGCAACACACACAACACCAACAGGACAAGACTACAAGACAAGACTACAGGACAGGAGTACAGCCAGGAGAGGAGTTCAGGACAAGAACACAGTACAAGAATGCGAGACAGGAGTACAAGACAGGACTACGGGACAAGACTACAAGACAGGAGTGCAGCCAGGAGAGGAGTACGGGACAGGAACACAGGACAAGAATACAAGACAGGACTACGGGACAGGAGTACAGGACGGGAGTACAAGACAAGACTGCCAGACAGTCTGGAAACGTCTAGAGAGGTAGCAGAAACCTCGAGCGAAGCCCTAGGGGTCTAGTTAAGTAATGCTACAAAAATATGTCCTCTTACCTCAGCAGTGCAGTTGGGGTAACGTGCACCAGGGACACGAAGCCGGCGGCGGCCTCTGAAAAGCTAGCAGTACTCGTAAAGCTGTTACAGAGAAGCAAGCCACCTACTCTCCGCGGATGCTGGACTGCATAAGCCTGCGCTAGAAAGCCGCCTAAAGAGACACCGAAAATGTACACCTTGTTGGCTTTTACAACGTCAAGAAATCGCTCGAACCCCTCTACCCACTCGTCTACAGAGTAATAAGGAGGATACTGGCAGCTAATACACCGATACCTGTAGTTGTAGAAGTATTGAATCGACGAATTTGTTCGGAGCAACGAATTGCCAATGAACCAACGAAGAATGTTGCATGAGAACAGGATACTACGCAAGCACCGGTTAAGAAATTAATATGTCAAAGAAAATGTTTTCTACCCCTTGCAGCTGAGCGCATCTAGCTGGTAAAAAAAGGTTTCCGCACCGGTCGTTGTTCCTGGGAGAAAAACTATCGGATCGGCCTCAGGTTCCTCCTCACCCCCAAGCTCGTAATACGACCACACTTCGTCCTGCGATTTATGTGGCAGCTGTGCCCGTTTTAACGCGACTGCGGACCGAAACACACCGAAGTCATTCCGGATATCCGACACCGTCTTGAAGGATCCCATCTTTGCAATGGCGAAGGGTATAAACCCGGCCCAAGAAACGGAATCGGCTGTAACTCTTCGTGAGCAACTACGAGAATGCGGAAATGATACTTGGAGGTACAACTCGAAGATTTAGGCCGAGCGCAGCAGGCCTGACAACATACCCGCGGACGCAACTCGGAATAAAACAGCACACGCACGACGGTTTGGGATTTCTATACCGCACAGCAACCACATTCGGCTCAATGTCGTTCCATGTACTTAATGTTCTCATGCGGAGTAAAAGTCAAGAAAACAATGGTTAATATATGTTGATATGAATTTAGTTAATTTGTTACGTGTTGAGCTCTTCACAAAATGATGTCCAGGTCAGTCAATGTGACACGTTGTGAAGTCGCCACATTTACATGTTTGATCCTTAAGCAAGTATAGTGCAATATTCAAGAGAACAGGCTTAAACCGCCGCCAAAGCCAACGGGTCGACGCCAAACAGAATACAACAAAACTCCTACTGCGTGTTAGTTTATCGCTATGCCCGTGACCCCTGCTACTAGGTAAGGCGCGCAGCTACTTTTTGGTGATTTGTAAGTTTTGATCATATCAGCTTCACCCCGCATGTCCGTTACCAAGATTTCAATCAAAAAAGACACTCTCAAAAGCCGATGTAGACCTGCTTCAATTGATGTGATCATCACAGAGACTATAAGCGATATCAGATAAGGCGGAAAACAGGAGTCTATGATTCTTATGTTGCGAACTAATTCATGTTGAGGGATTGTCGGGTTTCTTGTATGCATCATCTTCAAGTACTAATCGATAGTAGTCGATCAACCTTCTCTTATCATCTCGTCTTCACTCTTCAAATCGCAGTAAGTCTCGTCGGATCCTTGCCTTGGAGTATGCAGTAGAATTACAGATTCGGAACCACAATTATGCAGAGATCGTCACGATCCTCATTCACCGAGATCCGAAAATTTCAAGGATTATTTACTTGTGTGATATGTAGCATCCTCCGGCAGCACTCTCTAGGTGAAAATAAATGTCCATCGAAGATAATGTGTCGACCTAGTCTTTTGTGTAGCGAAACGAACTACCCACTAAGAATGCGAGTCTTGAAGGTACTGTGCGTTGCACCATTTGGATTTTTGCTTGGCCTCAGCGTCTACTTTATTTTCTCGAGAAAACATACAACAAGTATTTCTAATTCAGTCTTTTGCCCCACCACGAAGCAATTAAAAATGACAACACCTCCATAAAGCAGGAGTAGAATCGTATGTTTTATCCTTGGCGCAATTCAGCAATCAATGCGGGGTCTAGATTTCTAGTTGCTTGCGGTAAATCAGCCGGGATCACACAAACTTTTCTTGTTTCAGGCTGTGGTGTGGACGCTGTGCTAGTACTCGTCGCAGATGGTGACCCTACCTCTGGCTTTTGCTCTTTTCCACCATCTTCGTTTACTATTGCTTCTGTACTTGTACTAGTGCAAGAACTTCTATCTACGCCCTCTTGTTCGTGGGCATCTTGTTCGAAGTCCTCATCTCCACCAAACGCGGCATCGTCGAATAATAGAGGATCCTCACTATCGACTGGAATAAGCAAGTCGTCGTCAGTCCAGAAGGGATTACTTCGCCCAAATCGGAGTTCCCTACTTTCCCCCTGTAGCAGGGCATTTGCTGCCTCTGGCCCCATGCGCCGCAAGTACCCGATTAAACGAATGTGGCAATAGCTGTTTTGTAAAAGTAAACAGAGAAATTCAATGAAAGGAATCATTCTGAAGCTGTAGAGTACGCACAACTATCAAGTTAGTAACACAAGGTGGCTCGAAGCACACAAAGAGGAGTTACACTTTCATTCTTTTCTACCACTCAAACAAACGCATCAAAATTTCATCAGTAGTACATATCCCACTCCGCACGACCGTACACTTCGCGTATATCTTGTAGGTTAAAATTGTGTGCTTTTTCCATGTGCGCCCAGCATAAAGCAGCGCTATCGAGCCAAACGTCCGAAAATAAGTCCTGACATCTGCCAGAAGCGTCTACACTGCCTGCAAGTGAGGAGCCTCCGTCCTCCTCGTCGAAATTCTCTAGTCTGTCAAACTCCTCGTGATGAGAGCAAACTTCTGAAGCGCTATCGCTGTCGCTGTCGGCTTCCACGATCCTATCAGGATCTAAGGCGCCCATCCCGCGCTGTCTCTCTGTGCACTCCTGCAGCAGACCTTTCTTGCCAGCACCGCCCATTTTTCTCGTTATTTTGAGAATTTCCTCAATTACGCGAAGAGCAACTGATGTAGTTATGTAACTGGACACAATCAGTGACCAATATGCAAACAAAGCGAAAAATATATATGCTGGTATGGGTCTTTTAGATTTAGATTTAGCGACGGGTAATTTAGATTTAGATTTAGATTTAGCGGTGTGCATGCCGGCGACGGGTGGAGTCCTGCGCATGAAGCACCTATGCTACTAGGTAATTAAAATCTACTGTCGTTGGTATATCATGAATGAACAGATAATTCATGAGAGACCAGATAAACCAAGAGATCCATACATGAGATCAGGTTTGATGCACGACAATTATGCCTTGCGGCTTGCAGAGATCCGAAGCTGACCGGAGTAACCAAAGACCCATCTTGATCTCTTTTCCTCGTAATGATCTTCTTTCATTCTGTGCGATGATCTAATCTAATTTGATCTAATGATCTTGGTATAGATTGCTAGAGCAACTAGCAGGTTTTTGATCATTTCTGGATCCGGGCGAGATCTCGTCTTCGCATAACTAAGAGGGTCAAAGTCATTTAGTAGAGCCTTGAGCACCATCTCCTCGGTGTCCCAGATAGTGCTACTAGCCTACTCGCGAGACAAAATGGATCCAGCATTGACCTCTTAACTACATTACCCATCGCCTTTCTGCCTTGCCGTGGCCCACGACAGCACCTCGCGCGAAAAACTACTCGTCGGTTCTTTCAAAAATTGAAGGCTTGAGACTGAGAGCTCATTGAAATGATTGGTAGTTCACAAATCATGGTTCAACGAAAAAGGCATCATTTTTCACATCGAAGTGATTTTCTAACGCTGTTTCGCAAAATTCTCCGTCTTCTTTGATGGCTTTTATGAGAAGCGGAAAGTTTCCTTGGAAATCGATTTCGCCCCGCACATACCCGCACAGTACAAGACGCAACTCCGCACCGTAGAACTCGACTTCGCCGAAGTCGTGCAGTATCCATGGCTCAATTACCTTCTGTTTAACGTCCTTGTACGTGGGATTCCAGCCGATGCTGACAGCCGCTTTGAGCACGTCTCTCGTCACAGGTACTTTTGCCTCACCGTCAGCAGCGCTGGCATCTCCTGTTGCTGGCACCTCCGTTTCGGGTATACTGCCTGTCGCTGCCGAACTCGAGCTCCTGTTACTGGCGAAGCCGCGCACCTGAAATTTTTGTCGCTGGGTGTCAAAAGTAAGTTCTACTATGCTTTTCGAAAATGAAACGAGGGCTAGTACACGACCGACACAATTTTGCTTATAGTACGGAGTTGTATAGGTGTCTTACCTGGCACCACCCGTAGTATATGCCAGGCTCATGCGTGTCCATAAATTCAAGCATTTTCTTCTCCGCCGGAGGCAAAGATTCTCGGTCTTCGGTAGCTGCGTCCCACCGTATGCGCATATTTGCAGTCGGAAATCCGAGACTCTTTGACCCACGTTGAAACCCTTTCACTACAGTCGCCTGAAGTCGTTGCAAGCCCGATGATAAGGGCGTCAGAGACCTAGTTACCTCTATGGCTGCGCTCGCCATTTTCTTTTGGTTCACAAGACTGATAGAAGAAAGAATTCTAAAAAGTAAAAGCAGCTCATGCAACCAATGAACCAATACCAAAAACCTGCTCCAACATATAACAAAAACCGCCGATAAATTATAGATCAAATTGAAACTACGTACGACGTAACAAAGTACTCATGTGAAAATACCCTGCTTTTCTTTGTAGCTCGAAGCGACTAAGGGCACATCACCTCTTCTTACTCACGAGAAAAGATGGAATACAAAGAAAGAGCACATAAAGAAGAGTCACCATTTTTTAATGCATCCGAATGACCTGACTCATTCAAACTCATTGTAATTAAAATCTGCATGAAAAGCTAGTAGCATACTTTACTTGTGCGACCAGTATCCACGTCTCTCTCTATAGGTGTGTACACTGCGGCTAAATAGCATGCTCTTCCATATCATTTCAATGGGCAGACTGACTGAAACCGATTGGCGAATTGGAAAGTGGTGTCAACACGTACTTAGCCCTGTAGGAACCGATAAAACTAGCTTCGAACAGCCACCCATACAAGGACTCAAGTGACCCCTCCTCCGGGACGGGACGTTTTTGCTGGTGGCGAAGTTCCTGGTGTGCTTCGGGAGTGTGACATTTGCGAGCCTCTTAGTCACGTTGAAGCTGTGTTCTTGCACGGTTGGGTGACAAGATTGCAGATGCCTGTAGTGTTGTCTTGCAAAAGGGAAAAGTGTTGTTCTTAGAAGAGCTGTTGGAGCTGCTACCAGCAGTCGCTACAATCACATCCTATTTTCGCAAAAGCGAAACCTAAACCCGAGGCTTTCAGGACCACCCTTGCTGTGTGTCGGACGTTTCGTACAGTAAAGAAGCTTGGTTCCTCGATCACAGCTTCGCAAAAAACCGAGTCGTCACCGTCACCAAATGACCGCTTTTTCTTTATCCTCCTATTCTCCACCTTCGGCTCCGCCGATGTTTCAGCACTGGCACTAGCGCTTGAGGCAGAAGCTTCTCCTTGTTTTCCTTTGGCGGAAGGAGCACTAGAAGTGGACGCCGATACTGCGCTTCTAGGTAATTGTAGTTCGCCTTTCTCTGCTCCTAAATCTATTTGCAGCTGCTCATCTCGCTGCGACCCAGGAAGCGCTGCCGCTGCTGATTCGTCTGCATATTCCATGTTCTTGTCACAAGAATAGGAACACAAAACCAAATTAATGTCTTAGTCGAGGAGATCACACAAGCCAGACTTTACTTGATGTCAAAAACAAAGTTACAAACACTAACTCAAAAGATGACCTGTGGAATATTTGCACGAGAGAGAGAAAATCTCGACCTGTCGTGGGAGCTACGAAAAACAAAAAATATTGTACTTGCCTCTTGAGAATTTGATTCCACACCTTGCCATCTGTTGAGCCATCGCATATTTGCTTTCTGAAAAAATCTTGATCCAACAACCAAATGATCGACAAAACGTCGGAACAACTTTATTTACGGAAGTATTTACAGCACTCTCTCGCAGCCTCGTGGAACACGAATCTGATAACTCCTTGACGAGATAAGACGAGAAGGTCTCCCCTCCTCGCTCCACACGTAGCAGACAAAATGTATCGAGCTATACTCTTAATTGGCTCTGTGTTGCGCGTGTACGAACTGGTGTATCGATATCATGCAAAATGTAAACCAAAATCAATGAGGCACACCCTCGTAGAAATTGAAAGTTCTAATTAGGATTCGATGCATTTGTGCTGTTCCTGCACAGCCTAAGTAGCAAAGGGGGTAGCAGTCCAAATTATAATGTAACAAGTCAACACAACGCTGGTATTACACGAGTGTTTCTTTAGAAATGATCATTGAAGTTGAGTCGACAGACCAGATAGGGGTACTCGGCGCAATTAGGTGCTTGAAGTAAATCCAGTAGCTCCTGTGTATTCTCTGATACTTCCTGGTCTAGCGCCTCGAGATCTTGGGATAGCAGACCCTCGCCATCCTCCTCGAAGAACAGCCTACCCGCTTCCTCCTGCAACTCTTCGAAAGTGGCCACGAGAGCAAGAAACTTATTCAGGCACGCCAAAATCGGGGCAGCAGAGGGAACCTATTATTTTTTACTATTATATATTTTGGAGTTCAAAGGATTAGAAACGCGAAGACGACGCCGAGAGAAACAGATTTATTGATTTCCATGAGAGGTACATCACTAGCAAAGGCGCTGATCATCCACGAAAGAATAAGCCAGTACTAGTCGAAGAGGAAGTACCAGGAAGGTGAATTCCTGCAAGTGCTGAAGGTATTTGGCATGCTCAGCTAAAAGCTCGTCGAGGTTCTTTGCCTGGTGAAAGCCTTGCTCCAGACGGGCATGTGCGGTCTCAAGGACTTCGTACATCACATAAGATTGAATATTTTCTACAACGTGGGCTAAAAGCATACGAATCGAGTCCATCTGCCTCGAGATGTACCCTTCCTCGCCGGTCGCGTTTTTGTGCCTGGGTATATAATGGAGGCGCGAATGCGATGAATCCATCCTTTTGGGTCTCAAATGGTATCCTTTCATATTCAAGAGTTGTTCAGACCACGCTTTGGAAGTTTGAGGTTGAGGATCAGATGAAAAATTTGATAAAAATCAGCTATGCAGATAATATTATACCTTAGCAGAATCTGACTTTTCCAACATTCCTTCAAAGAGAAATTTGCCCGACGTAGTCGCCACAAAAAGCAAGAGATTTTCCGCAAAAGTGGCATCGTCCGATCGCTTGTGAATACGACATGGAGTGGTGACGTCACTGCATAGTCTAGGGAGAATATGTCCCAGCCGATTTCGCCATGAGAAGCGTAGCCCAGCAAGACGTCCAAGCGATCGAGATACTCCGACTCGTGGAATTGCGCATTGCTCCGCTGTATCGCCTGGTCCACAATGCTGCGAATATTGTGCCGAAAAACCTCTTTCCTCGCGTCTTTTCGGAGGTCGCGGTCTGCCAATTCCAGAAAGCCCTGTGATTTTTTCTTTTCTATGCGGCCTAGTTGATGGTGGTTACTACTTGTGCCTATGAGATCTTCGATCATTCGGAGACGAAAATCTAACAGAAACGGTGCAAAAAAACTTGCTAAAATTCAGCAACTTCTTTTTTCCTCGCGAGTTAACTAAATACCTCGATGAAGTCTCCCTGCGCGAGCAGAAGGTACCGCTTTATCGCTACGCAGTGATTGAGCAAGTGGTACTTGTTGAGAAGCAAATCCACTAGCCGTTTGTTTGTGTGTGCAGATTGCTGCCGAACGAAGGGCTGCAACTCCTCCCATCCCTTGGCGTGAAACACCGGCAGACCGACCCAGTCGGACTCTTCACAGCAAAGGTGAATGAAATTCACGCTTTTTCCAGTGGTCAGGATCGTTTGCGCCATGTCTAAGTCGAGATAGCAAGGGACCATGTCGGGATTCAAACTGTACATGCTGTCCCAGAGATCTTCGATCCTTACATCCATGTCCGCAACCACGAAAAACTCCCCCTGCGGATCCTGCAACTTTCCCTCTGTCATCCACGCCTTTATCATTTCGTACATCGGACGCTGAAATCAGAATTGAATATACATGCACGAGGCCGTCTTTGGTGTAAACATATCAGCCCGCCAAAACTTAAACTCCAAACACAAGCGACAAGAAATCCGCGTTCATCTTTTAACAATAAATCTATTTCACGGGTAAAATCTGGAATATCTTTCCATCCCGTAGATTACCTGCGTGTCCTGCAGCAGCTTTTCGACGATTGGGCGAAGCGCTGGATCTCCGGTTTTTGAGGCCATGTAGAGAGCGCTCAGCAGAGGCCCCCCTTTTTGGTGCGCCGCCGCCACACCGCAGAGACGACACAGCATTTTGATTTTGTTTCCAGGCTGACGAAACCAGATGCAAAGCCTCCGAAGCGTGAGATCGCCGCTGTGCACCTCCGTCTCGAAAATCGCAATCCACTTGAAATAGTCGAGCAGCAATTGCCGGACACAATGTCTGAAAGCCTGAAAAAGCAAGGACTCGTTCTCCATCCCTAGCAACACATCTAGCTGCCGGTATGCGGTTCCGATCTCGAGCAGTTCCGCAACCAGAGTTTGCGCGCCTTTCGCGATGCTAACATCAGGTTTCAGAAAGAAGCGCACGACAGATGAGTCCCACTCAACTGCGTCCGACTCGACGCCTTGCAAGGCAAACAGGCAATCCTTGATTATGTCGTGCTCACTGTGACCACAGTAAACCAAGTCGCTACATTAGTGAAGGGAACACATTCCTCTATTTCAAAAGAATCCATCTTCTTGCAATGCACCTCTGTGTTCTTCTTGCCTCCTCTCCATAAGTGGTATTTCGAGTACAACATGATCACATCCTTGGTAATTTCCACGAAGTGCAAGCGCAGATAAGATGGCCTTCACGAATCTAGAGACCTTAACTGTAACCTCCGCTTGCGTCCATACCCCTCGTTCGATGATTTGCCTGTGCACCACCTCCTGCATTCGTCGGATCCTCCACATTGGTTCCTGGCCGCGTGCTACCCAAATGCGAACTGCTGAGGCCGAACATTCTCGCAGCTGCACTAGAGGATGCTGTTGCTGACCTCGACGAAGGTGCGCTTCGTCCACCTTCGTAACCTTGGTGGTTTGGTGGATCGCCTCGTAGCAAGTGCAGCAATTCCATCACGGGTAGGTGCGCAGTTCGAGTACCGAGACCCTTACGCCGCAGTGCCTGAAACCTCAAGCTACGAGACACGATGTCACTGCGGTCGTCAGTCCCTCCTTGGCCGTTGCGTCCACCTCCTCCAGGATCGTCGTACCCCAAGAGCGTCTGCGATATCGCATCGCAAATTTCTCTTTCAGAGCTCAGTTGCGTGTCGAACGAGCGCAGCGAAAGCAGCCGATAGGCAAGGCGCATATTGCCGGGTGTATTTAGGCCATCACCCACTTTGCGGCAAAGCCGCTCTAGCAATGTGCGCATCATGGCACTGTGTCCCGGACCAGAGGACGATGTAGCCCGCGCATAACCTCGCAACTCTTCACCAAACGCCATTTTTTGTGAGAGGGTCGCAAAACTTCAGGTGCTTATTCTTGAGACTTACCCAAATTCGCAACAAGTCAGAAACACCCAAGATCAAGAAAACAAGATAATTAGACGATCACAAATTAATTGCAATACCAACATCGGTGAAGAAATATTGATTGTTCGGGGAATATGTCTTCAAACACGCTCTTTTCGTCAAAATCGCCACGAGAATTAGCAGTATACACCTTCTGGGAGCGGAATTTCGCGGAGATCCATGAAACGCATCACCGTTATATGCAACACCGATCATCGAGCGTAAGTAGTTACTTTATTTTGTGAACACTTTTTGAATATGTGGCTTGCTTCACGTGTGCCGCTATCCTTCAGAATGACTTTTCTGGGCGGCGCAGTTGTCCCAAAACATGCCCGATGAAATTCCAAAGCTACGACGTGATGTAAGTCGGAAATGTATGAAATCAAACCATTGGGCAACAAACCAGAATAATTATCTTTGCTAGCTTAGTAGCGTAAAGTTAAAGTTTCCGTTTCCTGTATACGTGTTTCCGTGAGGGCGTGTTTCCAGATAAAGATGCGCCGAAGCAGTGTGATAGAAAGAAAAGACTGCGTCGGTTCTCTAGTCTGCGGACGACAATTTCCGTGTTACTTTTTATCGCGGGTAGTCATGATTTCAGATTCTCATCTACAACCAGTTATTGGTTTGCCATCTCATCGTCCTGACGAAAGATCCACCCTTGGTGGACCGCATATCCGATTCCGATGCAAAGGCCCAAGAGAAGCCAAGGATTGCCTTCAATGCGATCGTTGTGCGGATAGTACACAGGACGGCCACCGGCACCGTAGTAGCGGTGTCGTGGATGTCGGTTGTATCCGTGACCCTGAGCTTTGCCAGCTGTTGACGTCTGAGATTGCGCGGCCTCACTGGCAGACTTGCTGGAGCGGAAGTCAGTTTCTGAAGGAGTAAGTTTGTTTTCATCTGCTCTTTGCTCTGCACTTATATTTTCCCCGAAATACTTATCAGCAATACTATCTCTATCAAAATTCTGTGTTCCAGCTTTCACAGCAGGGTCGGTCGATTTCGCCGTGCTCTCGTTTTCAATTATTTTTAAGGATGATGAGCTTCCTTCTTTTCGTTGGTCTGCATTCGAATCCGTTTTCAAAATGCCTCGGGAGAGGTATTCTGCTGCGCTGCTCCCCACAATGCTATCGTCATGATCGACAACCTTAATCCCGCTTCCTGCAGATGCGTCGATACCATTCTCGGATCCCGGCTTTTTGACATCACGTGCAGTTTCTGCTAGTATTTGTTCATTTTCTGCCATTAGTGCCGCTAAATGCGCATGCGCATCTAGCGCGTCGCGTTGCCTGGCGGCTACCGCATCGTTAAATCGCACTTTCTTGCCAACGTTGCGTGGACTCTCAACTTCTTGGTTGTCTACACCTCGCCGCGGCTCGTCAATACCATCAAGTACACTCGTTGCGTCCTGTAGTTCACTTGTTCTTCTCCTAGGCTCAGAACCACGCTCCCCGCCACCTACATGAGCCCCTCTACTTCTTCTCTCACGCTCGGCGCCTTTTTGGCCCTCTCCAAGGCGTGCCATTGCCTCGCTATAGTCCATGGCGCAAGCAGCCTGATCGATTCTCTCCGCCTCGCTGGCCAAAACGCCAGCGGACTCGTCATCATCTTCTTCAGGGATTATGTGAGTAGGTAATGCTCCTCGTCGCGCGCCGCCGAAGTGCTTCCCGGTTCCACTTCCAACTACATTTGTTCTGTCTCTCCTGTCAAATCTACTATTAGAACTAGTACTAGTACTTCTGGAAGTCGTCGCAGAAGGCGAGGAGATCAAACTCGCGAGTGACTCGCTAAGACCCGTCGCGGGAACGCCAAACTGCACATAGTAGACCGCAGACGTCGCAATGAGTACGAGGTAAGCAAACACGCAAACTGCGTAGAGCGATGAAAAAGACCTAGAACCACTAGCGATTGTTTCAGTGATCGCACGTTTTGACGCAGTTCTTGTGGATGAAGTGACACTAAGAGCATCCATACTCTCACTTTCTTGCTTCCCACTCTGCTGCCGTCTAGCTGCTGCGCACCGCGCTCGCATGACACAGTAAGGCCGCCAGACTAACTCTGGCGCTAACCGCCCAACGGAAATGAAGTACGCCACCCACAGCAGGTAAAGCCAGTGTACCACTTGTAGTGAGTGGAGGGTCGCGAAAACACACAAAAGCAAAACGGAAAGCCGTGTCTCTGTACCACTGTATATCGGAATAAAACCTGAGATGGTTGTAAGAGGTCAACATTGGTAAAAAGTTCACAAATTCCAAGTTTCTGGGAGCCCCTGTAAAACAAAACCAAACATCGTAGAAGGCTATTGACAATCATAAAGGCATCGCATACGAATGAGCATAATATTCCGTAAGAAGTGCAAGAGACCAACGTGATAGCAGCTACCTGCCCCAGCGCGCAACCGCGCAACGTCGCTCCGCTGTGGCCCCAGCTGTCGCCGCGTAGCAAGCCTTGCAAGCACTAAGCCGCTAGGATCGCAAAACCACCTCGAACGCAAAACGCACGCGCCTCGCCCCTCGCTCTCAGGCTGTAGCATGTGCCGAAGCGGCAACGGCATAAACCCGGCGACTCCACTCATGAGCATTCGTTTTGTCTCCAGCGCTGAGTCTGCATACGACGAGTAGCCTGGTTTAGCAGTGCGGCTTCGAGTGCCCAAGGCCATGTCTAAGCTCGACGACAGCGCCGCAGCGCGCAATTCCTCATCGGCAGTGCAGTGTTCAAGTGATAGACACCGCACACCGGAACGATCCACGAAGAGCCAAACGCGATCTGAAGGCGCAGCTTTTCTGACACGACCGAAAGAACTCTCATAATGCTGTGGTTGATTTCCATCGTCGAGGCACAAAGTCGAGTCCAGCAACCACTGCAAGTCCTGTCCTGCGCTTGTCCCCACTGAATCAACGTGGTGCTGGTGACTGGTCGTAGTACTAAAGCTCCTGCTGAGGTTTCTGGGGGTTTGTTGGTCAGTGCGCTGTGTGCTGGTGGTGCGGGACAGTAATACAGCCGGAGAATGAGAGGAAGCAAACGAAAAAACCTTCTCTAAGCGATCGCGCTGGCGTGTAACCGAAGAATAGTCTTTTCCATTTAAAGGTGAGCGCTCACTCGATGCTGTCCTCGACAACTGATCCCACGTAGATCTATTAATATCTGGAGTGTCTTTCGAATGCGGCGGCGTCGAAGGCGGCCCTCCGCGTAGTCCTGAGCCTTCCTGGAAAAGGAATTCCGCAACAGAATCTTTTGATGCGTAGCGGTCTCGGCCCCCCGATCCATACACGGACGCATACCTATTAGAGGTCCCGAAATTGCACAAATCCACTTTTGCCGGCGGCCCTGCGGTCAATCCCAAGTGCTGTTTTGGCGCTGTTCTTGAGCCAGCACCCTTGGAGACAGTCGCGGTAAGCATTGGCCTGTCGTGGACTAAAGTCCCTGGCGTCGCTTCGTGCCCCGAAAGGGGCAGAGCATGCTGTGCTTCGGCAGGAAACGATAGCGCTGTGTGCAGCTGGCAACTGAGGCAATATGGCCTGAGCTTCTCTTGACAAAAGAAGCGAATCTCAAGATCCAGCCGTCGGCGCTCCAAGACATCGGCAGCGTTGCTCCCGGACGCGAGAGCATGTAACACTTGCGCCGATAGTGGCGGCAGCATGAGCTTCCGTGCGGGGCTTTGTAGGGACTCGAGACGCCGCATCTCCAAACGCAGTGGCCCACGCCGGTAACGTGAGCACCCGACCGGTAAGAAAACGAAGTTTGCCTGTGCCCGCGCGGCTCTAGTTGCGTAGGTATCTATACGTCTCACGCTGCTCTTTGTTGTAGACTCCATGTTGCTGTTGTAACCGACACCGTTTTCTCGGCCGTCTTCAGTGGACGCAACAACGCGATTATGCAGAGAATCTATCAGGTGCCTGGATGAGCTACTAGTTGAGGCCTTCAAGCTTCCTGTTTCTTGACGTGCTACCGTATACTGTGAGCCAACCTCGTTTGAAGCTTGATAGCGGATTCCGGACGAGTCCGGTTGAGGAAGTGGAATGCCCCGGGCCGCTTTCACTATGGATTTATTGAATAGGACATGCTCACTTCATTTTCAAGATAAGCAAAATTAGAGCAGTAGTCTTCGAACCCAGGACCCGTCATTCTCATCGATCAATACACCTTTTTTTCATTTGAAAGAAAGACTCGGACGTACCTTGAGAGCGCGCGGGGTGCGGAAGCAGCATGTCCGTTGAATCTGTTACAGAGCAATTGAGCGAATCCGCTTCGTCTGTTCGAAGTGATAGACTGTGTTGGAAGTCGACTACTGCGCTGCCGAACGCTCGATCGCCAACCCGGTACCCGCTTAGTCCCGTAGTAGGTGTGCCAACGCTGACTGGCGTGTTTGCGTGTGACGAAAAGTATGGATTCAAGTGTTGACCCGGAGCCATTGGTGAAGCCACCTCGCAGCCGTAGCCTTGCACGAGGCAGCCGACGGTCTCGCCAAACAGAGCTTGCTTTTTTCTCTCTAATCTCGAGGCCGCAGATGAAAACCCAGAAGATTCTGCCTGTCCGAAAGAACCCCCGAACAAAGCATTACTAGACATACGAGCAGAAGAAAACTGCGTCCTCTGTGCTCGCGATTGATCGGCAAAGAAGCGGGATGGCATTCTATCAGAAGAAGCGTCGAGCACAGGTGGCATCACCGAAGTCCGACTACCATCCGCGACTTGCGCAAGCCTTTCCTTCACATTCATGTAAAACTGTCTTTCGCGAGCGCTTGGAACAAATGTGGGTGCGTTGAAACCATTTTGCGCCTGTGACGAAGAAGCAAAGCCATTCGCTTTATGCTGCCCTGCACCCTCCTCCTTCTCAAAGAGCACCAAACCCCTACTCCCACTGTTATCGTCGTAATCAGAGGCATTACGAGTTGCGTGTTCCTTGCCGAGTAAAGTCCTAGTACCCACGTCATCCTGGTGTCTCGATGCACCTCCTGCACCATGCTCCCCGTCCGGCAGCGTGGATACATCGTCACATATTTCTTCATTCGCTGCATTCAGTGTAAGCGCGCCAGTGCGCGCGTCTCGTTCGAAGAGGGCTGCTTCTACGCGAAACGCCGTGAAAAAGGAAGGAACGACTAGGTCGATCTCTGATACGCGGTCCCATTGGTGCCAGTAGTCATAAAAGCCAGCGGTCCACTCATCCCAGAACGAAAATTTCAAACCAAGAACTAGACCAGTGCTGCTCGGTTCGGCGTAACGCCGGCATGCGTCCAACTGCATTCTAGATCAGATTAGCCCATCAAAAAGATATTTCTTGTGTATAGCATATTCATAGTGCAATGTGACGTTGGAACAACATTTATCAAAACATCCGTTCAAAAAACACAGCAGGCTTTGACGTCAGCAGATCTGGGAAGCGTGCGCGCAGAGATCATGACCTCCCTTTCTATCTGTCCCTACATCAAAATCGGCGAGGCTTGAAAACAAAGTATCGGCTTATCCTTACAGGTGGATCTTCTATGTCATCAAAAGTGTGCTCGTCCTCTCACCAAATTGTTCTCCGGTAATCAAATAGTCGACTGTCATTCAGCACAATTAAACTGTGTCGCGCTGATGTCAAAATAAGATAAAAGTGAACATCTTGTTCTTGACGACCGGTCTGATTAAGGCACTGGCCTAGCATCTGCTGCTGTTCGTATGCCCAAGAAGAAAAACACGCGTCTGAATTTGAGATCCCGTTTAGAAAAAGTTCAAGTTGTGCATTCACGAGAGACCGCTGCCGCGTCATTGCAAAATTGTGAATTAGGGCAAGAGCAGCACCAGCCTAGAAATGCGCGAACTGTCGCTGCAGCATGCCGCATGACCTGCGACAAAGAAGGTCCGTTTCCCGCCTCACTCATTGCAATATCCTCGCGCCCATCAAGCAGAAAATTAAATGTTGCAGACTCCGCAATCATTTGCTACGCATCAGCATCGCGCCGTGTCATCTTCTCCCTTATACAATTCCTCAGAAGCTCATAGTCGCAGGCGAAGACGCTTGTCGTGGTCTTCGCAGAGGTGGTTCTGCGTCAGGAGAGTTCTGTTCCTCTATCTCCTCATCGACTGGAGATACCCAACTCGGAACGGCAGGAGCGGACCGCCTGTCTCGCTCCGCACGCGGATCTCCCGCCGACGCACCAAATTTTCCTGTACAGACATGAAAACCATTTATTTAAGGCACAATCTTCTGAATGGTGTGCTACAAATTTCAATTTGAATTTTCAGGATCGAAAACAGTGTCGTGAATTACCTTCGAAATTCCAGCGCAAAAGGGGAGACATGTGTTCAAGATTCGCTGCAGGCTGAGAAGCGCGTCCCACTGGCGTTCTATTTTCAGGTGACCGCCCCACGCCACGCTGACTAGGTTGTAAAAAGCCCTGGTTGAAAACGGAAAGTCTAGTTTGCAGGGTAACTATTCACAAGTCAAAAACGGGATGAAGAAAAATTCTAATTTTTCACACATCACGACAATACTGGTCTGCTCGCGTTGCCTTCTGCACTTTGTCGCGTAGCAAATCTATTGCTCGCACTTCGCGGTCCGGAGCTGAAGACCCGACTTGCTAGGTTGTTACCCGCCGACGCACCGCTCGGTGTCTGCACAATACTCACAGGACTTTCAGCTACTCTCGCAGCTGGACTCCCGCCAATCGGTGCCAGTAGGAAGGATGCTGCTGGCTGCTGCATCCTGAGCAAATTGTTACCGGTCGTTGCTGCGTTGCCGACAAGCCCTGTTTTACTTGGTATCCTCGCCTGTGGATGCTTGTCTCCTCCACCGAGGAACATAGATGTTGAGCTGCAGCTGGTGTGAATTTTTACATCTGCTGTAGCAGCTGCCTGCGGGAAAGCACTGGAGCTGCTACTCGAACTTGGTCCTGTAGTACCCGCAACCCGATATTGCGATGGCTGAGATGCAAATTGAGACGGCTGAGATGCGCTGCTCTGGCTCTCAAATAGCGGCGGTGCCTGCAGCGGACTATCTGAAGGAGATGACGAGGCGCCGGCAGCACGTTCGATGCGCTCGTTGAAACTGTTGTTTGCCTTGTTACCGCTCGAATGCCCAGGCCATCGCATTTTCATCAGTTCCGGGGTCGGAATCTATCAGAAAAAGTGATGTATGATACACAGAGGTTCATTTTAGAAAAACCTAGGAAAACAACTTAAGAACTAATAAAAGCTTACGCACCTAGCTGCATAGGAGCAACAAAACTTACGGTGAGTATTTCTACGTGCACAATTTCTGACGCAAGACAAAGATTCTGGCCAATCATGCACCTCCAAAGAAACTGATTATTCTCTATTTTGATGTACCATACATGCCTGCCACTGTGGTGATTCTATTTTCTGCATCATCAGACCGCTAACAGGACGTTGATTCGCGTTGCCAAAACCTATGTTCCGAAAGGGACTTGGCGTAAAGCTCATTCGAGTCCCTGCGCCCATTTTGTCCAGTTCTGAAGCCCCTGAGTTCCCGTTCGCTGCGACTCCGGTCTCTGTGACACCGCCAACCTGCACTTGCCCACTCTGGGGTTCGGATTCTTGGACCTGCACGTTATTATTGAGAGTCGTATTCGACGATGTTGCGCCACCGCTGGTGGTTGCGGCTCCTATGGCGTCGTTGTAAACTGGCAGACCTAGCGGCGCGACCACCGCGTTCTCCTGAGCTGTGTGTTGAGAGGTGGGACAAAACTGCTGCTTCTGCTCACCCGTCGAGGAGGAGCTTGAGGAGGAAGAGGAGCCGACAACTGGACGAGGATACGGGGACGGACCACTCTGAACAACAGGGGAAGCTTGAGAAAGTCGTAAACCGGACGACCGGGATTCGCGATTCTTGGCAATTTCCTGCGGTGCCGACAGCTCTGCACTTGCCGCAGCTCTCAACTCGTTACTGAATCTTCGTTTCATCGTCGCGCATTTTGCGCCCCATTAATCGCAACACCTCCGTTGCTCTTTTGTGCGCGAAAAGCTTCCTTCAACTTTCTGCTTTCAAGATTCAATAGATTATGCGATATAAAAATACGATTTCAACATTCAATATTTTCTTACACAAAGTAGATAATTTACATTATAGTTTCACAAAGAACGGGAATGCAGGGATCGATGCCAGCCGCGGATTGCGCTTACAAAAAACTTGCTAGGAACAAACCCTTTGGAGATCGCTGGTTAGCAATGAATATATCTAAGGCCACTGAGTTCCGAAAATAGCCATTAAAACAGGAAGATGGGGATTGCACGTGCTTTTCTTTAAAGACGATCAGAAACACAACTTTCATCGTTGCGCAAAAACTGACAGTGCAGAATGAGGCATCGTGGAATCATCTAACAAGTGGTGCTGCTTATTACTACGTAAGCTTACACGTCATGCCTTTTGATGATCCCCCGTGCAAGTGCTTTTGGCTGTATAATCGCTCGTTGTTCATATACCGATCAGGCCGGAGAGCCGAATACAATTTTCCATTTTCTACTAGCTCAAAGCCATAATAACTAGTCTTTATATACTAGTACATCTGGTACCTTTCAATGACAGTGTAATTTTGATGGAAACTCTTTCAATATGCAAAGACAAATTGACGAGGTTTTTTAGAAGGTGACCGATTGTTGGACCGAGAAGGCCCTTCTAACTGCAGTGCATGGTACCAACCCAAACAGCAGTATCGAACACCCCGGTTCTTCTCGTCAAAGGCGGAGGCAGTGGTTGCTCTTCGCGTTAGACGCCAGAACGCATTGTCGTGTTGCGCGAGGACATGGAGAATCCAAAACTGTTCAAGATCAATAAAAAATCCAGAAGTGAGGAAAGCCCCGACAGCAGAGAGCTCTAGCGTAGACATGTTATAAATCAATAAGCGGGTGGACATATTGTTGGAGTTGGGGTCTGAAAAAGGACGAATTTTGAGACGTGCGTGAGCATCCCCTGGAGCAGATCAACGCTTAATGCTGCACCGTCCTGTGCTACGCCCACGAGAGATGAATTACCTGCACGTCGTGGGAGGTGCTGACAATAGCATCTAAAAAAGAAACTAAGCTAAAAGGTTTCCTGTTTAAAAACACTTCTCTTTTGGAAGACCAAAAAAAAAGCAATGAAGATTCTATTTCTATCCTCTATAATGAAGATTTCATTTCCATCATAAGCCATAAATGAAAATGTTTGTACCTGGTCCACCGACTGCCCCCATCGCTGCTCCCGCACTATCGCCGTCCTGCCTCGACTCCCGCATGTTCAGCGGCCGGCATAAAGGACACATGGAAAGTTTACTTGATATTTCCCGCACTTCTTGAGTCGTCTGGTCAACATTGGATGTCAACGGGTTTGCCGATAGCGTCTCTTGCCAGTAGCGTTCCCACAGCGTCGCTAGTATTGCACTGTCTGTTTTGCTTTTGAAGTATTCGATCGGTATCGGGTAGTACTCATTCGCGTGAACGCCAAAATCTTGGATCTTCTCCAACGGTAAACCACTACCCCGCGATGAGGACGACGACGCTGCGCCTCCATTGCGAGCCATTGCCGCTGCGTGCTCCTCCGAGTACGTGCGGAACGCACCAATATCTACTTTTCCGGCGGCGCAGGTTCGATGCGGATCAATTACAACGGCCAGAAAAGGTTCTTGGTGTTTTTGGTAAAGACGCTGGGTTGAAACATCGATGCCGGAAAGCCAAGGCCGGTAGCCGGGGTGCGAGTGATACCATCCCATAATGCTCTCCTGTTTCCCTATCTGCTCACTCAGCTCTTTAAACATGCACATAAACTCGTTGGCAGCTGATCATGTTCAAAAGTTTTTATATATTCCTGGACAAGAAGATGAATAATTACTGGCCAAACCTAATCAACGAAGCTCAGAAGTCTTCGCAGTTCAGGGTCTTTTAGATTTAAATTCAAACAAGTTTAACAATGAATACCGTTTCCCGCCTGTACTCTTGTTTCCGTGCCTTCGACCGGAAGTGGAAAAGCGTCCATGACGACAAACTTTCCATCTGCTGTTGCTTTTCCTTGCATAAGACCCATTATTTCGATGTTCCCGCCGGATCGTGCATGCATCACCATTTTCAACAAAGCTACGGCGCTTATTCTTACTTGCCTGAAAAAGTGCGGATCCTGCTTCCAAGGAGCGGCGTGATAGAGCTCGTCCGCAGCATCTTCATCCCAGGTCCAATCAGACTCCACAACAGCATTTTCCAGTTCGAACCTCTTCTGAGCGATATCCATGATATGTCCTTTTCGTTCTTTTGGCTTTAACGACAGAAATTATAATGAATCAGGCTCAAACAATAGATAAAATCATTAGTCAAGTCAGATATTGCAGCACAGACAACCAAATAAACTAGATCTCCTCAATGGGGCTGCGAGGCGTATTAATGAATTGTCGGTAGCAACATCTATTGGATACAACTTCTTGGAAGTTTATGATCTCGCTGCAACGTTGCGCGCAAGGAAACTTATTAGCTGAAGCAAGATTATCACAAGTGCTAATCCATCGTCGGCAACGAACTGAAAAACAAATGTTTGAAAGATTTAGACATTCAAATCTTGGAAGAATTTTGTAGCCCTTCTGAAACCTATAGCTGCCTTCAAATAGGAAAAACAAGCAGTAAGTAAGCAGCAAGACCTAGCACGTACAAGAAGAGGCGGGGGGCGCCAAAAACGATAGTACTTTCTGAAGCGAGAGGGACCTAGAGGGGAATTTACCTGCAACTGTGCTGCAGATGTGTGCTTAGTTGGACTGATCGAAGCTTCGGTCATTCACACATCAAATTGATGACCATCCTCTAATGTGTGGATCTTCAATCTTCTTGCTCGGATTTCTGTCGCCCACCTCTGTTACAAGTGCCGCAGTCTTTCTAGCTGAACAGAGTAAAGGAGCATGAAATTCTACAACAAGGGAGTGCGGATTGCCATTGCGCGTCACACGATTTGACGCTCTACTTCAAGTGTCTCGCGTGTTTGGTTCGGTCGCTGGTGACATAATAGGGCCCGCAAAAACGTAGTGGAACAAAGAAATATCATAACAGCAGTGTTACTCTGAATGAGATTCGAATGGCCACGGTCTGAAACTCATTGGTTCTCCTTCAACATATTTGCGCACGCCAGTAGTGCGCTGAAAACCTGAAAGCGTATAGATGTTCGAGGGGTGGAGGACTCCCCGTAAGACCTGGCGAGCGCCGTACAGACCGCAGACCCGAACTATGACTAACAGTCTCACCTTCCCCTTCTATTATAGGGGGGAGGACTTGCTTGCTCCTATGCGTGACACGTCGCGCTTTATAACTGAGCGCGACGGAGCTGCCCAGGGGCGGCCTCATGATCTGAGGCAAATCCGCGAGCGGCCTTATGATCTGAGACAAATCCGCGGGCGGCCTTATGACCTGACGCAAATCCGTGGGCGAGCTTAGGACCTGGGGCAAGTCCGTGGGCGAGTTTATGATCTGAGACAAATCTAATCCGTGGGCGGCCTTATGATCTGAGACAAATCTAATCCATGGGCGGCCTGATGATCTGAAGCAAATCCGTGGGCGGCCTCATGATCTGAGGCAAATCCGTGGACGGCCTTAGGATCTGAGACAAATCCGGGGGCGACATTATGATCTGACGCAAATCGATCCGCGGACAAGTGGACGGCCTTACGATCTGAGACAAATCCGCAGACGGCCCCACGATCTGAGACAAATCCGGGGACGGCCTGAGGATCTAAGGCAAATCCGTGGGCGGCCTTACGATCTGAGACAAATCCACGGACGGCCCTACCATCTGAGACAAATCCGCGAGCGGCCTTACTATCTGAGACAAATCCGGGGGCGATCTTATGATCTGAGACTAGCCGACCCGTGGGCAGCCTTATGACCTGACACAAATCCGGGAGCGACCTTATGACCTGACGCAAATCGATCCGCGGACAGGTGGGCGGCCTTATGATCTGAGACAAGTCCGCGGACGGCCTCACGATCTGAGACAAATCCGGGGAGGGCCTTACGATCTGAGGCAAATCCGTGGGCGGCCTTATGATCTGAGACACATCCGCGGACGGCCTTACCATCTGAGACAAATCCGGGGGCGATCTTGAGATCTGAGACAAGCCGACCCGCGCGCGGCCTTATGTTCTGAGACAAATCCGCGGGCGGCCTTATGGTCTGAGGCAAGTCGGTCCCTCGACTCCTAGCGAACAACCAGAGAGCCACGCACAGCAGGCGGCTTGCGGTGTTGAACGCAATGGCCCCGGCTGTGTCGTGGGTCAGCTATCTTGCTTTGGTGTGGGTGGGCATGCGTCAGGTATCCATGCTGCGCGTTGGTCAGCTATCTCGAGTGGGCTAGGGCCAGCTATGAAGCTTGGGGATTGGTCAGCCATCTAGTGCGGGCTCGGGTCAGGAATCGAGAGCGGGCCAGCCATCCCAAGTGGGTCGCCGTGCTTAGTCGAGTTGCCCGTGGTCGTCTGTGCCTGTGGGAGTAGGCCACTCTGTAGGCCACTAAGTAGCGCGGGCGCGCTGGTGGTCGGCTGTAGTGGCTTACAGAGACAGCCCTGCCGAATGTCTGGAGGAAATTGCTCAAGATACCGCGGGAGCCGTGCGTGGCGAGGCACTAAGGATGGCGCAGCATATGGGCGGGGCTTGGCGTGACGCGCGCGGCGGTCTCTCGCTCGCTCGGCGCAGCAAATGGGCGGGGCTTGGCAAGACGCGCGCGGCGGTCGCTCGCTCCCTCAGTGCAGTCGCTAGCCAGTTAGCTAGCTCTACCGGGGTCCACCGAATGAAAAGCAAGCGGGGGCACCAGGTCGGTGGCCTACAGCAGCAGTCTTTTGCTAGCGCCTCCGCATAGGTTGGACCACTCTAGATCATGCGCACGCGTCACACCCTCACCGCCCACGCGCCTCGCTACTAAATACTCCCACGCGCGTCACGCTCCTCAGCGCGTCACGCCGTCACGCGTCACGCTAATACCCCCCCACGCGCGTCACTCTCCCCAGGTGGATACGGCGCGGGGGCGGAGGCCTCAAAGAGCGGGGCCGGAGGCTCCTGGCGGCTCTCCGCGTGTACCCCAAAGGCGTCCCCACTTTTGGACCCTATCAGGGGGACGGCCTCCGGGGGAAGAAGGCCGCCGAAGGCGGCCACGGTCGCGAGCTTGGCCCCTTTGGCCCCCATCCCCCCAACAAGTGGCAGCGTCCGCCACCACCAAACACCCGGGGGGCCGAGGACCAAAGGCGAGGAGGAGCGGGGGCAAGGCGTGCCCGCCTGGGTTCTGTCAGATACATGCAGCACGGCGAAAGGGGTCAAGCCTTGCCACCTGCTGCCCCCGAAGGCCTTCCACCTCCCAAGAAACTCCCCCAGCGAGGAACCCACACGGCCTGTAGGGGACGGGCAACGAGCCAAGGGGGGCCCCGCCTTGTCACCTTCGGGAGCCTTGCACCCCCGGCCTTTGGTACTTCAACGGCCTCAGGGATGGGGGCTCTGTAGGGTCCAGGCAAGAAGCGGGAAGGGGTCGGCGGTGGGCGTTTGGAGGCCTTCCCGCCCGGCAGTCCCTCGGGAAAAAGGGTCCGGGGCGGGAGGCGCCCCCTCAAAAATTTAGATCGGGGGGGAGCCTTGGCCCCTGGAACATATAAATATAAGTATCTGAAATCCACTCTGCATGCGTTCTGCTTTGAGCACGGATAATTGTATAATCCCCCTAAAAAGAAAAAGGCCTTCTGCTAAAAGGAAACCTTGGAAATCGGCTTGAGCCCTACAGCGCTCTCGCTTCATTTCATAAACCGGTTCGACCAGGATCCTTGGTGGAACCCTCAGAAGCATCAACGGAGGAAGTGCCCCCTCCTCCTGCTGTTCCCGCAGCAGAATCCTCTTCTTCACTGTAGGCGAAGCGTCCACTTTGGTTGCAAACTTTGAGCTTTTTCGGCAGCCCAGGAATACGACGCGTTCGCAGGAATCGCTGAATGGTGGCTGCGTGTGGTGGCCCTGTCGGTCCATAGAAAAACTCAAACTCTTCTCCTGATTTTATATTGCCACCAGGCAGCTGCGTCTCAGTCTCGGCCACGGGCGCGCCATTTGGTGCCCCTCCGTTCTCGCCTTCTGTTGCTGCGCTCGATTGATCAAGCAGCTCCTCTCGGAACTTGTCGTTGTTCTTGACCAGTTCAGTATTCTCCACCCATCCGCCAGCCTCAAAGTGGAATGCATACAAGCTACTCTCAACTCCAACTCGCTCGTCAAAGTGGAATGCATGGCCCCATATTTTTTCCGGGTCAAGAGGGGCCCACGGTGGAATGACACCATGGCCTGATGCTTCTGCATCTTTTTGCATGAATTTTGTCATAGAACGTAGCAATTCGAAACCTGGAGGAGAGTCTTCCTGTCCTGCCTCGGCTATCAGCTGCTTACCGTTATCATTATCTTTACGACCGTTCATTTCATCTCCAATATGAAGTTCTTCATTTTCAAAGTAGCGAAAGAATTGGAAGACACTTCGACTTTCTAAAAACGGCAACGTCCACCGCTCAGGCTTTCTCTTATAGGGTTTATTCTCGCCCAGCAGAGCACTCATCAACTTTTGATGACAGCCTTCTGGATGCCGATATACGTAGGCCGCGAATTTGAGGAACCACTGTTTCATCACTTCGGTCGGTCGCATCCACCAAAAGCCATTGTTAATGCAGTCGTCTAGTATGGAGCCACCCACTAGCAGATCTACCCCCATCTCATCCGCTTTTTGGCGCAACATACGTTCCACGGGGCGGAGCAAGTAGGTGTCAAAATCCACATAAACGATGTGAAAATTGTGGAAAAGCAGCGGAAGGCCAAGCCAGAACTGTGACCCATGCCATTGACTAAGCCCGCGGACGCAGCGCCGTTTTCGATGCAACCGATCATGGAGTGCAAAAACCAAATTGGACGTGTCATCTTCGCTACAATTTTTAGAACAAAATCAAGCTGCACAGTAATCAGCTGTACTCCAGGGTCGAACTGAAGACGCGGCGCATATTGTAGAAGTACTGAAAGAACATCAAAACCGTCAAGGTTTTCGTTCATCAGCTACCCCTCCACATCAACGTTACGAAAATAAACTCAATCAATTTCTGCTGTATTCTTCCATTGCAATAATTTTTCCTCACGATGTTGATTAATCTGAGCCTGAATTTTCACGAAGTCATAATGGACTCCCCTGGCTCAAGACTGCTGTACAGGAAATCGAGAAAGACTGCTAAGCGGTTAATGCGACGGTCCTCACGCGCTGCGGCTTCCTCCTCTGCTGACTGTGCGCCATCTTTTTTCCTAGTGGAAAGTGGTTGGCCAAGCATTAGAGCTGGGTTCTTCGGTCTCAAATTCATCTCCTTGTTGTTGATCCAACATTTTCAGAGCATTTCAGCGGTATACTAAATTTTCAGCAAAGATGCTCTAGTCAATAGATGAATTCATGTGGATAGCCATAAAAGCAGCGCTTGGGCAAGTTGCACTTGCTCGACCTCCATCGAATCACGAAAAGAGAGAAAAAAACTCGCGAATGATTGGTCAGTCTGTTGTTTTTTCTCTCTAGTTTTTCCGAGTCTATCGACATCTTCCTTTGATTCGCCATTTTGCTGCGAAGTGGCAAGTTGTCCTCCCTGCCACACTTCCGTGTACCACAGGGCTAGTACGCTGTTGCGTAGTGTTTCGACCTCGTCAGCAGAAGTTACTTGTTCGCTACTAGTTGTGTCATCTGCTTCGCTACTTATTTGATGGTGTCGGAAGCGATAGACATCGTGTGACTCGAATGTTTCGCCTTGCTCTACCGCAGAGTGGTAACCATTCAGCGCTTGCATTTTTCTTTGAAAGTTAGCCTCGTCTACGAAGTCATTGCACTCTAAGCTTGTGAGGCAAGTGTAGTACGCCTTCTTGTCGTGCGTAAACATCAAGTATTCTGCATGCGCTTGGTTGTTATCTACCTGTGGTGGATTTTTGCTACTAGATTGAGATGTACGTGCTGCACGCAGCCCGGCACCATTCTCCACGACTCCTTCAGTCGGCTGTAGCACCACGGAATTCAAACGCCGACAAGTCGGCTCGATGTACTTCGTGTACTTACCCCAGACATTGCTCAAAAAAACCGTGTCGCGATTCGCCAAAACACGAACATCCACATACCGAGCTAACCCCGACGTGACAAAAGGTCGCCCCTCCTCTGGCTCAGGGCTATGCTGCACGTGTTCTGCTTCGACGCCACCCTCTTCAGGTGCTCTTGGATCCGTTTTTATATTTGCTTGTTTCGAAGCTACGAAGGGCGATAGCAAGCTGAGTTCCCGTTCGTTGACTCGGTATGATAAAGGGGCTTCTTCTACAGGCTCTTTATTTTGTGTGTGGCCGTCGTGTTGTGGACAAGAGGAGAAGGAAGCTTGCGTTGCGTCTGCACTCGCTGCTTCTGTTCGTGTGAAGTAAAAAAGGGACTCTAAATCTATACGCGCATGGTTTTGGTGCTCTCGCACCTCTGGAGGCATCGAAGCGAGGACATCCTCGAACACGAGGCCCTCCTTTGCAACCACCACAGCAACATCTCTTGCGCTTCGAATCAATGATGGCTCGCTATCATCATGGTAATTGTGCTCTGGTGGTGCGCTGTGGTTCGCCTCTTCATCTAACGTAGCGTCTCGACCTCGAGGAGATTCTTGTTGAGTTGTTTCAGTCATATCGTGATCGTGATCGCCTTGGGAAAAGATGCTAGTGCCAGTGCTGCACCGCCGCACTTGGTTTATAATATTGGTTGATGACGGTGGTTGTGCTGAATCGACAAGCCAAGTGATTCGTTTAATGCGAGCCCCCGATCCAAGCATCACAATGTCTCGCACCCTACTGGTGCTCGCTAGGACCATATGTTCCACAATAGTTTCTGCACCAAGAAACAATACCTCGATGCCTGTGTAAGCCGCCAGTGTAAAAAGCTTTATACGTGTGTGTGCTCCAAATGACACACCCTTAGCCCGAGTGAACGGCGTGAAGCGGACGTGGCTGGCACCTACGTCAACACGAAGTTGGCGTACCGTTGTCGGGACTTCCACACCGTGCCGTTCAACTAATGCGCGAGTGTGTTTCCCCAAGTGGTACTTTCCTGGGGCCGCAGGAGGTGCCGTCTTGCTTCCTGCTGCCGTCCAACTTTCATTTTCATCAGGCTCATCCCGCAGGACAAAACTACCACTTGCTGCGAAAGCCTCTATCATTGTAGCCTCCTTTTCGTAAAAGCCGTCTCTGGAGTACTCTTCTAAAGCCGCACGACGCCGCTCACCTTTTCTGGCCAAGTACTGCCGCGACAACGCGGCGTCCATGTCAAGCAAGGACCGTGGTCGCAAAAGATACATCTTCTGATCTTGCGGCGGTACTTCATCGGGCCCAAATACTGTTTGCCGGACTAATCGTTGTAGTCTTGGATCGACAAACGAGTCCCGTTCCGGTGAAGGCGATACTGCTTCCTGCAGTAATGAACTACTGTAAACGCCGTGCTGAAGATCTTCTTGTCCTTTGTCGTAGACTTTTTTAACTCCGTCATTGGGGTTGGCCTCATTCTCCACATCGCCTGTTCCATTATGATCATCTGCAGCAGGCGCATTCTTATCTTCCAGAGATAAGTCTGTTGTTGCTGCTTTTTCGTCGACCTGATACAGGAGTAGTCGTGCTTCCCACAATAAAAGCGTCTCTAGATCTAGTAAACCTTCGATCTGATCCCGTAGCAATCTAGCACCATCAGCTTCGTCGGGTACTGCACACGAGGTTGCGTCGATATCCAACATGCTAGCACCCTCTTGGCTATCCTTTTCTGGCTTCGAAATCTCGATCGTGAAAAAAGCGCGCTCTCGCATATTTGCAGGATCGTTTCGGTGTATGTCAGCCGCATTGCGGCGCGCAGCGGCTTCCGCAGCTTCGTCCGGCGCAGCGTTATTTTCACCATCTTGTCCACCACGAGAGCGCTGTTGTTGAGATGGTTGCGGTCCTAAGAGATCATAGGCGTAAATATACCGACTCGCGTTCGTGCCCATACGCTTTCGCACACTATGGTCGTTCTCGTTCGGCACAAGGTGATCTCGATAATTGTCCTTAAAATCTTCGAGCAGTGCAGTTTCTGCGGCCGAAGTGTAAGTACGTCGCAGCAACCCAGAAGCTACGTTGGCGAGTAGTAGAGGCGCGCCCCAACTCGAAGGCACGAAGGTCGACTCCTCGACATAATCTTGTGACCACGTCCTTGGCGGTCCGTCCCCATTCCCTAGCAATTCTTGCAGGATCAACTCGCGGTTCGACGAATGGAGGAGGTCCCACGACGATTCCTCGGTCTTCCCACGAGGCTCTTCGGACAATTCATTTGTGGCCTCGATCTTTTGTCTTTTTGTGTCAACACGACAATTGTTTGATATGATATCCACCGAAACCAAGATTGGGCTATCCTCTCGTTCCATTTCGGCTTTTCTAGTTCCATGCTCGTTCAATACCTCCCGTACTGGTCGAAGCTGCCACGTTGGGTCACCAATAACACTCACAATGCTCGAAGTCTTGGCATCTTCATCCCAGACGCATGGTCGGCCTACCAACTCCATCTTACGAATCCAGTGCAGTCTGTCACGAACCACTCGCAGTATCACGAGAATTTTGAAAAGACGCCGTTGGTGCGCATTTGTGTTCTTGCTTTCCGCAGGACCATCATCTACCAAGTGATTCGCGGACGCGAATTCGTTGACAAGAGCTTGAAGTCCTCGAGCACCATCGATTGACGTGTCTGAGACTTCCAGATTTCGAGCACGCGCGAAGCGCAGCACCAAGGCCTGCACTGTCAACGCAACATAGCGAGAGAGCTCTTTTTCGTCTCGCAGGGCTATTTCGCTGAAAGGCGTCGCGCCGCTACTCGTTCCTTGAAATAAAATGCGCAAACTTTTTTGGATTTTCCCTTCCATCTTCGAAGCCAGAAGTACTTCAGGCGCTCGTGAATGTGCTTGCGATGCGGAAGACTCTTCGCGGGTCGATTCACCTGTAGCTGATAATTCAACTGAGTTGCGCACCAGATTTTCGTCATCTGCGTAACACCATTGTTTCTCGTAGCTCATGAAATGTTGTTTTTCTGCTTCCACTGCGGAAGCGGGCAGCAGCTGGGTCACGTAGTGATCCCAGTTTTTTGGTCGATGTTCGCCCCACATTCTCGCGTCCATATCCTGGTACTCTTCGTCATTGAAATACTTGCGAAATTCCTTCGCCCACTGCTTTCTGATTACTTCATCCCCTGCCACAGGAAGGATTCCGTTGCGATCGCGATCGCTTTCGTTGGAAGAAGTTAACCAGGTTGGAGAGTCATCGTCTGCGGCCGCGCCGGTGAGCAAGCGGTACTGGCGAAACAACCTTGCTCGCGCTAGGCGGTCCTTGCGAAAACGGGTAAGATACGTTTTACTGCCTGCACGCAATGCAAGCTCCTCCTCGAAGTCGAAGCGGTAGTCGTGACCCCGGTGCGTTCCCGCACCTAGGAGCCACATCCAGCCCACGACCGGCCACGCGGACGCGAGCAGGCAGTCGAGGTCACACCACCACAGGGGGATTTTGTGCCGCTTAGCCCCTTGCTGGTCCATCACGTCTGCGGCAATGCGCTCTTGGAACTCTGCCACGTGCTTAAAGCCAAATCGCTCCATCTCGCCTGGGTGCGGCTGCGCCGTCTGCACCAGCTGCCGTAGCCGTCGCGAACCGTCGTGCAAGACGCTAAGAAAAATTGCTCGCATGATCTTCCAGTCGCTTTCTCCGCTTTCCGGCTCGCTGCGAAAGCTAATCAGCAGCCTGTAGAGAATGTACATCCAATATCCGCCGGGGCACGCGTGCTGCGAGGCGCCGAAGTAGTGGTCGGCAACCTCTGCCGGTGTCTCAAGAAAGAACTCAAAGAGCGCAGGCGCAAAGTCCTCAGCCCAACTCTCCACCCCCGAGGAAAAGATGCGCCTTCTTAGAGCTAGTCTATTTTCATATTCAAACTATTCCATTGATTTGTCGACGGTCGCAGTCCCTTGTAAATTGCATCAGCTAGTAATCGAGTCCATGTCAGATACTAGGAGGACAGTAAAATAGAATTACATCCTTGACAGCATAATCACCAAAAAAACGAATCATACGAAAATGAGACAGTCTGTTTGAGAAACAATTCATAATCTTCGTTCCTCGCCATTCAGCAACGAACGTGCAAGCTGGAACGGCTCGCCGATCGCTGTAAGGAATTCTTCGCCGTTCAGTGTTCCAATCGCATTTAGCTGTGTCTGCAGCTCAGTGAAAAGGGGTCTGAACCGGCTGACAAACATGTCTGGCACAACTTGCAACGTGCGCGGCTCAGACACAAGTGGATCTTGTTCTTGCATCGAAACTTGAGTATCTCCATCTTCAGCAGCTAATGCGTCACGACGCTGTTCGAATTTCTTTATCCAAGTATCCCACGTCGCAACACGGGGGAGAATCTCTGTAAGGTTTGATTGACCGCTCTGCTCACAACGAAACACAGGGTCGTGGTACATCGTCGAAAATGGCGACGTCAGAACCTGTGAAGCCTCTAGAAATTTGTTTTCTTCAACATCCTCTCCGAAAAACAAACTTTGCGTAATTTCTCCGCTTGTCGAAGTTAGCGTGGAGTCCACGGGGTTCGCACCATCGTTTCTATCGTCATTCAAATTTGCTTCATCCTGTTCTTGTTGTTGTTTTATCTTGGTCTCGCCTTTCCTCATTTGAGCTTCTCTTTCTCTGTAAGTTTCTTCCCGGTGGTATTTGCCCCAGCCGACGAGAGACGCATAGTATTCGTTACTGCGGAACGCGGGACCGAGTAGGCGATCCACGTACGCCGTGCCCGTCCAGTTTTCGTCTCGCCACGCACGCGACTTTGCCAGTACCAGAAGCACAGGCCACCGTGTGTAGAGAAACGGCTTGACACGATTTTGTATCACCTCAAACAACTGCGAGATAAGTCGTTTCCAATCTTGACAAACTTCCCACTTCCTACCATGCATAATGTGATGCTTCAGATAAAGCGTTACCTCCTCTGTTGTAAAATCTACTTCCTCAGTTGTGAGATCCATATACGACAGCGCGTCGACGCTCGAGGATTCACCAGTTGGTTTAGGAGTTTCTACACGAATCGAGTCCCCAAAAAGACCAGCCAAAAGCGCCTGCAAGGTGCGCGGTTTTGCCGGCGCGCCCTCCTTATCATTTTCCAAAAGACCGGCGAGTGACCGCGTCGCACCGATCAAAAGAGGACTCGGAGATCTGAGGGGACCAAGGTTCTGTTCATGTAGAAGCTTACGAAGATGCTGGCTCCGCGCGAAATTCTCCTTGAACTCGTGGCTGCAGCGCACGTAGCTCACCGCAACCGAGAATAGCACTCCCAGCGGGCATTGGATCGCCGCTAGCGTCAGGTTCGGATGGTGATAAGCCCTACCTTCCGCGTCCTCCGAATGATCTCCGGCGCCAACGGATAGCTGGAGCCAAAAGGTTAGGGTCTTGTGTTCTTCAATTGTCTCGGCCTGTGCCCACGCTGCTTCCTCCTTGCGAAGGCGCACCTCGGTTACGGGTTCGGTGAAGAGTTCCCGATGGAATAGCGACTGCACTTTTTTCAGGTACTGGGGAAAGTCGACAACGCGAGATGAAGGCGTGCGGGATAGAGGTGTCGGCGTTGAACGAAACTCGATTGCCGGCGTGGAATAGCAGTCGAAATCCGGAAAAACACGCTCTTCCGAGTTGTGGTTCCAGTGCCGCGGTATCGCAGTAGCATCCCAGCTCAAACCCGGCACGCGCAACCCATTCGCCACCGCGCACCAAGACAAGACGCCTAGGTGCAAGCAAGCCACGACATACGCCGGTGCCTGTTGCTTGCAGTCGCGGACCATCTTCGTGTTGTCCAGTTTCTAGTTGCGCATTACCACGAACATAGCAACGCGACCTTTCATCGGTGACATTTTTCAGTTGCCATCGTGAATCTCGCGAGGGAAGTAACGTCCGGCATACTTTTTACTACGTCAAAATACGGTTGCACAGCAAAGATCACTTGGAACACGAACGGGCCTCTTCTATCCGAACAGGACTGATCGATGATCCACCTCTCAAGCATGCTACTCCCACAAATCGCTCGCGCGATTTTTTGTGAAGGTCAGTCTTTAGCTCTAAGCAATGCACCGCGCAGGGAATGCAGTCGCTCAAAAGGTCTGTTGATGTTTTGAGGGACGCGATACTAAGTCGAACACACCCCCAGGATGAGGGGAAGAACCGCCACAAACCGTGGCGAAGCCATCTGAACACAATGCAGACTAACCCCCTCGACAGATGGCTTAGCCTGATCCGGCTAACTTATAAGGCGCCGCCATCGAGCTTTTCGATAAGAAACCGGGAAGCAGCCTGGGAATTCAGGGGGGAGCCCGCTAGGCTTTCTCCGTGATATGGTTTCAGAAATTGACCAGACCCCCTCGCAAAGTTGAAAGGCCTCGGTCGCTCGGCCGATTTCGAGAAAAAACAAAAACGGGGCCTCCCCAATCTTCTTCCAAAGTGACTGAGCGCCCGGGGGCTACCGCATCGCCCCCGGGGCCAAGTCATTTTCCTAAAATCATTGCAGAGAAGAAAGGAGCTTCGCAAGGCTTCTTTTCCAAAAACGGAAAGGCTTGGCCGGAATCCGGGAGCCGTAATACTACGCCGGGCCCCCCGCTACGCTCGTGGGCTTTCCACCATCTTGGAGAAGGCGGGGCACGGCGCAAGAGACGACGCCGCGGGCCGGCCACTCTTGTCCTCCAGCGCCGCACGCGGCGCCGATTTTCAGCGCGCCAAGCCAAATTACCACGCCCCGGGCCCGGACGTCCCCGCGCCCCTCCAGAATCCACCACAAGAGCAACGAGCCCGCCGGGCATGCTCTTGGCCGTGGCGTCGTTGTGTTCCAGGCCGGCGGCAGGGTGCATCGACCGGAAACGCGGCCGGTGGCCATTTTTCAGTGGCGTCTGGTGAGCGAGTGGACGCTGGTTCCAACTGGTTTACTCGGGGGGAGGCGGCCCCTGCTAGTCAGTGGAGGAATCTCGTGAGGCCCCAGCGGCGTCCGCGGGACATGTGCTAGGCTGCTGAGCTGAAAAACAATCCCCGCCAGCTTCCTCTAGTGGAGGCGCACGGGAAACACCGCGGGCGGCCGTCGGTCGGGGTTGGATTTTGGCCCCCCGACACTGTAAAAGAGTTTGGGTCCTTAAAAGCTATGTGACACCGGGCAAAGATTTTTGAAAAAATAATGGGCGCTGCAGCGCTGGAAAGGCCGCCGCGGCTACCTGCGAGCGCGGCGAGGACTGCTCGGAGGCAAAGCGGGTGGGGGACTTTTTGAGGGGGCGGGGGTGGCTGCAGTGCGCTAGGCCCTGGGGTTTGGGCTCTTTTGGAGGGCTTGGGGCGCGTCAGGCCCGAAGGTTTGGGGCTTTTTGAAAGGTTCAGCGTGTTTTAGTCCCTAGGGCGGGGGGGTTTTTGAAGTAAGGCCTAGGGGGCAGCAGCCCCAGGCTTGGGGCTTGTCCGTGGGGTTTGGCGGGGGCTTTGGGGCTTGTGTGCGGGGCTTGGGGCTTGTGCGTGGGGTCGGGGGCCTGTGCGCGGGGTCTCGGGCTTGGGCGGGGCTTGGGGGTAGGATCGAGATCGCACTCTATTCTATAGCCGCCTACGGGGAACCGCACGAGGGGCGGTGTTTCACCCCCATAAGCGCTCCCGACCCTCCTGCCCCTGCCTCCTGTTGGGTCCCTCCTGGTCTCCCTGCAAAGGTAACCGGGAGGCCAGAGGCTGCCGGGAGACCAGTCGAGACCCCTCAGGAGGCCAAGGACGGAGACAGCGGCGGGAGGGCCAGGGAGGCTGATAGGAGTGGAACGCAACCCCCTGCGAGTTTCCCCGCAGGCCGTTACAGAGGGCGGCCGCGGCCTTCAGGGGCTTGGGGCTTGCCACTCGAAGCCGATAAGTGCACGAAGTTCGAAACTGTTAGGGGACTCGACCCGACAAATGTGAAACCGTTCAGAGACTTGCAAAACGGTCAGCGACTTGGCGTGGTTATTTTTCGAGTTCTCTGGTGCGTTTTTTGTCTCTTTTGCTAATCATTTCCGAGGCTTTTTCACGCAAAAATTCTCCACGCTGTGGCATTTTTTGGGCGGCTTTTTATATAAATGCACGAGAGGCGAAACCGAGGAGGCGTCCTGTTTTGTAGAGAATATCCTTGGGCATTTGAATCGAAGGGGTGAAGCTGATGAGGATGCTTAGAAGCGTCGGCAATTCTTCAACAGTGTCCGAGTGCTTTCGTGAATACCTGAAAAGGCGGCAGGGATGCTGTAGGATATTTGAGGAATGTCAGAAGCTCAAGCATTCTGGGAGAGTCAAGACAAGAAGCAAACCAAGGAACACAACAAAAACACGACGCGAAAAACGGGGGCGGGGCTTTCTGGGAGACGGTACCCAGCTCAGAAGACCACACGCGGGGGCGGGAAAAGGGGGAACCGCCAAGAAACCCCCCCGCCTCACCCCGCACACCCTTCCCAGCGGTCCCCCCCTTTGTCCTGCACAGCGCCATGCCCTGCAAACCCCGAGCCCCTCTCCCCGGTTGGGACGGGCCTGGAGACTACACGGCGGGGACCCAGCGACACCCACGCGCCACGGGGAGGCGCGCGGGAGTGTGCCACCGGACAAAGGGGCAGGGACAAACACTCCAGGGGAGAGTGAGACCACAAAGAAGAGCGGGGCGGGGGCGGGGCGGCGTTACTTGGCGGCTGGCTGGCACTCTGGTACCCGCCGCGCAGCGAAGCGCGGCGGGCACCCAGGACGCGCCACGAGGAGGCTGCCAGCACGCCGCTCGTGCGGTCGTAAGGCCTGTGGCTTTGGGATGGGTCTCTGCTCGTGCGGTCTTAGGGCTTGGAGCTCTTAGGTAAGTCGCCTTCTCCTGCGGTCCTAGGGCTTAGGGCTTTCGGGATAGTTGTCTCTTCCTGCGGCCATAGCGCTTGGGGCTTTTCGGTAAGGGGTCTTTTGCCGCGGTCCTAGGGCTTGGGGCTTTTCGGTAAGTTGTCCCTTCCTGCGGCCCACTCGAAACCGATACCCGCACGAAGTTCGAAACTGTTCAGGGACAGAACTTCGGCAAATTGAAACCGTTAAGGCAGTTACAAAACTGCCGGAAACTTTTCGGGTTTTTTTGTCACTTTTGTGGCCGCTTTTCTGGCGCTTATGTTTTGCGCTGTGGCCGTTCTACACTTGAGAGGCTTCGCCGTGGGCCTCGTTTTTTGGCGGGTCTGATTTCTGTGGGTATAAAAGCCGAAACCGATAAGAGACGCAGGCGAAACCGATAACGGCACCCCAAAAGCCTGCGCAGTCTTGGGCCTTTTGGAAATGTTCCCCCAGTCACCACAGTAGGAACACAGACCAGAAGCGCGCACGTCTTCGGGAATACTGTGAACCCCGCCACCGCATCGCTTTGCCGCGGCGCTCAGGTGCGTCGCCGCTTTGCTCCGTTTGCACACCGGGGCGGCGACTGAACAGGCGGAAAGACTGAACAGCCAAGACGACTGGCCCGGCCGAATGTACGACCGAAAAGACCACAGAAAGGCAGAGCAGGGGGAACGACTGAACAAGCAGAGCGCCGGAGCGGGCGGAACCACTGGAAGCGGGCCGGCTGCCCGGGCCGAACGGATGGACAAGCCGCGCGACTCAATAGGCAGAACGACCGAACAGACAGAACGACCGAACGGACAGAACGACCGAACAGACAGAACGACCGAACAGACAGAACGACCGAACAGGCAGAACCACCGGACAGACAGAACGACCGAACAGACAGAACCACCGAACAGACAGGACGACCGAACAGACAGGACGACCGAACAGACAGAACGACCGAACAGACAGAACGACCGAACAGGCAGAACGACCGAACAGGCAGAACGACTGAACACACAAACAGACAGAACGACCGAGCAGACAGAACGACCGAACAGAAAGAACGACCAAACAGAGAGAACGACCGGGCAGGCAGAACGACCGAACAGACAGAACGACCGAACAGGCAGAACGACTGAACAGACAGAACGACCGAACAGACAGAACGACCGAACAGACAAGGCGACCGAGCGGCAGAACCGGCAGGGCCACGGAAGAGACAAGACGACCGAGCAAGCAGAACGACAGAACAGACAGAAAGACCGAAGAGCCAGACAGAACGGCCGAACACACACAACGACGGGACAGACAGGACGACGGGACAGACAAGGCGACAGAACAGACAAGACAGGCAGAGCGAAGACTGAACAAGTGGAACGGCTTAGCAGAAAAAACGGGGGAACGCCTTGGGGCCGCTGAGCTGTGTGCGGCCATGCTTCGGGCACAGCTAGCACGGCGCGCGCTCGAATTACATGGGAGCGGGAAGAGAAGAAAAAAGGCGGAGGAGCAAGGAAGCCACTGCAGCTCTTCGGGGAACCCAACCTACGACGGCGCACCATTGGCATCCGTTTAAGCCCGCGCGCGCACTCAAAACAGAGGAGGCGCGCGGCTTTTCTTGTTTTAGGCAGCCCGTCAATTTTCTAGCCTCTTCCTTCTGTGCTCGGGCTTTTTTTTGTTTTGGA